TATGTGAATTTTAAATATGATATAACAAGTGTAGTGAATTGTACAATATTAGTTGAAAATTATTAATATTTATTTTATTAACAGAAAATGACAAAGCGTATTCCTACTGCTCCCCGCCGACCCAACCTACGCATGAATGCTGTTCTTAATAGCACAATTGCAGGTGTTGTTGCTCCAATTGATACACCAACTCCAGAAGTAGCAGTTGACACAGCCCCTGAAGTTCAAGTCGCTGTGACCCCAATGGATCACGTCCTTACCTTGTTGGCAGCCAACAATGTGTCGATGCAATCCTTGCAAGAAAATGCAAAAGGAGTGACTGATGCAATAACTCATTTGAAGAATGGCCTGGATTTGTCCAACAAGACAAATGAATTTTTGAAGAACTCGGTCCTTCAGCTCATGACTGAAAATGCTGAAATAAAAAAGGCAATGACCAGCCAAAATTCCGTGATGCCTTCTGCTGTACCAGCGGATTCTTCTTCTTCCATGGATGATGATCTTGACCTTGGAGCGAAACATCATCCCTTGATTTCTGTAAGTAAATTGATAATAATAACATTACTGATTAATATATCTAATACTGTTTTTATAGCAACTTATCAATAGTTACATCAAGAAACCGAACTTTGTTAGCACAGACCCGCTCAAAGTTGCTGAGAATAATAATAGATCAGCATGGTCAATGACTGGCACGTATGGCGACAAGTACAACAAGACACTTGCACTGGCTCTCTTCAAGTACCTGAGACCTCAAAGATGTTGCACAAATGTGTCAAAGAGTGTCATTATGAATATAATAAAGAATCACTACCAAAATCAAGTGCGAGTCTTCCGGACCTCAGCAGAGAAGATTATGGTTAGAAATAAAGCTGGAAGAAGACGCAACAGAAAGAAGACCGTAAGTTTTAAAATAAAGTTAATTTACTATTGATTTAATGTTTTAATACAATACTCTTTGGTAGCTTCTTGACCGTCGTATTATCACGTACCAGACATACACAGAGGCTATTCATGAGGGCATGAATCGATATGATTGCGGAAATATTCTTTCTATTGACGTGATGTCTGATGGCGAGTCGGATGGAGATAACAAAGTGCGGGCATATCGTCCCAGCTGGAGAACTGATGAGGTAATGTTAAACATCTATTTATGTTTTAAAGAAAATAATAATACTTTATTAATACTATTTATTCTTTAAACCAGCTCCAGACGTTTATTAGTACTATTGATGAACTTACTGTTATCCGTTTGAAGAAAAATTCAGAAAGCTTGAAAAAGCGCATCCCTTATGAGAAAGAAGTGAGCATTCCCGAGAATTTGGCAGTCACTTTACCAGATTGGTGCTTTTCAAAATAAATCATTTTTTTCTTGCCAACTATTTTAGAGTCTTTTTTCTACTTGTTTATGTTTACGGATTAGCATGATGTATACAGATGCATGTATAGCATGCCAAGTACAAACAAAAATTTATAGAAATAATAAAAAATAAACGTGCAGCTATATATATTAGTCTGTATTAATTAATATTTCTTTTTTATACGTGTTTTATTTTTGTATTTGAATCTAAATATATATTTTTCGTGGCAAAGGAACTACACACATCTGAACTTCGCCTTCTAGACCAAGGTGCTCGCCTACTGCGACTGGATAGCAGATTCTATGCACTGGGAGAATGCTGTTCATGCTGTCATCTTCGAACCCCACCTCATTCACCTCAACTCCTTCTCCTGCTCTGGGCTGAAGTAAAACTTCCTTGTACCATCGTACATATGCAAATACATGCTGGCTCGCATGACCAGCAAACGAGTTTACAGCAGTATTGACAAAGAGGTACTGAATTTGGCCCGCGTATGGCTTGGTACTTCTACCATCACTTGTCTCAAACAAGGCTTGCATGAACGACCCACGCTGATTCTTCGTTTTGCTCTTGTAGATTTGCCCAAGAAGATTGATTGATTCAAACTTCTGTATCCGATTGTTAACAAAATTATCGGAATGACCAGCCTGACGATAATGAACAAGAGTTTGATCATCGTATGTCTCGCGATAGTATTCCAACAAATGCTCATACTCGGATTCATCCATGGAAATCTCCCCCTTTAGAGCTAAAGGAAGTGCGGAAGGGGGCAAAGGCTCGTTTCCCTTGACAATATCAAAGTTGATCTCAGGAGAATCAAGAAAAGCATTGATATCGAATTGGATTGAGGTGGCAGTGGAAGTGGAAGTGGCTATGGAATTGGCAGTGGATGCAGTGAGCTCAAGGATGATCGCCGAATGCTCAGGTCGAATTATTGGCAAAGTTTGGCGAATAAGATCTCCCTGGTATGCTTCTTCAAGATACTTCTTCATATAGGTTCCCTCAAACCCGTCTTTTCTATTTGTCGCATAGTTTTTCAAGATACCATTGCATCTTTCGAAACTAAAAAGCCAATAGCCATAAACCGGGCCAAAGTTCAGTACAGTCTCTCGCAGATGAAGATGGAGATGCATGTTTGGCGAAAGGAATGGGGCTTTATACAACTTCTCGCACTCTCTGCAGAAAGCCTCCAAAGATTGATGGGCTTCATCAAGGTGAGCCATGGATATGCTTGGCATTGAGAGGTACTGGCATGCATTGACAAACGTTGTCCAGTTACCGAGATGAGCTTCAGGTAGACGACCACGCAGGAGAACAGGAGAGTACACCAAGCACCAAGACTTCCACTCGTCGGCCTTCATGAATGGGAAGCCACGCCCGATCTTTGTCCCTAATGGCGTGTAGTCCTCTGGCAGTACAAGCTTGTCAGCATCCAACTGCATTTCGGCCAAGTGTGCATCTGTGATGAGACCTGAAGATCTCCATTTCTCCATTATCCTCTTTGCTGTTCCGAGGTACAGGTTGTGCATCGGATCGATGACAGTGCACTCCACGAGGTTAAAGTAAACCAGGTCATGCAATTCTGACCATCGGACACCATTTTCCCTCTCCAATCTCTTTCTCTGTGCATCACTGCTGGCCATTCTCCACAACTCAGCATCACGGCGGTTTTCGGCATCAGTGCGAGGCACCCACTCAGAAAACACGAACCCAGAGTAGTCCACAGCATTGGAGTCTGGAAGGCGAGGGAACTGTCGGTTGCACTTATTGCATGCACATGTGCTTGAATGAGAGGTGAACCCACAAGTCTTACGGGCAGCAGGAATGTCGCAGGCAACAAGAAGAAGGGCAGCACGGACAAGAGCACCAGATGGGCACTGTACGGTAGGCATCACCACACCGCCATACAACTGGTTGAGTTCCGCGACAAGGGGACGGAGGTAGTGATTGATCTCACTTGTCTTTGCTTCCTTGGGCCCTGGCATGAGACCAACGAGAACAACATTCTCCTTCTTGTACCGTTCCGATCTTGGCAAGTTGTTGATGCAAAGGTATATCGCACCACAGGAGTAAGTGACCCCATCGAAAGGTTGAAACCAATCGATGTTCATGGTAAGCATTATGGAGCGCTCATGATTCACAAACGGTAAACCATTGCTATCCTTCAGACTGTTCCACTTCGTACCGTCGTAAATGTCAAACATCATGCCTGGAACTTGCACTCTGATTCTCCAATGGTTGATGGTGTCTTCGAATCCAGGGCGGCAAAAAAGGATAGACAATGTTTTGATTATGGAGTTATACATGTAGATCTTTTTGGGGATAGTCAAGGCTCTTGATGTTGCAAAGAAAAGAGCGTTTCCACATTCTCTACCAGAGAGTCTCTCGAAATTACAGCACTCTGGAACAACATCGGACTCTTCGTATACTTTGTTACAATCGCCACATGCAATAAACCGCTGGACACCTCGAGTCACGTCGCTGAGACCGGTCATAGAGTTGACACCGCTTATACTGAGGGGAAGACGGAAAGACTGTCCAAAGTGTGCCAATACTTCGTTAAGAAACTTTAACAGAACAGCACCACCAGAATTGACAACATATTTGGATATGAAGAAGGCAGCAAAAGAAGCAATGAAAGCATGAGTAGGATCGACTGGCATATTGGATGAAGAAAAGTGCTCTATTTGAAAAAAAAATCAATACTTGTTGACTTTATTGATTTATATGTGCTTTTTGTACTAACCTCTAACATCATCAGATTCATCGTCAGAAATATCCAAAATGGTTGCTTCAATGACACCCTCATCTTCGCTTTCAGAATCAAACAAGGAATCAATGCCAAAAAGAGGTAAGTCTTCGGCTGTTTTGTTAGGTAAAAAAGAATCAAATTATTAGATATTATAAATGATTATAAAACTTTAATAAAAATACTATGCATACCTTCAACTTGATCTTCGGCATCAACATTGTATTCAAAGTCAATCTCCATGTCATTGTCATTCGACATTACTTCTATAACTGAGGCTATATTATATGAAAATAAATATTTAATTAAAATTGTCTCAATAATAATTTTCTTAAATTTGAACTTACAAGAAGATCCTGACTGATATTGTCTCACGATATCCTGTTGTGCATGTCTTCTGAGTGTTTGGGTAGACACCAAAACAAATCCCATGCTATTGGAAGAGCATTTAGAGCACTTGCATTCTGAATTGTTGTTGTTGTTTGACATATTGTGTGCGTATGTTTTATTTTTTAAGTCTTTAGAATTGACAAGAATAGAAAATTGTTCAGGAACACAATTTAATATATATCTTTCCAAATTACACCAGCTTCCAAAATGACATAGTTTATTCCGGCTGTTAAAATGGGCAGTTCTCTAAACAGTAATTGATTGCCTCATTCTAAAATACAATAATACACACTTTTGTTAAAACATGTCGTCATGTACATTTTATTAGCTGTAGAGCATATACAACAAAAATATTTGTAGTAATATCACGACTATTAACCTCATCATACTTATAAATAAATATTACAACAATAAAAAGCTTTATTATCTCACTCAAAAGATATCACTTGGTTTAAGTTTCCTACAACTATTGACTCTGCGACATGGCTACAAGTCCCAAAAAGAAATCTCGCAGACATTTTTTACAAAAAAGAGTAAACTCGTTTTTTCATCCAATAAAACAGACCGAGCATTATCATCGCCGTCGAAAATAAAAAAGACAAAAGTGATGGAAATTTAAGCTACCACTCCACAAATAATAGTACCCTACGCCATAGATGAAATTACCCTATTTTTCCAGTGTAGAACATTTGCATTCTTTTGTTTTATTTGATTCACGGGTTGGTGCCATTGCTTAATAATTATTAAAATAATATTATTTTTTAAACAGTAAAGAAGATAAATATATATTCAGGTACAGTTTATTTTATTCAATTTAAGTTTATTATTGTATTTTTTATACTACTCAGTGTTCTATGACCAATAGAATCGTTTTAAAAAAATTGCAATGTTTATTCTACAAAAAAAATCCTGCACTACAAATTTGGGTTTTCTGTCCACCGAATTTTACATCCCATCATGTATGGGAATCGGGCATTTTTTTGCAGTGCCTGGCAGTATGATATAATTATCTTAACAATCTTTAAGATATTATCTACAGTACTAACTGTAATAATTATTGGGCTGATTACTTAATCGTTTATATATATATTATACTGACAAGATGATAGCTACTACGCTATCCCAATATGAATATGTTCTTATATATGATAAATCCAACATCCGAGTATCTGGATCACCACATGACCTTCCGGTACCAGACACCACAACATGACCCAAAGCTGGTTTTATTTTATAATACACACGATAAAATGTATAGGCTTCCGTGGCGCAATTGGCAGCGCGTCTGACTGTTAATCAGGAGGTTGGTGGTTCGAGCCCACCCGGGAGCGCATGTCATGCAATGCATTTTATTCATGTTTTTGTTATACATTTTGTCGTTCCTGATCTGGGATGGTCTTCCTTTTACTATAGCAAAGTCAAAAGGTCAAACCCACTGGGGATCAAAGAGTATATGTAAAATCAAAGAGAGAATAAAAGATACTTTTTATTGATATGAATTATCTTATATAGTTTTCTAAATTAATACTGTGCATTATCCGCAGTAGTTAATATTTGTCAAGTCTCGATCTGGTATTTCTTTTCTGGCTAAAAGAATAGCTATGATAATATGTCTTAGATGGTGGTTATCCAGTAATATCTCTATAAGTATATTCGTCATCTCCAACATCTAAAACATAGACAAAAGACCAATTGGCAATGACAAGATCTTTTATCCTAAAAAGTCAACCATTACTGGTTGATTGTAACTTCCGATTTTGGTCACCGATGTCAACTCTGACATATTTATATTTAATTAAAGAAATAGTCATTATACTGCGGTTAATGCTCAGGAAGATATTACTGCACATAAAGAAGTACTGAGGTTAACTATCTTCAGATTTTATGAATTCATCAAAATAATATTTGAAAAAAGAAATTAACCCAGATCGAAAGTGAAAACAGGGAATAAGTTGGGCTTCTCCGGGAATCGAACCCGGGACCTCTCGCACCCTAAGCGAGAATTATACCACTAAACCAAGAAGCCACCTGTATTATGACGCGATGCATGGTAATATAAATTGGCCACAGCGCTAGTACCTTTTTCAATCGATTTCAACCTTTTTAATCAGTCACAAAGTCTCAAACCCCCAATTATAATTTTATATTTTGATTTTAATTTTAATTTTATTTATATTATTTTTATTTCTTATTCTAAAAATTGGACTTTTTGTTATTTTTATTTTATTCTTCTCCAATTTTCTGAAGACAAATTTCCCTTCCCTTTATTCTTTCCTGAAATTAGTTTCTCCCTTTTTTATTTTTCTTACTTTTCTTACGCACTAAATGTGACGTTTTCCTCTCAATACTACTTTATCAAAATTATTAACTGTAGTTTTTCAATTTCTTTATAACACTGCAAAAACACCTTAAAATAATTGAATTCCACTTAACTGGAATTATCGATAACAGTAGCCAAAAAATTACAACCCAGGTCATTTCCTGTGTTTAGCAGCAAGAATATATTTAAAGACATATCATCGGCCTAATATATATCAGAGTTCCTGAGAGAATTTTTTCAAAATAATAAAGACAATTATAATAAGCAACGGCTGTTACACACTTCCTTTATTATTAAAAAAAATTAAGTGAAAAAATGTTTGCCATTGCCAATCCTGATGAAGTTTGTTGCAAATGCACAAGGTGCAATCGCAATCATCTTGGATACACTATGACAGATAAAAGAACTGCCAAGCGTCATGCCCAGAATGATAATGACAGGAATATGGATAAAACCATTAATGGTAAATTAAGTTATCAATTTTTCATTTATTTATATGATGTATTCTAATCCATTAGAACAAATAGTTTTGACAGCCAAAGTAAACACTAGTGAAGCTGATATGAACGTAGATCAAATTGAAGAACATATTGAATGTAATAGTATTTTATTTTTTATACCCAATGCACACTCTATTTAAACTCAGTACCAATAGATGATAATTACTCCATTGGTGCACCCTCACCAGAGCAGTATGTCAATACCCACTTACCTCTTTCAGTGGAAGAATCTCTTTTTGAAACAGAGGAGTATACCTCAGAGTATGAGTCTGAATATGAGTTGTCGAATGAATTTGAGCAAGAAGAACAGAACAGAGAGCAAGAACAGGGTAAATATTAAAAATAAACTATGATTGAAGAAAAAAGGTTTGAATTAAAGAAACAAAAAATTAATATTATTTTATGATAACTTACAGAGTCTACAGAAAACCTTCCAGAGAATATTTGGCATCAAGTAATTGCGGTTTTCACTGTGATATTTATTTCTAGCTTCATTGTGGATGAAGGCGCAGTAATTTTGATTACATTCATAAATACAATCCTTAAACATTATGGAGAGAATTTCTGACTTCCCACAAGCATTCCGGGTTTAAGGAAAATGACAGGATACAATGACTTGATAAATGGCGTATCAAAATATGTAGCATGTAGTAATTGTCACACATTGTACGATTACATCAACAACACACATATATCCTGCAATTTCAAAAGAGTTGGTAGTAAGACGCATTGTAAGAATGATCTCTACAAGTTTAGTATGAAGAGCGCCATGATTTCAAAGTGCACATTTGTTTATAACTCATTGACAACTACCTTGAAAAAAATGTTTACACGCCCTTCTTTTGAGAGTATGATCAACAGATGGAATCGTGAACCAAAAGTCAATACTAGAAAAACATACAGGAATTACTATGTACAAAGTTAAATTATAACAATAGAAAATCTGGGGTATTTTTTCATGTCAGCATTTTTTGTGTGTTCAAGATAAAAACACTGTTTTCCGGTTTTCTATTGGCTTGGATACAACAGGCAAAAATATTATTTATTATTATTATAAAGATATAACAATTCATTATAAAGACATAGTAAATTTAGTAAACGTTGTACTTGTTTCCTTTTTCTCTTAACACTTCAAAGTAAAAATAAATAAACATTATGTCCACAATTCCTGAACTCTACAACGAAAAGTGCTATTGTGCTGGATGTAGTCAGAACGATCTCGGCTATAGTTTTGTTGGCAGAAGAACTGCTCAACGTCATAACAAAAGGGCAAGACTAAATGCCATAAGATGTGAAAGGGGTACAATATTTGAATTTATTTAATTGTATTGTAATCCATGAAATAACATGTTGTAATAGACATGTCCACCCAAAGAAATATGATGGAGGTCGATGATAAACGTAAGGTTTATTTAATTCAGATACCGTTAGATATTAACCAAGTGTTATATTCTAAATGTAGCTATCTTAACCCATTAACCCGGAGCTCTGGAAGAATCATACACTTAGACAAACTCACCTGTTTGGGAAGGAGCTTCAATGTCTGACACTGAAGACGTTTCCATTACTAATGACGCGATCAGCAATGATGACAATGATGACAGTGGAAGCAACAGCAATGAAATCAGTGAAGACAAAAGTGAAGACGATGTTATTGAGCTTGACAACAATGAATTGAATAGTGAAGGTCAGTTAGTATTAAAAATATTTAAAAAAAAACATTAATTTTTTTTTATAATAAACCCTTTTGCCACCTCCGATATGTCTCAGAACCCAGTGCACAGGTTCATTGCTACTTTTGTGGTGATGTTCGCTTCCCACTATGTAGTTGACAAGGGCGCTGTTGTCTTGATTGAGTTCATCAACAAGCTTTTGACAATTTACGAGCAGGATTTCCAACTGCCCTTGAGCCTTCCTGGTCTTCAGCGCATGACAGGTTTCTCAGCCATGACCAAAGGCATAAAGAAATTTGTTGTGTGTCAGGATTGACGCAAGGTATACGAAGAAAGTGCATCTGTCCCGTCTCATTGCGATTTCGTAAAGCTTGGTGCACACTCGTCTTGCAACTGCCAATTGACAAAAACATCAGCATCGGGTGCTTTGGTGGCCAAGCGTTCATACTTGTACCAGTCTGTCGTTAATACTTTACAAATGTTTTTTCTTCGTCCAGGATTCGAGGATAAAATTAGACATTGGAATCACGAGCTGAAGATGGTGGATACGATGTGTGACATATATGACAGTGCCATGTAGAAGGAGCTCAAAGACAAAGATGGCATGCAATTCACAAAGGATTCGCGTTCATTAATGTTGACTCTCAACATCGACTGGTTTCAACCTTTTGATAACGTCACACACTCGACTGGTGCCATATACCTGGTAGTAAACAATCTGCCTTGCAATGAAAGATACAAGCCAGAGAACACACTTCTTGTAGGATTGATGCCTGGCCCAAAGGAACCCAAATCCGAAGAGATAAACCATTATCTCCGGCCTATGGTAGATGATCTGATAAGATTGTATGAGGGACTGGCAATCCCAACTTTTGAGTGTCCTAGTGGTGTCCGCGTCCATGCCGCATTGATGATGGTGGCCTGTGACATCCCGGCAGCAAGAAAGACAAGTGGTTTCACCTCGCACAACAGTACATGCGCATGTTACAAGTGCAACAGACATTTCCCTCGCTTGGAAAACGGTGTCAATGTTGACTTTCATGGGTTTGACTTCTCTCGGTGGGTGCTTCATGACGGTGTAGAGAACAGGTTGCATGCTGAGGAGTGGGAAAGTGCTAGTACCCCCTCAGAAAGGCATTGGCTAGAGGTCAAAAATGGTGTTCGATGGTCGCAGTTGCATCGCCTTGGATACCTTGATCTAGTACGTGGAATGATCATCGATTCCATGCATAATTTATTCCTGGGAACACCTAAAAGATTGATGGATTGTTAGATCAAAGACGAAGACATTCAAGATGGCAATTTTGTGGCAATGCAGAAGACTGCAGAAACAATGATTGTGCCTGGTGGATACACCTCTTTGAACTCGAAAATATGAAAGCAGTTTTCGTATATGAAGGCAGATGAGTGGAAGTCATGGGTGCTCGTATACTCGCCAGTTCTGTTGAAAGATGTTCTTGCAAAAGACAGATTCAAAAACTGGATTAACTTTGTTGATGCATGCCACCTGTTGATCAAGCCAATGATCACGTTCGATGAAGTCAACACTGCCCATCAGTTTCTTCAAACTTTTTGCACCAGATGTGACGAGCTGTACAATGCCAAAATCCTCACCTGTAATATGCACCTACACCTCCATCTTCGAGATACAATTCGTGATTTTGGACCAGTGTACAGTTATTGGTTATTTGGGTTCGAGCAGTTTAATGGGTTGTTAAAAAATTTAAAGACAAACAGGAAGATTGGGTTTGAAGAAACATTTATGAAGAAATTTATTGAAGATATACACAAAGACGATCTTGTCAACAGTTTCCTTCAGAGTACCCGCCAGACATCTGCATTTCCTCTCCTTACCAAACTCACTTCTTCCTTTACACCCACCACCATTCCATCCATCCATCAATGTACCTTCCACATACAGTCATTTGTCGAGGCTTCTGAAGATCCAAATGTACTTGTAAAAGGCAACGAACCTCTCCCTCCTTCCGCATTCCCTCTATCATTAAAATCCGCTACCACAATGAGTGACATTCACTATGTTCATCTCTTACAATACTACAAAGTTGCATACAACAATGAACAATTAGTTCACTTTCAACAAGCATCGGAATCACCATACTTTGTTGACAATACAATCACCCTGTTGAAATACATCAACATCCTTGGGCAGATCTACAAGGGTAAAGGTGAATCTGGAAGTTGTGGCTCTCTTGTACAAGCAAAGTTCATTGGAAGTACTGGTGAGCATATCATCGCATACATGGGTCAAATACAGTACATTTTCACCCATTCTTTCACTCCTCCACCTATCTCTTCATCCCTTACTCCCTTGCTCTGCACCCATCGCTGCCCAACACAACTTCTTCACAATTCTCAACATACTTTTGCATTTATCAAATGGTACACACCCAAAAATGATAAATTGCAAGAGTACGAACACATTGAAACCTGCTTTCCAACATTTTCTCCTGACGATTTTCAATGTGTATTGCCAGTGCATATAATTATGTTAGAAGTAGCAACTGCTGAGCACACAACACGCAGAAAAGTAAAAAAGATGCTGGTCATTCCTTTGCCAAAAAAACAATACATTTAAAAAATAATAAAATTATAACTCCCTTTTTTAAAGGCACACAGAAAAGAATAATCATAGTGTTTGTATTTGTTGATACATTTATCATTGTCAGATGGAGGATGTGGAGGATGTAGAGGATAAGAAAACAAAATTTATTGAAATTCATCTCTAAAAGCCCAGTGTGGGAGAAGGGACGTCAATCTAGGTGGGACTGCTAAAACAGCATCTCTACCGAAGGACCTCTTCAACATCTGATGCGAATTGAAGTCCATGCAATTACGCATAAAATCATCAACAACCACAAGAAAGTGATTGTACTAAATACAAATAAGTGATTAATCAAAGTTCTGTTTCATTTAAATCCATAAAAAAACAAAAAAAGCTATATACAATAATGTAAACAAAAGAAATTACCTCATCGCTTCTCCAACTTGGACGCACTGTACGAATTGCACAGTTGCTCGAGACTCCAGGCATATCGTCTTCAGATTCGCTCTCAGACATTGCTTCTTTCTGTAAGAGTCCGTTGCAGCTCTTACCCACCTTCACATCAATTTCAGCCTTGAATGTATGGTAGGTCAGCTCGCGACGGTCAAAATGCTAGTTTATAAATGTATTAATATGAATAAATTTAATTTGCAATCAAAATATATTTCTAACATACATCGGTCTCTCAACCTGCTTTTCTTGACCAAGAATTTGTCTTTTTGCGCGCTTCATAGGATTCCTTGACTTGGCGTCTCATTCCACAAAAGTTTGTGTAGATACAATCACTAATATCGGCCTGTCGAACACTAGTCCCAACAACCTTTGGAGCCAGGTATGCATGAAGGTCATGCATCAGCTGTCTGTTGGGTGGAAGTCTGTAATCAACATTAACATCCCAACTGTGCTTGCTGTCGTTAGCTGCAACTAGTTCCGGCTTATTTGATTTGAAGTTGTGTTTCTTCAACTCTCCTTGGATAAGAGCCTACACTTAGTGTGAGATATTATGTTGATGAGCTACTGTACATCTCAACACTTACTAAAACTCTAGTGCGATCCTGTTTACTAAGTTCACCAGCGTTTGCACCAGTAAGAACCACTGGACCAACAGAAGGAGCAACAGAAGGAGCAACAGAAGAGATACCAAAAAAAGCCTCAGAAGGTGTTGTATACCAATCCAGAGTAGAACTAACAGAAGAAACTGTGAAAGGGACAGAAGCAGAAGCAGGTATAGTGGTAGGAGCAATAACTGCAAGAAGTTCTCCAGAGGCATCGGCAACACTATCAAGTATTTCCAATGAATCTTTGTTCCCCTTGATGACAATGCCAATGTTTGAATCCATGGTCTTGAGACTTTCCTCCATAGTAGTGAGCCTTCTTAAAAGCTCAGTATATTCTGGGGATGGAGCCGGGGCAATTGACTGACGATTGTTAACCATGGTCTGAAAGCTATCTAATAAAATGTTATACATGAGTTGATTGTTAATTATATTTGTTTTATATATCTATTCATTGTATATATAGAGTGTTATTAACATACAAAAGAAGTTAGGTGTTAAGCGAAAGAATAAAGTGTAGTTAATGGAAAGATGGTAAAAGTAAAAGCAAGAACCCATTTATTATATTACACTTGTTGCTGTAAATACTCAGAATTTCTTTAATATGTGTATCTCTATTAATAATTCCTGGAATTAACGGGGTGCAAACCGGCTTTGAACATGCTTTTTTCAACTCAATCCAATATATGATTTCTGTCTTTTGGCCTTTTGGCCCTTTGATCTTTTGTTCTTTTTGTTTTTTTTTTCATTTACAAGTGTTGTGGAGAGAAAATAAAGCAAAATATAATATAGACAAAAGAATTCGTGAGAACTTGTGTAGGTTGTTTATTTCAAAAGAAAAGTAAAGAATGATAAAATTCGATCCTCTTTCTACACGGAACTATCTACTGATATTTATATGTTTTTCTAATTTGTAATTCAGTGTGTGCTTAAGTAATCTTTATCACGATGAGTCATCTTCCAGGAGTATTGTTCTTCTGGAAAGATCCGGAAAGACCAATTGATATGATACTTCTCCAGTCAGATCAGTCCAAGAGTTTTGGTAAAGAAGAGCATTTATGCTATTGGTAATATTTTAGTATTCCGACCCAGATACTTGGGTAATGTTTCATAATATTAGATAGTTGTAGTTGTAGTCTCTCAATTAAGTATTTGTATAATAAAAGAAATATGTAGATGAAATATAATGATGCCATATATATAATGTATATGTATTTGTATATCCCATGTCATGGTGATAATAATAAATAATCAATTATGTGTATGATGATCTGTGTATTAGATAATATCATAAAGGGAGATCCGTTTGACTGGAATAGCTGAGGATATTATTTTATCCTTCAGTCTTACTCTCAGATTCAGCAGTAGTCAATACTCATTCACAACAACAAGTTTTTTCTCTTTTCTCTCTTTCCAACATTTATTACATTCACAGATTTTCTTGGTAAGATATCTTATTCTTTAATATTATATATATATATAACTAAAATGATAATAATTGTTTTCTATTACTACAGACACTCGCGTTTTGTTACCTTCTGATGCATCCCCTTCACAATGTCTATCCGGATTAGCTAAGGTTAGTAAATATACTTTATGCCGTCATCCTATAAAATTATTCTGACTTTTTCCTTTCTTTTGTATAGGCCATATCGCCGAAATTACTCTCTACTATTAAACACGGTTATGAACACGGTAATATTTTATTTTATTTTAATCTATCTCTTTTTAATAAGCACATGGCTTAACATAATTTCTATTATAGATGAACCTCCCTCTCATGAGCACATTGCCAATCGAGAACTTTCATTTCATATGAGTGTCATTGACATGGTAATTTTTTTTGTACATATAACAATATTATTTATTTTGTATATTAATGTATATCATTTACTGAAGACAATATTAGCGTCTCCTATGTACTCTCTTGGTCTGCAAATAAATCCTTTTGCTTCGGGTAGGTAAATGAAATATTCTACCACACAGTTCACAAAAATTAATTTTTTTTCAGCATTTTTATAGCCAAATAAAGTATATTAAGTACTATGGTTTGCATTCATGACGCCTTTTCTTTTTGTCTCTGGTAAGCTATTATATTGCAAGCATAATTACATATATATATTCTTAATATCCACAATTTCTTGTTCAAACAGCTAACACTTTTCTAATTTCATAGAACAACCATTTACAAGCAAGCAACACACAACTGGGCTTTTCTCTGGGAGATATTGTTTGGAGAATACTTGTTTTATCAGAACATTGGCCATTTCAAATTGTATGAAGGATAGAACACTAGCCAGAATGTTTCTGAATATTAAATATAACCACTGTACTATAAACCTAAGAATATTCTTTTCTTTCTAATAAAAACAAAATAAACCAATAATTATTATAAATAAATTAAAGATCAGAGAAGTGTATGGAAGCAAACAGTACAAGAAGAAGTCTCTAAGATTGGATAAAATAAATTCAAATACAACAAAACCTTGTAAAAACTGGCATATCCATAAATTAAACAATGTAAAAACTGGCATATCCATATAATCGATCTTTCATTTATCATTCTTTTAATTGGAAAGCGGTAGGATATATTACAACAAAACGTAATTCTGAGTTGCCGTTTGAGTACATGTGGTAAAAACCCATATACAAAAAATGCAAACACATCCTACTATCCTGCTGTTCTGACCTTTTCCTATGTTCGAAAGTTGGTCTTACTACCTATGAGTAAGCCAGCTTCATACACTTGTAAAAACTATCTGATCACATCGTAAAACCTGGTCTTTTCACATAATTAATTACAGTTTTACACATAAGAAAACTGCACCTCTTTTCCAGTGTTAAGTCCTTCTTTCAAAATACTTCTGATATCATTCTAAAGAAATAAAGAATAAATATGTATTATATTGTGAAATCATATTTGTGTATGTTGCATGTTTACTTTGTTCTTTTGCACAAGGAGATGTCTGTGCTTGTGACAGACAAAGTCCTTTGGGAGAGCAGTTTTCCTTTTGACGTGCTTAGGTCTTCCAGGAGCTTTGATCTCACTTGCCAAAGGAAATACAACATTTGGATGTTAATTATTTTACTAGCATTGTCAACAAGTTCATCAACCATTGCCATAAGATTCTGGACTTGTTGATTCCCTTCACACTGATGAAACAGTTGTTCAAGCTTTATTATACATTTCACCCATAGGGCAGGCTTTTTAACGTCAATTTTCTGTAAAGAAATGTCACATTCCAGTTGCTGCAAACGTTTACCCAAAGAAGAAGACAGAATCCATCTTTCAGGAATGTCTGATAATAGCAACATACAATCTCTTAGCAGATCATGGCAACAAGGAAGACCAAACACCACTTTTACTCTGCAATTGCAAAGCTCACCAGATACAACCTCTTCTAGAAGATCAGCACAGATGGTGATCAAACCAATTCTGGAGACGTGGTGAATCAATCCATGGAGGCAAGGTTCATGGTATATTCTGGCATCTGTGATAGTTGTCTCATTCAACTCAAGGTCCTGATAGTTGCCCTCAAACTGGAGAAGATAGGAGCAAATTTGCTTAAATGAAGAGTTCAATGACTGAAGAGCCAATATTATTCTTTTCAGAGCATTATGGCCACTCTCAACACGTTGTGTTGTTACACAGTCAAAATGTTTTAATTGACTAGTAAGGTAGCTAGCCCACTTTTCCTTGCACGGCATCCACTCATCTTCAAAGTACTTTTCCAGAGTTCTTTTTTCTACAACCTTCATAGAATCATCATTATTGTCTTCCAGCTGCTCTTTACTTTGGAAATCTTTCCAAGATGACAGCAATTTGAAAAGCTCAAGATTTTCATCAAAGACATCGCGTTTATATCCAAAGATCATTTTGTTGACTAAATATGTACACAACTCTTTTTCTTTTCCTGGCTTCATTGTTTTTTTTGTCATTTTGGCAATGTTGTTGATCATATGCCAACCACACAGAAGCTTCTTGGCCAAGGGGAACTCGGAATCAAGCGCATTAATCAATGCTTTACATTTGTCTGTAACAAATATAAGAGTTTTATCAACCCCCTCCAAAACAATTGCTTTCAGAGACTTCACAAACCAAACATAGCTCTTCTCTGTCTCATTGGCTACCCATGCAAAGGCCACAGGAAAGCTCTTCAACCTTTCTCCACCTAGGTTACTGACACTCTCTATGCAAACCAATGGTATCTTCACGCAGTTTGTCTTGTATGTAGCATCCACAATAAAGACATTGGGGAAACGTTGAGCTCTCTTGATCATTATATTGTTTGTAAAAAATATATGAGTGAGTCTATTTCTCTCATTAAACTCGTAGAGAATGGAAAATCCCTTTGCTTCCATTGTTCTGATGAGCTCAGTAGCGCCATGGGCAAACTTCTCATCACCACGAGTAGCACTGTACTTGAGATTGTTGATATTGCTGATCCTCAGCTTTCTCATTCCTGTCACCTTGTCACTTGTTGCCTTCTGAACATCACAGGACTTGGTGTGATTCTCCAGCATTGTCATTGCAATAGTAGCATCTTCAGCAGTCAAAAGAGACATTCTTCCTTGGTGAGAAGAAGCCAAATTCTCAGGGGTGACAGAGTGGTTGTGGCAATGTTCGTTTTCCCCATAGGTGGGCAATGGAAGATATCTTTTGCTCTTCTTCTTATAAGAAAATCTTAAGAGATAGGGGCATCCAGTAAGAGAAGAGTTGGGCATCTTCTTTCTTTTCTCATCACTTATATTGCGCTTGTCACAATAAACACCAGCCTTTGAACAAGCAATGTGAAGAAGAGAATTTTCCATCCTTAATCTTAATGGTGAAGTTATTAGAAAGGGCGTAATCGTTTACAGCTTGAAGAACACTGCTTGTCAGGATAACCATTCTCGGGGAATGAGAGAGTTGTTTTAAGCGAGTATATCTTCTCAATAGGGGTATTGAAGTTGGTGTTCATATTTAATAAAAGAGCACTGTAGTTATATAAGTATTTTTATTAATTCATGTATGCAATATACGCAATGTATGCAATGTATGCAATATATGCAATGTATGCTGTTGTAAATGAGTATTGACTACTGCTGTAATTGAGAATAAGTCTGAAGGAAATAATATAAGGCCTCAGCTATTCCAGTCAAAGGTGTCTACCGATTACTTTATTATTTAACACACAGGTTTAGCATGCATGATAGTGATTATATTTCATATGATGATATCACCATAATATGGGATACATCAGTGGATTATTATAAGCATAATTATAACTCATAAACACATTTACTTTCGATGTTAATACTTCATTGGGACTACACACATTTATATAATTAATCATACATTAATTATCCCAAGATCACGTTGCTCTGATTAAGGCTCAGATAGGATCGATTACCTGACCCCAGTCATATAATTTTCCCAATCCAAAACAATATAAATAGCAGTAGTAGTTCAGTGTAGGAACCTGGTCAAACTTTGATACAAAATCTTTCTCAATAAACAAAACCTACACAAGTTTTCACAAATCTTCGTTCCTAATTTCAAATCTTGAATTCTTCCTCTTAAAAACTTCTTCAACTTCAACCACCACAACATATGCAATGTACGCAATGTACATAACATAAAAAAGACATTATATCTTGTTATTTGGAAATATTATTTTTTATTCTTACAACTAAATATTAATGACTTTAAGAAAGGGGGTGTTTTTATTTTTCCCGGGAAATTGAAATGATCTAAAGATGGGGACAGGGTATGCATATAACGATGGAGCAAGGTGTGCTTATAAAGAATAGGGACGAGGGGTTCTTCAAGACACTTTATAGCTGGGCCTCGGACTCGCAGTCACCTTAAATTGTGCGATGTTGTTACCCCCCATCCCCATAGCCAAAAACCCCCCATCCTCTAAGATCGCTGTAAAATAAACAATTATTTCAGTTGTTTTGGAATAATGACCAGATGACGTGTGAATTCATCTGATGGGAATCTGATTTTGTTACTAATCATATATTGTAATTTATTAGTAACTAATGGTAAAATTATTAGCCTTAAACTAGATAACTGGATAACTGGATAACACTATGCAGTTAGCAAATGTGACAAATCATTTTGCAGAGAAAATTTGCATTTTGATAAATATAAATTATTATCCAGATTTGTGAGGTGAAATTTATATGACTGTCAAATATAACACTTGTTGTCTGTCATTATAAATGGAAAATTTAGTGTCAATATTTCTCTTTCTCTGCTATTAGATTCAAATACTGCTTTTTTTCAAGACCTAAAAAGTGCTGTCCTAAATAACAAAATTAAACACGTTTTTTGTTTACTTTGTAGAGAAACTGTTTCTTAACAAAGTAAACAAAAAGAATATTCAGTTTTGTCATTTTCAACAGCACTTTTTAGGTCTTGAAAAAATGCGGTGTTCGAATTTAATAGCAGAGAAAGATAAATATTTGCTCTAGATTATTCATTTCTTATAGAGACTATGAGAATCAATTCCTTAATATAGTAATATTATGTATCATGCGGTGTTTAAACAATCTTTTGTCGTGAATATATGAAGTTGTGACCACATAAAGTTCAATATTTCAGATTTTTTTAAAGCTGATGAACATTTAATGTAGTTTTCATATATCAGTATTTTAAATTAAAAAATTGGCCCAAAATTCAAAATTTCTGATTTAAAAGAAAATACATCATATAATTACTATCATGCATGCTAAACCTGTGTGTTAAATAGTAAAGTAATTGGTAGACACCTTTGACTGGAATAGCTGAGGTCTTATATTATTTCCTTCAGATTTATTCTCAATTACAGCAGTAGTCAATACTCATTTATAACAGGAGCAAAGAAACATCCATAAGCTAAAGTTTCTTCCTCACTATTTTCTTTTCCTTAATCTAGTAGAGAAGTGTTTTTCAAAGTTGTAAAAAAAATTGTTAAAAAACACCCTCTAAATGGTTAGGAAAAACTTGTGAAAAGAATCAAAGATGCAAGCAACATAATACAGTGGTCCCTCAATAATTTCAAGGCCTAGAGAAGGCTAGGTGTCTTGAAATTATTGAAGAGTGAAATTAACGAGTTCGGAGTATATATTTTCTGCCAACTATGGGCGGAGTTTACATTATTCTTTAATAGAAAAAAATATATCAAGTAATGATTCGATATGCTTCAATCCTCTGTTTAAATTCATTCTAGTTAAATATAACCACTGGCTGCATTACTGTTTTCTACCCCCCTGTCTCGTAACTAATTATTGTTTCAAATTCTTATTCAATCAAATAATAACAGCTTTTTGGTATGCTTTTAGCTTATTATATAATACTTATCTAATATCATTTTAAATTTTTCTTGATACTTTAATGAAATCTATCAAATCCAGAACTAAACAATAAAAATGAGCAAAAAAAACGTTTCACTTAATATTGCAAATCACCTTGAGATTTGTGATATTAAAAAGAAAAAGCCATCTATAAGTAACCCCCAATTGGCTGAATGGGCAAAGAAAACCTTTGACCTTCAAAAAGCTCCTGATGCTTCTACAATCCCAAAGATTTTGAAGAGAGAAGACCAGGGCTTGATAATGCAAGCCGACGTAAAAAACAGAAAGCGTGTTAGAAAGGGGAAATGACCTGTATGTAATATATCTCAACATTATGCATTTTTGCTCCATATAAAAAATAAAATTAATCTTATTATATTGTCACACAACTATAGCAAATTGAATAAGCAGTGATTCTTTGGATCAACATTGCTGAAAATAATCAGATTCCCATCACTTGGGAATTGATTAAGACTAAAGCTACTATTTTTGCTGAAAGAATAGGCGTTAAAAACTTTAGTGCTTCTCAAGGCTGGATGGAGAAGTTTGGAAAGCGTCATTGCATTAAAATGAATCGAATTCATGGTGAGGCTGATTCTACTGATATAAAATTGCTTCAGATTGACAAGGCTGCCATCAAAGAGAAGATAGAGAGATATAGTGCTTGTGACATATATAACTTTGATGAAACAGCACTCTTTTATGCTGCCCCACCAAGAACAACAATTTCTCACCAGAAATTTTCTGGTTGGAAAGATAACAAGAAGTATCTGACTGTAGGTTTCTTGTGTAATGCGGATGGAACAGACAAGTGGTCCAATATACTGATGATTGGGCATGCAAGAAGACCAAACTGCTTCAACAAGAACAACAAGAAGCAAAAAGCAAGTGATCATGGATTCTCCATGTATCATTACAATAGCAATGCCTGGATGACACGATCAATCTTCCATGTTTTCCTCCGTCGCTTTGATCATTCAATGAAAGCACAAAACCGCAAAGTGCTTTTGATCCTCCATAATTTCTATGGCCATATAGTAGATTATGCGCCTACAAATGTTGAGCTTCTTTTTCTGCCTCCAAACACTACGTCCCACCTTCAGCTATTGAATGGTAGTATTATTTGGGCATTCAAGACTTATTTCAAGTGTAAGCAGTATGGCAAGGCATATCAATACATTGGCATGATTCAAAATGGCAATCAAGATAAAATCGAGCCAATTGATAAAATCTTTGAAATTGATCAATTGTGGGCCATAAAATGGATAAGAGAGGCTTGGGAATCTGTCTTGGCAAAGACTATTGAGAACTGCTGGAATGCAACAATCTTTTGCTTTATTGAAGACGAAGATAGTGAAGGTAGTAGTAAAACAATTTATTGGTCATAATAGTAGTATAATCTTTCAATTCCACTTTCTTAATATTCTAAATATAATTTATAGATGTAAACCAGACTATGATTCAGCAAAGTCTGGCTGAAAAGGTTCTTGTCGAGGGTTTACAAGAAACCCTGGACAAGATTGCTGGATCAGGTCTTCTGTCTCTGGAAGATTGCCCAACAAATGAGTCTGATCCACTCTATGAGAGACAATGCACTCATAGAGTGGTCAATGAAAATGAGATCGCAGATATTGTGATGGAAGAATATGACGCTGACGAAAATGCAGCCAACAACAGCATTGAAGAAACTGCTGAAGTGGAATCAGCAGTTTCTTTTAAGAGAACTTATTCTGCTTCGGAAAAGTTTGAGTGTGTTTGCACGCTTTTGGATATCTTGGAAGACGAAGATATTGACAGAGACTTGGTCAGTAAGGTTGAAGGCCTTCGAAACAAGTTCCAGAAAACCGCGAACTCAAAGCAAACTAAAGTCACCAGCTTCTTCAAGTCTTTTTAAAATTTATTCTTTTTCAAATAAAATAAAAACAATTTTCTATAAGAAATATATTTTTCTTCATTTAAAAATAGAAAAAAAAAGTTAGCAGCCAAGTACAGTCAAAGCTTGATTTCGTAATATGTTTGTAAATAGTAACAATTGCAAATAACAATAAATAGTAATGACAGATAGAAATAATAAAATCTATAATAAAAACTTTTATAACAAAACAAATTAGAATTATATTTATATTTTTCAAGTAAATAATTTTTACTAAACAATTAATAAATGAAACTTAATCAAAATATAGCACATATAGTTTTATTTTATTTCTGAAAAAAAATGAAAAAAATTTTAAAAAAAGTAAGCTAGATGACAACTTGATAACCCAGTGTTTGGCATGAAAACTTAAGGCACTTGACATTGATGTCAATTACAAAATTGTGAAAAGCTAGAATTAAAAAAAGTTAAACCAAGCTGTAACTATATTGCTCTCGTCTGATTGGCTAATTTTTTTTCTTTAAGGATTCAAGGCCAAAAAATTTCGTGAAAGTGAAATTAATGAGAATCGTGAAAGTTAAGCCCTATTTTTCGAGTTGGGTCTTCAGAGCCTTGAAATTATCGAAGCGTGAAATTAAAGGGGCGTGAAATTATCCAGGGACCACTGTAACCAAGCAAGATTGCAAAGGTTGGGTGAGACACAGTATCTCATTCCACAGCAGATATATCAATATAGAGAAAAATCTATAATTTTTTTTTATTTGCATTCATGACTATTTCAATACTGTATGTGATGAATTTGATAGTGTATTTGTGACAGTTGTTTTAGCGGTTGCATCTAAATTTTTGTTTCATATGGCAAATTCGATATAAAACTCTTGTATTAAATTATTATTATGATAAGTATAAATCCTTACAGACTAGAGATAATTATTTGATATCAAACAGCAAGTCACAATTTGTTGTCCAGTAAAACTAAAACAGCGTTTCCCATCAAAAAAATAGTTCTCTATCCTGAAAATGTTGTTGCTCTAATTGAGAAGTTTGTGGAATAACCTTTTCAAAGTTGTACAGAGTACAAAGCCAAATATAATAACTCTTCTGAGGATTTAAACTTTTTCAAAAAATTTATAAATGAGTTGCTTATTACTTAATTTATTTATTGTATTTTATATTTACTAAACTTCCAAATATAACATTTTATAAATTCAACCAAAAAAATTGTTTCTTTTGATAATAAAATAACTTTATATTAAATTTCTCATCAAGGCTTCTATAGTTAGCTTTGCTTAGATAAATTTTATTAAATAGATAAGTTGATAAATATGAACAAAAATGTGTAAAATGATCTTGTCTATATCGTTGCTGATTTATATTCAAAACTTTACATTGTTCTATATATTTCTACTATTTTAATAATGTTAGTTTAGAATAAAAAAATAGAAAGATATTAGAGGTTGAAAAAGTTCTCTCACTTTTTCAGAAAATCTGAAAATTTCAAAAACTTTTTCAAAATTATTTTTGTATTGTTACATTATTTTCTTATTTAAATCACTGAGTTTGATTTTAAAAGGAAATTTTCTTTGAAAAAGTGACTCCACGAACTTCTCTAATTAAAAAGGAAAAAGACAGGTTATTTTAGCACATCTTTTTACTTTTCCAAAACGAGACAAAAATAAAAAACACGTGATGCCCCTTTTAGGATTGTTGTGGGGAGAAAATAAAGCAAAATATAATATAGATGAAAGAATTTGTGAGAACTTGTGTAGGTTGTTTATTTCAAAAGAAAAGTAAAGAATGATAAAATTCGATTGTCTTTCTACACTGAACTATCTACTGATATTTATATGTTTTTCTAATTTGTAATTCAGTGTGTGCTTAAGTAATCTTTATCACGATGAGTCATCTTCCAGGAGTATTGTTCTTTTGGAAAGATCCGGAAAGACCAATTGATATGATACTTCTCCAGTCAGATCAGTCCAAGAGTTTTGGTAAAGAAGAGCATTTATGCTATTGGTAATATTTTACTATTCCGACCCAGACACTCGGGTAATGTTTCATAATATTAAATAGTTGTAGTTGTAGTCTCTCAATTAAGTATTTGTCTAATAGAAGAAATATGTAGATGAAATAGAATGGTGCCATATATATAATGTATATGTATTTGTATATCCCATGTCATGGTGATAATAATAAATAATCAATTATGTGTATGATGATCTGTGTATTAGATAATATCATAAAGGCAGATCCGTTTGACTGGAATAGCTGAGGATATTATTTTATCCTTCAGTCTTACTCTCAGATTCAGCAGTAATCAATACTCATTCACAACAAGGATGCTTGCGATGCTGATATGTTTTCCATGCTGATAAATTTTCGGGCGGTGGCGAGCACCTATTCTTAAATAATTTGGCCCGTATGCTGGAGAAGACCAAAAATGAATCTAAATACTACTGTTATAGATGCTTTCAGATTTTGCAACTGTTGTACGTCAGTCGATGTTTACTTCAATAAATATACTTAAAAGATTGTAACTGAATAGGTGCAAAAAGATATTTTAAAATATATATTTAGTTTTATGAAATATAAATTACATTTTAAATAGCACAAATAAATACGAAAATACAATGTAAAGGCATTAAAAGATATGTTTAGGATATAATTCTTTCTATAAGTTCACTAGCAAGCATAGCATTCTGAAGAACATCTGCTGTAGATACTCCAAAATTAGCTTCCCCTAACGAGCTAAATCCGATTTCCTCCAAGAGAGTCTTTTGAGTGCGCCTGTTTTTCATGTCTCCGAACACAGGGTCTGAGCAGGCAATAATAAGAATAGTCTTGATGGACTCAATAATAGGCTGAGTATTATTATTCAGCAGGATCTGGTTCATCTTAGGTAGTAGGGTATCATAGCTAGTGATATATATATATAAATATATTAGAAAAAAACTATATGTCATTCAATTTTTGTAACAAGAACTTACACTGATACAAAGACGTCTGGCATAGAAACAGCAGCCTCTGCTAACAGTCCATACAAGAACAAACGTTCTGATTCGTTATCTGCCATATTAAGTTGGGTTGACAGCATAGACACCAAAAGTAAAGCAGTAGTATTGTCTGGAATATCCATCTTGTCGAATATACCATGATACGTTGTACCCATATTTGAGTCTGACACCTCCAAGTCAAGATCGCCCATACCAGCTAGCTTAAGGACATCACGTAATGACTCATTTTTAATAGCCATTGGTAAGAGTCCTGCAAAGTATCCCAGAATATTCGCATCAATTTCATCAGTCTCTAATGACGAATGCTTGTTTTCAACCCCAAGAAATACAGTAAGGGCATGATAAATCGTATCCTTGGCATTAGCAAATTGCAGTCCTCTCATGAATACACAGCTCATAGCAAATGAAAAGTGAGATTCAAAATCGACACCACATAGCTGATCCAATCGCCGAGCCACATCCAGCATTGGCACTCGAGCAGCTAGCAAAACGTCTACCATAACGTCCCCAGAGAAATACTCGTTGGCATCCAATGCACGTAAAAGTGCCAAAAGCAATTCGACTGCCATCGAGAATGTCGGGCCATTATTGATCTGAACCAGTGACACAGCAACCCAGAAGAGAGAAGATAGGTACCGTGAATCTGGAGGTAAGCTCTCAACAATGTTCTTGAGGCACATAATAATACTTAGTACAAGACTAGGATCAGTTTCATTGAAAATTGCCAGGGCACCACGAAGTGCTGCCAAAAGCTGATAAAGTAGTTCATCATCTACTTCTTCGCGTGCTATACAGCCCAAAGTTACTAAAGCACGTGGTTGAATAGCAGGATTAAATTGAAAGGCAGTACTGGCAACTAAACTCATCCATCGAGCTCTCCACACGTTAGCCATATCTAATACATTGAGGTAATAAATTCAGCTTTGTTAGATTATAGTTTGCGATGAAATTGTCTAAGATTCTATTTTTTTATTCCTTTTTTATTAGAGAAATAAAGTTTTACCTGCTGAAGGTGCGGCATATTGTAGTACGTCCAAAAGTGTTGTTACAATAGTTTCCAAGGATCCAAGTTGAATTCGATCAGAAGAATCACTCAAGGTTTCGTCATTTATAGTGAATGGATTAAGATGTGGTTTCGCCAGGCCAAACAAAAGCCGAAACTTTGTGTCTGAGATTTCCGCCAGAAGTAATTGAAGTTTCTTGACATTAGATTCTGGGAGAGGCATGGCTGTGCAGAGTGATTGAATCATATTAACCACTAATCCATGTACAGACGCACGTACTAAAATCGGGCCCGTACTGACTACCAAAGATACGATGTGAAACATTTCTGGAATATAGCTCTTAACAGGTCCCCGATTGTTGAACGACAACATCAATATAAAGCGAACGAGAACAGCAATTTCATTCCATGTATAATGTTCAGATAGAGATCGCATTGGTTGGAAAGATGTTCTCTGAAGGACTTTTCGAAGGCGTGAGATGACCTTGCCTCGAACAGCAACATTCGAAAGGGTCACAAAAGTGTCTGCCATAGATTCAGCCTGTGGAGATCCAACACCATGATCGCTGGAGAATTGGACAAATGTGTCAAGTACCAGATTCAAAACGTCGTCAACTTTTCCAATAGTTTTCCAAACTTTAGCTTGCAAGAGTTTATACATATCCGCACGCGTTACAGTAAGATCAATCAAAAGGCGCAACACTTCTTTAGTTTTTACGGAGTTGTTGTCATCAGAGCTTCCATGCGAAAATATGGCCAGATTAGGAAGCCATGCTATCATGTAATCAAGGCAAAGATATCTCATTGGCTCGTTCGATTTGTTGAATCCAACAAAACATTCGTTCAAGAATTCAAGTGTCAAATTAGGTTCTGATATGGCAAGTTTTTCGCTAATTCCAACAATAAAGGCCGTACTATTAGCTGGAAGACAAAGATCTATAGAGAAGCATTAAACATTTCGTGTTATTAGTACATAATGTGATGGTATTAAGAACTCTATATTTTTGAGTGAGAGACTTGATTAATACCTCGAGCATCCAGTAATTGCTTTCCGACATCAAAGTGAAACGTTTTACTCAAAGCGTATAGTAAATTGTAAGAAGCCAGACGAAGATTAGGGTCTTCACTGCCAATATTAAGAAGTGCCATATTGAGGAGACGTCCAGGTACGTCGCTAGGTCGTATTGTACGTTCGGTAATATTGCTAGGCTTAGACATTTCATAGCAGCGCTTACTGTGTCGAATAGTCTAGTTATGAGCCAAATTCGTCAGTATTTTTTCTATCATAAAGAGTGTTTGCTTGTTCGAATATGTCAACTTACGCTCACGATGGCTTCGCGTTTGATCGTAGAAAGAATAACTATGAGCCTTCCTTTGTCGTATTTAAATGAGAATTCGTTGGCAACTTCTGCTCCTCTTCCAGGGCTAAGAACAATATCTTCGATCTCTGATATCCGGTATACATCATTTGTCACTGTACTCACACCATACAATAGTTCTTGTTTGCGTCCTGTCATTATTTGAACATATTCAGCACCAACTTTCACAGTTACTGGAACATTTGTCTTGAACTGAGAGATATGGTTAACAGGATAAAATACAGCACTTGGCTCGGTGTCCAATGTCACTTTAAAGAGACATGTATGAGTAAATTCAATGTAATAACACCTTACATATTTGTGTGTGTTTGTCTATCTTTACTTATTTTTACTTACTGGTTGACTTCGGAAGTCTGACCTCTGAGGGATGAATGCTTTCATAAAGCTCAGCCAATGTTACTGCAAAGCTTATGCGTTTGCTGACTTTATGCGTGATAGGGTGTAGCAGCTTTTTGATATACTTGCGCAAGTGAGAATTTGGGTTGTAGATATGAAATGTGGCTACGTTATCGCACACATCGGATGGAAGTAACTGTAGAATCTGGCTGATCCATTGATTCGGTATTTCGTTTGCGTGGCCAAACAGAGTTAAGTCAAAAACTACCTCGATCGCTTTGTTGGCTGTACGTTCCAACACCTGTTTTTTTTTCTTCTAAATGAGTATCGAATATACAAGCTACCAACTCTTGAACAAGCCGTTTTCTCCTTCCATCTTTACCTGTAACATGTAGTAAATAAACAGCTCAAAATCGATGCTATCATTTGAAATATTTCGAGCAATTATGTAGAGCACAGGTCGCCCAACCTTTGAAGTGCCACCTTCATAAAATATGTTTTTGGTCGCGATTGCATCTACACTTCGATGGCTGTTTCGACGCATAAACTCTGCGTACACTTGGTTTGCAGCCGCGAATGTATAGCTTCGTAGACCACTGAATTCTTGCTTCTGGATTTCTGGAGGACGACCAAGCTGGGCCAGTAGATTCGAGAATTTATCAAACATCCGCTTCCACACAGCCCATGTATCTGTATCAGCAAACAATCTCTGGCGTCTGGTGGCAACATCGCGTGTCATTCTCTCCATGTTATCGGCTAATACACGATGTAATAGTGCATAGTCTTTATCTTCCATCTGTCGTATATCAGCCTCAAATTCTTCGCCAGGGGAAATGTCCGAGATTTCACGTAAGAATTTAGTCACATTGTAAATGTTACTTGTCACAAAGTCGTTTAGTACAATCATGTATGTTTCTTTTGTTCCGAATAACATATTATTCGCAAGGTTTTGAATAACCTTTGTTGCGATCAAATGCCCACGTCGCATCTCTCTTGAAATGGAAAGACTCCCTTTTATAAGCCCTTCGGATTCAGGAGAAACAATTGCTGGACAAAAAAAACGCAAGAATATGAATGCACCAACAGCAGTGTTTTTTGCTTCTGGAAAACGTTCACGCACAGACACAAGAATGTGGTGACAAAGCTCACGAAAAGAACTATAACAATATATAGCAAGAAAAAAAGGTATTAAAATAACTGTGAGAATATGATATCCTTCTTTTTTATTTTTCTTAAAAGTCAATACATACGGCGGTGCTTCGTTGGAGGAGGCGCAGATGGCATTAAGAAATAATTGCGTAACGCTAATGACATTCTCCCTATTACGGTATACATCTTCTCCAGGACCAACCTTTGATGGATCCAATTCGAAAGATCGCTCTTCTCGAGGTGTGTCTAAAAGCACATGAAACACAGGCTGAAGAACGGATTGGACATATTCTGCTCCGTATGTCTTTGCAAATACAGACAAGAGGCGTGTAGCAATACTTGTTCTTCTGAATAATTCCGTGTGGTTCTCTATCAAGTATTGTTTATGTTCAAATTACATGTTTTGATCAGTATAGCTAATATTATCCCACCTGTATTTTGAACTTCCTTGTCAATGACAGCTTTTAACAAGGTCATTGCATTTCCTCGTGACGAAAAGCATGCTAATAGAGCATTTGATGCATCATCAATATCGGTTGCAGGACATACGTTGCAAAGAGACATAGCGATATGAAGGTCAGGCTCAACAAGCATCTAAATAGTATTACACCATGATTAAATAAACATTATCTTTCGGACTCTCTGCTTATTACTTACATCAATAATCTTTTCATAGCGGTCCGTCATAACTGTCTCAGCCAAAGTTTCGAATTCTGTGCCTTGGTTTAATATGTTGGTTAAAACCTGCATAAACGCTGTCCGCATTCTTGTATCTTCGTGATACCCCATTGATAGAGAATATTTTAAGCCGGCATCTACGTTGGCACTTAACAAATTTGACATTGCTAAGATTGTATATTCTTTCAATGGTCCAAGGTAGGTAGCATTGTCCTTGTTCTATTTGATTATGGAGTTAGTTTTATTTAGACTTGTGTCATTAGCTAAAGAGCACTTGCTTTGCTATGCATAGAGTCTGCAGTGCGTGAAGTCAATCGAGAGTCGGACTGGATCTATTTTAGACAATACAAACAGAGAAAAGAAAAGAGGTGATTGTAAGTTTTAACAATACATACAAGTATTCACGCAACTTACTTCAGATATCCTGCATCGATTGAGTAGCTTTAAAAAGAATGTAAAGTACTTGTAAAACATTCTACTCTTAACTTGAGAGGCACCTGTTTCATGAACTGGTTCAGACGGTTGAAGAGGTAGTTGATGAAGCAAATTTACAATCGTTTTGAGACATGCTAAATCTAAGTCTCTGTGAAGTTTCTCGCCTTGTTCAAAAGAAGAGTAGTGGGAATTGACATCAACTTTCTATATATGTAAGCATGCTCAGTATTCGATAACAAAAAAAGAACATCACTAATATCGATTTTTATAAAAGATAACTAAGCAAATTCATTACCAATGAAAAATCACTCGTCCATTCGACAATAATTTCCAGGAGTTTGTTTCTCAACTTGAATTCCTGACGAAGTGTAACCTTTTCTTTCTTTGCCATCAAGACTTCACACAATTGACAAAACTTGATTTTGATCTTGAGAGCTGCCTGGCTACTTCCAAGCTTATTAAGGTATTTGGCGTATTGACTGATAAGTTGACTAAAATCGACAGTAAATAACGTATCCGCAGATTCCTCCATTCGATCGAGAACAAATTTTAGTACACTAATGGCTTGTTCAACAAAAAGCGTATAACGAGGACTGCAAGTAGGGTCACCGTCTGGTCCAAAACACTTTGCTAAAACAGTTTCTAAATGGCGAAAGAGCATTGGATAAAGTGCCGGAGAGAGGTCTGTACCGAGGATCTCCTTTACCCATTCACGTAAGATGACATTATCGCAAAGCAGTAGATCGACCATGTCCATTACAAATCGATCTGCCATGGCAGCTGACTCTGACTGAGTAGATGATCTTCTGGGGTCAGCTTCATGGTGGCGTGGCGATTGAGCAGATGAAGGCAAAGCTCCACCCATAAGACATATCCCACCCAAAGCTGCTAGGAATCCTGCATAATTTTGCCATTCTGAAGACCTGTCATCCTCCAGATTTTCGGATCGACTAGATATTGTGTTTTGTTGGCGTGTATTGCGCAGCTTGTCGTGCCAAGCTTGGGTAGTCTTGCGGGTTACTTCGGACATGTCTTCCTTGGGTTCTTCTGAAGGACGAAGTATGGACGGCGTTAGGTTTTTCCATCTTTTCCACGCCTCTTCCCATGCAGAAATATTTCCAGGGGCGTAGTGGGACATCATACGAAGTAAGCGACGGATCTGCTTTTGTTGGGATTTACGACCGGTGACGATTCCGGTATTCGACGTTAACTCGATATATATCGGGAGGTTCTCAGCCACAGTAAGTGATGTCTGTTGAGGGTCATCCATTCCGTCGGTAATGTGTGCCTCAATACAGATGTGACCAAAGCATGCAATTGCTGCGGAACAAATGTCAGTATCTGCCGAGCACAAAAGAACCAGCAAAGAAACTTCGAGTGCTATAGATGCATGAAGACGATCCCGAACATCTGCACCTTGCATTGCTATATCCTACAAAGGCATATTAATCGCATTATTAGCCTCGGGCAAGTGACTTTTTCATTTTAACAAAAAAAATAGTATAAATTTGTAGACTATATAAGTGTTTATAAAACTGTGTGCTCACTTGGTGGATCCGTAGAAATTCATTGCGGCAGATCAAGAGTTTTTTCAAAAGGTCAAGCAGTTTCTTTAAGCTGTCCTCTCTTTCGCGGGTATCGATCATCTGTTTAGCAAGTGTGTGTATTACTTGCGAAGATATACTCCAAAAGGATTCCATAAATCTTTCAGGCACGCCCCACTCAAGGATATAATGCGGGGCATGTAATTTGAACAATGTCTCAGCAGCAGCGTCTCTGACAGCCTGGTTGAGTTCTCTCAAACACATGGTTACTGCAACCATAACCGCCGCGTTCTGTTCTGTCTTGTCTTCAGCGTTACCTCGTATTGCCATGTTTGGATCTGCCTGATAAAGACGCAGCATGTCGAGCATCATTTCCAGTCGTTCGTGAGTACTGTCTTTGTCTTTTTTGACCTTCTTGTCCCCAACAGTCGGAGGCCTGCGGTTCGAGAGACTAGTGGTTTCTGATCTGGTTGGATCTGCTCTGGTGGTTTCCAAGAAAAGTCGTTTTAGAGGATCACATAAACTACTGTATAGGGAAGATATAGAAGGGTTCCATGGTAATCGGTTCTCTTGCATCGCAATGGCCAAACAGGCTTTAACCAAGCTGAGTCTAAATAGAGTGGGTGCCCGTTCATCTAGACATGTGGGGAAATGAGTCTGCATGGCTTTGCGGGAGTTGAGTCGAAACATGGCAACAAGAGTGTCTGCTAAGAGATAGCGATGGTCAATGATTATACCAACGCTGTTCATCAAATTATCGGCCATTAATGGATGATCGATGTCGAAAAGTTTTTCTTTGAGTTCTTTTTCGATCTCAGGAACAAGGTGTTTGAAAGATGATGTCTCCTCCTTTGATACGTAGTTGACGGCCTTGCAAATGTCTACATAGCAAATTGCTGCCAATTCTGCAGTTCTTCCGCCCTTGATGGCCTTCTTCAGTGTATTAAAGAACAGAGTCTTTTCAGAAATGAATATTTTTTTTGGGGATGAGTAGATGGGCATGAAAATCAAAATTGTTTTTAAATATTTATATACCTTCTTAGCTAGAAATCCCCGCCCTTCAGAAGCTGACGATGCAATCATAAGATCCGGACAAAGGGCAAGTAGTATTGTTTGAAGTGGCCAAAGAATAGCCTTTTTGCGAGTAGTGTCTGCAAGTGAATTACATATATCAAATAAAATATCAGGCCGGCCATCTAAGCGCTTTTTGCTACGACAGAGGTTGATAAATTCGGATGGATAGGTCTCGATCCAGCCCCAGATGGCTCTCCGTAAGATTACGGCAATTGCAAGCTGAGCTGATTTCTTTAGACGTGTAAATGTGGGGTGGAGCTCTAATGGATTTAACGGGTAAATTTATTGCTTGTGATGATACTCCCCCTTTTTACCTAAGTATTAATGGGGGGCTTTTTTTTGTTTTACCTTCGAACATCATACTCAGTCGTTTTGAATTTAATGCGCAGCATTCAAGAAGACGGATATCGGATGTGTCTGGAGCTTCATCAGAAGTTGTGGTGAGGTATAAGATACGAGCGCGGAGTTTTGAGTGCATTATGTACCAGTTACTTGCACTCAAGTAAAACACAACCCGGCTTGCTGCCTTGTAAATATCAACAACTATGTCTGTCGGCAGACTTGTGAGACCAGAGATACTGTAATACGCTGTACGAGTGATATTGGTAGCCGAGCCGTGATCGCGTTCTTCCATTACTGTCATTTGATGCATAAATCGAGACATTATGGAGATCATATATTTTGCTAGGGTATCTTCGAGAGGTGGTGGGTCCTGTAAGGTAGGTAGATCTGCCGGAGAGTCTTTATTTGTGCGGATAAACTCCCAGTGGTGCTGCATACAAGCCGAAAGCATTCTTAGGAGGAAGAGTTGGGATTGTAAAATGTCATTAGGAATATAATCATCTCCTGGAGTAGCAGCCACGGACTAAGTCGAATGAGGGATATCAGCAGAGAAATTCGATCTGGCAAGGTGGTTTACCTTGGAAACTACTTCGAGGACCGAGACGATTGTGCTGGCAATAGTAGAAAGTCGGAATCTAGAGAGTTCGATAAGGGTAGTGACTAGAAATATGGGTTTATGCATGTTTATTTCCCAAGATGACTGTCTAGACGAATATTACTTAGATTTTTTTTTACCTCTGTATGTACAAGCATAGATAGATAGATAATATTAGGTTTAGTTGAAGAATATATATGCGTATGTGTGTGTATATATATATATATAAAGAGCGATTTACGTTTGTTGGACGAGGATATCATTTTCAAGGGAATCAAGGCTTTTACCACTGTTACTGGGAAGCTAAAAATTGTGAATAAGAATTTATATTAATATATACATATATGTATATATGTATATGTATATGTAGGTAGGTGTGGGGTATAAAGCTCACCTTGACGGAGATTCGGTTGACTAAGCTCAAGATAAGCTTTGTGTCTGGGCTCATGGCAAGAGATGAGCAGATGGTGCATGCACACTATAGAAGAGAGGAAGGGGAGGGGATATGTGGCGTCGACCAAAAAAAATAATAATAAGAGAATCGGATGAGCTGATTAGATGAAGATGGAATTTTTTATTTTATTTTATTTTTTTTAAGAAAATATACACATATATATTGTATAATATAATGTAATATAATATAAAATAATAGAATATACCCTATAGAAAAAAAAATAGGCGATTTTAGTGAATTGTTGCAAGCTTTCCGGGGTTTAAAGTGTCTTGTAGTTGAATTTTAATGAAGCACCAATTTCTACTCCACCATGTCTTTTGCAGTCAAACCAAAACATATTTTTCTTAGCTTTTTCAACCTATTACAAAACTACAAAATAATTATTTAAATCTAATGGCTTACCAGCGGTAGTTTGGGAGGGTCCTAAGCGGTAACCAGGACAAAATTTTTTTATCTTCTTTAAATTCTAGTCAATCTTTGTCTCAAACGACGACCCTCCTAGAAATCTTCTTCTGCTTGTCTTCTAATACGTCCAACCTGAACAAGATGGGTGAACCTTACAGGTATGGTACCATCATATCTCAGATTTTTAAGTATATTTCGGAAGTTCAGGACAGCGGCAATATCTCTATTCCACAAACGATACTCAAAGTGTAACGAATATATGTCCTCCAAACAGTTTGGATCGGTACATTTACAGTGATTTATAAGAGACTTAATAATAGCTAAGAATCAATAGTGAAAAATTAGGTATTAAGAAAGGCCTGTTTTTGATACTGCTTAAATCTACGTTTTGGTTGTCCAGTTGTTACTTATTATCTGTAGCTGGTATCAGAAGCGTAGATAACAGACCCATACCTACCTTAGTTACCCTATGTCGATGTATGTCAAACCACAACAAAACAATCTCATAATATCTGCTTAACTTTCAAAGAAAAAATTAATGCTAAAGCAAAGTAGAAAATAAAAGGCTTTATAGTTTTTTTTCGTTTTTGTAGATGATAATAAGATGAATATGACTCGAAAAGTACTTGTGCTTTCTCTTCATCATGTACATGTATGCGTCCAGTTTCCGTTTTTGTCGTATCTTCCGTCGTTAGTGTTAATTTGGCTTGATTAGGCTGCTTTCATGTGCTCCAGCAAAAGATTGATTTGTTCGCTCATTAGCTTCAAGCTTTCACTAACATAGCTTTTAATTTCTTCATGGCAGCTCCTTGTATGCTGACATCTTCATCAACAACGCTTTTGATTCTAATTTTCATGTTGGAAAGAAGCGAATCCATTGATCCCGCAGATGTATTTTTTAATGCGACACTTTCATTGTTAGTCCCTTAGAAGTCTGAGAAATGAGACGCACAACAAGATATGATTAATATTTTAATAAAGCCAAAGACACATCACTACTGGTCAGGAAATACACCATAGCTACCATTGGGTTTATTGGAGACTGGCCTATGTATCCAAGTATAGATTTTAGCGATACCAAAATGCATTCCTTCGTCTAGAATTTGGAATCCAATTTCAGAAAAGCTTTTTCACTAGAAACAATGAACTCTTCCTTTACTTCAACGCTTAAAAATCCTTTTATGACAAAGATAAGAGCGATTGGGTATATTATATATCGGTGATCGCGAATTCTAGGGAAGGGGGATGTTTTCTAGTAGGAGACGATATCTTTACTTTACAAAACCACAAGTTGTGTCCAATTTGCTACGATCTTTGCCTGGGACGACATGACATGACTCCATACCTTTAGAGGAAACGGTAAACAGCTTTGCCCATATTTTCTTTTAGACAAACCTTGGGTTCTTTTCTGGTATTATAGATACAATAGGTGAAAGAAAAAAAGAAAGACATCATACGCGTAAGAAGGCCAATGAATAATAAGATATCCAACAAGATTGCGTCACAAAGTTTGTAATAGCATCAGCTCCTTACAACCTTCTGCATAATTGGCTATTGGCATAGTGTATTTTGGATTAATTATTATCTTTTATGGCCAAGTTTAAATTTAGGGCGCAAAAGGCTATTTTGATACGAACATATTGTATTTGTTTTTCAGGACACGCCATTTTACCCTGAAGAATTAGAGAAAGACACTGGGCCCCGTAGAGACAGTGACCATTAATTAGTCGGATTAAGTAGAAACGTCATGCCCTACCAGAAAAATCTAGACCCGTTGGATCGCTGTATTATTAAATCTCTTATAGATCACTGTAAATGTACCGGTCTAAATTGTTTGGAGAACATGGCTTCGTTACACTTTGAGTATCGTTTGTGGAATAGAGATCTTGTCGCTGTCTTGAACCCCCGGCACATTATTAACCAATTGCGATGTAATGACATTACTCCTAATAGGCTCACCTGTGTTCACAAAGTTGGAAGCACTGTAAGACCAAGAGAGGATGTTCCGGAGGGTCGTCATGTGGGACAAGTATTACAAAGTTCTAGATGAATATCAATAGTAACAAGAGAAAGGCAAAGAATACTATAAACTTTCTAATATATATTTATTGCCAAATGTTCTTCATATGTCCTTTTGGTAGGTCATTGGACTTTTTGAATAATATTATCATTATTACTGCATTGCGGGGAGGTATGGTAGAGTGGTCGAAGAAGATGCTTTGCATTGACTGCAAGACAGAAAAAAAAAGATGGTGGGACAAAAGTGGGGTATTGAAAAGGTACCTTTACTTTTGAGCTACAATAATATCAAAGAAATAAGTAAAATTATGATTGACTCATATTTTTATATATAAAAGCAAATGGTAGGAAAACTAGTGAATACAAACCTAATCTTAAAGCAATCATTAAACCCTCCCAAAATAAACGAGCTTGCAAAATTTCATATTAAAGTCTCTCTCTCTCTCTCTCTCTCTCTCTCTCTCTCTCTCTCCGATTTTATTTACCATATTGGGAAAGATGTATGTGTCCCTCTTCTCAAAGTTCAATAGAATTATAAATGACATTCCATTTTATAGATATAAACAAGATACATTATTCAAATAAAGAGCTTTCATATAATCGTGCTGTTCTGTTTCATTCATCTCAGCTCTAAGAAACCCTCAAACAATGGTTAGTTGGCACTCATTTTCTAATGATAACAAATCATCAAAACCCACATTTTATCGTTACGGACCCCCTGTAAGAGTTAATAAATGTTACTAAAACCAATAAATACCTTAAGGTTATTGTCAAGCGTAACATTTTCTTAATATATATCTTCTCAGACTCTAACATAGGCAATAAGTCAATGAAGTTTATTACATTCTTAGGCTTGGAAGTAGAATATTACATCATCTTAGCAGAAGATGTATAATTGTGCTACTTTTAGCAAGCAATAGATCAATCTTGACAAGAATTAAACTATTATACTTCTAATAACGAAGGTACAAGATATATGTTACAATTCAATCATGGCTATTCACCAAATATCAATTGTACATATCTATCCAATTGGATAAAAAAAAGTTAACATTGATCTGTTAGTCTGGGTCTGTGAAGAAAGAAACAAGCCTTTCAAGACATCAAGTGTGAGTAAGAAAATTACTAGGGAGTTTATCAAACATCAACTGCATATTCCGCTTCATTCCATTTTCCCCTTAATATTCTATTTATAAAAGCATATATAAAGCTAAACAAATAATCTATTATTTTTCAGCTCTACTATCCCTGTCTTCTTTTCTCTTTCTTTCTTGTGAAAAAAAATGTCAGTATTGCCATGGAATTTAACGAGCCAGGCCGTCTGTAATACACCTGCCTGTCTAAAAGTAGCTACGTCTATCATCAGCGATATGGATCTCACAATAGATCCATGCTCAGATTTTTATCAGTACACATGTAAATTTAGCCATATATATCATAATAAATATCCTTCACCAATATTTATCTATCTCACAAAGTCTCCTAAAATATTAACTTTTGCTTCCATTATTATTAACAGGCGGTAGTTGGGCTCAAAAGGCCATCATTCCTGACGATCATTCTGGTAAATAATAAGAATAATAAATATTCTAGAATAAGACGCAATACCAAATTGTAATGGTATTGATAAGTATTAATAATCAAAGCGCTTCTGCTACCTACAACTCATCAAATTTGTACGCTAATTTTTTTTAATAAAAAAAAAGGTACTGGAACATTTGAAACGCTCCAGGACAATAATACCGAAGTATTACAGCGTATTCTAGAGGGATCATATGAAACCCTGATAAACGGTACAGGCAATGCTGGATTCACGACCACAAATGTGGACAAGGAAAATTTTGCAAAACTTCAGAATTATTACAAGTCTTGCCTTGATGAAGCTTCAATTGACTCTCTCGGTCCTACGCCAGTGTATGGGGAGCTAGCTGCACTGTATCACATTTTTGAGAACGGAGAGGGTCTTGTTAGCTTCCCACAATACACCTCTACTCTTACACAAGCCCTTGTTTTCATGTTTAAGCAAGGGATAGAACCAGTCCAAAGTCTTTACATTGATGCTGACGACAAGAACCCAAATTCAACTGTTATAAGTCTTGCCCAGCCTGATCTTGGGTTGCCTTCAAAGGAGTACTATGAAGATCAAGAAGCCCTGAAAAAATATCAGTCAGGCCTCGTGTCTATCCTCAAACGCATCCTAGGCCCTACAAGCCTAAATCTAGCCAAAGCAAAAGAGCTTGACCTAAACATTTTGACCGATGTAGAGATTGACACACTTGTCTCCAACGCCATCGAATTAGAAACTTCAATTGCCAATTCCATGGTGAAGTCCCAGGATCTCCTAGACCCCGTGGCAACTTACAACCCTGAATCTATCAGTAGTCTTCAGCAATCCTACCCATTTCTTGACTGGACCGCATTTTTGGAAGAGTTCTTGCCTCCTGGAGAGCCATTGCCTCCGGCAATTATAGTTACCTCGCCAGTCTATCTCCAGCGACTCACTGGCTTACTCCAAAACACGCCTAAACAAAAATTGAGAGACTATTTTGTGATGCGGCATGCAATTTCCAAGGTGTATGCACTCGATAAAGACACTAGAACCCTCCTACAGGAAATGCGTGGTTCCATATTTAGTGGAACCACAAAACTACCCCCGCGAGCTCAAGTGTGTACTAAATCGACTAGCAGCACTTTTGGCTTTCTAGCTGGGCGCTATTTTGTTCTCAGGGCATTTGGTGGAGAATCAGAGCGTGCTCAGGTAGAAAAGTTTGTTGACCTGATCCAATCTTCTTGGCTGAAGAGGCTGCCTGAATTGGACTGGCTCGATGCACAGACACGGTCAAGAGCTATCAGCAAGATGTCAAAAATTAAGCACAAGCTTGGATACAGTATTAAATCCCCCGACATCAGATCCGATGAAAATCTCAAGGAGTATTATCAAAACATAAACATCACAACCACCTCTTTCTATGACAATGAGAATTCTGCCACCGCCTGGGAGTTGGCTGACATATGGAGCAGAATGGGAAAACCTATTGACAAGGCACGTTGGATGATGGATGCTCAAGAGGTCAATGCATATTACACACGCACAGGAAATGAAATCGTTGTACCAGCTGGTATCTTGCGTGAACCTTTTTACGATCCAGATGTACCGGATTATCTAAACTATGGAGGCATTGGTATGGTTATTGGCCATGAATTTTCCCATGCCTTAGACAATGCCGGAAGAATGTTCAATGGAGACGGTCAGCTCGAACAATGGTGGACCAATTCAACACTAAAATCATTCGAGACTGCAGCGCAATGTTATGTAAAGCAGTATGATCAGTGGACCATCGAAGGCCAAGATAAAAAGCAGCATCCTGTTAATGGCAACGTAAATAGTATTTTATTTGTGTGTATTATATTAATCACATCTTTTTTTTTACACTTCAGTTAACTCTTTCCGAGAATTTGGCTGATAATGGTGGACTTTCTGTAGCCTACATGGCTTATCAGCAATTGGCTTCCAATGCTTCTCTGCAAACAGCTACTTCAAACAATGTTAACATGCGTTTGCCAGGTCTGGAGCAGCTTTCTCCAGAAGCGTTATTTTTTGTCAACTTTGGAAGAGTCTGGTGTAATAAAAAGAGACCTTCCATGGCAGAACAGCTGGTAATTATTTATGCTTGGTTATAAATAATGTTTCTTTTGGGAGGTTTAAAGAAAAAGAAGTATTAGTTTCTGTTCTGTTCTGTTCTAACTTGTTGTTTTGTAGCTCCTCACGGATGTTCATTCACCAAACAGGGTCCGCGTAAACGCAGCTATACAAAACTCTGAAGAATTTGCAAGGGTTTTCCAATGTCCCGCAAACAGCCCTATGAACCCTATCCCTAAATGCCAACTGTGGTAACATTATCCATCTACTATAGAAGATACACACAAATGTTATAATAATAATACAATAATAAAGTCAATACAAAGGTTAAACATAAATAAATAAATAAACTATTATCATTATAATTCCAATACAACAACACCGCGCATCTCTGCTACTTTTTTAAGCACTTTTGTTTCTTTAGTAGGATCTTTACGAGCAGCCCAAATCGATTTTACAATCTTTTGCTCATCCCATCCCATGTAATCACACATGAGAGCCAATTCAGGTAGTGGCTGTATGTCTAGTGCAGCAAGCACGTTGATGAGATAGGCCATGTCGGTTTGTAGTTGCGTGGCACCTTCGGGCGACAAATCGTTCAGCACAGTCAGGCTGTCCACAAAGCTATGAGTAGCTCCTCTTGCTACCGAAGTTGTCCAGCGTTGCATGACATCTTCTTCGTGAGACGAGTCGTCTCCAGCCATAAATGGTACAGTGTTTGGCTGAAATTCAAGTGCCTCATCATCAGCGTAGACTTCAAAATGCTGAGGTAGCATAAGTAGTTGTTCTCCCACACGGGTCATATAAGGACTTGGTGAGCGACTGAACAAGCCATCTTCAGTAGCACCCTCAATTTCTGCACGTAAATCAACTAGTGGGCGAATGATTGGCGCACACACCGCGTCGTACACAAATCGCTGCGAGACCTCAGTCAACCTCTCTAGAGAAGAAGAAGGAGTGTAGTTTAAGGGCTTTTGAGAAATACTACTGAGTTCTGCACAATTCAAAGTGGACGAGCGAAGAAGTGCGACAGAGGCATAAGGATATTCAGGTGCTCGCTTACGGTCAGCCACACTACTTCGCCGACGAACGACAGGAGGACTCTGCTGGATTAGTGGGCGAACAGCGTCAAAAAGGCGTGAAACATCGTGGGTAAAATCATGGTAGTGCTGATGCATAGTGTAGCAGATGGTTAAAAGTCTTAATCCAACCTGAAAGTCGGACCCATCATTATCCTCGCTACTACTGCAGTTGCTACTTATTGCTCCAGGATGTGGCAAGGTGCGAATAAGACGTTGGACCTGATGGGAAGCTGCGTCAATTATGTGTCCAAGTACTTTGAGCCATCCTACTGCGCCAAATCCATGTGTCAGCTGCAGGCATCTTTCTAGACCCTCGCGAGCTAGTGTGTCTATACGCGGAAGGATGATATGCAATACATGCTGTACAGATGACATCGTGCTAGTCTCATTGACATTTCCAAATAGGCGTTCGATTTCTGTTGTCATCGATTCACGTTCTAATGCCAAATACTTTGTCTGGATTGGTAGAAATGGTTCGTAGAGACTATATGCCCATGCATTAGGATCTGCATGACGAAGGGCAAGAGGTACGATCGAGAATGAATGACTGACGGAAACGCGTCGAGAATGAAGTGCCCCAGTACTCACTGGAGGTTTGGCTAAAAGACGTTCTAATGCAAGTCCAAAAACTTCAGTAGTAATATAGCTGTCCGCAACACCTTGTAGTCCTACACACGAAGACACCGCCGTACCCATAGATATCTCTAGACATTCACCTAATGAAGGCTCCAAGGTAGATACTACACGCTGTACGAGAGCCTGCATCACCATTCTTGGGTCTGGAAACATTGCTGCACAGCTCACATATTCTGCTGTCAATCTTTCTTCGAGCTTCTCATAAAACTCCCGTAAAAGATTAGGAAAGGGACCATTGATTTCTTTTCCAGGCCAACCCTTTTGCAACGCTGGGCTTTTGGCTGTCAAGTATATTTCTACAAATCCGTCTGAGCGCCCAATGCGCCCAAATACTCCATATAGCTTTTGGCATTGGCGGGTGTCTTGGTCTTCTAATGCTCGTAATATAGTAGGGTGAAGGGCAGTTTCAAGGTCATGTTGTAAGGTTTCTAGTAAAGCTCGTCGGACATCGAACTCGGGTGTGTGCTGGAAAACGTCCAGACTTTGTTGGGCTTGTTGTAGACGTAATGCACACGCTTCAAAGTCTTGTTGAGTCAATGCTTTTGTTGCTTCATTTTCAAGTTGGCTCCAGTTTTCCGCCTCTTTCAACTGCGCTTTGCATTGCTCCATGCGTGTTTTCACAACATGAAGCTGTCGCAATGTCTCAAGAGCATCCTGGCTTTCATGATCGCTTATTTGGTGTTGAACGCTTATTACTTGTCGATGGGTTGACTTACAATCTACTGTCAGTCGTTCGAGATCATATAGGAGACGAGGAAGCTGCGTCAAAAGGTGCTGGGTTAATTGTGTGACCTTGCGCGAGGTGTGCTCTCCTGTGTGTTGTAGCGTGCTCATTACTACAGTCGTTTGTTCAACCTGAGCAGGCGAATCAAGTGTCTGGTTGATCCATTGTTTGATATTAAAGTCAGGATTGGCAAATGCGTCCAGATGAACCATCTGCAAGCAACAAGAAGAAAAAGAAATTGAACCACTAAAGAAAACCAAAGGGTTGGAAATGGAGGGGATGAGAGCGGAGTGGACGGTGACTGCGGTAGGCGAAAGAGAGTAAAGAAGCCTCTAAAAAAATCTAGTTTCCCATTCACCATTTACATACACATATATAATAATACACAGCATGGTTATTCAGCAGCCCAGTACACAAATCAAGTAATCACTAAACACCTTCATTCAAAGAGACTTTTACTGAGCATTCCTTGTCTTATAGATTGACTAATGTCTCGATTGTCCGACTGAGAAAAGGAGGCAAACGATTTGAACTTGCATGTTATAAAAACAAAGTAATGGAATGGCGTTCAAATGTGTATGTGCATACAATTGTATATATATTCTTCAAGGCGGAATTGCCAATCGACGGCATTGTAAAAAGGGACTAAATATGAAACATGAGGTTTTAGAGAGTCAGATCTGGATGAAGTACTCCAAATACACAGTGTGTTTCTTAATGTATCCAAAGGCCAAGTAGCGAGTAAGAGTGATCTTGAGAAGTGCTTCAAGACGGATGAGCTTGAAAAGGTTATTCTTGAGGTAAGAAAAAAGCAAAAAAAAAACAAAAAATGACATGAAAATAGCGAGCTTTGTAATAAAATGGGTTGTCAAACTAATGCACAAAATAAATAATATTTCTCTTTTTATTTATAAAGATTCTCAAGAAGGGTGAGCTTCAAGTTGCCGAGAAAGAGCGCTCTAACCAACTCGAATCGATGTGGAAGGATATTGCAAATATTGTCACAGATAATTGTGTCAACCCACAAACTAAAAGACCATACACGGTCACTATGATCGAAAAAGCCATGCAAGATCTTCATTTGAGCGTCAATCCAAAGCGTAGTTCAAAGTCTCAAGTAAATTTTTAGATGCTTATAAATGTCGTGTTTTTGTGAAAAAAGAGTATAACATATGTTTTGACTTTAGGCATTAGAAGTTATCAAGCAACTTCAAGAGAAGCAAATGTTGCCTATCCAGAGAGCTCAAATGCGTCTTAGAGTAACGGTATCTGCTGGAAAAGACACAAAGAAACTGCGTGAGAAGATTCTTCCTTTGGTTACCTCAGTGGAAGACGAAGATTTTGAATCTACTGAATACGAACTGGCAAGTATTTTTGAATGTCTTTTTGTTTATGATATATGTATTTATTTATTTGTGTTTATTTGTGTTTATTTGTTTTTATTTATTTATTTATATATATATATTACTTGAATAGATTGCTTTAGTGGATCCTGGAAAGTATCGAATCATCCAAGACATCATACAGAACGAAGCAAAGGGAAAGGGTCAACTGGAGATTATGAATTTGCGCGAGAAGGAAGAGGGTGATGAACAGTTCTAAAAGTCTATACTTGTATGGATTGTATACAATTTTAAAATACGGGTGAATTCAAAATAAACAGACTGTCTTCATTTTTCTTAATCCAGCGTAACAATTGATTTGAGCTGGCAATCAGAACTGCTTTCGGGGTAGCAGGGCCAAACACTACATACAGCTCGAATGAAGACGTGATCTATGTAGCCAAGAGAATCAGCCAAGATATCTATAATATACACACTTTTTATAATAATTTACCCATCCTAGCATAATTTCATGTTCACTGTGATGGTAGTATAATTTAAGGACTCTTGTCCTAGCATGCATTCGATCATACACATGCTGATATAAGCGATAAAGTCTACAGGCAGGGTTAGTATACAAAGGTTTTAATCCATCCTAAAAGTCCTTTTTTTTTTTACCTTTTCCGGTCACTGTCGTTTTCATAAGGTCCACTAAAGGCAGGGCTTGTGAACTGGACATGGCTCTTTGCCTTGTACATAAAGTGAAGTAATGCAGGGACACCAACATCTTCTGTAGTGTAGAGCTCGTCGGAAGCCTTTAATACATTCTCCAAGACATTTTTCTTTTTCATGGCCTCTACCATTGTTGTTTTCCATTCGCTCAATTCAAAGAAACTGTCTTTGCTGGTACTGATCATGACTATTGAAATATCGCGCTCAATGTAACAAATATAGGCATGCAAGAATCCCTGAGAGTTGAATTTTGGTAAGCAGAGAGGGGTCCATGATTCAGCCGTGTGAAATGTGGTTGATCCAGTTAACATATTGAACAGTAAGTGAAGATCTATTGTGAATAATAGGATCAAACATTTAATAAGATATTCCGGTAGTCCCTCTCTATAAAGCTATATATTTATATATCCTTTCACCTGATGGATGTAGACTATGTTTCCTTGGCCTAAGGAGAGTAACCAGCCGCCCTTTAGCTACAACCATGGCATAAAGCAAATCCTACATTTTAAGGATCAGTTTAAGCTCCTTTTATGTTTCAATATCTCTTCTTTCAAACATGCCTTGACTCTTCCATCGGACAAAATTGCTCCTGCCTGATCACGAATAGATCTGCTGAGACGCAGGCATTGAAGAGCACTAAGCATAAAGCTGTGATCATTGTTGAAAAGTGTCGCCAAGCTATCAAGGAATACTTCAGTGCCTACGTACCCAAAAAGAAAGTTTATATATACATATGAGCCTTTTACTTTTCTTTCTCTTTTTGTTGTCATTGTTCTGGAATATCATACAACTTACCTCCCAAAAGTCGCCTTAAATCAAAGTTAACTCTTTGCTCAAATATTCGGGTCAGTTGTACACTAGTAAGCACACTAAGAATCTGATTGTGGAGGTACAAAAGTTGATCACGTAGTTGACCATCCGATTCGCCTGTTCGAGATACAGCAACAAAATAAAGCGGGTCTTTCAGCAAGAATACAAACGTATGATTGCCTGCATGTATAGACCTAAACGTTTAATGAGATTCTTCTTCTTTGTATGATTTAGCCAACTTTTTCTTATCCAAAGTATAATACAAGTAGTAATAAAGAAAAAGGGAAATGAACCCTTTGTGATTATTCGCTTTACTTTATCGTGTCGTCACCGTCCTGAAAGAAGGAGATGATGGCCTGAATGACGCCCATTAGAGAAGATATCCGAGACTCATCGCCATACCTATATCACAATGATTAAGTCAACAAAACAAAAACATATTTTTGTACGTCAAATGTGAAACGTACCGGGTCCAGATAGGTTTTCCGGCACTGCTTAATATAAAGAAATGCTTCTTGTGTTGTATCCAAGTGGATCCATGATCTAGTGCAGGAATTATTTTAGAAAAATTGCCATTTTTTTCTAAAGCTTTGTAATGTACGTAATTTTACCCTGCTTTGATTGCCGACGTTGTTGAATGGCATTGGCAAGCACAGAACTGCGAGAGCCTTGACGACGGAGCTTGTTGTGACTTTTAACTAGTTCACTCATCGTAGAGTTTGATGAATAACTAGAATCGCATGAGGATGCAATTTCATCAGTTTTGTCTGAATCTTGTTCAATGTCTTGCTTCTTGATCAAGACTGGTTCCATGATAAGAAATACAGGTTTAAAGGAGAGAAAAGAAAGGGAAAAAATGAAAGATGGGTTTGAAAACTCCGATCCTGCTTATATTCCATACACTGCAAAAATTAGCATATCAAAGGATGGAGGTGCTTTTGTACTTAGTTATATTCATAAAATGGTTCTTGTTTTTATTGATACAATACAGCATGAGTTGTGTTTAGCTTATACTCAGCGGGTGTACACTTATGTCTCAATAATTGACATTATTTACTCTTGAACTTGAATCATTATGCAAAAATATCTTGAAGCAAATGCTCTACAACCAACAAGAAACAGTGCTGAGCTTCATAAGTCTGCGCACTAGATATATATCAATAATAAACTTTGTTTAAATATAAAGGCTGCAAAAGATTGGAAGGTTTATGTTTATTGTAAGATATAGAGATTAGACTTACTTGCTTTTGTTGATCATACTTGTCATGGGATATTGAGGTAAATACAAATCTTTTAATAAAATATTAAGAAACATCCCAACTCGACAGTATAAAATCAACTGCATGTTACCAAGCCATATTGCTCGAATTAATTAGTTTGGATATGACATTTACACATGAAGCAGAAAAAACAAGCGTGCATTACCTTCTTCTTTTTACACCAAGTTGACATATAGCTATACAGTTAAAAGTCGTTATTACCAGATAAATACATTATCAAGCATCGTAAATAGTTTAATTGAGTGAAAACACATTGTCCAAATAAATGAGTCAAGGTTCTCGTTTTACAAAAAAGAATGCATGCAGCCATGACTTTCATATAGCCTATTGGATAAAGTCTAAGCTTCAGAATTTGAAATAGAATGGAGATCCTTCAAAAACAATGGATTATTGCTTACTTAAGCACTGTATTGTGACATACACAATAGGTCAACCTTCGAACAAGCAAAATACAGAATAATAAGATTCTTATCCTCAAGCTTGGTATTAATGTTTTATTAACAAAAAGTGCAACGGTTTATTACCTAAAGAAAAAGGGCGTTCTTATCTAGATAGTTATCCTTAAAAAAAAAGGGCTTTTCTACTAAGTATGTTTTTTTTCCGTGATAATAGGGTGCACCTTTTTTATAATAGATAATTTGTGAAAAGAGGACATTTTTTGGATTGAAAACCCCAATAATGTAAATGGTAATCTGGAGTCGTTTATGTAACACGATACATTATACAACTGTATGCGAAACTCAGAAACAAATATTATTGGCTGAGAAAAAGGAATCTTACATTTGTTGCCATGCTTAAATATTGAGACTTTATCTTGACAAAGAAAAATATTTTTGCAGAGAAGTAAGAGATGTCTCACCGCAGAGAGTTTCTACATAGTAAAACAAACATCTCAGCGATAACAGAATTCAAAAAAGTTAGGATCCCATAAAACCTTATGGCTTTCTAACTTTACATATAAAATTTTCGATTATAAAAAAAAGGTGCACCCTAATAAATCTATCGGTAATAATCTTTCATACTATACATTAAGGTATAGCAGTTAAATAACAGTATTTAAGAAAGTGTATTTTGCCTTTGATTTCTTCATGTATGTAGGAATAGCTTGTAAAAAAAAGAATGAAGAATGGAAAACGAATAGAGGTAATGTAAGCCGGGATCTGTACAGGTAATAAACATCGAATTATGCTGGTTGTACATATTCCCTGTCTCCTAAAATATCTAATTAATTTTTCATTGTGTGCAACCTAAAGTTTCTCTTCCATTAAAATATAACCTCTGCAAGCAGCATAACCCATTACCGGCAGAAATTATGAGCTCCTCCCCTCGTATATTTCTCAGGCTACTCACATATACGTAATTATTAGAAATAGATTTGTATAATCGAGTTTATATAGAAGTCATCTATTTAATTGCTTATCATTTAGATTGAAGATTATGTATTGTAACTGAAGATAGAAGCTGTAATAAGAGAGAGAAAGATAAATTTGCCTTGAGGGTTTGCAAGATTAGTAATAAATTTGTACGTGTGCCAAGAAAAAATTAAAGGAAAAAAAAAGGTACGTAGACAGAATTAAGTAAGCCAAAAATTAGAATCTTTTTTAGAAGCAAAAAAGCTTGGCCTACTCAGCTCTTTAAGATATTACTATCAGATATCTAATTTTAAGCTTCGAATTACATGTTTCTTAAGGATGATAGCTTTCCTAGATTATTTCAAGCATAAATCTATTTAATTGAATATTTGCTTTAAACTAGAGATATATAGACATATCATATTGCCAAGCATTCTAGTCGTTGAGTCAAGCCAAGATATGGTACCACATTTCCTCCTATACATATTTAGGAGTATAATACAGGACAAGAGATTGATAGCCTTTCTACAGATATTTAGAATCATATTTAAATAACGTCTTTCTGGGAATTACTTATTTTCATCACTCTTCTTACAATGAACTGCCAAACAGATCCAGAGAAACAGCCCTTATTGCCCACTCAATCAGATGCACACACGCCATCCCCTGCTAGAACTAGATCTTTCATGGACTGGACATCTCGCTTCAGTCTTGCGGCAACCTTAATTTGGATCGTTTGTATAATTCAATCCACAGATAGACATGCAATCTCAGTAACTAGTAACGAGATGGAGATGAAGGCCGAGGCGGTAAGTCATAAAAAAAGCATTACTGGATACTTGGTATACCAATGCTAACTAATAGTGGATAGGAAAATCAAGCTTTATCCTGCCCTGATCCTACTTATCCTTGGTATGGAGAGTCGAATCTACCGGTTTCTTCTCAATACACAAAGCTAAAGGTTGAGTTTGACGAAATGCATCATATTTCATTAAAGGTACAAAAGTATTGCTATACCTTTTCCGTCCACATGAATTAATATTGAAAGCTTCCAAAAATCCAACAGAGAAACAGCATTCGTGTACAACCAAACAGTACTGTACAAGAAGTTTTTGTTACTTTCGATATCAAGACTGGTGAAGAATACCGGGATCGAATTTACATGATGCCAGAATACGTAAACAACGATACACTTACTTTTCATATTGGGGTAAGGAACTTTAATGACAATCTGATTACCTTGTGAATCATAACAAAAAAGAAGAAGAGGAGAAATTAATGCCTTATACGTTGTAGCGCGACAACTTTGACGATGATTTTGTTTGCTTCTCTGTTAATATCATTGTCGATGTACCCAGCAATACCACTCTCGAGTCTTTTGAATATTCTACATTACGTAGTAACGTCAGTATATCAAATAACATTTCGTCGCCTGCCGGCCTTTCATTGTCTGTGGTTTCGGGAAGCATCGAATTCAATAACGTCACCTTTGGTGAGACGTTGCTCGCTGTGTCCTCTGGTTCAATCAAGGGCCAGATCAATCTGTGAAACAGACTGAAAGTTGGGGTTACACACGACAGAGTTTCCTTGTATTTTTTTTTTGGAGTATTGATCCTGTAGTTTCACAGATTTGTTTTGTTTTGTACCAAAGGCAACGTTTTTGGGTCCTTGGTGTTATAGTCATTTAATAAAATAAAATTATATTGTATTTTTCTAAAGTCAAATATTGCTTTTTTATTTTACTTATTAAAAAAAGAGAGAGAAAAAAAGGATAGAAATTTATAGCTTGTGCTTACTTGAGTTCAAGCTAGTTAGATAATTAGTACGCTTTGATATGTCTTACTTTGCACTATCATAGTTGAGGATTAGCCAAGAATTCAAGTCAGTCTACTTCCACTGCTGGCTCCAATTGTACAGGGGTTTAATTAAGTCAGATATATATATATATACATGTCATTTGCTCAACCAACACAAAAGAGATAGTAGAAAGTAAAGGAAAGTTGGGTATAAACAGGGCAATGAAAAGAAGATAGATATCAGTGGTTGGCTTAACAACAGTTAATTGAAAAGGTATTTTTGAATTATTCTTTAAATTTTCTTGCATGGTAACGAGCTAAAGCAATCTACAGATGAATTGCTGCATAATTATATATTGACAGTGTGCATAGATTATAGTAGATATGGTACATTGTAGCTAATATATGAATGAGTCCAAGGCTACGCAAATTTAAAGAGCTTGACTTTTAAGAAAGCAGCTATAATACAGTCAATCAATGGGCAAAATATAGATAAAAGACAAATGTTAAAGAGATGTGGGGATGGCGGTTCTAGATTTCAAAATAATTTTCCTGTGATGCACGCACCCTGCGCTGAGCCTACACCGTAAAAGCGTGAATAATTCCTTCTTTTTATTTTTGTTCAACAAAGACCCGACATTTTATGGCCTATGATATGCTTGTTGATGAGCCTAGAGTGCACAATATAATCATTGATAAGACATTTTCGTGTTTTTCTTTCTTAGGTGCAGATAATCTCTATTCTAGATATCATTCATATCATTTTTATTGCAAATTTACAGAACATTCTTAGGTTAGATGGCGTTACTGATAATTGACTATTTTTATATATTTTTCCTTTTTGTACAATGAAAAGCTCATTAGGTCTTTCCCGAAATCAAACCGCTAAATTACTACGAATTAAGTTGAATTAAAATAAGTCAAATGCTGCCTATTCAATTACTTATATTAACTTGCTTGGGGGATTCTGCTTTCATGGCTACTTATATTATTTTTTGGGGGGGAACCTGAATGTACTGATTATTTAGGATTACTCTATTTTGAGATATTATCAAATATTTTTAATATTCTTCTTTAAAAGCAGTTTTATGCATCAAGGATACCAGTACAACAAAGCGGTTAATTGAGGCTTACTCTATAATATTACATTCAAAAAAAAGAACATAGTGATGATATAAATCAAGATTTATACGGAACAGGGAAGCCTAAAATAATTAATACGGCTTGGCAACATTGAAGCTTACAAGAGAGAACCTTCTTTTATTTATATATGTATGGCGTATAAACCAACAACTTTATATTTTACATATTTTGAAATGATTATTTGTCATATGTGTGAGAGAATTTTAGAGCGGAAATAATTCATTTTTTATTTTATTTTATTTTATTTTTATTGCTTTCTTTTTGAAAACCAAAAGGATAACATTCTCCATGGTTCCGATTACGAAAAGTCAATATGAACTATCAATATCTCTCGGTCGTACTCATGTTAGGTTTGTTGAACCAAACATTCAGATTTCCAAACACGGTTTCAATTCGGCTAGTGGCTAATTACGGCCATTTTTGTGTATGTGCTTGTATTCTCAACAACGAAAAAGAAAGAAAGGAAGAAATAAAGTCGGTCTTTATGGAATATCAGAGTAAATTTTGAAAGACAAATTACATACATACATACATACATACATACATACATACATGTATATATATATTTTTAACCCTTTTCATTAAATAAAATAAAGTGATATAAAGACGGGGACTAGACTGGATTGATTGACTGACAAAGAGATTAAGAGATAGAGAGAGGGAGAGAAAAAATACAAGCAGAAAAGAGCAGGAAATTATGTACAGAAAAAAATAAATAAATAAAGAGAAATATGGGCTTTTTTTTGCAGGGGAATAAAATAAATGGTGATTAGGATATGTAGCTACGCACAGCGTGTTGTATATATATATATATATATATATATATATGGGAAATATAGAGATAGATAGATAGAGGGAGGGAGAAATATATAAGGAAGGAAAAGGAAGGAAAAAGCAAGTACAGAAGCAAAGTTGCACCAAACACTAAAATTAAGACAGAGATAGTTTGTGTGTGTGTGTGTGTGTATGGGGTCCAGCTCCATTAATTATCTTTTTTTTTGCTGGACTTAATAGCTGGCAACCGCGTACTGTAAACCTTGAGGTGGGACAGGGTTTGAATCAAAACGACTGTACCAGACAGGCGAATTCTCTGTCAAACAAGTTTCAGGCTCGCGTTTCCCAAGCCACTTTCGACAAAAATGTACAAAGCGAGTGCCTGGTACATTGATGTTCTTTCCACGAGAAAGAAGGCGGCGGGCTGGTGATGACTTTGATGATTTGTCGAGTTTTTCAGACCCCTTTTCGAGTGGCGCCGCAAAGGTCACAGAGCGTTTTTCTGCACTAAGACTACAAGGTGTCCTAGTTGAGGCATAAGAAGATGGCGAACAGGAGGAGAAGGCTGTGTTTGAGAGGCTGACGTAAGATTCTGTGGTTGGCTGCTTCGATTGTGGGTGTTCTACTGTGGGTAGAAAGCAAGAATCGTTGTGGTAAGGGAAGGGCATGAGACGAGGAGATTCCATCACGCAGTCTTTGGTGGAAGTTCGGCGACGTCGGGAGATGTTGCTGCTATGAAGTTCCGCTTCTTCTCTCTCTTTTCTGGAGAGATTCTCTTTGGTGAGAGGTAGGCGACGAGGAGAGTACATTGAAAGGGATAAAGAAAGAAGGGGAAAAAATAAAAATAAATGAGAGAAATTTAGTTGATTATATAGCTGGGGTCGATCTCGGTATTCACGGGTATCTTGACCGGGTCACCTAAGGCAAGCAACACAAAAATGATGTTATGTGGTATATGCTTGTGTTTGTGCGTGTGGGATTAATGATCCGCAGTGAACACCTCTTAGTTTCAAAGACATTTAGGCATGGCACCCAAGCCCTGCCCTGGTTTATTTGATCAAATACTACATGTTACAAATTCAACACCATACGGAACCTCTTTTACGACTCCCGGTACCTTCCTGACCTCAAAGAAGAGTTTTTTTTTTATTTTTAAAAATAGGAACTTATAATTTTTTTTTCTTAGATAATGATGAACAATAGCGTTGAGTTCAAAGTATTATAAAGGCTTTTGTAAGGTTCGGCTCAAGTCAATCATTTAAGAGGATATATTGCGGGATTATTTGGTTTCTTTCTTTTTTTTTAATTTTTTCTTTTTGTATACTGTCTTTCAAATCAAAGAGCTTGGGGGGTCCAGGTACCATTTGGTAAAAAAATTCTATAGATCTTTGAATGCATATGTGTCACTTTGACTGATGTTACACCGATTGGTTTGCAACCGAATACACAGAAAGGGAATAGAAAGAGCCAAATATTTCCGATTTTAGAGATGAAATCAGTATGAGCCCTGTACAAGTGGACACGAGTGACCCCGAACCAGGATTTTTTTTAAAGAAAAATGCATTTGTAGACTGAATTTGTTACTAAGAAACAGTTTACAGAACATTTCTAACGAATTTATGTGTGAATGCATAGGTGTGCGTACCAATTCTGCTCTATTTGCCCTATTAATTATATTCATCATATTCACCACACTCAACATATTCTTCGTATTCACCATATTCACTTGGTTTACTCGATTCGATAAGCTCGATATGTTCAATTCAAAATACCAATCTAATAGTTTTTTATCTCTTTCTGTATTTGTAGTCGTGTCTAGGCCCGTGCACAGAATAGTATTGTTATTTTGATATATATTTAAAAAATTGAGTCTGTATATATTGCACTGAAAGTCTAAAAAGTATAGATCGGAATTCCTTATAGGAAGCAATGGTCGAGACCTGGTTCCTTAACTAAAACTAAAACAGCACCAAAATTGAAAACAAAATAAAAAGATGAGGACTGACTAGCCTCCTTTGATAACCATGTCTTCAATACCATGTATTAAGAAATCTTTGAATCAATAAACCTCTTTAGCCCTATTGATTTGCACTGTTGTTTCCATTGACACGTTTTGTATTTCTGTAATCATAAGGTCTCCAAGGCGCGCGGGGTCCCCAACGTGGCTTTCTCATCGTTTGTATTCCCGACTCTCACACTGAAACGAAAAAGCCTCTCATTCTTTCTGTATCTGTAGTTTAAAAAGGCCCATGAATAAAACAATGGTTGACCTATGCTGTGCGAGAGATCGCCAGAATTAGAAGGTAGTAGAAACAATTCGTGATACTCTGCACAAGAAGACTTGTTCTTTCCTTACAATTCGTAGGACAAAAAGGAAAAAAATATGTGAATAAATAACAATCCCTTGGCGTAAAAAATACCCAATCAATTGATCAATATTGTACTTTAACTTTTGAATTGGATCAATAAATTGGTTGAGGAGGTTTTCGTAAAAAAAAAAGAAGAAGAAGGAGAACTTGAACACGGAGCAAAGCGCCATATCATGCAAAAATGGCAAGCTAAAGGTCAAAGCAAAAAAAAAAAAAAGAACAATGGCTCTGAGTTTTCTCGAGTTTTCTTATTCCGAGTGTACGCATGGTTACTCATCGATATGCTTTTGGTATTCCTCAAGATACGTCAACAAAATCTTTCTCCGTAAGCCGGGAAATAAAGAAAATCCAGAGGTCTGTATCCGCATGGAACACACAGATAAAACAAAAAGAAAGTAGCCGCCGGTCCGTGCTAGATAAATGATTGGGCTTCACATGTTTATCGTTTGAATTCCATTGTCTTTAAGGTTGTCGCTATGCCAACTTGTACATGTAAAGCTTTTGAGATCCCCATTAGATGAATATGTTCTATTAATATAGTATCTGGAGTATCAGCTAAGACTAGTGCGTTATATACTAGGGCTATCTTATAAAATTCTTCGTAGCCAATTCATTTTGCAGTCCAGAAATATTGGAAATCTAAAATACAAAAAGTTACTCAAGGATGTCAATCGGAATGAAACCAACCTTAAAAAAAAACAAAAAACCAACTCAAGATCAATATAGCCAATCACTGGTACTTACATTTATTTATAGCATAATCTTATAGCCAAAATAAATATGTTCAGTAAGCCTGCAGCCAAAGTAACAAGCTAAAACTACACATCTATTCCGATGGGCCACAAGCACAGACCGTGATTTTCTAATGATGGTTTAGGCGTAACGCATTGACTTTTATGGGGGTACGCGCTATTTCATCTATCAATCTATCCATCTATCAAAACATTGGATTTGTATATTGATATTCATTAAAGCCAAACTTATTTCATATTTGGATGTTGTATCTTTAAATTCATATATTTATAAAGAAAAATCACATACACAGAGTTTGACATTCAAAAGTGGCGTGAAATTTATGAATTGGAAATTATCCCAGTCATATCAAAACCATCAGCTCGTCTCACACTAAAGAAGCTTTATGGCAAGTAGATGATTTGATGTATAGTACATCTTGCCCTATCCTCGCAATCACTCCGCCTCCAACAATGAATTCACTCCCGATAATTTCTAATATAGGGTTATGAAGATATCAAAGAAAAACAATAGCCAGAATATGTTACGAAAACGTATTTTCTTGACTTTATCTTTAACAAGTATTTTATATTAGTAAAAGTAAATTACACAATAGAAATACGGCCATTCCACCTTAATTCACACACAGTAAAATGGTAATAACAACAACAAATGTGGGCTAATAATCATATTCGTTTTAACTTGATAATACACTTGCACAAAACCATAGTCAATTGGAAAAATAAATAATTACGAGAGGGGGGCCGATCCCCTTGCCGTGTACAAGTGAGAGTATAGCGCAAGACATTATTTTAGTATACCAATGTTTGATATATTAGTGATTACTACCAATATACTCCTAGACTACAAATATAAAGGATCATTTTATCATTAGAGCATGCATTTCTATAATATGCCTTGACAATAATTCTGATTTTATACAAATATTTGTATATACATATTGATATTTAAATATTAATGCCATATTTTTTGAAAGGAAAAAAGAAACCTTAATCAAAATATATCAGCACAGTAATATTAAAAAATAGTATTCATTAATAAAAAAACAAAGCTCTTTAATTGAGATTTTCCACAGATTAAGCAAGCTATTTGATCCAAATATTAGAAGCTCAAAGATGTACTAAATTCCTTTAAACTTTCCCAAATCACAAAATTCGAAATGTGAGTATCCATTTTGTTCTAGTGACTGATATAAGTGACTGCTATTTACTTTTCCTGTAGCCACAAGGTTTTGCAGGAAGTTGTTTGTCCCTAACTGTCAGTGTATATTAAATCAAAAAACTACGCCATGTTTGACGACGATACTACTGATCAGCTCTACGATGTCTTTAGTGGAAATGCACCAGTCGAGAATTTCGACGATTCCGCTGATGACATTGAATTCGACATCAAAAACGAACAAACCTCAAAAAATAAACGTCCATTAGACAACGATTCGTCCGACGAGGATGATTCCTTTAGAAAACGCCCTACTACGAACGCTCAAGATGAAGACGACGAAATCCGGCGTTTCAGAGCGGAGGAAGCCAACCAACCTCAACCGATTGTAGCAGATACTTTTGAACAGGAAACGTCAAGAGAAGTTGCAAATATTCCTGGTCTTCAGGCTGCTCCTTCTATTGATGGCGAACAACTCGTATTGAGTCATCAAGTATGTCTAGGCCATCCTTTTTTTCTTCTGTTTTTTATTTAAAAAAAATAAGAGGAAGAAGAAGAAAAGAGGAAGAAATAAACTTATTCCAAAACTTTCTAGGTTAGACATCAAGTTGCAGTACCACCGAAATACGACTATGTACCAATCTCAAAGCATGTCCCCCCAGAGAATCCTGCACGTACATATCCTTTCACTCTTGATCCTTTCCAGCGTGTTGCAGTATCTTCAATTGAACGTAATGAGTCTGTTCTTGTTTCTGCGCATACATCTGCTGGTAAGACTGTGGTCGCCGAATATGCCATTGCTCAATGCTTGAAAAATAAACAGCGTGTCATTTATACATCTCCTATCAAGGTAAATCTTATATATACGCATGAATTATTTTATTAAATATAAATGACTAAAAAACATAATTTACCATATATTACTTGCACTAGGCTTTGTCTAACCAGAAATTCAGAGAATTTACGGAAGAGTTTGGTGATGTAGGATTGTTGACTGGTGATGTGACAATCAATCCTCAGGCATCATGCTTGGTAATGACAACCGAGATTTTAAGATCTATGTTATACCGAGGATCAGAAATTATCAGAGAAGTTGCCTGGGTTGTTTATGATGAGATTCATTACATGAGAGATTCAGGTAAAAAAAAGATAGAAAGAGGGAATAAGATCATCAGATAAGGCAGAGAGAAGGCGGATGCGGTAGATAGGGTTGAAAATCTTTCCACAACAGTAAAACTGACCTTCGACGGTGGAATGATTTAGCAAGAGGTGTCGTTTGGGAAGAATCTATTATTCTACTCCCCCACGCTGTTCGCTATGTGTTCTTGTCCGCTACCATTCCCAATGCAATGGAGTTTGCAGAGTGGATTTGTAAAATCCATGAGCAACCCTGTCACATTGTATACACAGATTTCCGCCCTACACCTCTTCAGCATTATCTCTTCCCTGCTGGTGGTGATGGTATCCACTTGGTTGTGGACGAAAAAAGTAGTTTCAGAGAAGACAACTTCCAGAGAGCAATTGCTGCACTTTCAGAATCTCAGGGAGATGATCCAAGTGGTGCCAAGGCACGCGGTGGAAAGGGTAAAAAGGGCCCAAAGACTGCAAAGGGCGGAGCGAACGATGGACCATCCGACATTTACAGAATTATTAAGATGGTGATGATGAAGAATTACCACCCTGTTATTGTATTCAGTTTCTCCAAGAAAGAGTGTGAGGCAAACGCACTTCAATTGTCAAAATTAGATTTTAATGATGGTATGAAACGCATAATTCTGAAAGTGTACACAAGAAAAAAAAACAATATTAAATATCGTGTATGTGTGTATGCGTGTGATTTACTGTTTAGAAAGTGAACGCGACATGGTCACCAAAGTTTTCAACAATGCAATCTCCTCTTTGGGTGAAGATGATCGTCAGCTGCCTCAAATCCAGCAACTACTCCCTCTCTTGCGCCGTGGTATTGGAGTCCATCATGGTGGTCTTTTGCCTATCATGAAAGAAACAATTGAGGTTCTATTCCAAGAAGGTCTTTTGAAGGTCTTGTTCGCTACCGAGACTTTCTCTATTGGTTTGAACATGCCTGCTAAAACTGTTGTCTTCACAAGTGTTCGCAAATATGACGGAAAACAAATGCGTTGGGTATGTTGGCTATCATATAATCTACTCTGAATATAGGCTTATTTGTTTGTATATATATATATTTTAGGTTACTTCGGGTGAATATATTCAGATGTCGGGTCGTGCAGGAAGAAGAGGTCTTGATGAGCGTGGTGTAGTCATTATGATGATTGACGAAAAGATGGAACCAGATGTGGCAAAGAATATGGTCAAGGTAAGATAAATAATGTGTATAAATGGCAATTTCTCTTATATTTAATTAAATGCACTTGTGTATATAGGGTGAATCTGATCGTATGGACTCTGCTTTTCACCTTAGCTACAACATGGTCTTGAACTTGTTGCGCGTAGAAGAAATTAGCCCAGAGTTCATGCTGGAGCGTTGCTTCCATACTTTCCAAAACGATGCACACATTCCTCAGTATGAAGAAGGTACGGAGTATTGTCACCAATAAATTATAATAACTAACACTTTAATTATAGAACTCAAAAAATTGGAAATTGAGAAGAATAGTATGGTGCTTGAAAGACAGGAGGAGGTTGAAGACTACTATAACCTTAGATCGCAGATTGAGACCTATTCGCGTGATGTTCGTGATGTGATCAACCACCCTACATACTGCCTTCCATTTATGCAACCAGGACGTCTCATCAAGGTCAAGCGGGATGATACAGATTTTGGATGGGGTGCTGTTGTAAACTATAGCAAAGTTGTCCAGAAAGGAAAGCAAGAGTCTGATCCCGAGAATCCTAACTACTTGGTCGATGTTGTCCTCTATTGCAGTAAGGATAGCTCTCCTTCAAAGGACTCCATGGGTCAGACTGTAGGTGTGCAACCAGCACCTGAAGGGGAAGGCATACCAATTGTAAGCAAGGCATAATAATAAGAAGAAGTGGAAAAAAATTATATATATATATTGATGTTGTTTTTTACTAAACTTAATCATTAGGTGGTTCCTGTAGCATTGTCCGCAATTGAGGGCATCAGTCATATTCGTCTCAATCTTCCCAAAGAACTCCGATCATTAGATGCTCGGAATAATGTCCATAGATCAATCCGTGAAGTGCAAAGACGATTCCCTGGAAAGATCCCATTGCTGGACCCAATTCAAAACATGAATATCAAGGATCCTGCTTTTAAGAAATTAGTAGAGGTACGGATTAAAATGGATATTTGATAAGCCAAGTATAGAAGTATGTATCTTACGATTCTTTCAAATAGAAAATTGTTTTGTTAGAAGAAACTCTTCTTGAGCATCCCCTACACAATTCACCAGAATTACCGGCTCTGTATGATACTTATTCCAAACGTGTCGAGATTACCAAGAGAATCAAGGATATCAAGAGAAAGATTAGCGATGCACAGTCTATTATACAACTGGATGAATTGAGAAACAGAAAGAGAGTGATGCGAAGGTAAGATCACTGAAATTAATATCTGTAGATAAAATCTAATATAATTCAAACTTGGCTTAGGCTTGGCTTCACAACATCCTCAGATGTCGTCGAAATGAAGGGTCGTGTTGCTTGTGAAATCAGTACTGGAGACGAACTTCTTTTGACCGAGATGATCTTCCAGGGTGTCTTTAACGATCTTACAGTTGATCAATCTGTTGCGCTTTTGAGTTGTTTCGTATTTGATGAAAAGGTATGAAGAGCATTTCTTAAATAAATGTATATATATATGTTTTAAGTTTCTTGTTATTAACCCATCCGAAACACCTAGGTTGAGCAACAAGCACGTCTTCAGGAAGAACTCGCAGGTCCTCTTAGATTAATGCAAGAAACTGCAAGAAGAATCGCAAAGGTTTCAAAAGAATGCAAGATGGCTGTTGATGAGGATGAATATGTCGCAAAGTTTAAGCCTCAGCTTATGGATGTTGTATTTGCATGGTGTCAAGGCGCCAAGTTCTTCCAGATTTGTAAGATGACTGAGGTTTATGAGGGATCTTTGATTCGTATCTTTAGACGCTTGGAGGAGCTGCTACGACAGATGTATGCCGCTGCGAAAAGTATCGGAAATACCGAACTAGAGAACAAGTTCTCTGAAGGTAAATCAAAATGACTCTTTGAATGATAATAGAGCTTGTGGAATTTACTGAATTTCTCTCGTTTAGGTATTAGCAGAATTCACAGAGACATCATTTTCGCTGCATCACTTTATCTGTAACAAGCTATGTAGTTTACCATATTTCTTTTCTTTATGCATCCTGATTAAATATATAAATATATATAAAAACATTTACGAATTTTACAGCATTTCTAAAGCTTCCTTGACTTATATTGTGTAATAATCACTAATCTCACTTGGGGCCGAGGTTGCATTATTACCATCCCACTGAAGAGCTCTTAGATGATTATTGTACTCGTCTTGCAAGAGTAAAAGCCTCTCATACAACATTTCATCACATAGTTCTGTCTGGTTGAGCTGTGTGACTTTATCTGCGAACTTATTAAAACAATATAATATTTGAGTATCGTATTACAAAAGTCTTCTTAAGCTTACCCAGAGCATAACTTTTTGCCGTGATTTATTTAAATAAATGCTGCTATTAACATCTGCAACTTCTATCTTCGCGTCTTCGAGCTGCAGAATATAGGGAGATAAATCTCTTAAGTTAATATATCCTACTGTTTGTTATTGAAATCCGTGGTTTTATTCTGTTTTCAGCTTGGTCAGTAAGCTGTACCTTTGTTGAAATTTCGTGAGCACGAGCAAGTATATTGTTGGGAAATCCAACAAGCTGCGCCGCCTTTAGGCCTACCAAAAAAAAAGTAAGCTTTCAAAACATAATAGAAATTTAATAAGTATACATACCGTAATGAAGCTTTGTGGTATTGCCATCCTCTACTGTGTATAGAAAATGTATTGCACATTTATCCATTTCATCGGTCTCAATAGATAGATGAGTATAACTGCTTTGATAATGATTCTCTAGAAGACTTACTATATCAACTTTGAGCTGTAGATTAACAACATTTGGATATATAGATAGAGATGTGGTTAGCTGATGTAAATGAGTCGAAAATAAACAGTACGCCTGTACACAAACATGAGCAATAGTAAGTGATAATCGCAGTCTTTCATATACGTATGTAGTGCTTACTTTTGATCTTATAATCTCTTCGCAAATTGCACCAGATATTCCAAGTGCATCGTTAAAAGACGTCCCTGAATATATATATATATATATATATTTAGGAAAAACTGGCTGATTATATCAAGTAAAATATGAATAATCTACCTCGACCAAGCTCGTCTATAAGTATTAAACTCGTATCGTTTATGTTGTGCAGTACATAGGCAGCTTCCCGCATTTCAGACATAAATGACGAGGTATTCATGTCGAGAAAACTGTCATTTGCTAGCCTAGACAGTAGCTACACACCATTTAAGTTTACAAAATCTTTAAGCTAAAATATGTACCTGGTTTGATATACGAAATGAAGCATATTCCGCTGGCACACTATTACAATTATGGTTAACAACTGAAATATATATTTACAAAATATGGCAATAATTAATAATATACAATGATCCTATTTGAGCCATAATCGTGAGCAAAGCAATCTGTTTTATGTAGGTCGATTTTCCACTCATATTAGGGCCAGTAATGAATTGAAAGCTGCTCGAGAGAGAGATATAGGTGTCGTTAGGAACAATTTGGCCTTTACGGATTATATCTAGGATCGGGTGTCGACCAGACTTGATCGCAAATGTGTTTGTAAACTCAGGCCTAACTATACAGAGATTTTGGTATAAAAATGTTTTTCAATTGTTTTTTTTTTAAAAAAAAAGACACTTTTAAAACCCATTGTAATGTACAATTCTTACTATAATGATCACGTAGCATATGATTTTTTGCAAAAGAAGCCAACAAATCAATTGAAGCAATGGATTCAGATAGCTTGTACATAATGCTAATATTAGACCGGATCTTTTCTAAAAGGTTTGTCACAATACTAAAACACAATCAAGTAAGAGTTTTTTTAGGTTTCTTTTTCTTTCAAAATAATTGCTCCAGAGTATACCTATCTGACATTAGATATATTTCTGTTAATGACTCTTCAAGTCTGCAGTTTCGCTTAAGCTAAAAAAGGATTTTTTTAGAAGCTTATTATTCTATATTCTGTGTAGGTCAAATCAAATTTACCAGTTCCATGGTTGTGAATGTTATACTCTTCTTTTTCTTTACTACATTGATAAAGACTGGTGGGAAACTGGGTCCTTTTATTTTATCAAATGAAGCAATAGACAGATGGAAGCCTTTGGCATTTGCAAATTGAAGTTTTATCGGGAGACCAGTGGATTCTATTTGTAGTAATGATATTAATAATAAAATTCTGATTAGTTTTTTCTATAGACGGGATAATATTCAATGCAGCGCACCAATGTATTGAGATGACATCTCATAAATATCTTGAATTGTTTCTTTGTATGCCTGGCGTGCTACAAGACATAAGTTTATAATTGTAAATAAATAACAAATAAAGGTGATATAGAATTAATTGACTTGCCTACATCTAAAAGACCATTGACCCCAGCCTGTATCAAGACCACAAAAATTAGGTATTATAAGTATTAAGCATTAATAATTAATAAACTATCTTACTTTCCTTTACTGCATAACACTTTTGATTTCGTAAACCGAGATTTGATTTTTCGTAACCCACTTCGTCGTTCAGTGTTTCCTTTATTTGCTCCAAGAGAATGTCTAAAATGATTTTAATAATAACAAGGGTATATGTATCCGGGTAATTACTATCTAGGTACTTTTTTTTTTGCAAATTTTCAAATGTAACAAAAGGGGCACTTTCCTAAAATTGGATTTCGAAATATCTACAAGTTAATTCTATTTTAGTACCCGGATTTTGTATTTTATAAAAAGAAATCAAACGATAATATATCATGTAGTAAAGTGATGACTTGCATTCAAAGCTAGTGAAATAACAGTGCTGTTTGAGCATTTTATGATCTCGGAAATATTCTTTATGGTTTTTAGCGCGTTTCGAAGTGTAATAACGTTATTGATCTTTGCCTCAGAGTAACGAGTGGTTTGCTTCTTTGGGATTTTGATAATATCTGAAATTATGTGATCCATGTCACTCAAATATTTTAAGGAAGATTGTATACCAAATAGCATCTCTTCGTTATCAACAAGTTCTTCCACTGCGTCCAGTCTGTCTTGTATTATTTGCTTTTCTGTGAGAGGCTGAAGAATGGCCATCCGCAATAATCGAGCACCCATTGGTGTGCAGGTATGATTCAAAATACCGTAAAGAGTCTCTTTGCTGTGACTTTTGTCACTATTAGTCACAAGCTCCAGGTTTCTTGCCGTGATGATGTCTTATTGGTAGTTAAGGTTAGTTCACGGTACATGTAGAGTTAAAAGAAGGCAAGAAGTTAAAGAGAACACACCAATGAGCATAGTTCCTGTGTTGAAAACGAATACAAGTCAGAAATACGTACTGTTATTTGTTTAGGTTTACCTTGTGCCACTTGGTACTTGAAAAGTATTGTGTGAAGTGCGTATGTAGTATCGTTTCGTTCCAAAACATAACTTGTGTGTGCATATTGGTTCAGCATATTAGATTAAGTATAAAGCGCACTAGCTTGAATATTACCGAAATATGGCTGCAGCGGCTGCTAGGCAATAGTACCTTTATTATATTTCATGTTAGAAAATAATTGATTATAGCGCACTATTATACTTTTTTGATATTCCTAATAAAAGCGTGGAGGCGTTGTCATGAATTCCAAGATCTCTCAAGAAGGTCATACCTAAAGAATAAATCAAAGTTGTATGAGTATAATACGACAACATATGCTAGTAAAGGAAATCTTCAAAGACGGGTTTCTTACCAACATCATCTGAGAAATAGTTGCGTGAAAGCGATTCAATAGATATATTGGGGAATTTCTGCTCAATTAATTGGCAGAGCTTGTTAATTCCATGCTCTAAAGGCATGGAGGCCACAAGAATCTATTTGTGTTTAAATAGGGTAAGTTACTAAGCTCGTATTAATTCTCCAAAGACCTTTTGAGGGTTATTCAAGTGTATTTGATGCAATGTCTTGATGTATGTCTGTGAGTCTGCAAACTATAAAATAAACACACATTATATACAAAAAATAATAATAAGAAAAGTTGATGTGTGAATGAATCCTTAAGTCTTACCTGGGATAATATACACTCATTTGTATCGAGATATATGGTACACATCCCAATCTCTGTAGCCTTTCCACGGCCTTCTGCCAGGGCCATGATATGCTTTCTGTTGGCCCTGACCGCTGTATCAGCAATAGATGCATTTGTCACACTATGGCCAAGTGGTTTTTGGGTATTGACTAATACTAAAGGAAGTTCGATCTTATCCTCGCTGGATAAATATGTTTGTGTTGTGTCTGATATTGAAAATGTTTAAATCGGCATGCTCGTTTGCTTTACTCGCTTGCTTGTGTACTTTCTAATAAACCTAATTACCTGGGGTAGAATATGTTTGCTTCAAGGTTGAATCTGATAACGACATGCTTGTTGTTATTGTTGCTGGTTTGTTACAAGAGAGTAGAATAAAGCAGGTAACGCATTGGTTTATTTAATCCGATGCTTACGTAAATACTATAAGCAGTCAAACTAGTCATGTTGCTCAGATAAATATGCTCTTGTTTCCTGTGCATACAAGAGAGATTTGTGTGTGTATATGCAAGTAATTGTCCAAACCTTTGGAAGACTTCCATATTCTACACATCGAGCAGCGTAATTTCCAAAACCAAATTAAAGTAGCCTTTGAGAATAAATAAATTAATTGGTACATAAATAAGATGCTTATCAAATAAACCAACCCTTTTTCCAAGGAATTAGCGAATGCTTTTTTGTTTCATTAAGAGGTTTAATGATGGTTTTGCGTGTCCGTTACGATCTTTCACTCCAAATAAAGCTGCCTTGAAAAATAATAATACATATATAAAAAGTCATCATATCTTTATTTTTTTATTTTTTTTTCAATTTCCACCCTTTATAATTCTGGAAATTTATATCAAATAAACTTATAAAGAAGCGATCAACATACATGGAAGAATTAACTTTAAGGTCCATTAATCGGCGCATGTCCAGTTTTCGGGCACCATCGTTTAATGGTGATTCGACGATATACGATCTTCCAATCTTCAAGATGAACGATTTATGCGTTTACCTTAAGGACATGGGGTTCAATGTCACAAAAAGACAATTGACGCATCCCGAAGCCAAAGACATTGTGTTGATCTACAAAGGAATCATACAAATTCTCAGACCAAGCTGGTCCCAAAGAATGGATCAAGAACTGAATCAGCTATTATCTCGCTTTGATTATCCAGTACGACTTTTAGGTTCTTTATAGCAATTATTATTATAATAATAACAGTAGTAGTAGTAGTAGTAGTAATATAGCGCTAAAATGATTTACACACAGGACTTAAGAATATCTGTAATTAGTACACATGTTGTAGCAAAGTATATGTAAGTACGCTTTGGTTACGTACTATGACAGATACATTGCTGTACGATTATTGGATTTTTATATTCCTTTATTTCTTTTTCTTTTTCTTTTAGGAAAAGATTGTTGACAGACATTAGATTCAACGAGTTTGACGTCTCAGATATTATACATCCAGATCCTAATCGGCTGGCACGTATCTTAAGTGCAGCAATCAATTATTCGAACTTTACAAACCAATCCTGGGAAAGATTCTACCCATATGTGGCAAAACATGTAACAAATACTTTAGACAAGTGAGCATTGGATTTATGAAGTACAAAGCTGATGAATACGAGTGCTTATATAGAAAGAATTTTCGAGCCGTATACGCGAAACAATGGATGACATAAATGCCCTTCAGAGAGAAAAAAGCCGACTTATGTAAGAGCTATTGATAACACGTTGAATGCAGTACCCTGTCGTTGGTTTAAAGAGATATAAAACCATCTCATTAAAAAAATATACACGCATATAGTGCGGAACGCGTTGCAGCAGAACCTGAAAAGAGACAGATTGAAGAAGAGAATGAAATGTATGAACGGAAACTACTTGTAGCTAGGCAGCACACCGAAGCACTACAAAATAATATCAATGCAATCAAGAAAGAAAAGAATGTTCTCAAGGATACATTGGTAAAGTACCTATATTTTTTAATAATAAAAAATGCAAGCATTCTACAAATTTAGGATTGACTATATGTGGTGATATAGCAAGAGCTACTTTTCAAAGGTCTCAGTATCGATGAAGAACTATCCCAATTGGAGATTCGGCTTCGAATAAACCCAAAAGAAGAAGAGAAGGTAAGCTAACTTGTGATTGTGAAGGGGGAAGAGGTTATAGCTCTCATTATACTGATTGATTGATTGATTGATTATTATTATTATTATTATTATTATTATTATTATTATTATTATTCCTGTTATCATTATTGGACAATTAAATGAAGCTTATTGAAGAGTTGAAACAAAAGATCCAAGAAGAGCATGTTCTGGAAAAGAAGGCAACCGAATCTTTTGAGAGTTTGGTTCGAATACTAGATTTCTACAATGAGATCCGGCGCCAGTACAGTGATGTCAAGGAGATACTTGAGACTCTTTTGGATCTTATGAAAGAATGGGATTCCGAAAAGAACACAGCCGAAGCAGCACATAAAGAGTATATTATTCAAGATACTAATCTCAAAAGTCTCAGGACAAAGAAGAATGTAAAGAGCCTTTTATTCCACTTTACTTTATCTTAATGAACTGAAAGTCTGGATGACTCACGCTTCTCTTACCTTACTCTACTTTCCTTTCTTTCTTTTCAAGCGCCTAGTAAGTGAGATAGATTCATTGAGGCTCAAAGAAAAACAGGACCTAGACGAATTGGAACGGACACGCGAGCATGTTCAGATTCAGTTTGGCCAACTTGAGTTGGTAGGCAAGCAAGCTGCAGAACTCACAAAGGAAGTCAGAAAAGAACTCATTCCTTTACAAACATCAAACGATGAATTAAGCCAAAAGGTACTATTCTATTATATCTATACACAAAAAAAGCGTATATTGTGTAATGCTTTTTTATTTTATTTTATTCGGTGTCTCCCACACTAATACATACATACGCATATTCTGATCAACAGATCAGCGCAAATAAGGAAAGAAACGAGAGCCTTATTTCACAATTGGAGCTAAAATACAAAGAGGTCAATTCCGAGGCTGAGAATATACTGCGGCTCGTAGACAGTATAATAAGGAGCTTTAATAACACCTTGTGAAATCCACGCACCACATCACACATCCCTCTTATTTTTTTCAAAAATAAATAAATAAGCATCTCTATCTATTGCATTGGTTTATCCTATTCGATTCTTTCATATTGAATCCTTCCACTCATTTTGTCTCAAAGCATTTAAAGCAACAGCAGCAACAATAATAAAAGAGAGAGAGAGAGAGGAATTATTTAAAGACAACAATAAAACATGTTTATTATTCAGAATGAGAGATGAAGAAGGGAGAAAACTTTTAGTACTCCTCAGCCTCCTCAATCTCAGAGTCACCAAGAGAGTCGGAACCAACTTCTTCGTAATCCTTCTCGAGGGCAGCCAAGTCCTCACGGGCTTCGGAGAACTCACCTTCCTCCATACCCTCACCGACATACCAGTGGACGAAGGCACGCTTGGCGTACATGAGATCGAACTTGTGGTCAAGACGGGCCCAGGCTTCAGCGATGGCAGTGGTGTTGGAAAGCATGCAAAGAGCGCGCTGGACGGTGGCAAGATCACCTCCGGGGACAGCAGCAGGGGCACGGTTGTTGATACCAACCTTGAAACCGGTGGGACACCAGTCGACGAACTGGATGGTGCGCTTGGTCTTGATGTTGGTGATGGCGGCGTTGGTGTCCTTGGGGACAACATCACCACGGTACAACAAACAACAGGCCATGTATTTACCGTGACGAGGGTCACACTTGACCATCTGGTTGTTGGGCTCGAAACAGGCGCTGGTGATCTCCTGGACGGAGAGCTGCTCGTGGTAGGCCTTGGCAGCAGAGATGATGGGGGCGTAGGTGACGAGAGGGAAGTGAATACGGGGGTAAGGGACCAAGTTGGTCTGGAACTCGTTCAAATCAACGTTGAGGGAACCATCGAAACGCAATGAAGCGGTGATGGAAGAGACGACCTGGGCAATCAAACGGTTAAGGTTGGAGTAGGTAGGACGCTCGATGTCGAGGTTACGACGGCAGATGTCGTAGATGGCCTCGTTATCGACCATGAAGGAGACATCGGAGTGCTCAAGGGTGGTGTGGGTGGTCAAGATGGAGTTGTAGGGCTCAACAACTGCGGTCGACACCTGGGGAGCGGGGTAGACAGAGAACTCGAGCTTGGACTTCTTGCCATAGTCGACAGAAAGACGCTCCAAAAGGAGGGCACCGAAACCGGAACCAGTTCCACCACCGAAGGAGTGGAAGACGAGGAAGCCCTGGAGACCGGTACAGTTGTCGGCCAACTTGCGGATGCGGTCCAAGACAGAGTCAACCAACTCCTTACCGACGGTGTAGTGACCACGGGCGTAGTTGTTGGCAGCATCTTCCTTGCCGGTGATCAATTGCTCTAAGATGATTGAGATGAGATGATGAGATTAGGAATGTTGAAAAAAAAATAGAAATTTAAAAGAATAGACCAAAGCTTAATCTTTCTTTTGTTCTACACAAAAAAAATACATGCACTGCAATACTTTACCAGGATGGAACAACTGACGGTAGGCACCAGTACGGACCTCGTCAACAACGGTGGGCTCAAGATCGACCATGACGGTACGAGGGACGTGCTTACCACCGCTGGTTTCGCTGAAGAAGGTATCGAAGGAGTTGTCTCCAGTATCGAGCTCCTTGGGGATGTTACCATCGGGCTGGATGCCGTGCTCAAGGCAGTAGAGCTCCCAACAGGCGTTACCGATCTGGACACCGGCCTGGCCAACGTGAATGCTGATAATCTCGCGCATGGTGTATGTAAAGTGTGTGTTTTTTTTAAGTAAAGGGGGGGTTGTAAAGTCGAAAGTTCAAAGTTAGGGGAGAACACCGACAGGTATGAAAAAACAACAACAACAAGAGCAATTTTTGGTGGGTTTTATAAGCGGAGGAAAATTAGATTTTTTACGATTTTTTTTTTGGACTTTTTTTTTTCTATTCAATCTACGCCCTCCAATCATAAACATAAAGTAATCTAAAAATGGCAATCACGCCTCGTGTATTCGCCCCCTCTCCTTCTCTATCCTTGTGGTTCAATGGCCTGAAACAGCAACAGCGCTTGCTTCTCTTTGTCGTAAAGTTGGCCGTCCAGCGGCTTGCCCTCGTGTGTGGTAGCGTGGCGAGGGTCACACAGCCAGCTCTTGGTCGCAGGATCCAAGAGGTGTTGTAGCTGTGGGTCTGCTTGTAGTATCCGGCTCCATTCAGCCTGCAATTTTACTGCAGGGCCTTCCAGGAGATGCAATGACATGGCTGTAGCTTGCTTATCCTGTGTAAAATCACGACACTGCGTCCAGGTGTGACGAGCTGGGCCTTGCATGTAAAAGGCAATTGACTCGGGTTTAATCAGGTGGAGCTCCAGTCTTGCCCAGCCGAACTGTTCCTGGTGCGGCACAAGTCTGATCTTCCGAACCATATTTGTACCAAACTCAAGTTTGAACCGTGTTTGGCCATCACATATACACCACACCACCTTTTGACGTTTAGGGTCTACACTACAGACCAAGTCCTCCGAACCCAGTCGCATTCTCTTCCAACTGCCAATCTGCAGTGTTTCGGCTGATAAGACATGCTCCGTTCCCAGTGGCGATTCTGAATAAAATAGATTTTTATTTTAATTTAATTTAATTTAATTTAATTATTCTTATTTCTCTTTCTAAATGATTAATATCCGCCTATCTTTAAAGCCGCTCAATATTCTATATATATAAATAAATAAATATATAGATTGGTTTGACAAACATACCTGTGTTTAACATCATGGATGAAAGAGACAGCATATCTGCGGGCCATGCACATCCATTTTCTGGTAAGGTAGGCATAGTAGAATTCATAGCATAACCATAGGCAGTAGATACTGGTGTTGTTGTTGGTGTTGTAGTTTGTGCTTCGACGATCGTTGTCATGGAAGGATAGGGCATTGCATAATTTACTGTTGATGTATTGGTCGTATGGATCGTATTGCTGTTATTACTATTATTACTATTATTATTACTATTACTATTATTATTATTGCTATTATTACTGGAAGGTTGAATTGTGTTTTGGAGCATTTGAGATACAAAAGACGCGTCTTCTGGAGAAAGCTGGCCAAACCCATTCGGAGAAGGTTCCGAGGCCCAGTTTGGTGGTAGCGCAGGAGATGCAGAGGCATAGTAACGCATCCGCCGGTCGGCAATATCGGCGTTAGTCTCATATGGGCCCTGTCGATCGTGCTGCTGTCTGTGAGCCTCTCTTAAATAGTATGGATATGGGCCAGCGGATAATGCTCGCATTCGACCCGAAGCGTCTTGGAGACGACGTTGTTGGTTATGTAGTGAGCTGGACATAACAGGAATGTGGTTTGAAAGAACGTTGGTGGTTAAACCAGATGGCATGGGTGGAGGAGGAGGTGGTGGTGGCATATTGGCAAGAGAAAATGGAGGTGCAGATCCAGTATTCATATTCATAGTCGTAGTTGGAGTCGTAGTTGGAGTAGTATTATTAGGGGTAGTGCTAGGCATATACGTAGCTGGCAATAATGAACCATAAGCGTCTGTAGGACTCATCATGTCATGCATTAGGGTTTGTTGATGCTGTTGCTGCTGCTGCTGTAATTGTTGTTGTTGCTGCTGCAATTGCTGTTGCTGTTGTTGCTGTTGCTGCTGTTGCTGTTGATTAAAGTAATAATAATAGTAGTAGTAGTACATATCAGGGTTCGTTACGGCTGGGTTATCTGATGGTGTTTGCTGATTATTGTAGGCTGCTGCTTGGCAGGCGGCTGTTGCAGCTGTTGCGGCATAATGTTGCATGCGTAAGGTTTCTTCATGGAGTATCGTCGATCGTTTGGCTTGGTTTTTGACCTTTGCTCTTCTATTTTGGAACCAAATCTGAATGGACCTTTCTGACATGGCGAGTTCTTTTGACATTTGTTCACGCATCCGGTTATTCGGTGATGGATTGATACTAAAGGTTTTTTCCAATAATTCCAATTGTTTTGGGGTTGCTCTCATCCGCTTACGGGCAGCAGCGGCGGCATTAGACTTAATTGCCGCCTTTTCTTCCTTGTCAGATTTCTGGTGCGAGGTGTGTGGCGGGGAGCATGGGCCAGAAGACATGGATGAAGAAGATACTGAGCGAGAAAAGACCTGATGTTCCATTATTGGTTGAAGAGGAAGATGCTGCTCTGGATGTGATTGAGGGCTTTTATTATTATCGTTCTGAAACGTGGTTGGAGTCATTAAAGGAATAAGTGTCGAGTCGTTTGCCATTGAAGATTTTAATTGATGTATTGTTGCTTAAAAGACAACAATAGGAATATTTAAAAAAATAAATAAAAATATTAAAAAAAAAAAAAAAGAAAAAAAAATATAAAGTAATAAATGATATTAAATTTTTGTAATCAATATGGTCCTCAAATGGACCGAATCAAAGAGGCGAGACTTTTAAAGTAGGGAATAAAAAGAATATTGGGGAGACGAAGGGGGGATTGTGTAGCACAGTAGAACAGTAATAAAGTCGAGAAGATCAACCTTTATTTCTTTTTGAATATTTGATTGTGGGTGTGGCATAGCGTTAATTGACAGGTTACCGTATCAAGTATAGTTTTCAGTGAAAATATCGTGTCCGATATATCGACCGCTTATTTAACCACCCTGCTAGTAAACCTCAGGAATTAAACCTAAATAAAAGACAGGAAAGAACTTGAAATAGTAAAATCTAAAGCTTCTTTGGATAAATGTAATGTGTATATCTTTAACTGTATTTATCATAGATCCAGGTATTCTACATTGGCGATCGGTTTGTTGTATTCTTGCTGATCATTTTTTTTGGGTGGTTTTAAACAAAAGGGTTTGAGCTACTTACTAAAAGTAAATGGTATCGATATATAATGGATAAATAAGTAAATCAATACATATAAAGCTTCCCGTTTATTTCTTTAAAGAGAAAGTATCTTACCAAATATTAAGCATACATATTGACACTCACGGCGCATGTGATTGGCGAAGGACAATTCATATAATTTACTGTAATCTATTGATTCAACTAAACGACTTTATCCGAACTTTCCACCCTGAGATCTTGTTTCACAGACCCTCACTAAGACGCATTAACACTACAACGTGTTGTGTTGTGGAATATATATAAATATATACATCTATATTGTGATGTAGAGAACATGGCCTGACATTTTGGTCCATCGGCCTCTCAAGTAAATCAAATAAAATAAAATAAAGTAAAGTAAAAGCTAAACCCCTTCCTAGATTTAGTTATCCAATGCTTTCACACGTTGCTTCATATATACATCTTTAAATTGTTATATTAGAATCATTAGTTTCTTTTATTACTATCATTAATATTATCATTATCATTAATATTAATATCAATATCAATATTTAGTATCATTAACTATCATGTATTAGAAATGACCTCCTTCTTCGGAGTGATTGTCAAAATAAAACACAAGAGCTGTTGTTAGATTCGGGAGTCTATTATATATATATATATTACACATATATATATGTGTGTATGTGTGTGTGTGTGTGCCTTTTTCCTGTTCTCTAAACAGATTGGCGTAAGACGCGTTTGTGAGACCTTGTCGATCGGAATGGTGAGTTTAATACGGCGCATCTCAAAGACCAAGAAAGCAGATATATCTGTCTTGTCTTTTGTATTTTGTTCAATTTCATCATTTTCTAGGGCTTGTCTAGAGCGATCGTTGGACAAACTTTTTTTTTGTTGTTGCCCTTATTTCTACTTGCTCCTTGATTATTGTAATAGTGTACCATGGAAGAAAAAGAGAAAACTCATGTCATACCAAAATGACAACGTGGTTTCTGGAGACTATCATGTCCAACATTAAACCCTGTCATGAACAATAAACAGGAAATTGAGAGCTTATTAAGTATCTGTGAATGCCTGAATCCGGGCTGGTCGTATCACATTTTGTTATTTTGTTATTTTGTTATTTTTTGGGTGGTTGGTAAGGAAGTTTTGAATATAGATTTTTTAAATTTCTTTAAATATTTAATATATAATTGTTTATTAATGATTTATTAATATTTAATATTTGATATTTAATATTCAATATTCAATCTTCTAGAATATATGCACAGAAATGAGATTATAAAAAAGAAAAGAAAAGAAACGGCAAAAAAGGGGGGAGTGAAGCAAAAAGAGAGGGTATAATTGATAAAGAGAAAACATTAATAAATAAATAAATAAATAAATAAATAAATAAATAAATAAATAAATAAATAATTGACTAACTAACTAACTAACTAACTAACTAATTATATAAAGATCGTATTTCTTTTATATATCCAAATAATCTGGTGGTGGTTTTGAAGGCACTCTGTCAAGGATAGGCAGGGACTGGTCATATGGGAGATGTAGACACTGGGATGCTAATTCTAATTGACGGCAAAAGTCAAAGTAGCATGGACAGTAGTAAGTCTTTGTTCTGTCCACCTTGAGTGGCACTGACTGACTACTACTATCATTTGAAGCAAGTCCATTCTTGGACTTGAGCATGGTGTTGATATCCGGTGGCTTTACACCCAGCTCAAAGTATGATGGCAGCCGACTATAGTCTTCTTTCAAACGACAATCGAATACAGTAATGGGAGTTTCGAGAATAATGGTTTCCCTTCGACGTCCATCTACTACATCGTCCTTTTCATTGCGAGCTTTGCGTAACCTCAAAAACACGTTTTGCCAGCCTCCGCTAACCCCCTGTTGAGTAGTGTTCTGTTGGCCAGACGCGTGGTCGGTCGAGGAGGTCTGTTCGGGATTACTGTGAAAGCTGTGGAGTGAATGAATACTTCTGTTACTGCTGGAACTATTCACCCGACTCAGAACTGGCATTCCATCGTCGTCTGGATAGGAAACTACGATATTAATTTCCAGGTGGTGTCGGAACAATATTTCCTTGAAATGGGTTGTCGGATGAAGGTTCTGTTGGCAGGAAGGAGTTGAAAAAGCAATTCGGTGGGCAAAAGTGTCGATGAGGTCAATGCCATTTCCATCTTTTTCAAACGCCTGACGCACTTCATCTGAAGAGTCCATATCATCCCCAGTTCCTCCTTCAGATTCTCCATTGCTAAATATCCTAGTCGCACCAGCAAATGGCATTTCCATATGGTCTTGGTTTGTTCGCCAGGCTCTCATCTCTGGCACACAATATCGTCGAGATTCAGTCACTTTGACCTCCATATGCTCCAGGCGAGTGTGCTTGCGCTGAGGCTGAATTATGACACGGATGTAAAAGAGATCGCCAGATGAAAAGGCGGCAGCTTCAATCATCACCTCAATATCACCTGAAACCAAGTGCTTCTCAAAGGTCCGAGATAGATCCTGGATCGAATTATTGACCAGAAGCGAATTGGACATGTAGCATCGAAGCACAAGTACTGGTCGTTGAGCCTTCCAACTATTCAAGATAGGAATACCCGTTCGAGACACCTGGGCCTCCACCACATGGCGTACACGTCCATAAACATCGTCTATAGTTTCTATAAATGACTAGTAAAACCAGAATATTTAGCGTTTACACATTTTACAAAAGTACGCATTCATATATACAAACTTACGTTCGGAATTACAAAGGCAAATGAAAATCGGTGTGTGCCTTCACTTAAGAGAACGGCTTTCCGGGTTTCATTTTTTGAAGGCACCAATTGCAACTTTTGCTCAAAAAGCGCTGTCTCAGATGTCAAACGAGTTCCACGTGCGCCAATCCCTGTCAGACAAAAAGGATAATAGGATTGCCAAAAAAAGGAGGGGAAAAAGAAAGAAAGAAAGAAAGAGAGGTTGTCACATAAGCCACTCTTGTACACACAAATATGTATTTTTTTCTCACCCTCGGGCCAATATGTGCTCGAGATGGACTTTAAGGTTACTGAAATGGAGGCAATCTTTACTGGTCGGGTTAATGTCAATACTACATTGCCGGAAAAGATTGATGACGAATCTTCAGTATTTGATCCTCTGAGAATAATAGGCTTGATAGGATCGAATGACAATGTCTCTTGGGAGAGAATGCTGAGGTACATCACAAAGCACGAACAAACAAGCAAAAAAAAAAGAAGTAGAAACTTTAACCTATTTTTTTTTGTTTTAATAAAAAAAATCTTTGTATTTTCAAGAACGACAACGTCGTATGGTGTATCAATGTGTGTTAGTGTGGCGAATGGGGAAGTTAATTTAAAATACACCTTTAAGGGTAAATAGTAAATGTATCTTAATAGTAAAAAAAGAAAAGAAGAAGAAGAGGAGGAAGAGGAAGAGGAAGGAGGAGGAAAGGAATAAAGAAATCGATAAAGACCAATTAGAAAACGACGTTTCTGATAGTAATATCTCCTCAGCAATACATATAGAAAGTGTTTAGTCCCAGACAGTTTATGAAAAGTGAATCGATCGCAAGGTGAAAAATCTCTTGGACATGAGCGACTTATAGAACGAGCATCTTTCAAAATAAAAAATAAAACTCTGTTTCCTGTAATCCAATAGTGTTGTTTTACTGGTTCTAAATTTTCCCGTACAATCCCAGCATATTTTCTACATATTTTTAACTGGCTTTTTAATCCAGATTGCATGGATGATTAACCAGTAGCAACAGCAGCACCAGAAGTAATAATGAGAGAGTCGATCGATTGGATAAGCATAAACTGAAAGGCGGATTGTTTGTTTTAATTTTAAACATCCTTACATAGATATATACACTTGTCAAGGCCATGTCATTTCAAGTCATGATGTTTCATGCCATTTCGTTTCAAATACACCGTTAAGTTTATTGGGTGGTTTTTGCTACAGTTTTTGCTTACAATTTGGCAAGAGAGAGAGAAAGGGAAGGCTTGTAGGCCAATGTTTAAAAGAATCAATACATCTTCCAGCGACCACCGCCGACATGCCTGCGAGATTTAGAGTTTAAAGTCTGTCGTTCACCCAATTAATTGTGACTTGGATTGGCTAAAATTAATATCAGAATCTTAACGTGAGATTTACATAGAAATAACAATAATACATCACATCCAAAGTTGTAAATTTTGCGCCTTCATTAATTGATGTTTTCATTAAGGTGCTTTTTAAACTTTTATTGTTGAATAAATAAAAAGGTATTTATATATAAGACCGCTTTTTTTCCTATTGAATTTATATACAAAAAGCGATTAGTCTAAAAACACAATCAGTGATTTCGGGAGTTGTTGGATCAAATATACCGATTTATCTACACCAAAGATACAAAGCCCTCGATCAAAATCAAATTTATTATAAATCTTATATATAGATACATGCTTGTGTATGTATGTGTGCATTCTTTTATTTACGTAATTTTTAAGATTGATCGAATTGACCATCTACAGTTCATAATAACAATAAGATCCTACTATAAAGGTATATTGTTTCTTTATATATATATATTTTAATATTATAAAAACAAAGATTGTATCTGTGCGTTGGCTCAAACAAACAAAAAAAAAGGCTTCAAGTTTGAAAGCTGTCAATATATAATCAACTAAAGATCTAATCATCAAATCAATATTCCAGTACGTACAAATTAGGTATTGTCTACTAACTATTGACAATTAGGTACTGAATTTAACTTTATTTCATTTTTTTAGTGGGGTTTGACGATCTTTGGCAAGTCAGATATATAAACACACACACACACAAATACATATTAAGTAGGTATCATACTTAAATATAAATATATATATAAATGTTTGCCATGGTAATTGCTTAATTATCTATTGTCACCATGGTAATGTCGGAGTTTAAGTGTTCCAAAAGAGGGATTACAATGATGTCTCAACTGATGGAAAGGCGTGGGAAGGCTTTTATAAGCACCAAGACCTAAACTCTCTCCTTCCTTTCCTTCAAAAACATCTTTTTTTTGTTTTCTTCTTCTTCTTTCTTTTCTTCCTTCCTTCTTATCTTTCTCGCTATTCCTTACTTATCTATTTATTCTATAAGAGTGATTGTATCGATAGCAACGGAAATTATGGACCGTATTCCACTTGAGATCCTCTTCAAGATCCTCGGTCACGTCCCACTAAATGAGTTTTCAATTCTATACAAGATATTTCCTGCCCCAGTTCTTGCCCAAGTACTGGTCATGAAGTTACGTCGAGAGGGTCCGCCCCTCGACCTTGTATCCACTAATCTTCACGAGCTCCATGCCCCGCACTCACCAACCCCCACCCACAAAAAAAACGAGTCTTTGTTAGCACTTTATTTTGCAACGTTTGACCCTGCTCGTTCTTTGCTCTGGTTCCTGCCAAACTTTCAATCATCTAACTATTACTTCAAGGTAAAGAATTCGTATGTGTCGCACGGAAAGCTTGTGGTTCGGCCTCATGGGCGGGCAGCCCAACGAGAGCATTGTCTAGGGTTACTTGGGGACATCGGAAAGCATGTGCCTCCTCCGCGCGCAGGTACCTTTTCAGGTGCAACCGAAACATCCATGCTCGCCAAGACAGTACAGGAAATAACTCTTCACAGAGGAGATTGTCTCGTTGATGCATGCCTGATGGTTGGCTCCAATCACATCTCTCAACCTTTGCCTTTACCCAAGCAGGCCATGCTTTCAACAAACTACACGCGACAGCCCTTATCTCCATCATCATTGTCGTCGTCACAATCGGTAAACCTCATGCCCGATCCTACCACATGTGGTTACTTTATTGTTGAACGAGTAGCGCTCACACTGCCTGCCTTTTTGGCTCTGTATGAGACCTAGAGAATACACACGTACAAAAGAAACAAAAAGGGAACCTCTTTGCTATTTTCTTAGAAACCAAGAACACAATCCAAAAAATCATATTCTATTCTTCTCCACTCCCTTTTTTTTTCTTTCCCTTCATCCATATTATTCATCCAACCATTCATTCTGTATAGCATAAATCAAAGTCCCTTGTAAATAACCCCTATCCTTCCTCATACTTCATTCCATTTCAACCATTATGATATATACACATATATATATACCATATATTCAATGTTAATAATAAATAAAGATATATATATATATATAAAAGATAAAAAAAAATATAAGAACAAAGCACATTATTACACCCACATTTCTACAATCTCTAGCTTGTATTTCTTCATATACACAAAGGATAAAGTTTTGTAATACCCTGACTGAGATATTGCATTTGTGTTCACAAGTCTTGTACAGCATTTTGATTTATCTAGTTATTTATGTAATGTTTTTATATATGAGACTTTCTGTTAGTTTTTTTTTTATTAAAGACTTTTTGACAGTCTCGACCACATAAAGATCAAATTTGATATCTATGGGGCGACTCCCTCGACAACTTGATAAAAGGTTTTTCTTTTTTGGACGTTTTGCAAATAAATCCCCAGAGTGCATCTTCGTGTGTTCAGGCTGAAACACGTTTGAATATGAGTACAAGCATGTAATTACTGATTACTGTGCATATTTGTGGTGAAATTGACATTCTCCTTATTTATTTTGACTCTTTGTGTATGTATGTGTGTGTGTAAATGAAAAAAAAGAAAAAGTCAACATGCTAATGTTCTTCTAAATCCAACACCTCAAGGCTTGTACATAGGGCTGATAGATCTGAGATGACATGTTTTGAGGTAGATTCAATTTTGTTGTAACTAACACGCAATGAAGAGAGCCTTCCTTGACCGATTTTAAAAATGTGTTTTAGACACTTGCCTGTGAGCAGGTTACTCCTCAAGTCAACATGACGGGGACACCTCATGTCAGTAAGCAGCTTGATAATAGCATCGTCATCTACATGCATAATACATACATTTATTATTACTCATTCTATTTTACAAGTTTTTTGTTTTGTTTTGTTATGTTTTACATTTGCATTTGCATTTAAATTTAAATTTACATTTACATTCACATTCACATTAATATCCTTATTATCTATCACGTATTGCTTACCCAACAGATTAGCTGATAAATCTAAATTATCTAAAGGTCCCTTTCGTGCTAATAAAAATCTCAGAACAGGGACGTCTTCTGATGATAGAGCTGAAATAAGAAAAAAATCGATTAAAGAATAAATTATTAGTATTGTTAATATATTTTCTAAAGATAAAGTAAAATAAAGATAGAAAGGGATAAGGGAGAAAGAAATGAGGGGGGGGGGGGGGGGGTTTATGTGCTATTTCAATTAATACAGGAGTTTATTAATAATAACAATAAGTAATGTCAGGACTGAGTACTAAGGACTAAGGGTATAAAAGAAGCTCAAAAGAACCCTGAACATACCTAACCCACTCAAATTCAATTCATTATCAGTATGGTCTTTGAGTGCGTCCTTGAGACGTGGGACTATAGGAATCTTGAGGCGGGAGCAGACATTTTCATAATACTCATCTAGTCCCTTTTGATGGGCTTTTTTAATTGCAGTGCAGTGCATTTTGTTTTAATTTGGTTTCAGTATGAATAATAAAAAGAAAATCACTTGACAGATGAGAATTACCTTTCACATGGACTCGGATTTCTTGTTTGTGTCCTTTAGAGATTTGTATTTTAGCTTCTGGAGACTGTACTTTTGAACCATTTATGATCAAGTAATCAATAGAAATCTACAAAGCAGAGAGGGGGGGGGGGGGGGATAAGAGAAAAATATGAACATTTCCCTCTCACTCGTATACTCATATATATATATATATATATATATATTATATGTGTGTTTTATCTTTATCCCTAATTTTTCTTATTTGGCTTGATCACTTACTCTTTCACCGTATATTCTCCAAGTCTTATTAATGAGTTGTCTCGATATCCACTTTACAGTAGTGTACTCTTTTAAACAACTCAACCCGATGACAACTTGAGTGCCTTTGATATTAATACGCACTCTAAGATTCTGAGAGAATCACACCGAATTATTATCATAAGTAAATAATCAAGTAAATGGATTTATGAGTAAATTAATCAGATATCTTTTCTTTTATTTCTATCTTTCTGTGCCCTTAAGAACAAGCGTCTCATTGATTTTATATGAATTACCTTTTGCAAAGGATCGATGTCATCTGTTTGAGGTCCACTTGTATTTACTATGCCTGTCTTTTCAATATCCTCTGCTAAGCTTTCCTCCTATTCCATGAAAGCATATATAGTTTCAAACAAAACAAAAAACAAAATAAGTTTGGTATTCTACCTTTAACCTTTTTTTTTGGCTCAGTAACATTACTATCCAATTATTAACTTACCAGATCATGATACTGTTCTTTGGCTGCTTTTGCTATCACGGCCCACTTTTCAGAGGTGGCTTCCTTGTCATAATAGCGACACAGTCTTATCATTCGTTTATAAACCTTGATACAATTTTCAAGATAAAGTTTTCTGGTCTTAATTTCGCGGTGGATAATGAACAATATGGTCTGGTTGAAAGCTAATTGTACATCATACGGCTAGTATATTTTAGAGTAGATAATTGAATACACTGTTATTCACCAAGCAAACACACACACACACATATATATATATATATACCTTTAGAGTAGTGTTTTCGCTAGACTCTGCTTCAATATGCATAAGTCCAATTTGGACCATAGAAGACATCTCATCTGTATGTTTAAAGCCAGGGATAATATTTAATAGGCCTTCTGCTGCTGACTTGGCAGCAGCTCGTTTCATTCCAACCTCAAGGAAGATTTCGCCTAATTGATGCAAAATATTATTACTATTATTATTAAGTTTCTTTTTTCTTAGTTTTCTCATTAATGTTTTTTTTAACTATTCTACTTTCCTAGTTCAAGATACAATTTAGCTCGACCCAGAGGTTCTTCAAGTGGTACTTCTTTTATCTCTTTGTGAATAGATTCAATGTCCCACACCAGACTGGTAATTTCTGAGTGCAAGCTTTCGTCTTCTAGCTCAGTAGTTAAGTCTTTATATATATATATATATGTATAGGTAATTAGAATGGGTTAAAATTATCTTGATTATCAGTTGTCGTTCTGTCCATTTACCTTTGATTCTTTTAAAGTGCTTTTTGCATTCATCGAATTTTTCAATCTCCAGATAAAGTTTGACTTTATTATATAATAGTTATTTAAAAGAAACAGAATAGTCGTCAATTAGTAAAATAAAAAGGAGAGCATCTTACACCCACACCCACAAAGATAGAGAGAGAGAGAGTTAAACTTACTGTTGTCAATTCGACAGGCCACTTCTTCTTCTTTTAAATTAAGCATCTTTGTGATCTTGATTTCCTTCTTTTGGCACATCATAGCGCTATCCCAGCGTCCATTACGTTGAAAGAATTTACCAAACTCATGCCAGCATTCTCTTTCTGCCTCAGGGTCATTAAGTTTCTGCGCTAATTCTGTGGCAGCAACAAAGAATCTTTCTGCTTTAAACTCTGGATCATGGATCTTGCTCAATATGACTCCCATATTAACGTTTGAAGACAGGATTAGTCTGGAGAAGGTCTCATCACAGCTATCCGTCGACTCTTTATATATATTATTTTTTATTTGGAGGTTCAAAAAAAAACACACACACATAAAGGTTAATATGAGATTCTTCTTCTTTTATAATTACTATTTTAAAAAAGGAGGGCTTTAAACCTTTAAGGGCTTCAAGTACATCTCGTTCCAATGAATAATTCTCCCAAGCATTCTGAAAATCACTGAATAATGCTTCTTTCTGATTGTGTCTAAATCAATGTATAGATCCTCTTTAGACTTCGTATATATATGTGCATATATGTATGTATATATAGAGATATTCTTCTTTACCCATTTGTATAATACAAATCACCCAAGGTTTTGTAAACCCTCTGTATTCGAGAGATATCTACTGGGGAATTCCTTTTCAAGATAACCAGTAGTTTTTTACAGCCCCCGACAGCACTTTCATGAAAGTCCAATCTACAAAAAAAGGAAAGGAAATAAAGAAACACATATAAAAAGAAAGAGGTTTTAACCACATGTGTGTGAATCCATTCTTGAGTTTCTTTGGTATGAAATTTTGAAGAAGTTATATATATATATATATATATATTTGGTGGTGGTGGTGGTGGTGTAGTATTTATATTCACATATCAAATAGTATTAAAATAATAAAGGAAATTTACTTTTTGTAGCATTGAATCAGCAATTCATATATTCTATGAATATATTGTATTAGCTATCTCATTTTGCATACACGCATGTATATACATATATATATATGTGTGTGTGTTCCTTTTTTTAGGGTATATAGCATCGCACAACTTTATAATTCAGTTTGTCGTGCTGTGTCTTGCCTTGCCAATATCATATCTTCATGGCCCTTCTTTCGATAAACATTATTGCATATTCTGATTGCTTTCTGAAGATATTCGTTCAAGTCACGTTCAATTTCATCTTCTGAAAGTTTATCATCCAAATCATCGCATCGTTCAATGTACAATTCTGCAATTTCAAGTAGAAGATTTGTCGTGTCTAGTTTTGTTTTTTCGTAATGTTTTAATAATAGCTGCTTCTGTGCAATCAGATCTCCGTAATGTGTACGATCAGAGAATTGAATTCCATACACAGCTCGTTTTCCCATTAGTCCAGAAATATCTCGGATGATGAAGGATAATTAATAGTTAATGATAATGATAATAATGATTGTAATAAAGAGACTCTGCCTTTGGAAACATACTTCTTTTTTTTTGGGTTCCTCTTTTGGGTCCTCTTTGGACAGACAGTCACATTTACTACGTGCATTGAAAGGAATAAGTTACCCCGCTCTTAATACTAAATTATACTACACTGTACTGCACCACACTACACCACACTACAATACACTATACACAAAAACAAGCAAATAAGCAAGGTGTTCCTGAGAACAAAAAAATAAATAAAAAGAAGAATATAGTACTTTATTATTTTAGCAATTTCAAGAAAAATAAATCGCTATGGATGAACATGGATTCGAAGCTAGATTACGCCACGTCGAGCACATCCTTGTAGGCCAGCAGGCATTGTACCTTGCACGAGCTACCAAACTTCCTTTGTTGCAACGGATGGATGCGTTGAGAAAAGAGCTTCAAACAGTTTATAAGGGCAACAAAGGAATTCAAGACTTTATTGACAAATGTAAGTAATTTTTTTCTTTCTTTCTTTAATCCTTTCATTAAAAAAAATTATCTGAATTCAAAGCTTAATTATAGATGATGTCCATGCGAAACTACTCAATCCTGCAAACTCAACATTTCTGATGGAGCGCGAGTTTCTGGCTCCAGAAGCAAAACTTGAATTGGTGATGGCTGCACTTGAAGACATGGAAACCTTTGCAAAACAAGTCAAGCAGGTTAAATCATTAGAGCATGTTGTGAGTGGTGTTGACTTTGAAGGTGAGTTTTTACTGTTTTTAGCTTTTTTTAAAGCATTTATCTTTAATATATATATATGCATAAAGATGTGTGTATCTGAGAAAAATAAAAAAATAGCAATAATGAAAGATGATTATTAACATCCAAACTATATGTTTTCTTTCTTTCTTTCTCTTAGCGGTTCAAACCCTTGGTCCTCAATTGACACCTCTGGAGGCAATTCATTCCGACCAGGCACGCGAATTGAATGAATTGACTCACAAGGTGTCTAGCCTTATGGACAATTATAATGGCCTTGTAAGGAAAAGAAGAAAAACCGACATTTTGTGTTTAATCATTGTAGGTGTCTGATTACTTACACTTATCACTATTATGTAGATTAACACACTATCAGAAATATTCATTTCTTGGGATGATATTCTCGGAACAATGGAATCCCATGTGTCTGCCTTGGAACGTAAAAAAGAGGTTGTCTAAATCTACTAGTGATTGTCACACACCCAAACATACACTTACACATATTATCTGACTCTCTCTCTGTCTATTTATCTTTATCACTTTCTCATATACCAAAGAACAAAAAAATAAACATTGATAAATCACATACTACTTATAAACATAACACGTAGTTAATCCTCCCTTCGTTTGTGGGTCATATATTTACTTTCTTTGTTTCATGAAAAAGCTGGATACAATTTTTTGCGTTTATAAAGAAGAATAAGAAAAGTAATGCTAGTATAGTTAGTTAAAAGGAACGAAGACAACTAAATAAATCAAGTGCTCGATCATATATTATGTGAATCTTGCAATTTAATCAAGGCTGGTGTACAACTTGTAGAACTGGCGGCTATATATATTAATGCACAAAGGTTTAATAAATGCTACTCATATTTTTGTCAGAATCATTCTTGCTTTATAGCCTTACCTAAAGATCTGGCTAGATTACATGTACACTGTAAGCGAGAATAGGCTTCCTTTTCTACAGGGCAGTTACTACCTATTGAAGAGTCATATCCCATATTTTTTATGTAGTGAACTTGATCCCGTTTTAGAAACAAGGCCGCTGCAACTGTTTGAACTGGTGCATCTCCCCATCTATTAAAATATATACGCACAAAGATATGTATGTGTATATCGAATCCCAAATATCAACAAAACTCTCGCTAACTCATGCCTTCTTCATTTCTCTTTTGTTGCTTACCTTTCATAAAAGAAACCGCCTGTTTTGTCCATATAATGAAAGAATTCGGTATATGGTTTTGATCGTAGGAAATCAAGCGATACAATAATAAAGTTGTTCCAAACGACACACTCGTTAAACTCTCCCCAATATTCTCCCATTTGACTCTGCAGTGTTGAAATGTAAGCCTCATCCTTAATATTGCGGTCTAATATCCAGGGATATATTGTTTGATTTGAGGGAAGAATGCTTTGCTTGTTGTACTCAATATATTCCCGGACTACTCTCCAAAAGTTAAGCATCGTATTTTCACTTTCATATCCAGTCACAGCAAAGGCTATACATATAAATACAAGTTAATAAATATCAAACTTTCATTTTATTTTTATATGTTGAAAATATTATATATTCTTACATAGTTTCTTGTCGTCTCGCTTCATCATTTCAAAAGGATCTCCGTCAATGTTGCATTGATAACGCGATCCAGGCTGTACTTTCCAGTAGAACTCAATGTCTTTTAAAAGTGGATGATGAGCAAGAAATCCTGCATTATATCTATAGAAATTATAGATAAATATAAAATATGATATTATTATGGCATCGCACACGTATATATATTTTTGTTATTACTCTTACCGGGTCATTTTACGCCAACTCACACTCTCACCATGAAGTACTTTGTCGTTTGACATCTTGATAGCAACTTTCTCGACAATTTTTGTATTGACCCAAGTTGGTTCATTCCATTCGTCGGACAAAGCTTGTCCAAAATAGACTTGGGATTTAGTCGAGGCTTTTATCCATTTTCTGAAGACGGATGTAAACGGTCTTTCGCTCATGATAATCCACGGGTATCCATGTGCATTGTTGAACCGGAGTTCGATATCCCGCATGGTCGCTCTCAAGTTATACATTGATGATTCCTGAACAACAGCCACAAAGGCTGCCTTGGCACGAACATCTTTGCTTTGACGCGTCGCGTTCTCCCAGTCAAGTACTGTGTCTACAACCTCCGGTGGATAATAACTTTTCCAAAACCAAGACGACTCGTCATTATTGCTAGCAACACCACTGCCACGATTTATACCACTATTTCTTCGAAAAGTGTTCAAGAATTGATTCTTTAATGATGTGTCTGGTTCCTGTAAAGGACGACCTAACAAAACAAAGCTTGCAAATGCACATGCTAAAATAATGACAACGCACTGGCCACGACTTGGTAATCTGAGTTTGCTGAAACAAACTGGTAGTCGAAGACCAGACCGGCTCTTTTCATATTTATTGACCGGGCTGGTAGGACTAGAGAAATTCATTCCTTTGTGTATGCGTGTGTAAAAAAAATAGAAAAAAAAGGAAGCAAAAAAAATATAAGAACAAAGGATCAAAAGTAAAATCAAAAAATAAGTTTGGCGGTTATTTCTCTTGGTTAAGGTACACGCACATTTACGTATATATAAATGGTCAACATTCTTAATCCGAAGGGGCTAAGAAGGAGAAGGGGATAAAGTAGTTCATACAGTCGATATTTCCTTTTTCTGTAATTTTGTACGCATATCCAAGAAAATACACCTATCAGTTAAAACTTGGTATGATTTGTCACTAATCCTAGGGGAACGACATCTTCTTATGGGAGCCGACGTTTCGTTTTTAACAGACTACCTAAATGTAATTTGATATACAAAACCCAATAATTATATCCGGTCCCTAACAGTCCATATTTACTATTATAACAAAGTTCGTTTAATAGATAGTTTATGAACTTGTGCCACTCTACTATCATTTTCTTGGACATAAAGTTTTCCTACGTCTGTATAAGCGTTTTTGTTTAATAATAGTGGTTTTGAAATCTAAAGCTATGTGCAAAATCTTGTTCAGTATCCCTATGGTAATGAGCTGTGGTGTGAGCCAAGTTCACCAAAAGAAAAATGAAACTAGTTAACAACTACGTTCATTAGCCTCGTTGATTACCGCGCTTCTATCCAGAGCCTCTAGGTATCTTCTAACCCAATTCACTACATCCAAAGTTCGATATAGTAGAGAGAGAGAACCTGTAGCATTTAAGACCAAATTGCTACAAGTCTACACACTCTCTAATATAAGGCAGTATAATGTCTTTGGTCAAGTATAAAAAGTACTATATCGAGTATACATTTTTTATAAATACGTTTTGACACCACTAGCATATACTCTTCTATATATATGTGTATGTGGGTGGGTAATAAAAAAACTGTATAACATACTACTTCAAAATATTATACCCTAAAATGAAATGCCGGTCCCATCTCGGAAACGTCGTGCCCTTAATATCGCTGATATATAAAAAAAAAGGCAGCCAAAATTAGGGGTATTTAAACACTAGCACTTGACACTTTTTTTTTTCAAAAGAAAAAAACATTTACAGACTAAAAAAATAAAGTATGTATATTTATGAGACTTGTTATATGTATATATTACAGGAAGTATAGTAGTTTATATAAGCTCTTGAAATAAACTACTATTAGAAGATTTACTTTGTTCTTTCTTTTTCCTTTTCTTTTATACTTTTCTGTCTCCCTTTCTTTTTCTGGCTGTGACAGTTTTGCATTTCTAAGCCGCTCATAAGATAAAATTTTAAACCCATCAAAAAAAAAGCTATCGAAAATGTTAAAAAAAAAAAAGAAAAAAAAGAGAAATGAAAGAAAAGGAACTTCATTAGACTTGATTTTAATCGATTAAACCATGGGCAAAAGAAAGCACAGCGAAAGCAGCGGAAAAAGCAGCGGTAGCAGCAAACAAAAGTACGTCAAAATCAATTTGGCCGAACCTCAGGCCGATGTCGAGACTCCCTACTTGGGTAAGGCATTAAGAATAATAAATTGAAATACATATATATATATATATATACACCTGAGTACATTGTGTAAAACATTGTTAAAGCATTCTCATTCGTTTTATTTTAATTGATTTAATTATTAATTAATTTACTCATGTATTTTTTTTTCTCAAGCAATGTTCCCCGGTACACAACCTCCTAACACCACTGTCTTTAATGCTCTCAAACGACAGGGAACACACAGCTCAAAGCGTGCGGCCCATCGTTTAGTGACAACCGAAACTGACAAGGTCGTTTACAAGGGCGCTAATTATGGCGAAGAAGAAGCTCGCAATTTACACAGCAAGTGAGTCATGGCCTCATATATATACATTCTTCTGTTTGCTTGTACAAAATAAGAAAGAAAAAGAAAACTCACCAAACACAAATAATATATTCACCACCACCGACCAATACGACTAATACTGACCAACTCGAACGTAATCTCAACTACAACCTCGACCACAACTACAATTACAACTACGAATCGCATCACATACGATAATGCAATTGTATATATATATCTATACAAAGATATATTGTTGGCGTTTACTCCAAAAAGGATAATTCGCTTACTGTCACTCCTGCACCTGTGATTCGAATGACACGTACAGTAAAGGCCTTGTCCAACGAAAATATATCAACAAAGACCGCTTCAAATGCATTTGGTGCTGCTCGTGCTGCTCTTGGTTTGGCATTCGGTACATCCAAGGCTCAGCAGGATCTTCGTAACGAGGAGCGCAACAAGGTTGAGGGAGAGGAATTAGAGTCGATGATGGATATCATGCATAATGAAATTAGCAAGGCTACCAAGAACACACCTACACAGGCATCATTGCGTAAAGAGATGGCCAAAGACTTGCCGATACCTCCTCACGATATCAATGCCGAGTCTCCCGAAAAGGTGTATGATATGGAGGCAATTGTTTCAGAGGAAGAGTTGAATGCCACACCCATCAAAGATCTTCTCAAAGAGAACACACTCGAGGCTATCCAGACTCTCTTGCCATACAACACATCCGATTTTGTCAACAACCGCCTGTTGTCGATTCTCAAATCTTCTGGAAAGAAAGATCGCAAGAAATTGCGTACTCTTGTTTATATTTCGTATCTGATGGCTTACCTGTGCAGAGTACGATCCGATGATCTTAACAAGCGTAGCAAGCTTGAGGTCATTCTGAAAGGAGCACCCTCTCTGTTGATTGACAAGATGACAGAACGTTATACTATCTCAAATGTGCGTACACCTCTGATGGCAGACAAGATTTTGTGTTACATGTTTGTCCTCTGCCTTGCTGTAGCAGATTATACACTTCTTATCCCTGGTATTTCCAAGGACCTGTCGATCAAACCTTCCAAAACAACCACGTTATTGCGCAACTTGGGTTGCAAGATCGAGCCTTGCAATGCTGAAGACCTGAAGAACGCAGATACAAAGCTGAGTGCTTCTGCCAAGAAGGCTGTTCTTGTTGTTCCACTCACATTCCCCGAGATTCGTAAATTTGCACGCAAATAATATATATATATATATATAATACATAAACTATACGTATATAAATATGTAAAGTATAAAAATAAAATCCAGCATAAGAAAATGAATATAAGTATAAATATCAATATCAATATCAATAAAATATATATAGTTGAAACCCCCCTTTTTTTTAAAAAAAAATTAATTTATTTTTGAAATTGTGTACATGTATTTTCTCTCTTTAATATTAAAATCTCATAGTCATATCTAACCATTCTATTTTCTTGACTGGCCCTTTTTGTCTGTTTTTCTCGTATGCTTTTTTTTTATTTTGCTTATGAATTTTGTATTAATATAAATACATACATACAAAAGAAGAAGAAGAAGAAGGAAGAAGAAGGAAGAAGAAAATTGGCCTGTACATAAAAGAAAAGTAAAAGGAAATGGGGATAAAATTGAAGAAAGAAAGAAAGAAAGAAAGAAAGAAAGAAAAGGATAGCTAAATGTACGTTTTGGATTCTTGATTTTTGATGATGGTTATGTCTATTATACTCTTTCTCTTTTTCTCTTTTCTTCCTCTTCTTCTTCTTACTTAATAATAATAGTAATAATAGTAATAAATGCTTGTTTTGCTTTACTTTTTCTTTTCTTCTTTTTTTTTATTTTTTGTATTGCTTCTTGTCGGGGTTCTTCAAAAAGTATTCTCCACTTTCCAGCTGAAGATCGATCTTGGATGGCTGCTGGGGTGGTGGGAATGGTGTGTACTCCTTCTTCTTGATCTTTGACTTGTCGACCTTCTTTGTCTTGATGCTTCTCTTCTTGAACTGGGGCAAGAATCTATCCCAGGACTCCTCGGCAAGCTTAGGATCCTTGGCCAACTCACGCTTGATCATCAATTCCTTGATGTGATAGATAGGGTGAATGTTCTTCATACAATCCAACACAATACGGCGAATGTCCTTGAGACCCTTGTAAGGACCCATTACAGATACAGTGTTACCCTGAACCATCATATAACATCCAGTCAACAGTTCGACAGCCTATTTTGTTTTTGTTTTTGAATTGATTGATTAGTTCATTAATTATTATTATTATTTGAATATGTAATTCATAGTACTCTACCTTTAATGTTGATCCATTAGGACCAATAAGTCTCTGTCTTCTCTTGACAAATCGCTCTTTGTTACGAGTGACATTACCAATCTTGATGATGTCGCATGCAATATTATCGTTCATAACCTTGACAGCCTAACAAATCAATAAAAAAGAAAAAGAAAAAAAAGAGCTTAATACATAAATACATAACAAAAAAAAATTAAAGAAGCACACTATTTATCTTGTATAAATATTTTTGCATTTTTTTTTGTACCTGAGGGAAAGGAACACTTCTGGCCAGCAATTTAATCATATCTCTAGCCTTGAGAATGATATAGGGATCGTATGCCTTACGTGTTGTCTTGACTGTCATGCTACCTTCGACTAAATCCAAAACACATGAGATACCCTATAAATTATTATTATTATTATTGTCAGCATATAGTACATATCAACGATACAAAAAGAAATAGATTAGAATGAAGTTCAATATTGCTTTTCATTTATTCATTTATTTACTTTGTGATGCTTACATGCTTCTCGAGTGATTTTGTGACATGAGGCCAGACTTCTCGAAGATAGTTTTCTCTGTACTTTGGGAAAAGTGTGGCAAATGAAGATTCTTCCATAAAAGGTTGGGAAATGTCTTCTGGTTTGAATTCGTCAATCTTCCAGTGATCAATGTCATCGGTATCCCAAGCTATAAGCACAAGTTTACATGAGTCATTTGAATTGGAGAAGTAATTAATTCGGTTTGTACAACAAGAAGAAAACAAATTATCATTATATTATAATTATGATTACGAGTATTATTAATATTGTAGTATATAAAGCAAAGAAAGAACGAATGAATGAATGAATGAATGAATAAGCATTGGCTTTTTTTTTGGAATCCTACGTTTGTCCTTTCGGAATCGCTTGTTCGATGGTTTTTGTACTTCTGTTGATTCAGCCATGATCTTTATTTTTCGTTGAATGATAAAAAGATGGATTGAGTTTCTTAAATCTTTTTTCTTTCCTTTTTTTTTTTTATAAAAAAATTACTATAATGAATTATATTTTATATATATATATATAATAATATAATTTGTTCTGTGGCTTTTGTTGCGAATGAAAAATTGCAGTTTTTACACTTCAAATTCAGAAAATGTTGGTCTTTTTATTTTTGAACGAATCAAAAAATAAAATTCGCACAATTGGGGTGGACAGACTAAAAAATTCAGAAAAGCTCAAAAAATAATATTAGGGACCCTGATTGGCTAGTATTCGTCTATTACCAATTGAATTAAGAAAAATGTTATGCTTTTGGTGAATGAAGTGTGGCACAGTGCGAAAGGCCTACCAATGTCTGCAATGAAATATTTTTACCTGATGAAAGAGATGGTATTATGAGCACTTGATTTTATCCAATATCCATTCGAACAAAGCTTAAATTGTTCTTTTTTTTAAAAAAATAAAAAATAAAAAACTTGTTTATTTAGTAATATGATTTACATTTTTGAACCTTTTAGTCTGTCCACCCCAAGTTTTGTTGAGTAGTGTTTATTTCATGGTTCTTCTGTGCAATAAAGCCAAAAGAAAAGAACAGGCATTTAATATGCTTTTAAACAGATTTCTACTTTTGAAGTAGAGTATTTATTATAACACAGGATATATATTTGTATTTTTGTACGATCACAAAAAAGAAGAATTTTAAGTTTAATTGATCATCCACTCTGTGAGCACCTGTCAAAATGAGTATTATATATTAATCAAATATACGAACCTTTCTCAATCAGAGTATGTTGGTAGCTGGTCACTCTTTGCAATAAAGACAGTAATCTCTACATGGCTCTTATATACAACTCTTTACACAAACCTACTCAAAAGTACCATAATATTCTGATGTTCTAACCCAAATCCTCGGTTTTCTCAATCTGAAATCCAAAACAGACTGTTATAATAACGCTATATGAACCCAAGTAAGGCTCCTCAGACGGAGACATGCATCTATACTTAGCAGTGCCCTCAAAAAGTGCCTTTGTCAATGTGTCGGCCTCTTTAATCATATATTGACCAAGAGGATTTACAGACTTTGTAAGGTTTGTTATCACAGCGTGAAATACTGGTTATTTTATTCATTGCATATATGTAAGTTATAATTGTTCATTTTATTTTAATTGACCACCCTTTTTCTATTTCACTCTTTCTTAATATATATATATACATTTGCTCAAAAATTTCTGTGGAGATTACTAATGCAAATGACCTTTTCATTATTTGATAAATGTGGTGATAAATAAGTGCTTTACCTTTCCCTCCTACCCTCTAATAAGGATATTAATAATTGAAACAAAAAGAAAAAAATAAAAGGTTTTAAGACTATTATTATTTTTTAAAAAAAAATTGAGAAAAGATATCGGGGGATAAAAAAAAAGTAAGATGAAAAGGGAGAGAGAGAGAAAGAGAATTGAAGACAGTCTGTGTTTCTTAAGATTAAGAACAGTCCTGGACTGCACTTTGTTTTATTTTGTTGTTGCTATTATTTATCTATCACTCTCTTAATCAACCAAGAAAAAAACCAAACAAACCCCCCCTCTCCCAACTCACTCTAATTTAGCCTTACATTAACTACCAACAGAGAATAATAATAATAATGAGTATTTCCAAGACGACATTAAGACCAACGTTACAGCAATACATGCACACTGCTGTTCGACAATCACTCAATCGAGCAAACTACAGCACGTCTTCTGAATTATTGTCAATTGCTAATAAATACTGTTCTGATTCTGTCAGGTAAAAAAAAAAAGAAAATCCTTAGAGTTGAATTACAACCTTGAGTAATTAATTTTAATTTAATTTAAAATAAAAAAAAAGAGAGAGAGAGAGATAGTATTGGATTGCTAAAAGAAAAAGGAGGAGTGTAGACAAGGCGATTATGAAGCCTATTTGGCAGTCTCGTTCTTTCCGAGTCACTTGAGAGATACCCAACTTGCTATCCGTGCATTCAATGTCGAGATTGCGTCTATTCGTGAAAACGTCTCCAACCCAACTATTGGAAAGATGAGAATGCAATTCTGGAAAGATACTATTGATAATGTCTACAAAGTAAATAAGAGAGAAGCTAAAGGGATAAACTCAGTGTTTTGTGTGTGTTTTGTACATCTTTATTGTATACTTTATGTGCATTTATATTAATGACTGTTATATAAAACAATGCTCTCTCTTTTTTTTTCTTTTTTTGAAACATGATTGATTTGTGGTGATAATAGGGAAAACCTCCTCAGCAACCGATTGCTTTAGCCTTGGCTGAATCATTGAAGCATACCCAATTGTCCTCAATGTGGTTCAAGCGAATTATTACTGAAAGAGTAAATTAAATATACAAACACATCTACAGACACACAGAAATATATATATATATATTATTTATCTCTTTAGACAACCAACCTTGACGATCACCAATTCATGACAATTCAGGACATGGAGACCTATTCAGAGAACACGGCCACAAGTGTGCTGTATCTACAACTGGAGTCTCTTGGTCTAAGAGATGTTCAGGCTGACCATGCAATCAGCCATATGGGAAAAATGATGGGCATTACTACCTTTTTGAGATCGTTTCCTTTCCATTTGGGTCAAAAGAGATCTGTCCTTCCTGCACAGATAACTGCAAAGGTAAGTAACACGATAGAGTTTTTATACATCTCTTTACTTATTGTTATTTGTTAGTATGGTATCTCTCAAGAAGATCTGTTTCGTCAGGGCCAAGTCGAGGGTTTGGAAGATGCTATATTTGAAGTTGCCACTGCAGCCAATGATCAATTATTGACAGCCAGATCAATGCTCGAGACTGTGCCACAACAAGCATTTCCTGTGTTGCTTGCAGCAGTGAGTCACTTTTTTTATGTATTTTGTATTTTACTTTACGGCTTAAAATACATATGTTTATGGATATCTGATGGTTATTACTCTAGGTACCATATATAAAGTATCTTGAGAAACTTGAAAAGGCTAATTTCAATGTGTTTGATCCAAGTCTTCAACGTAAAGACTGGAAGTTGCCACTTTCTCTCTGGAATGCTTACAGAAAACACACCATTTAAAATATATAGATATATAGATATATAGTTATACAAGTAGTTGATAGAATATCTCTTTAAAGATGATAATGATAATAAAAGATATGGTACCATTTCTAGGTCTTTTTCTCACCTTCTTCTTATTATTTTTTATATATACATATTGTATATTGTGTATATTTGTATCCTGCTTTTATACTCAGGTGATAGATCGTCCCAATTCCTTTTATTTTATTTTGTAGCACCCATGCTTTCCCTTTGGGTTCCGTTCCGTCTTGTTGCCTTTATTTAAGAAATTCTGTAACAGCTGTAAGGTCAAATTACTGATAATAATTAGGTGCATTAATAATGCATATATACATCTTTTTGGTATCTATAATGATTTGTACCTTGAGACAAGAAACCTATACACAGTAAAACAGGGGGAGTACTATATTGGTTGTATCTATGTGATGAGTCTGTTACTCGAAATAATTAAGGTGTCAATATTCAATTCCGCCTATACGACATTTTCTTGTTTCCTTCTTCTGCTTCTTTTTATTATTATTAATTATTATATATATATATATTATGGAATCCGTGTCACAACTCTGCTAATTAAAAATAAAAAAGGAACAAAATGCCTTGGTGGTTTGATAGACATTTGAATAATGATTATTGACACTGCTTATTGTGGACAAGAATACAAAAGAAAAAATGATAATAATTTTGGCCTTTTAAGTGGGTAGCAGAATAGATTGTAATTGTCCTTGATTTTCTTATGTTGTTCCTGAATATACAAAATGAAATGCTGGTAACTCTGGATATGATGTAAGTCTAGGGAAAATCCCCCTTTTCCTTTTCCCTCTATCTCTCTATTGCTTTCATTAATTTATTCATTTAAATCTCCTATATAATGTTATATATAAATTGTGCTCAGAGATATGGACCTTCTGTCCCAAGTAAAAGGTATTATAGAATAGTGTCATTTCTTTTTTTGTAGAGATAAAATATCATCATAGTTTATGATCTGATATGAATTTTTGAAACACAGAGTATATACATATTATATTTTATTATATTAATATTGAAACGATCAATTGCATCAAGTTTAGCACCAAAGAAACCCAGAGAAATCCAAAGAAATCCAAAGAAATCCCTTTATATATTTTATTTTTTGTGCATAAATGACAACTTGAATAGTTGATATAAGAATAAAAACCTTTTTTTTTTTTGGTTCAAATAATTTCATCCAATCCAAATTTGCTACTATTTTCTCTTTCTTTTACCTCCACATATATTTCTTTATTAAGATATATTTATATACAGAAATTTTGATTTGATAGTATATTTTGGATCTGATATATCACTCTTGATATCTACTCTATTACTTGTGCTTAATATTAGATGTAAACATATATGATTTGGACTCGGAATGCCATGTGTGAAAGATGCTTAGCACGAGGTGTGTAACGATTCCTTTTGAGACAACCAGACCACAGACCTATAAAGCAAAGTGTGCTGCAAAGCGGAGATAAGCCAAAATAAAATAAAATAAAATAAAATAAAATATAGAAATAGAAATAAATGATTCCAGACATTTGAACAAATAAATAACTTGGACTCAAACAAAGTATCAAGTAGCAAATATCATTAGCAGTGACAATGGCAGTAGACTCTTCATTCTCTCTATCAAATATCTTTATCACTGTCACTGTCATCATTTAGGTCTTGTGGCGGAGTATATGAATCGTAAAGCTGGGTAGGTAAAGGGCCTTGTGGGTCCAGTCAAGAGAATATCTAAAAGCCAAAACTGAAAGGAAAGCGGAAGAGCACGAGATGAAATCAGGCAAAAAAAAAATAAAAAATAAAAAACTTGTTCCGAAAATCAAAGCCTCACTTATGAAGAAACATAGTGAAATAAGGGAATGGATCAAATTGTCATTGTGTGGTAATTTTATTTCATTTTGAATCAAAAATACTTTTTTTTTGTGGATGGAATCTTTCGAGTGAATCATTTGATTGGCTTGACCACCCTTCTATAAATCATACACTTCTTTATCTATTTCCCTTGACTGTAGTAAATATGTAAACATAGTAAATTTTCTTTTCTTTGACAAAATATTCCGCAGTGATATATTTATTATGTATTTATATGTGTTTTTTGGGTACATGACTTTTTCTTTTCTTTTGGGCTTAAGTTAAGCTCCATCCAAAAAAGGAACGCCTGAGTAACACCCCCAGCCCCTTCCCTCTTTCTATTTCTCCCCCCCTTTTTTGTATTTTATTTTTTTATTTCAAACCTTGGTTGGTTACCTTACCTTACCTTACCTTACCTTACTTTACTTTACCTTGCCTTGCCTTGCCTTGCTTTACTCTGCTTTACTCTGCTTTACTCTGCTTTACTTTACCTTGTCTGCCTGTCTATCTGTTTTGGTTAGTATTTCTTTGCCTATCTGCCTTGCTTTGCCTTGGTTGTTTGCTTTTGCGTTTTGGTGTTGCTTTGGCTTTGACTTTGGCTTTCTTTCTTTCTTTTTTTTTTTGGTCTATCCTCCGCAACTGTTGCCTTATTTTTTTTCCCTTCATTTGCTTAATATATTATATTCTTCTTCTTCTTCTTCTGCTTCTTCTTCTTCTTCTCTACCACCAATATTTCTTTCTTTTTTTCTTTTTTTTAATATTCAATTTTCTCTCTTTCTTTCTCTTGCTTATACATATATTAATTATATAATATTATATTATAATAATATATAGTATATCTACTTATATGAATAGCCCCCGTGTAATGACTTCCATTCAACCCTGTCCCCAAGCTCAAGTTTTACCTGCACTATCCGATCCTCAATATCTACCCTACCCACGTCTCTCTCCGCGTCAACCCATTCAAGAATCATATCCCAGCTCTGCCAATCTACCACTCGCCTACACCTATGCCTATCTATTAGGCTGCTCAAGACCGGATCCCGCTCTTGTAAGTTTGTATAGATTTTTATATTTCTAAATTCTTTATGCTTGTATATCTCGTGTCTTGTGCTGTCCTGTGCTGTCCTGTGACTTTGCACTCCGTTTCGTGTCTTGTCTTGTCTTGTCTTGGCTTGTATTGTCTTTACCTTCACTTGACTTGACTTGACTTGGCATGAAACAAATAAGCAAAAAAAAAGAGGAAAAAATAAGAAATGCCAAGAAAAATTGCCTATTTCTTTGTTTCTTCCTTGTTATTTTTTTTTTGCACTTTTAAAATGCACACAATGCAATACAGTACAGTACAAACACACATTTTACTACGTGGTCTATTTTGCTTTGTCCAAAAATATCAAACAAAAAAAAAGCCAAAAATTAAGAATTAAGAATTAAGGATATAATATAAAATAATATAAAATAATATAAAATAATATAAAATAATGGCCCATATCCTCAATTCTGGTTTTCTCATCTCCGCTCAATCGTCATTACAGCAGTACCACATTCCTCATTCGCCAGTGGTGGTGCCACTCCCTATCCACCATACCCTTGAAAACGCGACGATCACCTTTAACACCCACGAGCAGCAGTACCACAAAGAAGACCTCGTCAAAGACGTCTTTTTCTCACCCGCCATAGATCGAGACAACTCAGCTTCCGATCTCTGTTCTCCAAGCCTAAGCCTCGGTCTCGGTTTAGGGCTAGGTCTAGGTCTAGGTCTCAGTCTCAGTCTCAACCAAACCCCCCAAAACACACCATCATCTTTATCGTCCTCAGCATCCTCAGCATCCTCATCAGCATCATCGTTCTTTTCTTCATCCAGTGATAGCGAGTCGGATGGCGCAAGTGTCTCTTCGCCAACCGACTTTTCTCTTGACGACGGTGCAAATGACACCCTCTTTTTATTCTTTGCCAACGATGGTCTAGATTTCCAAGACCCACCTCCTTCTCCTTCAGTCTCTCCTTCCCCTTCTTCTGGTCACTCAGAGTCTTTTACAACTACCCTTATCAATACCACCACCACCACCACTAATCATAATGAAACCAAAGATGAGCTTGAAGACGAAGAAAAAGACAAAGAGGAAGATGAGGAGCATTTTCTTCATCCCAATCTCCTGGGCATGAAACGTCTTGGCACAACCTCAACGAGTAGAAGTAATGGGCGCGAACAGACCAAAAAACCACGAATGATGAACTGGCCAACCCCGACAATCCACCGTCACGATCACACAGACTACTTTGATGCATCTGCCGAAGAATCATCAGACGATGAAAATGAAGACGAAGAAAAGGGTGAAATGAAAGAGAATATCTGGTCACCAAGACAGCAGAACTTGATCAAATCCCCATCAACAACACCAGTACGATCCTTATTAATATTACAATCACCAAAACAAAATGGATACAAACATAAACAAGTCAAATGCTACAATGGAAATGACAGTGAAGAAGAAGAAGACTACAATTGTGGAGATACAATCAGATCCCCTACACTCTACCAGCAGCTTACAGAAGCAAATATTGACTGGTGTCGTTACTGCGGAACAACTGAAGGTGTAAACTGGCGTCCTGGGCCATGGGGAAAGAGAACGCTTTGCAAGTAAGTTATAACCAATATATGTACACAGAGATAGAGAGATAGAGAATAATAAACTAACCAATGTTTCTGTTTTCATGTTATCAGTAAACATGGGTGCGATTACAAGGGTTATGGATTCGCCTGCAAGTTGCCTCGATTGGATCTGACAGGCTTTGTAAAAGAATCCATCCATGATCGCGATCGTCCTGTCCTGCAGCTCTTCTGCACCGGGTGCCACCGCAAGGACTCGAGGGCTGGAAATCAGCTGGTGCGCTGCGAGGGATGCCCAAAAGCTTATCACCAGCACTGTTATCCTGACTCACACCTATTGACCGATGCAGTCGTTCAATCCGGTAATTGGTTCTGTGATCCATCATGTATTGAAAACGCACGACGAAAGAGGATTGTGGTAGAGTTGCCTCGAAAGCGTTTACCATTGATGTGCGCCCCAAAATCAGCCTCAGCCTCACCAGCACAATCATCACCATCAACAACATCATCATCAACATCATTGTCATTATCATTATCATCATTTTCAGGAGGAAGAGGAGTAAGAGGAGGAGCAGGAGGATTAAAAGGAACGTCACAATCTTCTTCTTCATCATCTTCATCATCATTTACTCCAAATAATTCTTCGGCTTTCTCAAATTCACAGACTGGTGGTGGTGATTCAACCACTCGCACTCGATCCCTCCGAGACACACGATAAAGCAGTCTGACAAGCAAAAAAAAAGATCAAGGGAAAGGAAGAGGAGAAACAGATGATATATGTATATATCATAGCATATCATATCATATCATATCATAATGGCAAACAAGAAGAGGATGACAAAAATTGGTTCCTTTTGACTTGAGACTTTTATTTTGATGGGAAGAAGTTGTATGTATATAGATAGACATTTACGCTTCTTCTGTTTTCATATGCACCATTGTATTCTTCTTCTTCTTTTTTGTTCTTGCTCTTCTGGCCTCTCTGTTTATTGTACGATACCAACCCTTATTTTAAATCTTCTTTTCTATATTTTCATTATTCTTTTTCAGTTATACTTCTTGTAGTTACTTTTCAATTTATTTCTCCTTTAAATACAACAAACAAATTTTCGGTTTTCATTGCATTTTATTTTATTTTATTTTATTTCATTTATTTATTTATTTTGGATTAAATACAAGTACAAATATATATATATATATTAATGATCAACTCTCTTTTATATACTCTTGCTAACTTGTTATAATTAAACAAAAAAATATATAATCAAATAACAAGGAGGAAATGCAGTGAAGTAGAATGGAGTGGAGGGGGTAAATGGCTTGATTTTGTGTATGTATGTATGTATAGAGCATCAACTGCAGGAGAATACAAAAAAAAACAGTTGACTAAAGCCTAATAGCATGATTCTCAAAGGGAGATTGTGTTGTCTTTAGAAAACAAAACAAAAAAAAACACGTATGCATACAAAATAAATCCAACGCTATACTCCTTTATTTTCCAGCCATTAGGTTTATATGCAATCCACAAATATATATGTATACAAACATTTTTGGGGGGAAGAAGAGAAGAGAAGAGGGGGTGTAGAGGTGAAATTAATAAAAACCCAAGAAAAATGACGGTGAGATAAATTACGGTAATAAAAATAATAAAAATAATAAAAGTAAAATGCAAATTTAGTAAAAGATTTTTGCAATATTTCCTGGGGCTCAAGGGTTGTTTTAAAGTTGTTTTGATGAAGCAACACTTTTCTTTTTCTCCTTTATTTTTATGTCCAAATTTCAATTCTTGACAATTGCCTTTTATTCTTTTACTACTGTAGATCAAAAAAAAAATTTCTTCAATATCAAACTACTATCATGTTTTCTACAACCAGTACAAAAATAATAGCAAAAAATAATAAAAAAAAACTTACCAAAAGAACAATCTCGGGCATTCCCCTGGCAATAACCAGACCGCAGGGATATTTATATTCTTCTGGAAATTGGCAATATTAGTATTGGTTTCACACGACAACCCTCCAGAATATCTTCTCTTGGCCCTATAATACCTACCCAAATAAATGACATGGATGAACTTTTCCAGAATTGTACAATCATATTACAATTGGTTAAGAATGTGTAGAAAGTTCAAAACAGCCACAGAATATATATATATATATTTCCAAAACAAAGCAAAAAAAAAAAACAATCGATATTCAGACTGTAAAAAAAAAAAAGAAGAAGAAAATGCTAGCAATGTTTTTTGCTTGGCAGCAAGGATATTGACTTTTTGGGCTTTGAAATCCATAAAGAATCTAACAAATCTTTCTATGCTCAAGTTCGATGCTTTGTTGACTCGAGGTGAATCGATTTTATATGAGTCTGGATCCATCAATTATGCCATTTATTACAGTACTAGCAGAAGTATTAAGACCTAATAAATCGATTCGGATACTTCTTGTCATTCTCCTTGTTCTTCTATTTTCTGTAAAAAATGTATCTTGTTTCTGTACTTGTAAATACTAGGGATTTCAATTTCAAAATTAAAAGGATATTGTCAATTTTCATTTTTAAATAAATAACTAATTGAAAACTTACTCTAATATATATCTATATATATGTGTGTGTGGGGGTGGTTACCAAGTTAAACAATTAAAATAAAAATAAATAAATAAATGGACAATTTAGTTTTGAACAATAAGAAATGAATATATATATATAAAAATATATAGTTTCCATGGTTATAAATTTAGATTTGTAAAAAAAAAAATTAAAAAAAAAATTAAAAAAAAAAAAAGTAAAATCCATGATTGTCGCGTGTCTCGGTGGTGCTTCAAATTTTAGCTCGTGGATGGTCTAAGCATTCTTGAAGAAGTATATATATATTCTTTGTACCGGCTTGCTTTTGCCTCAATTTTCTTTTTGTATGTGCGTTTGTGTGTGTGTGTAAATAATTAAAGAAATTCAAAGATGTTATTGAAAGCTTAAATCCAAAATACAGTATATATACATGTACTATATTTTAAGATTAAGATTGTTATTATCCGAAAAGTTACCTTGTGTGTATTTTCTTATTGTGCATGTATTAGAAAGTCCACGTTTAATTTTATTTATATTAATTCAAACTGTCAGTCAGTCAGTCAGTTGGTTGGTTGGTTGAGTAGATTTTACTGTCTTGTTTCTCTGGTGAAACCAAAGCAAGATAAAAAGTTAAAGGAGTATACTAATAATAATAATAGTAATAATTTGCTATTATTTATTCCATACTGATGAAAGCCCGTATTATTTACTGTATTCATACTCAGTACAACCTATAGATTATATTTTCTCACCCTCTTTTGTATTCTTCTTATTACTTATTTCAAATATTATTATTACTATTATATATATATATATATATATATACATCGAATGTCATCACCATTACGACCAAAGGTCATTGACCTTTACAAACAGGTAAAATAAATAACATCAGTAACATCAGTAACGACGGAATTGCTCATTACTCAATAAAAACACTCTCATTCTATAGCTCGTGTATCTCGGGCGAGAATACCCAGCTGGTTATGAGGATTTCTTTCGCCCTAGACTAAAGGCTGCTTTTATGAAGAAGAAAGACCTTAGAGATGAAGAAGATATCAAAAAGGCACTCTTGCACGGAGACTATATTATCAAAGGTATATATATACACATAAATATATAAAGATATTACTTGACTATACTTTTACTTTTATTTATTTGTTTAATATAAAATAAATATAATTGTACAGTGTTGTGTATGCGTATGTGTGGATATAGACTAACTCACTCGGTTTGTCATTTGAAAAGAGCTAGAAGCCATGTACTACCTCCGAAAATATCGTACCTTACGAAAACGCTATACAAATGAAGCCTAATCTAGCACTACAAATTATCCTTGCATGTGTCTCAGGGCCTTTAAAGTCGGTCGACCAGAAACTTGCAATAAACAAAATCAAAACCAAAATCATAATATTGTTACACAATCAGCATTTGATTCCAGGCACTATTTTATATATTTACTATATATTATTTTCTTAATAATATATATATATATTGTTCTTTTACTCTTTTGCTTTTCTTTTTTGTTTTTGCTCTTTTTCCGCTTCTTTTACTATTCTCTCCTTTTAATGTCATAGAAATTCTGGGTAGCAATGCAACCAAACTCTCGCATAGTCCCTCCTCCATCTAGAGACCCACCTACCCCACACAAACGCTCACTATCAGCCACCCCACCTCCCAATCTAATATTACAACCCTCAAAATCATCTAAAAAATTTCTTTCTCGATTCTTACCTCATCAACCAGCCGGACGCCAATCTCGAAAATCATCGTTCTCAACCGCCCCACCATCACCATTACCTTCTCCAACTTCATCCGTCTCACAAAACAACACAAAATCGTATACACGATCCACCCAATCACCACAGCAACAACCTCATCAGCAACAACAGCAATCACCACAACAACCTCATCAGCAACAACAATCACAGCAATTAAAGAAAACAGAACATATCTCTCCTCCTTCACGAACAAACTCTGCGATAACTGATCTAGAATATCAAAAGAAAGTATCCAAGCCATTGGATTATCGTTCTTCTTTTGATCCATCTGTCGGTAGACCATCATTAAAAAAGGTACAAACAAGCACACAAAAACACACAAACGTACACACACACGCCCAAAGAAGACCATTTTTCTTTCTTTCTATTATTTTCTTTGAGAGGGAACTCTCAGGGAAAATGGTACAGAAAGCCACCTTCTTCTAGCCCTAGTGTGACACTCAAACCCACGACAGTTTTCCCAATCTTTTGTTTTGTTTTGTTTTGTTTTTGCTTTTGTGCTATTCATTCTAGGCTTCTCAAAAAGGCACCATCAAAGGATTCGGTAAACTATTCAAGAAGCTCGGCATTGTAAGACACTCTTTCTTTCTTTTATTTCTTTATTTTCATATATGAATATAGATAGGTATAGATCTCTGTCTGTTTGTTCGTGTGGTTGTACAAGGATATTGAACATTATTGGAACATTGTTTCTATTCTTTTATTTTTCAAAGAAAAGAAATTCACGGCTTATTTAAACAATTACTATTATATACCTCACTTGTAGTCTTCCGAAGATCCTTTATCAACCGACAATATACCTCATGTTAGACCTATACCAACAAATGACAAATCATCCCGCCGTCGTAATCACCCTTATAACATCCCACTTGCTCCGCCACCAACGCAGGAAAACATCAGGCGTGCACAAGATTCAGCTCGTTTCCGGACAGAGACATTCCTGGGAAATCTGCCAGATGAATTCCTTGCCCAACCACTTCGCCAACGTACCCTGAGTGATACGGCCGGTCGGAATCCAAGACCACTCCCATCATTAACCCCCAAATCCACGCTATCTGTAGACTCTACCCGTCTCAATGAAGCAAAACTTATGAAACAGCATCGGTACGCACTGTCTTCTACTACACTAGATAGTATGACTAGACAACCGCCATTGCCACCATTACCACTACCATTACCAGCACTAGTATCAGCATCAATTTCAGTGCCAGTATCGATACCAGTGTCAGCAGCAGCAGCACAACCACCTGTTCGTCCTCCACGTACCCATAGACCAATCGCGCCAATTACCTTACCACCAAAGCCAGTTGTCGAAATTTCAACCTTAACCTCAATCTCAACAGCAACAGCAACAGCTGCTGGGTTTGAGAGTTTAGCGACACAGAAAAAGCAAATAGAAAACAATGCAGCAAAAGAATACTCTTCTTCGACCTGCCCTCAAGAAGACCAGCCATCACCTTCTTCATGGTCTAACCGATCTATCGGAAAGTCTTCAGGATCATACTCCTTCTATAGTACCTTTGGTGCCGACTCTTCAACCCATTCGCTCGACAGCATCGAAAATTCTCAGCCATTAGACACAGCACTTCAACATTTTATAAGCGACCCAATAGATCCAGACCATCTATCCAATTCAAACCTCCACCTCACTTTCAATACCACCAGTAGCAGTGAAAACGGCCTTAATGGTGAAAAAGACGTTTCTGATACAAGTAGCATTGACTCATTTAATACAGTAGAGTCTGCACTAGAGACTGAGAATCACCATATGGACGTGATTTGTGAGGAATCTAGCTTACACGATTGTGGTAGTCAAGATGATAGTGATACCAGTACAGACACCGAAAATGACGATGACGACGAATTATTTTTGAATGCTGTTGATACACTTGAAGGGGAAGAACGACCAGCTGCAAAAACACCAAAATTGTCAAATCGACTGAGTGGTGGCCATTTTGGTAGTGCAGGTGGATTGATTCTCAGCACCGCACCCGTTGTTGTCCCACCAGTCCCTGCTCTTCCTACCCATCAAAAGAGAAAGAGTCAGCCACCACCCGAAGACATTGCTCAAGCCATGCTGGAGTGGAAGCGACTAAGTGACGGTGGAGTGCCCAAACGCATGAGCACCACAATAGCATCAGGATCAACGGCGGTAACAAATCCAGGTCTGTCGCTGTTTGAATTGGCTATTCGGGTGGACGATCCCAAAGCCAAGGAAGAAAGCGAAGAGGAACTTTCAGGGATTGACAAACAAACATTGAGAAAACAGGCAGTAGATGCCTTGGAAGGTGTGAAAGTAGCTGCGTCTAGATCTGCAGGTTCTGGTACTGATGCAGGTGTAGGTTTATGTACAGCAACAGGCACAGGTACAGGCACAAATACAGGCACAAGTACAGGCACAGGCACAGACACAGACACGAGCGCAGGCGCAGGCGCAGGCTCACGACCTTGTTGCTCACCTTCTCGTCCTCCTCTTCCTCCACCTTCTGCCCCTTTGCCACCTGTGCCAACTCTTCCCCTAGTTGTACACCCTTACCACCGACCGACCAACTCGATCAGCTCTTTGTCTGAAATGATCTCAAAAGCACTCGACTCGGCTTGGTCAGAAACAGCGCCTGAAATGGTACAAGTCCGCGACCCACGATTGTCAAGCCAAGACAATGCTGCCAGCGACGATCAACCCAGTCGGCCGTCTGTTCAACTGACAGAAACAGTCGTTTATGTCACTAAAAATCCTCAAGAAGCCGCAAAGTGGCTATGGGCCGAAATAGATGAGTTTGTGCCTCGTGAACGAGTAGCCGAATGGCTTGGGCAGCGGGAAACTCTTCATGTTGAGACACTGGTTGTTTACATGGATTACTTTTACTTTGCTGGCATGAGACTTGACAGTGCTTTCAGGTAACAAAAAAAAACAAACCAAACCAAAACAAAACAAAATACCATCTCTTTCTCTCTCTTTGAAAGGTTTTCTTCTTCTTCTTATTCTGCATGTGCATGTTACTGAATTTTCTGTGCATATTTTTTACTATTGTTCTGGATGTGTAGAAAGTTGTGTAGTAAGCTCTATTTTAAAGCCGAGGCTCAACAAATTGATCGTATCTTGGAAGCATTTGCAAACCGATTCTGGGCATGCAATACACGATCTGTCTTTGGAAGTGCTGGTAAAAAAAACACATACACACATACACTACATATATACACCCTTACAATATTCGGTTTATATATCTGTACTAATAATGCCTGTTTGTGTGTATATGTACTATTCAAAAAAAAAGATGTGGTTTATGCAATTGTATATTCACTCTTACTATTAAATACCGATTTACATGTGGCTCAGGGAAATCATAACCGTATGACACGCCCAGAGTTTGTTCGTAATACCATGTCAGCCATATATGATCAACGTCAGCCAGATGATAATGCTCAAGGAGACAAGCCCTCAAAAGAGTACACGTTCTCAAAGGCATGGGAGGCAGATATTGAATCACACCTCAAGGTAAACAAAAAAAAACAAATACACACATACACATAAATTATATTTGAATACAGGAAATAATTATTAATTATGAACCATTTTTTTAAAAAATAATAATAATATAGGAATTATATACTTCTGTTAAACAGTATCAAGTCTTACAGCCGAATTCAAGACGCTCGACTCAATCTGTTGTTCAATTAGAAAAACAAAATAGTTTACTTGGAGGACGACACTCGATTGGTATTAAACGTAGTGTTCACTCAATGATTCGAAAGACTCCTCGCGAGAGTGTCTCGGATGAAATACAGGTAATATATTTAAGATAAGGAAGCTCGATATATAATCATATCATTTGTGTCGCAACCCAAAAACTGATGAGATATTTTAAGCCTCGTAAGAGTACTAGCTCGGGCCCACGCTTCACGACTACTGCCCCACGGTCGACTCGTAGAGAGTCGTTTTCATCCGTGGCATCTGGTACATCATATGGATCTCATGGACGCGGTGGAATTCCTCTTTCACCCTATCAATCAATGGGAGGCGCCAACCAGTTCAGGAACTCTACTAATGGAATACAAAACCAATCGGACATCGCGTCTTTGAATCAAGCCCCTTATCTGAAAGAAGGAGTCGTGATTCGTAAACACTTGTTGGAAAACGCGCAGCAACGAGCCAGACATCGTGAATGGAAAGAATGTTTTCTAGTTGTGGGACAAGGAGAGCTTAAGATGTATGCCCTTCAAGGTACAGGCGAACCTGATCGCAAAAGCATGTTTCGACCATCTAGTATCCATTTCGGTGTGACTGAAGGAAACTCGAGCCAATTGAGTCTTTCGAGTATGAGTCAACATTCTCAACGCTGGGTGGTAAGTGATTATAGAGGCGACTTGATTTTATGGAATAGTTTTCGATTGATGTCACTCACTGCAATGTGTAGTCAAACACACAACTTGTAGGCTCGATTCAATTGAACCACACACTTTCCAATGTTTTACCGCCTCCTGGATACAACCGCCAACGTCCTCATGTATTTGCTATCCAGAAACCAGATGGCGGTGTATTCTTGTACCAGGCATCATCAGCAGAACAGGCGAATGAATGGGTGGCCACGTGTAATTACTGGGCAGCTCGCAGAAGCAAGGAGCCGCTGGCGGGTGGTGTGAGCAACATGGAGTACGGATGGGGAGACTGTCTTGATAGTGTACTGCTGGACCTGGACACTGAATGCGGGATGGTCATTTCTCCTACCCAACCGATCACCAATGAAGATGATTTGGTACTGTATGATTGGCATCCACCAGCCCCACCCTCTGTGTCTAGTACACTAAGCGAGCGCGATCAACACGAGAGTCTCAAGAAGCATCTGGCTACGCTTAACATTGAGATCAATAATCACCATGACACCAAGACAAAACTTATGATAAAGTTCCCGCCAAAGAGTCCTCTTCACACTAAAGCACTTTCAAATTGGGAATCTCGGTCAAAATATTTGCTGCATGATATTATCAAATATCAGAACTATTGTGACATGCTCGAGAAGAGTCTCCAGCGTCAAGATGCAGAAGAAGCCACAACGGCAGCGTCAATCAAGTCTTTAGCAACCAACACCGACAGTAGTAGTGCCCCAGATCTCAATCGCCAGCCAAGTTCCTCATCACGACTTGTTTTCAAAACCAGTACTGTGGATCTCATGAAGGAGATTGGCGAAGAACTCCAGTTGGCCTTTTAATCATAATGTATCTTTGCCTGCCCCGTCCGCCCATCCATGCTTTCTTTCTTTTTAGTTTCATTTCAAGTGAACGATATTTTCTTTTCTTTTTTCCTGCTTCCTTCCCTTCTTCTCCTTCCTCTCCTTATTCACATCACTTCTAGCTACTCTTAATTTTTGCCTCGCCTTCTCCCTCTCTCTCTCTCTATGTGTACATACCACAATTTACCAAACACTTAAAATATATAATAACTCTATAATAAAAGAAGAGGGAAATATATATATATATATATATATATAATGTTGTATGTAGCCGAGGTCTCGTCTACGAATTAATAATAAGGAAAAATATAATAGTAGCTTAGAAAGGGTTTGTGGAGATCACATCTCATTATATATTCCTATAGGAAACGTTTTATATCTGACCCAATCCTTTCTATTAAATATGGTAAATCTGGGCCGTCTATTTAGGTGTCTCAATTTTCCTTATAATTGATCTACCAAATGCATAATGCTTTATATCAAAACCTCTCTAACTTACCCATTTATGCTTATATACTTTCACTTGATAACACATCACTAAAAGAGTATTTTGATCAAAATAATCAATTAACTACAGAAAATTAGCCCTAAATCAAAATCTGTTAAGATAAACAACTTTACATGTATATACGACATGGTGTAGTACACTGCTATCCACAATTTAAACGTTGTTTGATATTGATTGTTCAAATATTGATTAAAATATCCCATTTTTTCACTTTACCAAACCATTTATTAATAAGGATTTCGATATTTACACCATAAGCATGCTTGATCTCCAAGTTCCCCCTCAGGGCATACACCTAAAAAAAATCCAAAATTTGTGTTTTTTTCTATTAAGCAAAGTTGTTGAACAAATTGATCCATAATGTTTGGTACTTGTTTGACCAAAAACAGACTAATATTGATGGAGATATCGATTGATGAAAAAATGCCAATATCGATATTTACACCCTTAAACGATGTTTGATCCAAAAGTTCCCTCAGGACATACACCGAAAAAAAAAATCGATATTCGTATTTTGCTCTATTAAGAAAAGTTGCTGAACAAATAGATTCATGATGCTCAGTACTTATTTGACCAGCAACAGACGCATATTCATGGAGATATCGAGAGATCTAAAAATGACACTTTCGATATTTACACCATGAGGCGATGTTTATTGGATCTCCGACAGTAAGGGCAACTCACAAATCCCGAGTAATTTTGTTGAACAAAATTGTCCCATTAATTTGGCAGAACAAATGGACATTTCAGTATAGGGAATTGCGTCAAGAGGTCCAAACGAGTATAGAATTATTCCTTTAATTCTTTTGATTCAATTTTACTTTAGAAATAGAGACTAAATGTCTTCCACCTAAAGTATTTTCCCAAAAAACCAATAAGTTGTTGGCCGTTATTGAGTGGCCTTATATGACTTTATACAAATAAAATAAATAAATAAGCCAGTACAGTGCACGAAACTATTAGCAAAGAGAGAAACATATATATGATTATACTGATTGAATTAATGGTGTACAGGAACATAAAACCAAGGGCTTGAGTTTGGCTTGGTCTCTTGTGGTTTCTGTTCTTTTTCTTTAAAAAAAAGGTATAATTTTATTCAATTTTACAAGCAAAGGATGATATTTTGATTGATAGAGAAAGAGACTACTAATGAAGAGAGTGTCTACAAGCTTTTTATATATTCGTGTTTTATAGATATTCAAATCATACTCTCGAGTTATCTTTACAGAATTATTACCAAAACCAAGGAGTCAAAGGAGAGGGGGTTAAATGGACATACACATACATTTCATATTGTAAAAAATAAGGGTAATTTATATAAAGTAGCTTTAGATTTGTAAAGCTTACATAAATTCAATGCTCAGCTATACAGACTGATGCAAAGAATTGAGAACAATAGACATGTTTTAAGAGGTATTCAATAAGATAAATGTATTTATTGGTATTTGAAACAAAAAGAACCACTGCAAAAGTGTTTGTGGCCCTTTTTTTATTGTATTTTATTTTAAGAGTTTTTCTCTAGAGAGCTTTATATGCTGCGATAGTCTTTTTTTTATAAGGATGTATGTATAAGGAAAATGGAATGCTTTTGTTTGATGAACTTGACTATTATACAATTTTTTGTGTTTTACAGGGTGTATATACAGGGTGTTGAAATCAAGATCGATTTAAGATGAGCGATAGGCAGCTGGACTAATGCGGACTGTGACTGAAGGATGATCAAAGATAAGTGAATCCAGGGCCATAGATTTTTCGGATACTGGGCAAGATTTTGAAAAGTGCTCGTCATCAGAAAGGTCAGAAAGATAGGAGTCATTAGAGATCGTCGATGAAGATGAGATCAAAGAAGGTGTAGCTGTAGTTTGGGCTTTTTTGCAGCTAAAAGCTTTCTTGACTGAAGCGAGGCCTTTGATACATTGTCCCATTGATGATGTGAATGTGGAGACACGGCTAGCTGTGTTGGTAGTTGAGGATTGGCGGCGCTGGCACTTTGAGATGATACGCTTTTGAATAGAGAGGATCTGCATTGTAGAGTGTGTGTTGTGAGGTGTAAAGGTAAAGAAAGGCTTGGTAGGTAAGATGTGGTTGAGAGAATATGTAATAAAAAGGAAAGAAGTGCAAAAATGTCAAACCTTTATATACTATTTCAAAAGGCCCGTGCTCTTTGGGTATCAGTGGAGATTTACATGCTTCTTCTTCACTTTCTTGCCATTTTTAGGACAAAGACAAGGGGTCATCGTATCTGATGTTTGGCATCTATCGGAAAATACAGCCAAAAATCCTGATCCACAAAACCACAGCCAAAAATAATAATCAATGATCCATGATCCGTAATCCATGATTTCCCCCTATCGAGAATCGAAAATCAAAGATACACTTGTCTCCTGTATTAATTGATTCACGTCACCTTAATTATTCTCTATGAAGATCTTGATTTATAGGTTCCGAGTCTTTGGTATCTGCCAAGCTTACTACTTTATATGTAAATTAAATATTAATATAAAAATATCTATTACCAGGCCGACATGCACAATATAACCGTTTTTCTCTCTCTAACTTTGACTTGTCGTATCAAAGCTGTTACAATTACATGAAAAGAGTTCTTTATTTAATTTGAAGCTTTTTTTCTGTCTATTTGAACATATTCAATAGCGCACATTATATAAAAGAACCAAAGTAAAATAGAGTCGTTCTTGTAGGGCATGTAATTGAGAACTAGAGCACAAACAGAATAATTTAAATATAAATATTTTCACTCGAGACAGTGTACCAATACCACTTGTACTGCAAATGCTTTAGATTATCATCTAATAAGAATTAATATTCCTAAACTCTCTTAGAGAATATTACTAATTATACAGTAATATATCATTCGGTCTTCCATATATCATTAGTAGTCTGCTTTCTATTCACAAGCCTTACAATTATATATTTTCACTCAGTAGCCAAATGTTACCCAGGAATAAGAGACGATGTTTCCCTCTCACTGTCACTCTTTGAGAGCTAGCTATTTAACAAATAATTGTTGAACACTTTGTGTGTGTCTAATTCACTGATTTATTGCCCTTGTATAATTATCACACAGACCAGCTTGGAATAAAAGTACATAATTGCTATGTGTATGCTGAGAAGAGATGTTTTTGTGTGTAATAAGTGCCAGAACATTTTTACATTCTGTTTTAGCCCCCGTCAAAAAAAATTAATACCATTAATTTGTGTAGTGAGGTCAAGGGGAGAATCGTCGGGTCACAAGAGTTCTTGTCCCGTGATTCAAGGAATCAAATAAAATTATAGGAATTGTAATTCAATAAACAAGAGTCTTTTCTACGGCTAAATTGTGCTTTATTCTTGTTGCGACAAGAGGGAGTTGGCTGTGGTTAACAAAGGAGAGTTCCAGAGACAACGATCAGCCATACACCTTTAGTAAATCGATCCTTCACATTTGGCAGAACAAATCGACATTTCGTCCTAAATTATTGCTATCGGGTTTTTTGACAGTCATTTTTTTAAAGAACGTCAATCGTCACTTGAACTACTTTAACGGAGTAGAGTTTCACGAGTTCCTTTTTAGTGAAGAGGATGAAAGTAAATGAAGTCTTCCATCTACTTTACACATCTCTTGCATCCTTTCATCGCTGACGTATACACCTCCATAAAAACTAAGGGGAAAAAATGCGTGACTATTTTCATATGCATGTGACTACTAGAGCTAAAGACTATGAAAAAAAAGCAAAAAGTAAACAAAAAAGGACGCAAAAAAACAGAAAAAGACGAGCGACAACGATGCAAAACCTTATTTACCATCAGAAACTACAATTCTGTTCATATGGATAGCTCATTAGCTTATATATAACTCTCACCATGTTCTTGCAGAAATGAGTTTGTCAGAACATTGCGCATTAAAGATCAATTTCATAGTTTTCTCATTCAACCTGACGCCCGATGTTGATTCGCGCATCCTTTTAACAGCCACTCATGATAGAAAACAAGAGTTTTTAGGGTAAAAAACAGAATGCAGACGCGTTTAAAAATTGTTAAACTCTTGAACGTACTTGGTACATATATGTACAGTCGATATCTGATTGATTTTTTTAGAAATGTAATAGAGTTTTGACTATTACAAGAATAATATCTAAAGCTTTATATATAATACCAAAGAATGTGTATAGTTTTCAATATTGAACAACATAGGATACAGCATAGCACAAGAAAAAGGGCTTTTATAAAAGCTTGATTTTATTTCATAGTATTTAGGAATGACTTCTAGAAGGATATCACTATGTCAAAGTATCTGGTTTATACGCTTGTAGTTATTTTTCTTTTTTGAACCTCAATCTCTCCAAGCTGTTTGCACGTTGGGGTTTATTATATTTTGCAGGAAAGTACTTTTATATTACCATATATAAATTATTCGTAGTCTTTCAAAGCACAATATTTCACCGCCTACAAAGTAAAGAGGTAAATTCTAAATTTTGAAAGATACTGATGAGAAACAAGATGAAGCATTTGTTTATCTATACTTGTTAGTTTCATGTGGAGCCAAGAAATGTTTATACCTTTGCTTTGTATTATGATATTTGAAGTAACACAAAATTGGCTACTATAATACAATACAATGCAAAAAAGGAAAACAAGGAAAGGTGTGTATGTTGTGTATGGTATGTAAAATACAGACTCTGTAAATACGTATTTATAATTAATAGGGAAAAAATGACTTGAATTTCCTTTATTTATTCTCTGAATAATACGAGCATTGGTTATTATATGGCTGTATTTGGTTAAATGAAGTATATAATAAAATTTCTAAATGGTCTGTACCCTCAAACGTTATCTTTCTGTTTTTGTGTGTGTGTCAAGATACGTTGTCTTATAGAGCCACAAACGTATAAATACATGTATTAATGATAGCCTTTTTCATACAATATGGTCAAGTAAAAGACATGTTAAATTTTCTTTAAAATAATTCCCACCCACTAGCAACAATCATACCTGTGATTGCATACAAAGTAACTATCACGAAACTGATTGCCTTAAATTACAATATATTTCAGAGCTCCTTGGAACAAAAAGAAGATATCTATATATACAGTGAGTTTATGTCTTTTAATATAATGATGAGTAAGCAAGAGACTTATATATATATATGAAAGTTGATCGAGACTCATACCTACTGGACAATTGTTTGTTAAGTACATGTGTTGCTCACTTTTTTTTTTAGTTGAGAAATTGAGCAAATAATTTTTGAAAATAGTGCATATATAAAATATAATATAATAATAAAGTCTTTTTCTGAGATTTAAAAAAAAACAAAGGAAAACAATCTTGTGAGTGTGAGGGATGGAAGATTGACGTGGGTCTATATGTGTATTATATAAATAAAAAATAAAAATAGTCTTTTGATTGGCTAATGTTGTGTGCCAATAATAATCGACAAAGGGGTTGAAAAAAAAATTGGAGCTTTGAGTCTCTCACATAAACCAAAAAGACCAACTCTGTGTGGTGTGGGTCGTCTTTGACTTTCTTTCCGTGACTCTCTAAAGGCAACAAGTCCCATCCTTCCGGTCCCACCAACTTACCCAAAGGTCCAAAGTAAGTTAATATATGCCTATCTATCTATACCTATGTCTATATGCCACATTTGTTTTACTATTACTTCTTTTTGTTTCTATTTTTTGAAACAAAAAGAAGTATATTAAAGAAGAGAAGAGGGGCTTTCTATTTTTCTTTTATCTTTCTATTAAAAGAAAAAGGGAAGAAGAGATTGGCATCAGTCAAATGTCGATCTCTGTGTGATTTGATTTGATTTGGTTTCTTTTTATATGTTTATGTTTGTACTATTCCACTGTTTGATAGCCAAAAGTCTTTGTCTTTAATTATTTATTTGCTTTATTTTGTTTTTGTTTTATTTTCTCTACTTCTTTCTTATTTCCTTTGTCTTAAATAAGCACAGAAACAAGAATCCTTACAAAGACCTCATTTACTCTTTCTTTCCTTTTTCTTCTTCTTGACTGAACAAACAATCAAAAAAAAAGAAAAGAAAGAATCATGGAGTTGAAAGAAGAAGATTTGGCGGTTAATCACCACACTGAGACGGATGATGTAAAGAATGATTCTCCTGATAAAAATTGTCATCAAATGGTGGCTTTGGATAAGGTAGAAGATGAGAGTGTGAATCAGGATACAAATGCAACCACAGCACAGCATGTAGCAGATGCTTTTGCAAATGCACTGTTCCAACACTATTCGTTTACCATGCCGACAACTGAAGAAAAAGACGTTACAACTGGGCTGCCGATGCATGCCCAACTTGTGGCTGCAGTGGTAGCAGCAGCAGCAGCAGCTGAAAAGAATGGACCCCATGGGTCGATTGATTATGGTTTTACTCCTACTCCAGACCCTGCTACCACATCTGCCCCCTCTATGGACCAAACAATGTTTGATGGGCAAATGGTCCCTGGGTCCCTAAAGCGGAACCTAATGAAATTAAAGGTAACAAGGTAAAAATATATAAAAAAAAGAGAGAGAAAGAGAAAGAGAAAAGAAGAAGACAATGAGGCAAGCCAACACGCATACAAATGCATAAAAATGCATAAAAATGCATACAAAGCATGTATAAACTTATTGTCTGTTTTTGTTGTGCCTGTAATAGGTTCGAGAAGATAATCGGGCAAGAAAGAAGCGGTGGAGAGAACACAATGAAGAGCGAAGTAAGTGTTCTTTTTTTTGTTCTTTTTCTTGTCTTGTCTTGTCTTTACATACATACATACATACATACATACATACATACAAATAAGATATATACAGATATGTATTTTAGTATGTGAAAAGAAAAGAAGGGGAATTTGAGGGTTAACAAAGTCCCTGGATATGCATATTTATTATAGACAAAGACAATGATTTGCGATGCCGTGTGAATAAGCGCGCACACAAGCTATTTGGCAAAGATGACACGACGCACAAGAAGCAATGGGTTGAAGAAGAGTTTCAACGCCGCCGGGCAAAGCGTCAGGAAAAGGAACGCCACAAGCAGGCGATGGATGGTGCTCTGCACGCAGTTAGTGAGACATCTGTACATGCAGCTGCCAACTGGCTCCTTTCGCAGCAGCAACAACAACAACAACAGCAACATCAACAGCAGCAACAGCAACAGCAACAACAACAACAACAACAACAACAAAATGATGTTTTGCGACATTATCATGAGCCTGCCAATGAACTTAATGAGACCCATGCTGCAGCTCTCAAGCTCAACCAAGACCTTAGTGCTTTTCTCAAGTTTTCTAAGGAGAGTAATGCAAGTGCTGCTGCGCTTGTTGCTGCTCTTCAGAGCCCACAACTCCTGCAGCTGCTCACCCAGACAGCTGGAGCTATTCAAACATCCACAGCCACATCCGCAATCACGAATAGTCCGACCCAGACCCACCAAACCCAAATTCAACACAATCAGAATCAGGCTCATAGCCAAAATCAGGGCCAGATCGAGAATCAGAATGATAGCCAAGGTCAGAGCCAGAGCCAGAACCATATCCACAGCCACAGCCACAACCACAACCATAACCAGGATCATCAGAATGAGATCCAGAGCCATAACGAGATCCAAAGCCATAGTCAGAACCAAATCCAGGACCAAATCCAAATCCAGAACCAAGACCAGGACCAGGACCAGAGTCAGAGTCAGATTCAGAGTCAGATTCAGGAACAAACTGATTTGGCATCTACTATAGCTTCTGCCATTGCCAGCACAACAACCACAGACACAACTATCGCAGAAACTGGAGAGCACATCCTGGCCACTTCCACTTCCGATTCCACTGCCAGTGTCACTAATGATATTGTTTCTGATACTGGTATTGCTATTGTTTCTGATAGCGCTGCTGATAGTGCTACTGCTACTACTCAAGTACAGCCTGAAGAAAATGAAGTGAGTGCGAAAGAGGATGAAAGTGGGACTGGTACTGGTGGAACACAGACCGATTCTATGGATGCTGTGATGACTCTTATGCAGCTCAATGGGAGCTGGCGTCAACAATAGTCTTTATATATTATTTTTTCCTTGTTTTCATTTTCTTTTATATTTTATTTTGGAGGACAAAAAAAAAACAATAGTCTTGTGTAGTCTACCAAGATATTCTTGTATACACATTGACAATTATATATAAAACTCTCTTTCTTTCATTGTTTAACATAAATTTGACGGCGAATATTGACTGTCACAAAGCAAACAGTGGTTAGTGCTCTAGTTAAGTTTTTCTTATTATTAAGACAAAAGAAAGGGGATGAAGAGTTTGTTGTGCGGTGATTTAAAAGATGAATATAGATATATAAAATAAGATAAATTTACAAAATCTGTAAAGTACAGAAATAGAATATTTTATGTATGGGTTGATTAGGTTGAGCTGGCGTCATAAGTAGCCATTGAATTGACTAAATGGACTGCATCAGGGTGATCAGCCACCACGTGTACTTTCAGACCAAGTTCTTTTTCTAGGTACTCTGCAGTGGTAGGCCCGATAGCAGCCAATTTGGTGATTGGCAATTGTTTGATAGACTGGCAAACATAACGAATTCCCGAGGGACTGAAATAGACAGCCCAGTCCTCTGGAGATGGATTGATGTCACGCAAACTCTGGTCTAACAAAGGGTGTGGACAGGTTTCGTAGGCTTTGATTTCATGGACCTTGATTGATGCCTTTGCCATGCGACGTGGAATTACATCTCGTCGCTTATCACCCGAGAGGAACAATAGGGATTGGTTGATTGACTGATCTTTGTGGTTCGGGTATCTGGCTTCAATTGCGTCACAGAGTTCTGTGGCCATGTCAGCAATCGTCAGGTTTGAGTTGGAAAACAAGGCGATTTGGCGCAAATCATTTGCCGTACGTGGCCCGACTACAAAGATCGGTAAGGCAGACCAGGCAGCCCTGACTTCAGGGGAAAGATTTAGGGTCCAGAGTACCCTTGAGATGGTTTCGACTGCTCGCTGGGAGGTTATGACTAGACCGAGATGGTTGCAGTGAATAGGGCCTAGTGAAAAGATTTCTGCCAGGGTCTGAAGAGAGGTTGATTTGTGGTCGAGGACGGGTATAAAGGTATGTGGGTATCCGTGTTTGGTAAACTGGACATCATAGTCGTCTGGTTTGTCAATTGCCTTGACTTTGAATACCCAAGTTTGTGGTAAAGACATGTATTATATATATATTATATTATATTATATTTTGGAAACTTACAAGGGCTTAATTGAAAAAAAAAAAAGAAGAGAAACCAAAAAAGAAAGAAAGAAAGAAAAAAAGAAAGGGACAAGAAATGTGACTTGTTGAACACAATAATTAATAATAATAATTGTGTGATAATTAGTTATCACACAAGGAGAGAATTCAAGACGGAGCTTTGGTTCCGTTGAATGGCGACAAACAATAAAATAGAGTGCAACAAGCGCCCAAGCCAGTGATCTTTTTTTTTAATTTATATATATGAAATAGTGAATTATGTTTCTATTTTATTTTTATATAAAAAGAATAAATAAATACGTGTAAAGATCAATAGAATTATTGTACTTCTTACACTTGACCATTATCATATTTTCTATCTTTTTATTATTATTATTTTTTACATAATTGCCTGCCTGTCTCTGTATATTTGAATATATGCTTTATTTTTTATTTTTTGATCAAAATATATATATAAATATTTGTGAATTACACTGATAATACAGTAACAGTAACAGTACAGAAAAAGACATGCGCACATGTATATTATATACCATATACTATCGCTGTATTTTTTTTTTACATAATAAATATGTATGTAATGTATGTAATGTAGATTTATAAAAAAGAAGAAGAAAGATCACAGTCGGCCAAAGCGCTTATTGTCTTTTGGCTTTTTCTTTTTGTTTTCTTCTCGGCTTCATTCCGCCTTATGTCTCTACATGTTGTCCAGATTAGGAAATGGACTATCCAATAAAATTAAAGAGATCACGTGAATATATTATTATTATATATATTTTGTGTACCCAATTTGGAATATAATGGTATATTGAGAAAGAAAGAAGAAAAAGACAAAGAGAATGAATGAATGAATGAATGAATGAATGAATGAATGAAAAAAGGTTCATTTCTTATGATAGTTTTTCTACAGCAATTTATCTTACATTTTAATATAAAAAGATATATATTGTATATACTAGACTTTGATAATTGAGATAATAGCACAATACAGAATTGAATTGAATTGATTAGGTTCAATTGTAGTTTTCTTTTATATTTATATATAAAAGAAAAGATGTGATGATTATGATAAGTCTTGAGATTCTATTGTGAAGCACGCACATCACAACAGATTGGTATAAATAAAAAAGGTTCCAAATCAGGGGGTTACAAGTACATTACATCTACATATGCATATAAAGGACTTGAATGAATATCTATTTTATATATAAATATATTTAAAAGAATGAAAAGCGCAAATGTATCTACATCTACATCTATATTTATACTTAATATATATATATATATATATATATATATTAATCAATGAAAGAAGGAGATAAAATAGACAGGAAGAGTTGAACAAATAATAATAATAATAATAATAATAGTAGTAGTAGTAGTAGTATTCAACTTTTCTCTAATAAGGGAGGGGGTGGGGCGGAGATGAGATGAGATAGTGCGTATAGTATACATATATATTTATATTTATATGCGTGTGTGCGTGTATGTGCTTGTGTGTGCTTGTGTGTGTGTCTGTGTGTGCTTGTGTGCTTTGGTGCTTTGGTGCTTTGGTGAGCGTGTTATATATGCTATGTGTGTGTGTGTGTGTGTGCGGGGGGTATGAGGAAGAGAATATAATATAAAATAGAGTAAGAATAAAGTGCCTCGAATGGGCTGGTTTATTGTTGGAAATGTAGGACAGGCACGGAAGACTAGCCGAATACCTATTTTTTTTATTTTATTTTTTTACTATATTTGAAAGCCATTTATCGTCAATTGAAATGCGGCCTTCATTAAAAGTGTATCGCTTTTTAGCTGAATGGAGCTGTGCACAAAAAAAGCAAAAAAAAAAAAAAAAAAAAGAGACTGTAATGATTGGGATGCATCTTATTCTTTTGCTGTATTCATTTATTTTATTTTATATCTTTATTTGAAAGCCAGTTCTCATCAGTCAAAAGGACGTTGTCTTCTGTTCTCTTTCTTTCTTTGCTTCTTTCTCCCCTTTATTCAATGCAGTACGAAAGCTCCACTACTGCCCTTTCTACCTATGCTGCCGACTCAATGAGCCCACAATCCAACAAACCCTACTCATTAAACGTGCGCTATCCAGCCCATACTCCACCACCATCTACCTCGCCAATCGAACTACCACCCATTCTCGACATGTGCGACCCTTTCACTGGTAATAATTACAATTACAATTACAATTACAATTACAATTACAATTATGTATATATATAAATTATATATTATTTATCTACAAATTTACATAAAATACATACATAATATACATAATATACATACATAATATACATAATATATATATATATATATATCCTTTTTCTATTAAATAATAATAACAATAGTATTAAGTATAGAGAATAATCAATATTAATCACCATATTTTCTTTTTTATATATAAAAATGTCTTTTACATAGTCGATAGACCACCTTCACCAACCTCTCCCTCAATGACCAAACGAGATGACTTTTTGTTTTCACTTCCCTCTCCACCAGCCTTCTTGGAGCCTGCACCTCAGCTCAACAGTCATGCCTCGTTTGTGTTTCCACCCTTCAAGGAGGCACTGGAGTCTATACAGCTCCAGAATCAATACTATCAATATCAGGGTGTGCATATGCCCATCCCGCGCTGTTCCTCTCATCAAGCTTTTGCACCGACCCAATCCAACCCCGCCACAGGTGATTCGGAAGGCGAGGACCCGCGAGATGGCCGATCCTACTCCCCAACCTCCTCCTCCACCACCTCGTCCATGTCTACCATTTCGGGTCCCATTAGCCGTCGTCTGCCAATCTCTCCCACAATGGCTGCCGCATCCGCCTCTGCTGCTTCGGCTGCTCATCATCGGTCCGGCAGTCTAGTAACCGACACCCTCGTCAACGCGCTCCGGCTCACTACTCCCGACAACCATGAGCCACTCGTAGTTGATCTCTCTTCGCCCTCATACACTCGCGTATCATTCATGGTCCATGGTAACCCAGTGTCTATGGACCAAAGCATGTTCTTGACCAAGAATGCCCACATCAAGAGACCTCGCAATGCTTGGATACACGTAAGAAGAAAAAATAATAACATATATATATATATATATATTGTATTTCTGTATTTAATACTAACATATTATATATATATACAAATATATTAGTTCCGTTGCCATTATGGTCAGGCACTCAAATCTCAGGATCCAACCCTTCGTGCAGAGGAAATTTCAAAGTAATGAATTTGATCCATGTCACTTTTTTTTTACTATTATTATTATTATTATTATTTTGAAAAAAAAAAAAAGCACTAAACTAAAACCTTCTTTCCTTCTTTCCATTTCAGACGTGCTTCACGTCGTTGGGCAAAGTTGACGGAGCGAGAAAAGAAACCGTGGCACGATCTGGCTGAACAGGAAAAACAAGCTCACAAGGAAGCCTTTCCCGAATACCGTTATAGTCCCAAGCGTGGCCTCACCCACATCTCTCTCACCGACCCTGATGATACCGAGAGCAGTGTACGCCACAAGCGAGCAAGACGTACAAAATGATCGCTGTTGCATATTCATATATTCTATTCATAATATTCATCACTCACAACACAACACAACACAACTCAACTCAAAACTATACAACACACCATAGCACAAGCACAAGCACACTTCAGGAATCTTCAAAAAAAAACAAAAATCTCCACCAACCCCCCTTTCCCTTTCACACCAACAACAGCAGTAGCAAAAAGAATACCCTTCACTCAGCACCCCAGCACTTAGCACATTCAACCCACTTTATCTTTATTTTTTTGTTTTGTTTTTTTTTATCTTCACCTTACACATATTTCATCACTTCTTTGTTTGTTTCCATAGCCACAGTTTTTATTTTATTTTGTCTTCTTTCACGTTTCGATTCCTTGAGAGTACATAGTTTTCTTCTTCCCCTTCTTCTTTACCCACAACACTTCTTTTCTTTTCTTTGTTTGCAAGTTCCCTTGACTTTTTATTTTTATTTTTATTATTTTTATTATTTCTTCATTCTACATTTATAATCAAGAAATAAACAAAATGACACCCATGACAGGTGTCAAGCAATCAAAAAAAAAATCTTGTTAAAGGGATTTAAACCAACCCATGATAATGACTATGATGATATTTTTGAACATTTGAGAGCTTAAAAATAGGTTGATTGTCTTTGTTTATTTATTATTATAAATATGGATATATATATATATATATGTGTATATGTATATATGTATATATGTATATATGTATATGTGAGCGTGAGTTTGGGTGAGTGTAAGTGGGAGTGTGCTGTGAGTATACGTGTGCTTGTGTGTTTGAATGTTTGCTATGTGTGTTTGTGTATATATATATTTAGGTGTGTATGTTTGCGTATATATAATATAATATAATATAATATAATATAATATAATATATATATAAAATGATCTTTTACAATGCTCCAATCTCGTCATCTACCAGTGTCACGAAATCAGACAATTCACGCAGAATTTCCGGATCGGTTGTCGGCTTCACGGTCGCGAGCATCAGCTTTTCCCGCAAACAGCCCATGTCAAGTATACCTCTGCCCAGACATGGCTTTGGTGCCTCGCTCTCCACGCAGTCCAGCAACGTCGGTCGTCGGCGCATTCCGTCCCCACCACACACCAGCCCACGCACAACCTCAATCCCGCGCTTAGTCACGACCGCAAAGTGCTGGTTACCAGATTCCGCAAGCGCAATACACAGTCTCAGGATCATCATCGGAACGCTTTTATCACTGTCAATCAAACGCCGGCGAAGGCTCACGTCATCCGAAATCACCATAACATTGTACAGGCCCATCATTGCCATTTCCAAAGTCGCCAACTGCGCACTGTTCAATGCAAACATCACTCGCCCATCAGGCGCAAAGAAGTCGCGTCGAATCACGGCACTCAACTCGGTCCACAGCTCAACAAACAACTCAAACCTGTCGTTCTTTCGACCCTTTTTCTTATCTCCCCTCTCTTCACCCTCGTCCTCACCATCCTCTCCGTCCCTGTCCCTGTCCCTGTCCCCGTCCTCGTCCTCCTCTTGCTTTTCAAGCACCAGTTGGGAAAGTACCTTTCGGTTTCCGTAATTAACGGCAATCTTGGCCCACAAATCAATCGCCAGTGTGGCATAATATGTCTCAGGTCCGTGCAACAAGAAATCGTGTGCCAGGCGTACAATAGCCGGCCCCGTCGTTTCATCCAAAGAAAACGTCATGGCAATATTCGAAAAGATGATCAGAATCGTCTTGCGGTGGTCAAGAGTATCCATTCGCCGGATGCCGACAAACCATGCCTCGTGGGTCTCATTCTCGCGTGGCGAACTTGCGATCCGTGCCAGGGTTGTTACAAATCGTCGGTGCTTCGAAAGGTAGCCTACGTTCTCCGTCATGAACGAAAAGTTGCGGAACAGGTTGAAAATACAGAGGCATCTCTCACGTAACGACAGCCAGATTTCGGATGTGCTTTCTTCAAGCTCGGGTATCAAACTCTTCATCTCATCAAGTGACATGTCAAACAGCTCGGCATAGTTTGCTTCCTTGTCAAAGTCTATCACGGCTGCTTTGGATTTTTCACTTGGCTTTGAATTTACAAGAGTCGTGTCGGTTTTAATGTCGTCGGGGTTTATGTTTATGTTTGCATTTGCATTTGCATTTGCATTTGCATTTGCATTTAGGTTTACGTTTATCTTGGGTTTAGTTTTAGTCTTCGATTTGGATTTCGTTCTAGACTTGGACCTGGACCTGGACTTGGACCTTGTCTTAGTCTTTGTCTTTAGGAAGCGTGTGGACTCTCCAAAAAAGTCCTTTTCGAGAATATCTAACAGAAGATCCAACAAATCCTCGCATTGGTGGAGTGGAAGTGACGGCTGTTGAATTGACAGCATTGTAAGCACATTGAGTGCATTGGCCACTTCCATCTTCATCCCCGATTTAAGGGACATAATAAGAGCTTGAATATCCACAGCACCTTTTTTTTTTTAAAAAAGAAATTAAAAAATCTCGTGTATTGTTCGTTTCTTTCTTTCTTTCTTTCTTTCTTCTTTTTTTTTGAGTCGTAAAACCTATTTGAATCCAAGCCTACAATGGTTCCTTTTACATAAGAGCTTACCAAGTTCGCCAAGATGAGGAATAGCAGGCTTGATTTCAAATTTATCAAAATATTTGAGATCTATACCGCCATACGTTTCAACATTACGTGTCTTGGGAGCATATGTAACCAATGTCGCATCCTCATCCTTTTCAGCAATTTTATCAATAACTTTTGGTGATGACTGTACAGTAGCGTCAGAAGAAATCGGCGACCGACCACGAGCGCGCTTATTATTAGGTTGTTTATGACCCTGTTGCTGTTGTTGTTGTTGTTGTTGCTGATGGTGTTGATGTTGATGTTGTTGGAGTTGTTGTTGATGCTGATGGTACTGCTGATGATGGTGTTGTTGTTGCTGCAGTAATAGATGATGTTGTTGTTGTGGATCAAGCTGTCTGTGTTGATGTTGTTGATGTTGTTCAAGTTGTCTTTGCTGCAGTTGTGCCTGTTGCTGTGCTTGTTGTTGTGCCTGTTGCTGTGCCTGCTGTTGCGCCTGCTGCTGTGCCTGCTGTTGCGCCTGCTGCTGTGCCTGCTGTTGTGCTTGTTGCTGTGCCTGCTGTTGTGCCTGCTGTTGTGCCTGTTGTTGCAGTTGCAGTTGTTGTTGCTGTTGCTGTTGTTGCTGCAGCTGCTGCTGCTGTTGCTGTTGATCAAGCTGTCGATGCTGTTGCATAGGGGTAGATGTTGTACTACTAGGTGTTGCTGATCTGTGAGTGCCAGATGAAGGGGAATGCCCAGGCATAGGTGATTGTACGTGGGTTGGCAATGCAGCACCAAATTGCTTTGGTGCCTGTAATAAATCATCCATGCCAGTCTGTGCCATATCCTAATATATATATATATACACAAAGAGAGAAAGAAGAAGAAGAAGTGAGATCCACACCGAGTTAATAATAAGAACAGGCAATTTTTTTCATGCTTTTCTTTTTGGGGAAAATCTACTCAATATTGACTTGCCGTTACATATGAAGGTGCCTTTCTTCCAGGTGTCATCGGCGAAGCACTCGTCATACCAGGTTGGAGCATACCCATTTGATCGTGGCGCATCAAAGGCTGGAGATTAAAAACATTAGATTGCATATATGGATTATTGGCTTGCGACGGGATAACGCGACTCTGTATAGATAGATAATGCACAGAATTTGTTGTCGTTGTTTTTTTTTTGTATATATATATATATATATTAATAACATTGAATAACTTTGACCTGAGCTTTCCTGCCTTTTCCTTTCCTCTTTTATTTTCTTTTTACCGTATAAAAACCAATGGGTTCATGTCACTCACCTGATTAGCAAAGCTCATTGGAGAAGCAGTATGACTTGCTACCATGGGAGAAGACACTGCTCCATCATCAGATCCCTGTCTTTTGTTACGCTCTCCTGATCTACCTGCATATCCAACTAGGCTTGGGCTATTGTTGACAATCATTGGCGAGTTTGCTACATTTTGAAATGTGGCATTGTTCAATGCGGGCGATTGACTCGGGGATTGTTTGGCTATAATGAAATAAAGGAATTTAAATAATAACAAAGTAATACAATGGTTAATTCAGTAATGCATACGTACATATAAGCACGTATATATATATATATATATATATATAAAGTTATTCTCCTTTTCTTTTTTATTACCTCTCATTGCCATGGCTTGTTGTTGCTGATATAAAAAGGTTTGTGGTGACATAGATCCCATATCTCCTCCTCCTTGGTATAACCTTGTGTGTTGCAATTGTGCCTGGAGTGCTAGGATTCCCAAGCGCGCAAATGAAGTATTTATTAACAAGTACTTGACGTACACATAAACATTCTCTTTACGATGTTCTTTTTTGTTTTGTTTATTTCTTAAGAAATAACAATATTGATAATATTGTTAATATTATTATTAATAATAATAATACCTGTATTTTGCATGGGAGAGTTAAGCATTGTCTGAGGAGAAAAAACAGCTTGTGAAGGTTGTTGGAACCCGACTGGACCTGAAGGATGCATCATAGATGGTGGGTTGTTTGGATTTGCATTGGCATTATTGTTTTGATTGACAAAACTAAGATCAGTTTGATCAAGGGCGTGAAAATCAGGCGCAAAGGACAGATTTCCGGCTAGACTTTGTGCGTGCGAGAAGTTGCCGAACTGCAGGTTGGTATAGTTTGGAAACGTGCCATCCTGTTGTTGTTGAAAAGGCATCATCGTGCGTTTGGATGGAAGAAGACGGGAATTGTAGTAAATGGATTTTGTTGGTTATTTTATTTTATTTTATTTTATTTTCTGGTTACTATAAAGCCCTTTCATTCTGGCTTGCTGGGAAAATAAAATAAAATAGAAGGGATTGATATGACGTCGGCAAAGTTGAAATCTACACGCGCACACACACACACACACACACACACGTTCTCAAATATACACATATATATATATATACAGACACACACATATGGACACATGCATCTATGTATATTTGTATGTACACATACTATATAGATATAGATATAGATATAGATATCAGCTATCAAGTCTATGTACTTTTAATGTATTCATTTGTCTGTGTGCGTATTCGGAACAATAAATGAAACTTTTGAATAGGTTATCTCAAATACAGAAATAGAATAGAAACCACAATTGGGCTGTTGGTGAGAAGAAGAATATTGAAACAAGAGGCTATTAAACAGTCTATTGATTATCGAGACTTCTTTAAAAATACAAAGCACATTGTAAACGATATGCAGTTTTATCAATCTTTGTCATGTAACAAAACATTATCTGCCAAACCAAGAATAAAAATGCGAGCTTTAAGATGACGAATAAATAAGATTATAATTATTATGATCATAAAGCAAAATGGAAATAACTTGAAAAAGGCCTTTCTTTCAGTTTATTTTTCACTCACACAAATATATACATGTATGTATCATAAACCATTGAAAGACAAAGGTTGTGCTGGACTAATTGTTGATTCGTAACTTTTGTTGAAGTATTTGATATCTCAGTTCCTTTGATGGTTTACAAAGCATAATACTCGCACACCATTTTTTTTTTTTAAAAAAATAAATAAATTCAATTTTGATTGGATACAAGAAATTGTACCTTTTTTTTCTTTTCTTGGTTACGAATAAGAAAAAAAAAAGTACAATTTTCTTTTTTAGTAAAGCGTCGGTCTTTATAATGACCAGGCCGGACTTTACTGGGATTTATAAATTCCTCTTTCTGAATTGTAGGACAAGACAAGACAATTAACTTTAATAAATTTAATAATTAATAATAATAATAATAATAGTAGTAGTAGAATTTCTTTATGACTATGTATTTTATTTGATCATACTTTTTGATTAGCTGTAGTCATTGAAAAGTAACCTTCTATAATGTTAGCTACCTCTTCACCTCTTACCTATAAAATATATAGATATAAAGAAACAAAAACAAAAAAAAGATAAAAAATATACTTCCAACCAATCAAATACTTTAAATTAGCCATTTTCTTATTCGGTGTTTAAAGCAAATGCGCAGTACATTTACATTCTAAGCCATAAAGACATGGAAAAAGGGATGTTGAAAGGGATTAAAGAAGGGGGGGTGAACAATACATATAAAAAAAACGTATTATAAAAAAAAAGACTTCCTTTTTTGTTGTTTTTTTTTGTTTTGTTTTTGTTTTTTTTTTGTTGTTGTTTTTTTTTTAACTCTCTACTGCCAGACTTGTATTACTTTTTTTCTGTGACTTGCATTTAAACATTGAAAATCCAACCGAATTGAAATACCCAGACTAAGGTTTTTATTTATTTCCCCTTTTTATATATATATATATATATATATATTTATATACACAATTTCCAGAAATAGACTGCACACAAAGACATACAAGAAATATATAAATAAAAATAAAAGCAACCTTTGTACATAGACATAAAGAATTCATATTGGATAGTGGTTAATTCTAAGGGACCGACATTTTCTGATGGGAGCTGATGTTTCAATCCCACCGGACCCCCTCAATGGTGACTTGAAGCCCGATATCCAACATTTTATAGATAGATAGATATCTGGTCCCTAACAGTTCATAGCTTCTCTTATAAATCAAATCACTCGACTATAACACTGAAGGAATGGTCTTTATTCTTTATGTCAATATATTTAAAATTGAAGCTTCTATTTCATTAGTAGTATGTACATTATAATATCTAGACTGTGCACTATTACAAATACTTAACCATTAGTATTAGTATTAATCTTATATATTATTCTTATTTAAATATGTCGTACCCTTAAGATCGCTGATACAATTGATCGTCCGATTAATACAGAAATAATATAAGAAAGTCAAGTGTCTGTATTTTAGATATATTACAAAGAACAATAAAGATATTTAGTTATATAAGAGAAAGGGCTTATATACAAGAATTTGATTTGAATAGTAGATAAGATGTCTGCAATAATACAAAGATATCCCACATCAAATAGTGACTTTCTAATGAACTTCTTTAATAAAGTTTATAGGTAAAAGAGGATTGTCATATCATTTATTCAATCGATAGTAATAATAATATCAGCACTGATATTATAAATATTTTTTTCTTAAAAAAAAAGTATATCAAATCAGATCGGAGCTGACGTCACTGGTTGATTGCTTTTTTTATTTTCTTGAAAAGCAGAGTTTTTTCATAAAATTATTTCGTCCTTTCTGTCTTTAACGACGCTCGGTGCATTTGTTTTAATCCCTTTTTTTTAAACCGCACCAAACCAAAAAGCAATAGCAAGTAAGTATATATATATACTTCTTTAGGATTCGATGCATCATCCCAAGATCAAGAAGCAGAAATACATATAGCAAACACAAACAAAAAATAAATACATAAATAATAATAATAAAAACAACAAAACAACAAGCGATGACGTGGTAAAACTAATCACAACAACAAAAAGCCACTATAGGTCCTGCTGGGATATGCAACTTTAAGAAATCTCAACTAATGAATAGAACTCCCAATACGACCGGACAAACCAACGCAAAGTCGACTCCACAACAAGTGTCCAACTACGCACAGGCTGTAAAGAGAAGCTCACAAAATCTGGATACTCAACAGCGACCCAAGTCAAGCTCACCTGCACCCTCCACCACCCCATCTCCTCCTCCAGCAGTTCCAGTAGCACCCGTTAATGACTCTACATCAAAGACAACTAATGGAGACTCGCGTCTAAACGGATCTCCCGCCACTCGCTCTCCAGCTCCTACTGCACAGAAAGTGGCCCAGCCACCATCTTTCGCTGCAGCCCTGGCCAAAAATGCCTCATCGAATGTGTATCCTTTTTTTAATATGAATTACCATTTTTATTTTCCTTGTGAAAAATATATAAATGGTCAAGTGGGAACAACGGAAGAAGCTGATTTTTTTTTATAAAAAAAGACGACAACCAAAAATATATATGAGCAACAACAGCAGGAGCAACAACATAAGCAACAGAGCAAACAAGAAGAAGAAGAAGAAGTGTACAGGGAAAGAATCATTATATTCTTTACTATATGGTTTTTTCTTCTCTATCTCTTACTCTCTTTCTCTGTTACTGCTACTGTTACTGCTGCAGCTACTGCGGCTACTGTTACTGCTGCGGCTACTGCTGTTGTGTGTTGTATGATTATTATTGCTATTATTTAGCATGACCATCTTAAAATATCATATTACCCTTGACCATTTTCTTTCTTTTAATTTTATATAGTCCCACAAAGTCTACTGCTGCTGAATCACCGCAATCAGAACTCGTAAACGCACAGGCCCAAAACACATCATCATCTGCATCGGCAACCCCATTAGCATCTGCACCCGCACAGTCCAAGCCTCGCCAGGCCTCGGTTCAGCTCCCAAGAGCACCCCCATCAGATGCTGGTAAGATCATTTTCTTTATATAAATAATAATTATAATTATGGAGTGGCAAATGAAAAAAAATATAGTATGATATTCTTGTTGTATTTTTTTTTATTGACTCGTGAATATAGCTCCCATCCAGTTTGGTTCAATTAATCAGCCAGGTGATGCATCTATCGCATCCCTCCCCGTAGAAATCAGTGAGGTCCCCGTTCTTTTCAAGACAGAGGTGACCTTTGGAAGCCTTCCCGCAACAGAATCACCCGTAAGTCTTACTCTGTTTTAAAATGTTTACAAAGATAATGGAGAGAGAAGAAGGGGGGGGGGGTTCTGGTGATAAAGAGTAATTTATTGGAATGGTTGTGGGTGTGATATAAAAAGAAGATTTAAAGAAGAAGAATAAAACAAGAAGGAAAAGATAAATAAATAAATAACATTACTGGTTATTAATCAACTGTTTTTTTTTCTTGCACATTTCAGGTCTCATCTACCCGTCGGGATTCTACTCACTCTAATCATTCCACTGGCACTGATGCCCACACCTCTCAACCATATTATCAAGCCAACCATAACACCCGTCATTTCACCCCTCGCCACCACTACAGCCAAAACAAGCACAGCAGTGCCATGGGTGTACCTCATTCTCCTGCACAAAACCATCAACCAGGTTATATCCCTCATCATCAAAAGATGTCTCCTCATATGGCCAACGCATCTCCAAACATGCCTCCCCAAAGCATTCCCGTAAACCACACATGGAATGGTGCCAACCCCAACCAATACGTAAGCATATAGAATCAATTTTTTTCTTTTGTTAGAGTTAAAGAGATAGTGTATATGTGTGTGCGTGTGTATGTGTGTGCCGTGCCGTGCCGTGCCGTGTTGTGTTGTGTTGTGATAGTGTTATGGGTTGTATGCGTATTTACTTATCTTTTTTTCTGTCGCTATAGTTTGTCCCCAAGTATGAGCCCTCTTACAACTACAACCATTACAGTCAGAACCAGATACCTGCCTACTCCAACCTCCCTCCCCAAGGTGTACCTGCCGCTCCCCCATCCTTTGTTCCCCAACCCCGCAACAGCAGGGCTATTCCCATTATCAATCCAGATACCATGAAAACTGTCGATCTCGATAATGCCAGCAGCAGTGCTACCACAACTACCGGAAAGCCTAATAAGGTAGAAGAGAAGAAGGAAAAGGACTTCAAACACCCTGCTCCTTCCCGCAAGCTCACCATCGTCGACCCTGCTCTCAAGGAGCGTGAACAGCGTGAGAAGCTTGAGAAAGAAGAGGCCGAGCGTCAAGCTAAGGAGGAAGCCGAGCGCAAAGCTAAGGAGGAAGCCGAACGCAAGGTAAAGGAAGAGGCTGAACGCAAAGCTAAGGAAGAAGCCGAGCTCAAGGCCAAGGAGGAAGCCGAGCGTTTGGCTAAGGAAGAGACTGAGCGTATTGCCCGTGAAGAGAGAGAGCGTATTGCCCGTGAAGAAAAGGAACGCTTGGAGGCTGAACGTCTGGCCAAGGAGCAGGCCGAGAAAAAGGCACGTGAGGAAGAGGCTGCCCGCATTGCTGCTGTAAAGGCTGCTGAGGAGGAAGCTGCCCGTGTTGCTGCCGAAAAAGCTGCCGCCGAGAAGGCTGCTGCCGAGAAGGCCGCCGCTGAAAAGGCTGCTGCCGAAAAGGCCGCCTCTGAAAAGGCTGCCGCAGACAAGGCTGCTGCCGAGAAGGCTGCCGCAGACAAGGCTGCCGCCGATAAAGCTGCCGCCGATAAAGCTGCCGCAGACAAGGCCGCCGCCGACAAGGCCGAGAACGACAAGAAGGAAGCTGAAAAGGCTGCCGCAGACAAGGTTGCTGCTGATAAGGTTGCTGCTGCCGCTGTTAAGCCTGCTGCTACTATCCCTGAGCCCATCAACACTGATGTTTCATCTTCCGCCCCTGTTCGTCCCAAGTCCAACACTCCTATGCGTACAATCGATGATCTTAGTGCAGTAACCTACCCCAAGAACGTCAAGGCTCCCCAAGGCAAGGACAGCAACGGAAAGATCCAGTACGATCCTTCATTTTTGATGCAGTTCCAGCCCTTGTGTCTTGTTACATCCGAAGATCTTTCTGCTTTCCAGAACATTGGCGATGAGCACAACGATAGCAACTCCCGTGGTGGCGGTGGAATGCAGCGTCGCCAGACTTCAGAGCGTGGCCGTGGCCCTCGCACCCCTGGTGGCAACCCCATGGATATGGGCATGTTCAAGCACAACCCTCGTGATGGAGGACCCATGGAGATGGGTAAATTCTCTGGTGGACGTATCTTGTCTCACCGTGCTGGCAGCGGTGGACATGGTTTGCCTCCTGCCGCTTCAGGCCAAGGTGGTATGCAGCGTGATGGTTCCCACCGTGGACGCAGTGGTCGTGGTGGAGGAAAGGGTGGCCGTCATCCCCCTAGAGAACAAATTGGTGCTCCCACCATTCCTCTCGACCAGGTTGTCCCTCTTGAGAAGAGCAAGAACAGATGGGTTCCCGTGGTTTTGGCCACTGATGCACCTGCCCAACCCGCAACCCCTACTCCCGGTGCCGAGATGATTCCTCAGGAAGTCATTGTCCGTAAGGTCAAGGCTCTTTTGAACAAGCTGACCCTCGAGAAGTTCGACTCTATCTCCGATCAGATCTGGGAGTATGCTCACCAGTCCTCCAAGGAAGAAGATGGCCAGTCCCTTCGTACCGTCATCCAGTTGACTTTTGACAAGGCTTGTGACGAAGCTCCTTTTGCTAGCATGTGGGCTCAGTTGTGTCGCAAGATGTACAACAAGATGGTCGCAAGCGACGATATCGTTGATTTGAACGTAAAGGACAACAAGGGTGAAATCGTCTCTGGTGGTAACCTTTTCCGTAAGTACTTGCTCAACCGTTGTCAGACTGGTTTCGAACGTGGATGGAAGTCCCAGATTCCCGAACTCGATGAGAAGAGCAGTGCTGATATCATGATGTCCGACGAGTACTATGCTGCCGTCAAGGCTAAGCGTCAGGGTCTCGGTCTTGTTCAGTTCATTGGTGAACTGTTCAAGCGTGGAATGTTGACCGACCGTATTATGCTCGAGTGTTTGACTCGTCTGTGCCCCAGACCCTATGAGGCCGAAGATGAAGAAGCCGAGACTATGTGCAAGATGGTAACCACTATTGGTAAAGATCTTGACCAGAGTAACCGTAACAACAAGGAATGGATGGACACCTACTTTGAGCGTATGCGTGAGATGATGAACAGCCCCAGCATTAGTTCAAGAATCAAGTTTATGATTCTCGATGTTATGGATATGCGTAAGAACAAGTGGGCCACTCGTCGTGGTAACCAGCCTGCTCCCACCACCATTTCTCAGATCCGTGAGGAGGCCCAGAAGGCTAAGAATGAGGAGAAGGAGACCATGAAGCGTTCTGGTAGCTCGCGTGGTAACCTTCCTCACCCCGTCGCTCGCCAGGGATCTCACCGTGGTGGTCGTGACATCCAGCGTAACGATTCTTCTAACGGTGGCAATGGCAACGGACAAGGTGCTGATGGATGGAGTACTGTGGGCACTGGTGCCCCTATTAACACTACTCGTGGTGGCCGCACTAATGACCTTAGCAACTTTGGCAAGACTGACCGTAGCAAGCCTAGAGGCAATGTTCTTGGTCCTTCCGGCAGTCCATTTGCCAGTCTTACACGTAACGTTGCCAAGACCACCAACGAGAAGAAGAGTCCTGCTTCCGATGGCCGTGCCAGTCCTGCTACTATGACCAACATGTTCAGCGCTCTTGGCGGTGAAGGTCATGATGAAGAGAAGCCTACTGAACGTCGTAAGCTCAACCTTGTACCCCGCACTGCATCAACCAGCGATGACGATACCAAGACTGAGGAGGCCGCTGCTCCCAGCGCTGCTCCTGAGAAGCCCAAGCTGACCCAGGAACAGATTGAGCGTCGTTGCAAGAACATTATTGAAGAATACTTTAGCTTGCGTGACAAGAAGGAGTTGGTTGAGTGTGTCAAGGAACTTGATGAAGAGTCCCGCGTTACTTTGGTATCCAAGATGCTCGGTGTAGTCGAAAAGAAGGCCGAGGATGTTGACACTGTGTGTGGCATGATCGAAGAGTTTTACAACGAAAACCTTGTAGACCGTGAAACCTACATCAAGGCCATCAAGCCATTTATGGAGAACTACGAAGATCTGATCATCGACGTTCCCCAGGCACCAAAATATGTCGCCAGTATTCTCAAGGCTGCAAAAGTAGAGTGGTCCGAGGTTGCCGATGCCGCCCAGGAATCATAAGTTTGTCTTCCCCCCCTCATACACACACACGCACACCCTCCCCTATCCTACCCTACCCTATTAATCAATAAAGCCAAAACTCCCCCGCCCATTTTTTTTTAAAAGAAAAGAAGAAAAAAGAATGAAAAATCAAGCAACCAAAGCCAAGTTCCTCACCCACAATTCACCGATTTATATTACAATTACAATTACAATACAACTTGAAGTGTACATAAAAAAAACATCTGATCTCTCTGTCTACCCATTTATATTATATATCTATTTTGTCCTTGTTTCAACGTTGTGCATATTCTTTAAAAATATATTGAAATACAAGAGTTTGAAATAGATTTTTCTTTCTCAAAAAGAAGAAAAACTTGTTTAAAATTATATAGTTTAATGGGAACAATTATTATTTTTTTGTTGGTTGGTTTGTTGGTTGGTTAAAGGCAATTTGTTAATAGAAAGAAGTAGGGAATAAAGGGAACATTGTTTTTTAGTTTATTGTCGAAATAAGATACAAAAGAAAAATCACACTAGAAGTATTGGCGAAGCGCTATTTTCCAAGTACAGAATACAAAGGCCAGTCCTGTCGATATTTTACTTGATTTTAACATACATGAATATCTGTATTTATACTTATTTTTAAACTATTCTTTTTTTAATAATAATCACACAATAAATCTTCAAGCTTTAACTGTTTAGTAAATGAACCCATATAATACTGTCAAGTTTGGGCTGTGGTTGTATTTAAAGCTTGGTCAATCAAATTGTTATTGGTACTTTCGTAAACTGCATTTTATTGTTTTTATACAAGGCAAGAAAGGAGAAATGAAAGGAAAACATAACATATAGATCGGGTTTGATTTGATTTGATTTGATTTGATTTGATTTAATTTGGTTTGGTTTGGTTTGGTTTGGTTTGGTATTATATGAGCTTAATCTTCGTCAGTCTTTTCCTTCTCTGGGCTGCGTTCCTTGCGAGAGTCGCGTTCGCCTCTCTCTTCACGTCTATCCTGGCCACGTCGGTCAGAGTGATGGGGTGATCTACCGCGGTCTTCTCTGTCACGATAGGAAGGACGTCTTTATATATACATTTGAGTTTATTTTGTGACCAAAGAGCTAAAATAACAATAAAATAACAATGGTAATGTCAATAAATGTATTTGTTAGGCTATGTAATCAGACCATATATATATATATATATATATTGTTTGTAACTTACTTTATCCAGAATTAAGAGATTGTGGTAAGAGCAAGATATTAATGTTAGGGCAAGTTTTGAAATAAAAATCATACATATATCACTGAATTCGCAGAATACTACGTGTACGTGTGGACAAGCTTAAACTAGCCAATATGAAACCAACCAACCATATTACCTTCTTTCACGATCACGGCCAGAGTCTCGTCTAGGAGAGCGATCGCGATCTCCACGGTCACCACGGTCACCACGGTCACCACGGTCTCCACGGTCACCACGGTCGCCACGGTCACGGTCTTTACGGTCACTGCGTCTGTCACCATGATCTCCTCCTCCACGCTTATCTCCACCCTCAAAACAGTCTCTGGCACGATGGCCTTTAGTATGGAACAGGAAAGAAAGAAAAGGTAAATAAATAAAGGGCACATGGTTGTTTAATCGAACGACAATAAAAAGAAATTGATCCATGATTATGTATGTATTCATGTACCTAATGATCTTTGTCTTAGCTTTTTTTGTTGTATTCTTTATTACCTTCTTTACCGCATGAAAAACACTTTCCATCTCCCATACGTCTTACACCATCACTCTTGGCCCACTCTACAATCAAAGGTTCACGGCCGAGTTCCTAAACAAGAATAAACAGCTTGAATATATGTACTTTTTTTTTCTTGTGTGCGTATATGTGGCGCGTAGAGATGCCATCTCAAATAAAAAGAGAATGAATGTTCAAATAGTTTACCTTGCCATGGACACCCTTCATGGCATCTTCGGCATCACGCTTATCCTCGAATTCCAAAAATCCAAATCCTGTGATGATGTAAGCTGATGACGATCTGATTGCCTCACTCTTTCTTTCTCTTTCACTTATGTTATTTAAGCTCATTTACATACCTCTTTTTATATCAAGGCGAGTGATCTTGCCATACTTTGAAAACAGATCTTCTAGTTCACGCTACATATAAAGTCAGATATTTGATTTATTTTCGTCATGTATATATTTGAAAGCGCTGAGTTTTTTCATATTCTTTTTTTGGTACAGTTTCTTGTTCAGCATAAAAGAAAGGAAGGTCCTTTGGTTTTTGTAACTTACGTTTGAGACGTCAAAAGGCAATCTTCCAATAAAAAGTGCCATTTAAAAAAAGGTGTAGAAAAGGGTGTAGAAAAGGAACAACCAAAAAATAAAATAAAATAAAAAATAAATAAATAAATAAATAAATAAATAAATAATTATCAAATAAATAAATAATAATTATTGAAAATATTTAATATTCGTATTCGTATTAGTATGCTTATTATTCTTGTTATAATATATGTATATCTATATATGTGTGTGTGTGTAGACGAGCAGTATATGAAATAATAATAATAATAGTAATAACAACAATAATGATGAGTAAAATGAACGAGTTTCTGTATTTCTTTTAGTTTTCTTTGTACGTGTATAATGTGTGTGCGTGTGCGTGTGCGTGTGCGTGTGCGTGTAGGTGTAGTGCGTCATCCATACTCGTTTTGTACCTGTAAATCTGATACTTGCGCACTTGGTAAAATAGCAAAAGTTGCGTTATTTTTTTTTAAAGTAAATTTTCATCTTAAATAAATAACGCAATTAAGTAAGAAAAAGAAAATACAATATTTCTTGGTAGAAAATAAAATAAAATGAAGTATAAATATAAATTGAATAAAGCAATGTAAAAAAAGGGAAGTAGAAGTAGAAGAAGAGAGTGAGGGAAAAATAAGAAGAAGATATAAGAAGAATATTTATATATATATATAGAGAGAGAGAGATAGAGAGAAAGAAGTAGAAAAAAAAAGATAGAACAAAAAGGGAGATTTCTTTAGTGCTTGGTGGTCTTGAACTTGAGAAGAGGGGCAAGTATCTCTAAAGGACCCGCCTTTTTAAGAAAGTCGTGCTGTGAAAGAATAAAACGTCAAAACATAAAAAGAGGTTAAATACTCATCCAGAACTTCTTTATGTATATATTGTTATCATTACCTCAAGTAGTTCAGCAGCTGTTGCGCGTGATCGTACATCAACGCATAGACACACGGCAAGGAAGCCTTTGAGCTCACGCGACAATTTTTCAGGGTTCTTGAGAGTGGGTGTTCCGTTTGTAGCAATCAAATACAGGGCCTTGAGAGGCTCTTCGTCCAGATAGGGTGGTTCATTCTCAATCATTTCAATAGCCATAATACCCAATGACCACAGATCGACCTTGGCACCATACTCTTTCTGCTTGACTACTTCAGGAGCCATCTATATATGTATTTAATTTAGTTTAATCTCATGTTATCCTACGTAAAAACAAATAAAAACGAATAAAAAAATAAGTAGACCGTACCCAATATGGTGTTCCAACCATTGTAGCACGCTTGTTCTTTTGGTCTGTTAACTTGGCACAGAAACCAAAATCACTGATCTTGACTTGTCCATACGCATTCAACAAGATATTGTCAGATTTGATATCTCTGTGAATAATATTTTGAGAATGCAAATGATGAAGACCAGCAGTTGTCTATTTCCGCAACAAAATCAATAAAAAAATAGTTAGTTTTGGTTAATAACATATTCTAAATCCTTATCATCATCTTGTATTGTTATTGTTATTATCTTACCTCTGAGCATACTGTGGCAATCTGTTGTTCAGTCATTGTGTTGTGATCAATCACATCAGTAAGAGCGCCACCCTCCATGTATTCCATCACAACCCATAATTCCATGTTCTTGACAAGGAAAGAGTCAAGGAAGTTGACAATATTAGGGTGTTGAGATTCCTTCATGACCAGAATCTCATTCACAATCAACTCCTTGCGAGGCTGGTGAGCAAGGTCCATCTGTTTAATCGCAACCTTGGAATTGGTCGAAAGAGAAATAGCCAAATAAACAGACCCAGAAGCACTGAAGACATACACCCAGATACATTTTGTAATGTTAATTCACTTTCTCCAGCATATCCTTTCTTTAGTTTCTTTTAAAAGAATATATCTTACCCTTGACCAACTCTCTTCATTCGCTTGTAAAGCTCATTGGGATCGTTAGGAGATACAACGGCGCCTACAAGAGATATACATATAATAATATCCATAAATAAATGATTCACACAACCTCATTGTTTTGTTGGTGCTTTCTTCTTCTTCTTCTTCTTCTTCTTCTTCTTCTTCTTCTTATTTTACTTACGCATCTTCTCCATAATTTGTGCTTCTGTCATTGTACTGATACGCTGTTCAACTTTCTTTTTTGGTGCGGATACTTGAGCTGCAGCCTTTTCTCTTTCTCTTTCACGGTGTAAACGCTCACGCTCCATCTCCTTTTCTTTCTCGCGTTCCCAGCGCTGTCTTTCCTTCTCTCGCTCTCTAGCCTCTCTTTCACGTTCTCTGAGCTCGCGCTCTCTTTCACGGATCTCACGGATCTCTCTCTCGCGTTCTCTTTCTCGCTCACGCATTTCCTGTTCACGTTCACGTTCGTACTGGACACGATCTTCATAAGTGGTTGCACTGCTGCTGTGCTTAGGGATACGGTGGCTGTGCATAGTTCCTTGAGATTTTGAAGGCTCAGGGCGAGGATACATGGGTTTGGAATATTGTTGGCGAATAGGACTGGTGGGTATTTGATCTCTCTACAATTGAATAATAATAATAATAATATTGGTTTAACCATAAACATACACACACACACATATATATATTCATTATTGTTATTATTGTTATCATTAAAGATTGTTATCAAGCAAGCTATATATATATATATTTAATAACTTACAGGTGATGTTGGAGTGCGATCTGGACGATAATCCTGGCGATAATCTGGTGATGTTGGAGTACGTGGTGAAGTAATTGGAGACTGAACACGATCCTGAAGTGATTATATACATAATAAGAAAAGAGAGAAATGTATATATATATATATATATATATGTGTGTGTGTGTGTGTATGTTTTTAGCTCTTTAGCTCAAATATAAATATTTGTGAATTGATGGCGTACATTTTTGCTGATTGAGAGATCGTTCATGCTATCATAGAGATCAGGGCGTCTGCCTTGAGTTGGCGGTGAAGGTGCTGGACGGGATGGGATGTGTTGTTGAGTGGGCTCATGCATTAAATCAGCCCATCTATCTCCACTCGAACGTTCCACAGCTCCCATAAGCTGCGAAGAGCCATATTCATCTGCTTCCCGTTTGGTTTGTTCGGTGTAGAACTCTAAAACATCCAATACTGCCTGAGGGTTCTTTGCAGCATCTTCTGCTGTGATGGCTGAACCTTTGAGAAGTCGAGTCCATTGATCCGGAAGCCCCTATATTCAATTATGATAATGGATGAATTATAAATAAATAAAGCGTCAAAATAAGACTACTAAATAAATAGTAAGCTGAAATTATATTACTACTTACACTAAATGCTCCCGTAACTGGATCAAAACCAACATGAACTTCATGAACAAAATTGGTTGGGCCAGAAGATCCTACGGAAGATCTCTACATAAATCATCATAATTGTGCAAACATTAGGACATTTTGCACACACACACATATATTATAACGTACATTGTAAATTTCATCCATCCATGAATACAAATCCTCGTCACTCTTACAAGCAATGTAATAAGTTTTCTCTTTTGTGCCAATTTCAAAACAATAAGGCTTTAAATCTGTACGGGTAACTGAATTGACGTCTTTGAGAAAGATAAGGGCTACACATTGACCGGATTGCTGTTGTTGTTATATTTGTGGTTGTGGTTGTGGGTGTAGTTGTAGTTGTAGTTTTGGTTTTTGGGTGTGTGTGTATATACAATCATTGGATGAGATGAGATTCCAACAACAAAAAAAGAAGCAACTTCGTACCTCATTGCGATGGAATGTGAGTGCTTGATCTCTTAGGACACTGAAACGTTTGGACCATATCCAGGCTCTCAGACCATCTTCTTTGACTGATATGTATCCGTCCTTAATGATCTCAGTCATCGTTTAATAATTTTCTTCTTCTTCTTCTCGAGTTATAAGATTTGGTGAATAAACGCCAAAGTTTTAAGCGCTATTATCTTTTTTTTCTTTTTAATATATTATATATATATATATTTAAAGTCAAAGGTTTTTAGGGCGTCTTTCGGTTTTCGTCGTTGTCCTTTTTTTTATAAACAAAAAAGAGAGGGAGAGAGATGGTCAATTAAACAAGAAAGGGCGCAAGGCAATAGGAGAAAAAGGAAAGAGAGAGAAAAGACAAGTGGGAGACTAATAACCAAAGGGTAACCAAGTTTTAGTGACACTAATAAAGCTAAAGGAGTTTATTTTGGTTTTATTAAGGCTCTTGCCTTCATTCTATTTCAGCGGAGATCTCTTTGTGCGTTGTTTAGCGGTTGTACAAAGTTGGTTGCGAGTAACATTAGGTTTTTTGTCCGACAAAGGTAAGTAATAATAATAATAGTGAGAAATAGAGCACTATAAAGAACCGAATGGCTTTTATGTATCTATTCAATATCTAAATTGTTCGAGAATAAGCAAATTAATAATACAGCGTAAATTGCAGAGAAATTGAATGGCTTGAAGAAGTCATTAGAGCCTATAATAGGTGGCAGATATGTGGCAAATATACGCACATCTGTGTGCCTGGGTGACCGTTTAAATCGTAGCTTTATTTAATAAAATGGATCTCCTTTTGATCCTAGGCCAAAGCGCATGGGGCCTCATGCCAATCGTTACTTCATTGGTTTGTTTAACACGCCCTCCTCTCCGCAACATTTGCTTGTAACGCGTGTTAATGGTCACGTGGGAATGCGTAAATGCCTTGGTTTATTAAAATACAAAGAAAAAAAAGATAGATCATTTTAAAGACGATGAATATTAACCAAGAATCCAAGGGACTTGAAATAGAAGACCAGCAATAAATGGGCTTTATATTAAATACTCATTACAGATGAATTTTCATAAATGTATTTATTAATATTTTATATTGGATATTGTGTATATATTATATGTATATATTGATATACACGCACACATATATATACTTGGTTTTAAAGGTAACCATAACCTGTTATGAGGATCAGTTAGATTTGATGCCAAAAGTCTAGACCAGTTTTGGGTACTAGCACGTTAAAACTTTAATACCACATATATATATGTGTGTGTATGTATGCAGTGTTTATACCTTCTTCAGATCTTTCTAGGTATTTAACGCACATATAAAGTTATCTTGAGAAATTGTATCAAGATGACATTCGATACAAACCATTGTCTTTTCTTAAATTTGAGCTTCATTTATCTTGTGTTTAGTAACTAATGAAATCTACATAATCTATACGTACTTTCTTTTTAATGTAACAATCAAATTAGATATATATTTATTTCATATAAATATATATATATACACTGCACCAAAATCAAGCTAGAGAATTGTGCTACATGGCTGGAGGCTGTGTTACTCCCACGCATACACACACACACACACAATAGACCGTAAAATATAAACCGACTACATAACCAGAAACAGGGATAATAGAAGTTTGCTCAATTCATACTTTTATTTGGTGACTGATCGATCCTATTTATTTTATATATGTATATTTTACTGTCTTCTAGTCATTAAAGCATAATCTCTAATCAAATGAAAATCTCACACTGCTTCTTTGGGTTGAAACCACCTTTTCTTTTTCTTTTTCTTTTTCTTTTTTAATTTGAAAATTTTGCCTAAAAGGAGTAGTATACTAGCTATGTAGATTTATTAGCCAAAGAAAAAAAAAGTCTTGCCATTATATTTCCTCATATTTTTGCTTAATAGCAATTAAAACTACCAGCTTATCGATTGACTTTTCATTGAAAGATGTGCTGACTAATAGTTGATATCTTAGTAGAGTTGGCACTATCAATAGAATAAGAGAATACTTGAGAAAATATTCTTTTTCTTAAAAATAATAGTAATTATTATATATACATACATATCATGATATCAAACCTTTCTGACAGAAATCAATTAGTGCTCAAGATCACTAACTTTACAAAAACCAAATCATCCAATATTTTATTAAAAGTCCCATACTATTTTCTTTTGGTTGGTTGATTGGTTAAACAGGAAAAGCAAAAAAGCAAAGAAAAAAAACTTGTTCTTATTACTACTTTTTTTTTGTTATTGAGCATATTTCCTATCTTACTTTGTAGTACATTTCAACCAAACGTGGCTTTCAATAAAACCATATTTCCACGTGTCCTCACAAAGTTTGGGCCATCTTATGTATTACTTAATAAATCAACAATAGCCTTTATTCACACAAATTTGCTTAAACAGGCCAATACTATCTTTACAGCAGTATGCAGTGTGCAGTGTGCAGATGCGAATGTGAATGTGAATGCGAACGCGAATGTGACTGTACTGCAAATTTGTACTTTCTGAACTGTACGTGCGCTCTTGTACATGTTTTTGTTTGTATTTGTGCAATAGTAGCTTGATTTATTTATAAGAATTACAAGGGAATAGAAAAGGTGCTTTTAGTTATTTGCTTTTTTTTCAGAATTCACAAATTTTAATAATCAAAAGCCAAATTGTTTTGATAGATAAAGGGCTGTATGTGGGAAAGTAAATATTCCTAAAAAAGGCAAAGTATTAGTTCGCAAAACGAATTTTATAATTCTAATTCTAATTTACCTTTAGAAGGAAATGCCACTGATCCTTATATTTCATATTTTTATTTTTAATTTGTAAAATATTATCTTCGAGTCATCTCTGGATCTACTCACCTAAAAAAGTATATTGCAATGTTTGATTCCAGGCTTCTTTTATGCGTACAAATAATGCCTGTATATTATTTGTACGTTTTTTACAGCCTTGCACCAAAATGTCCTTTGTGGCTGCATTAAAAAGAAAAGACAAAAATCGTAGATACTTTTAAGCAAAGATGGGTAGAAGCCCTCGATATTAAAGAAAAAGACAAGCTTTTGGGAAACCAATCGATGCATTAGATGAAAGTAGTAATATACTATGGTTATACAGACGGGTGTACTTTAGTGAAAGAAGAAGAAGAAACCAAGAATACTACTCCAAAGCTAAAGCTATTATATTCTGTTTATGGGCCCATTAGACTAACTACACATCCGCCAAAACATTTTAAAATAATAAGAAAGAGAAAAATAATATTAATAAGTGTGTAGTAGTATGTTACTTATTTTTATCATAATATTTCCCAGTGCTTTGATAAGAACTTATACTTCTCTAGCTCAGTATGCTGGATTTCATGAGGAATATTGAATTCGTATTCCAACAACAAAAAATAGTATATTATCTAAATATCAAGACATTTAATATAAGCTACAGGCGAAATACATATATCTTAAGGGTATACGTCAGGATTGTTTTTTCTGTTTAATTTTATTGGTAGACCAACTTACTCCAACCATCGTACATATCTATTCGCATAATTTCATTATAAAAGAACACATCAACCGTTAGTTGATGGTTTCTATCTTGTATATCAAATAAAAGGCTGTTTCCTTCTTTTTTTCTTCGGCCAACAAAGATTGCACTCACTACTGGATGTGGTTATGTTAATTCACATAATTTATACATGCAATACTACAGAGACTTGGCTTGGTAGATAAACGAGAGTTATTTTAAGAAGAAGAGAATTGTTATTATTTTGAGACTACTAGCAAAAAGAATAAATCATAACCGCGTTTTTTTTATACTCATAAATTGTGCTATGTGCTTCATATACAACAATGTCAATCATTATATATTATATTGTACGTTTGACCCTTGAGGAGAAGGGGGTTTGCCTACAGAATCTCAGCAGTAAATAAAAATTAGCAGTGTCCGTGTGTGTGTGCTCGGGCTTTCTTCTTTTTACGAATTGAGATTTTACGGCCTTAATAAGTCTATTGTGTAAAAGTTATAGACCTTCTTCTTTTTTTCTTTTAAAAAAAGCCTTTCTTTACTTTATTTATAGGCTGTTTGACCAAGAAATTTATCAGTAGTTTTGACATCTTCTCAAAACTGATAAACGATTCTTAGTGGTTTCAGAATAATTAGCTATTTGAATAAACCGTATAGCCTATCAAAACGAACCAAAGCAGGAATATTTTATCATATGGAATAAAAGTGTAAATAATGCGCTATCACATAAAATACGAAGTTACATTATGCAATACAAAAATAATAGAAACGTAATATTATCTCATGCAAGTATTTTTATTATTGCTATTAGAACAATATGAAAACAATCATATTTAATATTCAATTCACTCTAAACTATTTACTGTTTTTGAACGTGCTTTCCGAATGATAGTAATGCCATCAAAGATAGGTAGAAGAACCACTTCAACTCTATCGTCTTCCCTTACGTATTTGTTAAAATCATACGCCTTTTTTGCTAACTTCTTGACATTTTTTGATACTGGAATGGTTTCGGGATCATCATAACCTGCGTGTTGGTGTACTTGTCCGAAGAATAAGACTAAAGTATTGATAGAGCAATTTGTTAAATAGTTCTATTAATGGTAAAAGCAGGGATCACCGCCGCTTACCATTATCTGCAATGATTACGCCATTATCGGATAGCAGATTGCTTTCCATGATATGATTAAAGTATTTGATGTAGCCACCCTTGTCAGCATCTTAATAAGAAATGATAAACAATTCTGTCAATACACACACACACATCACTCTCAATCATAATTTAGGCTAATATTTGTTTTACCAAGAAATATGACATCAAACTGTGGTCTTGGCGTCTGTCGCACAAGCTCAAGTATACTAAACATAAATCAAACCGTCAAACAACTTCAGGTACCATCCAATCAAAACCAAAACCAAAACGAACCACTCTTATTTACCTTTCTAGAGCTGGGCCTTGTTTGAATTCAACTGTCTTATCCAATCGGGCTTCTTTAACAAAACGACGTGCAACAGCCAAATGACAAGGATCTAACTCAAGAGTAGTCAAGCTAGCGTTGGGTCCCAGTGCTGATGCCATGGCTATGGCCGAGTAACCCGTGAATGTACCAATCTCAAGCACCTTTTTAGGACGAAGAATAGAAACAAGCTGATGTAGCAACATTGCTTGCGATTCACTGATCATCATAAAGCCGTTGCTAAATTCTCGACTTGTTTCATCTGCAAGGGCCTTCATTACAGAGTTTACTTGTTTCGGGAACGGTGTGCTCACATCCGTCGCATATCGCTCTTCTAGAAGTCTCAGACGATTGTTTGCGTTGCTCATTGTTCCTTCCATCATAAAAGTTGAATGAGACCGTACACCTAACCGACTAACTGGAACCAAGAGCTGAGCCAGCGATCGCGAGGATTGTCTTGTTAGTCTTGGAAAGAATTGCATAATGTGATCTTTCTATGCAATTATGTAAGGAAATATAGAGAGAAAAGAAAGGACGATGAAGCTTTAACACCGCAAGATTCATATTTATATGTATTTTATTGCATTTTTTTTTACTATGGTAACAAACAATGTTCATTTTATCTTTACTTTTTTTTATCAATAATAAAAAACAATAATGGATAGGAAAATGCTTATTTTGTCAATATTTGGAAGGTTTTTTTTTCTTACACCAAATCACCCCCCCTATGCCGAAGATGATCCTTAACAAAGATTATATAAATAGGTACATGTGGGTTGATGCACTTGTATTAAGTAAAGTTTCCCCTTGGCTTAAGTTTTTAAGAGATAGCAATGGCTGACTGAATTAAGCTTCTATTCAATAATGAAATGTTTTTATATTACATCAAATGTGACAAAAATGATGCTAGAAATCACAAGGATTCAAGTAAATCCGTAAACTTTTTTGCATTCTTGTATGAGTTTGAGTAAATATCTATCTATCTATATATATATATATATACATGTATGTATGTAGACGTATGCACGTATATTAATAATATTTGGATTTCAGTATTCCCGGTTTTACTATTGATAGATCTAATGTCCTATATAAACAAGGAGTACTCGACCGAGGCTACTATAATCTTGTTTTGTGAAGACAGGGCGTAATGTACCAGGTCAGTTTCAAAAACCAAATTTGTTTCACATACTAAGCCACCTTAATTCTCTGCCATACTTGCATTAAGTTCTCAATCTTACCAGTGTTTTCTCATTTTTAGACTTACTGCATCTGACATGACTACACGCACTGACATCTTTAACAAGTCCAACGCTGCACTTGACACACTTTATAATGTGTGGGAAAGCATGCTTACCATCATCCAAGCTGTTTCGGCAGCCTCATCAAAGTCATTGACAACCGAGCCTGATTTGGCAGCACTTCAAAAAGCACGAAGAGACTACGAAACACTATTAGGAAAATTATCTTTGACTGCGATATGGCTAGAAGATAATAAAGATATACTCCCAAATATCTCAGTAAAAGACAGCAGCTCAGACGAAACGCCCCAGAGAAAGCAGCTACTATTGGAACAAGAGAGCCTTCGTAATGTAAGACCCATTAAAAGTCGAAATAATGGTGATAACAAAAATTAAAAAAATTAAGAAAAAAAATGAACCATTGGCGCCAACAACACCTTTAATATAGGAATCAGATCGTCTCTCTAATCAATTAAAGCGTCTCTTGAGCCAATCTTATGCTTTACAATTCCAGATCGATATGCTTTTATCCTCTTCTTATGATCAAGATATTGATAGTCGAAGTTAATTTCATAATAATCGCATAATACCTTATTCTCTCAAATCACACCACTCTTCTTTTTCTCTTGTACTGTCGATTATTATACACATATATTTAAAAATAAAATAAACTGTAGAGTTGTTTATATTTAATCTAATCTGCCATGCTTGACAGTTTGGGCAGAACAAGATGTCCAACCAATAGTCGAGACAGCAAGAACAATATGATGGTGAAGATGATAAACAACTCCGAGATACAAAAATGACTGATTGTGGTACCGATCTCTAGCCAACTACCTGAGTCCTTGACAAAATAGAAGAAGTTAATCGTCTGAACGTCTGTTATACTCATCACAGCCAGAATCAAACTAAAAGGTGAAAGATCAAGGCTGATACTAAGTACACCCAAAACAGCAGAGGCCACAAAGAAAGGGATCAGGATCTTGGCAATTAATAGAACGCCCATCAAAAAGGGGTTGAATATTGTCACGAATCGATAGACACTTTCGAGAGAGAAACTACTCAAGGATGCCACGTTACCCGTGCCAAAGAATCCGACACAGATAAAGAACAAAAAAATCAAAACTGCCCGGCAATCGCTTGTTTGGAGAGGACGATCAACTGATCTTCTTTGATCACGGTAGAGCGCGCGTTCGGTTTCTAGCCAGAGAAGAACAGTGCTGCAGAAACAGACGTAAAACAACATTTCATATGAGATACTGAGCAAGGTCATAAGGGGTGCAAAAGATAAGCAAATCATCAAAAGACGGGCGAGATAGTCTTCATTAGAAGGTCCGCGGTAGACGAAAGGACAAATACTAGAAAAGGCTATAGATCAACCGTATTTGAAATAAGTAAAAATAATAAAAGTGTACAGTAAATATTGATTAATGTCATCAAGCATAGTATTTACCCATGACAGTCCAGCTCAATAATTGGTTAATTACAGGAAGTCCTTGTCGTTTCTGCAGGCTTGTTGATGTGGAATAGACTAGAATAATACTGACAAGGTTCAGGAGTAACTGACGCAAAGTATTAGTTCCCACACACAATGTTCCAATTGCTTTTGTTTATCATAGATATTTATGTATATACAATATATGTATATATATATATATATATATATTTACCTGTATCTTCATTAAGATAGAAGTCTTTCTTTTAATACGATTGTCACGTTCCAATTTTGCCAGCACAAATCCGCCAACAGAAATACCAGCCAGGCCACCAAATACGCTAATACAAAAAATATTCTTTTTCTAAGAACGGCAATAAACAATAGTAGTGAAGATATTAAAAAGAAAAAGATACTCACACCAACAAGATGTTTTCACCCTTTTCAACTGGCAAAAGTGTAAAAACACTTGTGCACAGACAAGATATACTCCATAATGTCAATAGAGAGGAATAATGCCTACGCATACGAGCAGGCATAAAAAACGGCCAAGTTGCAAGCAACACAAAGCACACAGTGAGAACCTCGCGACGGAAATAGCTGTAGACCTATCATATTTCATTTAGAGTATTGATATTAGCATTATATATAGGGTATTATAGCAGAAAATACCTAGCATTTTATTTGTATTTGTATTTGTATTATTTTTATTTTTATTCCCATTAAATATTACACTCACCAATAATTCAAGTGCCAAAAGTGTCCCAATTGTGTTTCGTATCAAAACGGTCCATCCTTCACGTGAAGCAGAGCTAAGAATTGCCGCAAAAATATCTTTGTTTTGTAATACTTGGCGCCAGAAATAGACGGGAAAGAATACATAGGCATAATACATGGTTGGCATATCCTGGATCCACACCATAAAGGACAAGAACCCAAACACTAATACTGCCATACCATCAATCTAGAATGTTAATAGTAATGAATTATAGGACCATGAAATTATACTGATTGTATTTTTGTAGAAAGCAGCCTACCAGTTTGGATGTGGATTGGCCAAGATACTTTATCGTGTTTTCAGATAAAATGTAATATCTGATTACAAACTCAAGACAGAACGCACACCATCCAACATATCCGGCAGTAATGACTCCTCGGAGGAACAGCCAGTCATAGGTCTGGAAGTAGCGAAGGCCTGCCAAGCATTCACTCATCAACTTCTTTGAAAGAGATTCTGCTGCCATGTAATCTTTTATATCAATTAAGGTTTGTATTTGGCTGAGATAGTTACTGGGATCGTTGGAACCTGACAAGGGACGGAAAGGTCTAAAGAACATCTCCTTTTCCTCCTTTTCATCTAAAGAAGTTTGATATATTTAAGGATATTTGGTATTGACATATATATAAGCAAATAATCTTATTTATCTGTGCTCACCATGTTTGATTTTGTATTGTTCAGCAATCTGGCGTGCGTTCGCAAATGCAGCCTGAGCTTTGGTGTATTCGTCTCCGTCAAGGTAATTAAGCGGGAGTTCTCCAACTGAGTTAACAGGCAAAGGGATGCCAACCAAATGGGACATCAATGGAGCAATGTCAGCTTGGAGCACATCATTTCTCTGGACATCAGATAAATCCCATTCAGCCGAAAATTCGTCGTGTCCTTTGGACCCCTTCATTGGTTTGTTAATACCAGCACCCCAGGCAATTAATGGTGTACGTGTATTGTCTGGATGACCATCTCCGTGAGCGCCTAAAGGAAAACTAAGTCAGGTCGGGTAGAGTTGGGTTTCACAAATCTGTATGTGATAAATACTTGCCTCTGTTGTTCATGCCATGATCGGCTGTAAATACAAAGCTAGTTCTTCCGTCGTGGCCATAAAAGTCTTCAACAAGATTTACCATTTCAGAAACACCTTTATCAACCATGGCGATGTTCTCACAGTACTCTTTCGAATGAGGTCTAAAACCATGGCCGTTTGTATCCAAACCAAGCAAGTGAAGAAAGAAGACAATTTTGGGTTTTCTCAGCTTAGTGTTTAATTCAGGATTGGTTTTTGCCTCTTCGAACAATGCTCTGAAGTGATCAAACACCCAGGTATCAAGATGAGAAGCCTCTGATTGATTATGGTATTGGTTAGAGTTAATATTGTATAATATCAGTAGTCATTATTTTTAGATTCTACATGATTTACTTACCACCAGAGAAATCTTCATATTCTGGTGGATACATGACTGTATCCACACGACTAGGATCACTTGCACCATGTTGAAACATTGGCAAAATATCTGGAGATCCAAAAGACCATGTGTGTTCTGATTGATTAAAAACCGAGTCAAAGTTCACAGGGTTCATAGTCCAGCCTTTAAATATACAGTGTGATGAGTACCGATTATACGTATATGTATATGATGAATGTAATAGTATTACCTGTCGTTACTGCACTCACATCTTCATAAAAACCAGCAATTATAGCTACATGCCCAGGTCTTGACTCGGTAGGCACACGTGTGTGAGATACACCCCAACTTCCTTCAGTTTTGATAATATTTCTTAAATAAGGAGCACGGGCAATACCATTATCCAACTCAAGAAGCTTGTCTGCGCGTAGCCCATCACCTATAAATAGAGAATATGCACATATCACTATATAAGTAAAAGTATATATATATATATATGTGTGTGTGTGTGGGGGGGGGGGGGGGGGGGGAATAACTTGCCTACAATAAGAAGAAGACGATCTGCTGGTGCAGCGACTGGACTCTTTTGAGGAGTCATGCCATGAACAATGGGAGATGTAAAGTAAATGTCGAAAATGCTGAACAGGTAGACGATGTGAAAGATCACACCGATCACCAGCAGCACTTCGCGGGACATCATTACTTAAAGTACTGTATGTTACAAGAGAGAGCTTGATATGGAGAGCAGTTGGGCTTTAGCAAATAGGAAACAAAAGGCCCCTTTTTTGGTAGTTCTATTGGCTCGTCTTGAGCTGTTGTAAATGTCACTTATTTTAAAGTCCGTGCCAGGAACTTTATTTTCCTCATTGATAAAGCTAATAATTATTATTCAACCACGACATTTGCTTTTTTTTAACCGTCGGTTTCTGCCCTTTACTGAACTCGGGAAAAAACCTTTGGGTCTAGAGTCTGGCAATTTCTCTGGCCACATATTGGCCATCTTGTATTCACATATAAAGAGAACATTCAAAGTTATAATGAGTTCCATACAAAGTATGATCTGTCAAGAACTCATATCCAATCATGTTGCTTAATATTCTGTATTTTCTCAATTTGTTTTGATTGAATACCCCTCTTTGCTTTTTATGACCTTTTTTATTCATTTTTTTCTTGAAAGTACTTAATATTTGATAGTTAATTCTATCCTCATAAGTCACCTTTCACAAACTTAATAAATGAAAAAGGTAGTTAAACCAAACGATATGTCTTAAACAAATGTACTGTTCGAAAGAAAATGTGTCGTGTTTGAATAGGCGCTGGGTTCCTGTACACATATAAAAACAAATCTCCGCAAGAAAGAGACGATTATGTGGTGGTGCAAACCAAGTAAAGCCTGTCTTTTCTTTTTGTGTGTGTGTGTGTGCAGAGAATTTGACATTGGTTTGGAGTAACAATTGTACATGTCTGTGATTGTCTCCCCTTCTTTCAATCGACCCGCGATTGCTCGTGTCTCTTTGAAGCAATGGAATACATTGAATCTTCCGATTGGAAGTTGGGTTCAGATTGACGATGGATCGTCTAATGTAAGTAGATCTAGCTTGCCAGATTTTATTTTATTTTATTTTTATTTGAAAATAATGCTTTAATTATATGAATTTTTCTGGCCTAAAAAATAGCAACGATAATACCAATTACAATTAAAAATACAGAAACAGAAACAGAATCAATAAATAAATAATTTTTAATGTTTTCTTGATCAGGTATATTATTGTACTCTGTGGCCATCCGATATACCAGAGCATCAAATACTAGCCGATGATTTTATCCGAGTGGATAAAGCTTCTCAAAGTATATACTTTAACAATATGATGTCATATATAAAATGGAAGGCTTTTTTTTTTAGTAATTAATCTTAATGTAAATAGTGAGTGTACAAGTGAAACCTTTAGAACCTGTCAATATTGCTATGCGAGTGACACTCCAAATTGATCTCAAAGAGTGTACAGAGGATGATCAATTGGCAGATTTAGGTTATTTGTTTAGAAATGCTACCGAGGATCAGATAATAGAGGTACAAAGAAATTTGTAATTAATTGGGAGCTATGGATTCATTAGCTAATGTCTTCACATTAGAGCGCGCGGAACCTGATAGAAGGCATGCTTGTTAGCCCTGGAACTGTCATAACTAGTCGGTCTCCTAGATCTACATTGACTGTCAAGGTTGTATCTTGTTCTTCAAAAGATATACCTGCCCTTGTCAAAAACGCTACTCGTATATCTATCGCAGATCAGCCAATTTCTACATCTGTTGAGACACTGAGCAAGAATATTGCATCCCTTTCTCTTTCTTCAGATGCTCCAACTTCACCTCGTGGGCAAAAACCGACAGGCCTTGAAAAGGCTTATGAAGCACTCTACGAAGTATTGAGCTATCCTTTTCTTTATCGCGATTGGATTGCAACTCTGGGTATCGAATGTCCTAAAGGCATTTTATTGTACGGCCCCCCTGGTGTTGGAAAAACGTTTCTTGTAACCTCTGTAGCAGAAGCGTGTGGTGCGAAAGTATTTATTATCCAAGGCCCAGAGATATATGGACCTTATCTTGGAGAAAGCGAAGAGAAACTAAGAGATAAGTTCAAGGAAGCTCAAGGATGGGCATCTGAAAATGATTCACCTGTGATTCTTTTTATCGATGAGATTGTGAGTATGTCCCACTTTATACTTAAACGAGAATTTTACAAAAGCTCATGTGAGGTTATCTTACTTTTTAGGACGCTTTGACACCACATCGTGATCGGGCACAATCTCATGAAAACAGAGTTGTTGCTCAGCTTTTGACATTGATGGATGGTATTGCATCAAGAGGTCGTCTTGTAATTATTGGAGCAACCAATCGACCAAATTCAATTGATCCTGCCTTACGGCGCCCAGGAAGGTAACATATGTTTTGTTATTATATATATATATACATATTTCTATAGAGTGTAGATATATTTAAATTGTACTTACTTTCTCCAAAGATTTGATCGAGAGATTTCAATTGACGCGCCTGATAAAGGAACAAGACATGCTCTTATCACCTCTCAGTTACGCAGTATGCCAATAGATGAATCCGTCGATATTGGTAATATTAACCAAATACATAATTGCTGTGAGTAGATTGATACTAAAAAGAACTTTAATTTATTGTAGAAACACTTGCTACCATGACAAATGGCTATGTTGCTGCTGATATCACGTCATTGTGTAGAGAAGCTGCCATGCATGCTGTACAAAAAGCAACAAAAGATCTAGCAAAGTGCGTATGAGCCAATTCCTAAAGATTATAAGCTAATCCTTTGGAAAACTAATAACAATAGGGAAATGTATGTTTCCATGGAAGATTTTATGGTTGCTTTTGGATCCGTTGGCCCATCAATGCAACGTGGGTTCCAAGTACAGGTTGAGCAAACAGGGTGGGATGATATTGGAGGTCTAGAAGACGTTAAAAAGGTAAATAGTTGACAAGCTGGTTTATAAATTACTATTAACAATATATTGCTTCAATATGGTACTTGCAGAAATTGAAGCAAGCGGTGGAGTGGCCAATTCTTCACAAAGATTCGTTTATCCGTTTGGGTCTTAAACCACCGAGAGGTATTCTTTTGTATGGTCCACCTGGATGCAGTAAGACAACCCTTGTGAAGGTGATTTATGTTATTTTAAGCATTTTTAAATAGTTACTAATATATTGTACTTCTAAAAGGTCATTGCCTCATCATCAGGTGCTGCATTTTTATCCATTAACGGTGCCCAACTTTACTCACCTTATGTGGGTGACTCTGAAAAAATCAGTAAGTCAAAGCATCAAGTTTTAAAGACTGTCAGAAATTTAATGAATCAATATCAATATATACTTAACTTGATGTCTAGTTCGAACTACATTCCAAAAAGCAAGAGCCTCTGCACCATCCATTATTTTTCTGGACGAAACAGAAGCCATTGTAGGAAAGCGTGACATGGGCAATGGTGGCGGTGGTGGCGATAGTGTACAAGAAAGAGTACTTTCGACTTTACTAAACGAGATGGACGGCGTGGAAACGGCTGAGTCAGTGCTTGTCGTTGTAAGTTTTACTATCATGATATTTATTTAATCTTCTCACTTTCTCTTTTAACAAGGGTGCTACAAATCGACCAGATATGCTGGATGCTGCTTTGTTAAGACCCGGAAGATTTGATCGTTTGGTCTATGTTCCCCCACCAGATTTCAAAGCTCGATGGGAGATCTTGAAGATTCACACGCGTCGTATACCTTTATCCGAAGATGTGAACCTTGAAGTAGTTGCTGATTGTGTGAGTATATTGAAAATTTTACTTTTATATTTGTTATTTATTTTTTTAATACGCACCTATCCTCATACATTATTATTATTTTCTGTGGATAGACCGATTATTATACAGGAGCTGATTTACAAAATGTTTGCCGGGAGGCAGCCATGATTTCACTTCGAGAGAATCACTCGGCTGCAAAAGTGGTAATTATAAATTTTATACAAGAGTTCTTTGACCAACTCTATTTTTTGTAGACAATGGAGCACTTCTTGCAGGCACTTGCCACAATACCCGCTTCGAATCCAGATGAAAAGAAGTATCAAATGGCATCAGATCGAAATGAATGAACGAATTATTATTATTATTTTACCAAAAAAAATAAAAAATAAAATCAACTCCTCATATATGCTTTAATATGCCTCTTTTGCCACCATTCCTGTAGTAGCATAATTACTCTTATAACCACTGTATTTTTTTTGAATAAAAAAAACAATAATATTTATATAGTTGAGGGGTTTTAGGTGAATTAATTCTTAACATTCTCGTCAAAGTCGCGCTTAACAGCCTGGTAGAATGATTCATCCAAAAGAACATCAGCAGCTGTAAGAGCCAAACCTCTACAGGCCATGATAGTATCGTTGTGGGCATCCAGAGTCTTTGCTGCTGCAGTAAATCCAATGGTGTGGTTGGAAGCAGTGGTGTGGATACCAAATCTATGATAGCAAAGAAATAATTGATTAAAACATATATTAATTTCTGGATATTAAAAACTTACATGGGATGGATTGTGGGAATTTCGTAACTAACGTTACCCATATCAGTAGAGCCACCGGCGCCCTTTTGCTGCTCCTCACGAGAGGGGAACTTGATGCCTTCCTTCTCCATATAGGCACCATATTTATCAGCCAAAACAGAGTTTTGGAAAACATCTGATACAAGCACACATACATACAAAGAGATATTAGATGACATATTACTATACATTATTATCTAATTACCCTTTGTGACGCCAATCTCACGCCATGTCCAGTTAACTTCACAGCCAGTGGAAAGAGCAGCGGCGGTGAAACAGTTTTCAAGCTTCTTCATAAGGCGATCAATTTCAGAGAATCTTGTTGTGCGCACAAAGAAGAAAGCAGATGTACGATCGGGGATGATGTTGGGCTATACAAAACAAGATGGTAAAATCTATGAGCACTAGAATCATTAAAAATGAAATCTAAAGTAAAGAGGCTTACTGCTTGACCACCATTAGTAACAATACCATGGACTCTGTGGATAAAGATGAACATGAGTTATATATATGTTTGGTAGATAGATATATATTATTTACCTGTCTGTAGGGAGTAATTGTTGACGCATCATACTGATGTTATTCCACACCTGAACCATGGCATCCAAAGCATTGACACCTTTTTATTTAGTAGAGATTTATAAAGTAAAGTAAAGCAAAGCAAAACAAAGCAAGAAATTTAGAATAGTGGGAGTCGAATCCATTATAAATATATACATGTATAATTTAATTGGAGTTTTGTCTCCAGATTTTTTGGTTTATTTCTTACCTTCCCAGGGAGTAGCTTTAAAGATGTAGAGATGGGTTGTAAGCCACAAACATTAACTGTAAAAATATTAATGTCTCCTTACCAGAAGCGTGTGTGGGCTTTCCATAAAATTCGAGCTTGACATCGTGTACTGCAATCATGGCAGCATAATTAGCATCATAGGGACTACACAAACACCGAAAACAGATTTGCAAAATGTCAGTTCTGTTACACTGTATTTGTTTGATAGACTATAATTCTTCATTCGCTTTTTTTTTCTCAAGCTATGAATTCCCATTACCCAGGATGCAGCATCATACAAACGTCTACGTTGTCCTGGAATGCACGCTTATGTACCATCACGATCTTTCCGATAGAAAGCTCTATATAAATAGTTAATTTCCAATAGATAGGAAAATTGTAGATAAAACTATAAACATACCTTCGGCGGGAGTACCAAACAAGATGACCTTTCCAGAAGCCTTTCCGCTATCCAAAAGGGCCTTTACGCCGATAACAGTAGCGACACCACTGATAGCGATCAGATTGTGACCACAACCCTGACCGAGACTATATTTTATGAATTGCTTGTTATCATTCTGCTTTATAAAATTTATAGAAATAAGCTTACCCTGGGAGACCATCATATTCGGAGCAGATACCGACACGTCTGCCTTCACCACGAGTGTACTCTGCCTGGAAAGCAGTCTCCATACCGTAAGCGCCACGGGTAACCTTGAACCCCTTGCTCTCAAGGTAGTTGGTGAGAACTTCGTGAGCATGGAACTCTTTCATACCAGTCTCCATATTTTCATGGAGCTATATGTATAGATTTATATGAGTATATTTATAATTGATGTATTTTTTTAAAAAAAAATGCTTTACATCCAAACTGATAGCACGGAGCTCGGAGGAGACATCATTGATAGCTTTCTTGACGATAGCCTCGACTTCGCTGTCGGCCTTGACATCCATACGGTGCATTGCCTAAAATGTTCCATAGATTGTTATTTTCGGTTGAATGACATGGGATGCGTTTAATGGACTTGCCTGTGACATGCATTCTTCATAGGCAGGCAGCTTCTCATCGCTAGAGGAGGCTCTGACATAGACAGGCGAGTTTGTTACACCGAGTCTGGAGAGAATACCTCCGAGACAACCAACAGACTGCTCTTCATAGTGATCGTTGTACATGTTGTGCTTTAGGTAGAGAGGTAAAGAAGAAGAAATTAGAAAATAAAAATAAAAATAAAAATGTCTAAATCAATTATCTTTATTTTATTTTATTTTATTGTTATTTTAAAACAAAACCTTTAAGAACAAGGTTATACATACATACATATATTTTAGGCCCGAGAAAAAAATGAAGATACCGGACTTCTATAGTATACGCTATATATATATATATAATCTTGCTGTAGCACCAGCCAAAAAAAAAAACTTTTTTGGTAAGCCAGCATTGTAACAAAAAAGAAAAAAGACAACCGAAGATCGGACGTCGGGAAAATATGTATAGTTTTTTTTTGGATCTTTGATCTTTCAAACAGTAAAAGATTATATACAATATACTTCTCTAAATTATCAGGGTAAACGATATATAAGCTATTTGTATGCCCTCGTGATTTTCTGTAAATCGATATATGATTTATAAAAATATTAGTGGGAACATTTTGAGTTATCTGTTGTTTTGTAGAATTTTATTCATGCGCCGAACCATCGGTCAGAGGTGCACCCATTAAACTGTATAGAGTTATGGTCAAAGGTTAGACAGACAAATCGGTGTACCAAATAAGTAAATACTTTAGCATTTCATAAATCTCTCATATTTCAACCTAGGTGAATGAAACATCGAGAAATCAACAAGAGCATGTCAGTATCAAATTAAAATGCCTAAGGTACATTTAGCTGCTATAAATAAGTAAATAAAAAAAGGTTGTATTATTCTCATGATTATAATTATTTAGAAAATTAACAGAAAATAAAGTGCATTGGATGACACCTTGATGCTATATGTATTGAAATCGTATATAGCACTTAAGCTCTCTTTGCTTTCATACCCTACTGAAGCATAAATACAATCAGTGTATATATGTTTGTATGGAGCTTCGTACTCAAGAGAGTTGGTGGACCTCTATTTCTGCGAAGAAAAAGAGGACGTCATGGCTTTTTTTTGGATCTTGTCTGTTATATGATGTTTTTGAGAGTTTTATATTTTCTAAAGTAAGAGATGGTGAGAATCCAAGAAAGCACATCCCGCAGTCATGTCTTCCCAAAGAGACAAGTCATGGCTGAAGGCTTCTTGGGTCTGCCAGCGAGAAATAGAACTTGAGTTGGGGGTATATAAGGAGACTGATACATATTGACTATCTTTTCACATTATCTTCCCTGACCAAAGTGAGATAAATGCGAAAGAGATTTATCATTGTAAGAAATGGCAAGATTTAAATAACCGGCCTTGGAGCTTTCGACGAAAAGTTGCTCGCTTTACAACTCTTTATTGGCCAATTGGGCTTTGATATTTAGCCTTTAGTGTTACAGCAATTTTCTTGTACTTTTTTATAGCAGTGTCCTTGTTGGGAAGTTCCAAATACTCAAATTCATTAAATAAGTTCAATTAAAAAAATTACGTTCTGCTGGAATTACAACTGAAGAGTTTTATTTTTCCAATTTGAAAATATCAGAGCTAAAAATCCTCAGTAAGCGTCTAAGTATGGCAGTACCTTTTGGAAATATGGCCAACTACTTAAAAGGCACTTTGCATAAAAGAAGCAGAGTAACAATAACAATAACTGAAATGACTAAATTATACATGAAGAAGAAGAAAGAAAAAAGAACTTAATCTGTGACTTTAAAGAATTCACTTTAAATGACATACCTTAGATATTGGATGAACATGAAATAATACAAACCTTTGTATTTGATACTCTTATTTTGGATATTCATACCTTTAATAGTAGAGGATGGGAGCCTAATTTCAATTCAAAGTGAAGTTTTACTAGTAATTAACCATTAAAATCTATTAACATTGATAATAAAGAGAAATTGAAATTGAAATTGAAATTGAAACATATTTATATATGTATATAGAGGGGGGAAAATAGTGCATAATCAAAATTCAACCTTAAAACCACCCTCAAATCTCGGGAAATCTTGCAAGAACTTCCTATTAGAATCGCCTTTCTTTTACCATAATGTGATTTCTCTAAATATGCATTCAATTGATCTTGATACTTTGTTTTAAGATCGTTTAGTATTTTTCTATTACCTCAAACTTTTATTATTTTTATTGAGTGAGCTTCATTTATTAAACTGCGTTTTTTGATCACTTGCTTAACACAATATCACTCTTTTATTTCGCAAAATCTATTTTTATGCTAATGTAAATTATATGTAACATAAAGATAATTAGATACCACAAACACATGCAGCTTCAATTTCTGGGGTATATAAGCTAGAATTTCTACCAAAAATCTAGAAATAAGCATAACAGCTCTTCAAATTATCTAGCAATGTTCATTTTGTTTTGGTAAAGTCAATATGGAGCATTGTTTTTTTGTCATTTGCGTCAGTTGAACTTTTACTCGACCTGAAAGACATTTTCGCTGTTTCAAGTAAGTGCATAATACTCCGCACAAATAAAATGCCTCTCGTATACTGGCGTTAAAGCCTTTAACTAGTCATATACTAATCATGATTCTATGTAGTCTTTAGTAATTGCTGTTTAGAAAGCTTTTTATAAAATACTCTCAGAGAAAATTCTTAATTTTTCTCTTAAAAGAAAAAGAAACGAGAAGTTAGCCTTGTGTTAAACGGCTTATATGAAGAGCACATGCTTATGTTAAAAAATAAATTCCAAAAGAGGGGAATTAAATAGAAAGATGTCCAAATAGTAAAATTGTGAAACAAAGATTTCCAACATTAAAGAGAATGAGATACAGCCATGTAAACCAAGCTTTAAATCTTTAGTAAACCTTCATTTTTATTACAAAATCCAATGCTACAAGATTTTGCCTGCCTGGTAGTGGTTTTCTTATACTTCTAACTTAAATCTACATAAAAGTAATAGTATAAAAAATTAATGGTTATGACAATAATATTTATATTTTAATCAATTAGAACTACCTTTCTATAAAGCAGCTTATTACGACACATCTATCAAAAAAAAATGCATTTAATATTTGTTGCTCTAGTATGGTATAGACCTCTCGTAATTAGATAATATCTGCCTGTGTATCAAAGGTTTAATAGCAAAGAAGAGTTTTTGGGCTATGGAGTAATTTAATAGGTTAGTTGGAGAATAATAGTTGAAGAAAAAGAAAGAATTATACATTTTTTGCCGATTACTTAAGTCCTCATATTGTAGTAGCTATAGAGTATATGAATATTCTGAGACCTACTTTACTATTATATCTTTAACCCCCCCCCCCCCCCCCCCCAAAAAAAAAAAATAATAAGAATGCCACCCTGAGAGATAATGCTATATTGGATTGTGGTCAATCGGATGTTTTTTTTTTTTTTGCTTATTTGGTTGAAAAGATATACTAAACTATTAGGTAATAAAAGCCTGGGGTCAGAATATAATATGATATTATTGGCTATACTAGAAAAATGGAAGTTTGCTTTAATAGTATTGTGTATTTTTATGAAATTGTAAATGCCAGACTAAAAATACTGTAGTCATTTCTAACATAATTCTTGAATTCAACAAGAATTAGACCAAAATTGATCGGGCCATTGGTATGAATTTGAATGAGGTGTCTATTGTTACCAATGATTTCAAAAGAGTAAGGTTTATCATGTTATGATGAACGGTAATTGAAAGGGCAGAATAGCATTTCTCTAATGGATTTTACCCAAACTATCTATTTCTTAACTTTCTACCTTTGCTCACCTCATTTCAATTTTTTTTGTAACATTTGAAATTAAATGAAGAGACTAGGAAAACATGGTCAATCCTTTTTTTTGGTATCTTTCTAACCATTTTGTACACCACAATCTGGCTTTTTATATATTACATCCCAGATTAAATTTAATATCCAATAGAATAATGATATTTACTTTAAATTTCTATATATAGGGAAAAATAAGATGATCATATACCAATATTAGACGCCGCATAAAATAAGTTCATAAATCATCGGGTACACCTTTTTCTTTTGGCGGCACAAACTCGCCCTTGTACATACCAAATCCAGCAGTCCGTTGATTTTTCCTGTACACCAAGACAACCATACACACATTGTGAAGGAGAATACCCTCGAAAGAGACATCGCACACTTTTTCTCTTTCTTTTTCACTTTATCATCTTGTCGTAATCTTTATTTCTCTTTGTAATTCTACCATGGAATCTCCCATTGTCTCAACCCCTGGAGTTGGAATTGCCCATCTTCCAAACCAGAAGCACAAGATATTCACCAAGCGAGGAGCTCATTTCACCATCATGGTTTGTGGTAAGCACACAACAAAATCTCGAAATGTACCAATGTTACGAATTTTCTTATTTCCCGATAAACTAACTCGTCAGCCGAGTTTTTTAGGTGAATCTGGACTTGGAAAGACTACGTTTATCAACACACTTTTTACCACCTCGATCAAAGACTACAAAAACCCAAAGAAGAGACATGAGAAGCAATTGGACCGCACTGTTGAAATTGAGATTACCAAGGCTGGTATGAATACTTACAGAATTAATTACCTTTACTTTATATTGAAGAATTGATTTAATTGACTGTTGTAAACAAAATAGAGTTGGAAGAAAAGATGTTCAAGGTCAATCTTAGTGTGATTGATACACCTGGGTTCGGTGATTATGTCAACAACTATGATAGCTGGCTTCCCGTAGTAGATTTCATCGATGAGCAACACGAGTGCTATATGCGTCAGGAACAGCAACCTACGCGAAGTGGAGCCACTGATATGCGCGTCCATGCGTGTTTGTACTTTATTCGACCTACAGGACATAGTCTCAAACCTCTTGAAATTGAGACAATGAAACGTCTTGGCTCTCGTGTTAATTTGATTCCTGTCATTGCCAAGGCAGATACCCTGGCTCCAGAAAATCTTGCCAAGTTCAAGAAAAACGTGAGTTATCTAGACGCTCTTAATAGGAAAATTAGGTCTAACAGTCAGAATGGTAGATTATGGATGTCATCGAAGCACAAAACATTCAGATCTACAAGTGCCCTGAAGAAAGCGAGGATGAAGATGCCACTACAAGAAACCAAACAATTCTTTCGGCTATGCCTTTCTCTGTTATCGGAGCAACTGAATTCGTAAAAACACCCGATGGTCGTCTTGTCCGTGGACGTGCTTACACCTGGGGTATTGCCGAAGTAGAGAACGACGTTCATTGTGATTTCAAAAAGTTGCGAAACTTGTTGATTAGATCGCATATGCTGGATCTTATTTCGACAACAGAAGAAAACCATTATGAAAACTACCGACAACAACAAATGGCTACCCGTAAATTTGGTGAACCAAAGTAAGCTTTCATTGAATATATTTTTCTCGTTTCAAAACATTTGAACTCACCGACGGTTTGTGGCAATCTAGGGTCAAGAAATATGAGAACCCAAAGCATCGCGAGAAAGAAGATGAATTGCGCAAGGTGTTTACTGAGCAGGTCCGAGATGAAGAAACACGCTTCCGCCAATGGGAACAACAGGTAAAAAAAATGTGTATAAAAGCTTGAATTGAAGAAAAGCACTGGATATTTAAACTTATTTGAATCCACCGATTAGCTTATCACCGAACGTGATCGCCTTAACAAGGATTTGGAGACACAACATGCTCAAATCAAGGCACTTGAGGCAGAACTTGAGCAGGTGTATCATCACCAGAGTAGCAGAGGAAATACTATCAGGAGGTAATCATTAATTTATAGACCCCTCGTTTATCTCAAGCCCTTGCCCTTGCCCTTTATCGCCGTGACCTTGCGTGATAAGAGATCAAAAAGAAAACAAAACAAAAATTACCATCCCCCTTTTTTTATTCGTACCCCTATCCCTCTATTTTTTTATGTTCTCTTTCCTCTTATTGGAACCAGAATTCACTGTCCAGGACACTGTAGTTTAATCATTCCGTATCTCTTTATTTCTAATAAACCTCAAGTTAATGATAATTTAGAATCTAGATGATCTATAGATTATGTTTAATCTATAGGTGTGTAAAGCATGTATTGAAGGAAGATGGTGCCATCAAACACGAGTGTGCCTGCACTCCCGAGAAGATAAGGCACGGCTTCAAGCATTGTGTGGCGGGTAGCATGGGGGTTGGCAAAAATTGAAAGACAATAGGTCAGATTACCCATGGCCGCAAAGAAAAATAAGGCCATTGATAGTCCTTCTACTGATCTACGATGGTAGTTGCGAACAATCTGTGGTACCCGCGATGACAGATAGAGAAATGCGCATATCCAAGCAAATACCCGGCCTATCCAGATGGTAGTATCGTCGCCCACACGGCTGTATATGATATCTGAACTGACCAAGACCGAAGTGGGGTTGGAAAATGAAACAAATGCGATCATCAATAAGGCGGTAGTTGCACTATTAGCGGTTTTGGTGTAGTTTTGCTTCGAAGGGGCTGCTATGAGGAGTGGTTCACGCTCGGCATAACCGGGTTTGATGGCTGTCTCGGTAGAAATCCGCTCCAGCCCGTCATCTTCTTCGTTACTGTCTGATGTAACTAGACTAAGGCGTCCAAGATAACAAACATAATAGAGCCATTGGGCACACAAAAGTCCATCTACGGCTGTGAAGTAGATAGCCAGGTACCGTTGAAATGGTAATTGGTTTGTGATGACGCACCCTATGTAATTCGCGACATCGCCTAGAAAAGTAAAACCCCCAGATTGGCGTCATATTAGTCAGTGCACAAACTTGGATTGTGTGGTACTATATTCAACCTGTAAGCCAAACTGTCAGGAACAGAAAACTAAGTGAATCTGCGTTTCCAAGGCGGTAGTTTTTGATAACTTGGGGCATTTGGGCATTTAACCAGCAAAATATTGATAAATAACCTAGTAATATACTAGTTGCCTCTTGCCATCCATAGACACAGTCTCCGAATATTGTCTAAGATGTGTTTTCGTGAGTGTTTAAAGGTTTGATCTCTTATTAAATATGTTAAATTTTCTTACATATATCCATGGTATAAAAGGCTCTCCTTCTATTGTGGGAATGCAATAAGAGTCCATGAAAATAAGTGAAAAATGTTTGTAGTTAAAGAGATGTTTAAGAGAAAGAAATGGGCGGAATAGGAATCGTCCGTTATTGGGGGTATTTGGCGTGTAAGGGTTATGGAACCAAGTCATGCATAGCCGCACGTTATAGGCTATTTTGTCTAGCGCTTACACACTTACACACGTTTATGAACATCAAATGACCTTGCGGGAGTATCAATCGATAGGACAAATGAGCGGGCAAGAACGAAACTAAAAGGAATACAAGACGTTCTTCATTAGGAAATATGTTGATGATTATCATCGTGAAAGTTATAGATAGAAAGCCAAAATAAACACTTTCTTCTTCTCTTTACCCTTTTCCTTCTTTAAGTGTAATTTTATAGCTACAACATTTTACCTTGTTAGAGTAGTATCTTGTAATTGTGCTGCTTGACAGAGTATTTCACAACTCAAGTTACTGGTCATAATTTCTATCATTCTTAGTGCAAAAAACTCGGTTGCCTTTCATTCTTTTCTCCCTAAAATTTGGCGTGTTGTACGTGTCTATCTGGCTACATATGACATTGAACAGATCATATATATATGTGTGTGTGTAAGCCTATCAACAAGCGTGTTTTTATCTATCTTAATAATGTTGGTGGTCTTTAGGTTGTGTTACTCGGCTTATAGATAACAAACCCAGATTAAAGAGATAAAGAAATAATGGAATATAATATTATGCAACCTATACATTTCATTTATCTATTTGAAACATACCTCTTTACTCCTATGCATACTATACACACACACATACAAATATTATCAATTATTAACATTAGTCTAATATTCAGTGTTCTCAACTATATCAAATTAAGATCAACCTTTTCTCCTTTTGGATTCATTTCATTTTACTTTTAACATTTCAAATGACTTGCAGTGTTTTCTATCATAGAATATTACCTGACAAATCATAGGAAGTCAACAATGACGTACCTTTTCTTTCTTACATATGTACAAAATTGTATGTAAGATGGACTGAGATCATTATTTACTAATAAACTGGTATGTTTTGCGAGATTTTATTTATTTTAGATATTTACAAGTGAAAGGAAAGCAGGAAAATAGCGATTTCCAATAGTATCGGCATTATTAATTAAATCTCTCATCTCGGCCACCTCTTCTTTTGACAATACAATCTCCCCAGCCTTGGCATTTTCTTCGAGATATTTTACTCTTCTGGTACCAGGAATTACAATAAACTCAGGTCCTTGAGCAAGGATCCACGCCAGTACATATTGGCTAGGGGTAACACCTTTCTTGGTAGCAAGGGCAGTAATTCCATCGACAAGCTTAATGTTTTTATCAAAATTCTCAGGAAAAAAAGCGAGGAAGAGAACGTCTGAAATCATCTTCAGCAAGATCATCGAGACTTTTAATGGCACCAGTCAAAAACCCACGACCCAAAGGCGAACTATAGTCACATCATTGGTTAAATAATGCTTTCTTCTCTTTTCGTAACCTCGAAACATAAAAATGTTTCTGTTTTAGGGACTTACTATGCGATAATCGAAACACCTAATTCACGAGCAGTATCTAGCAACCCATTTGTCTCGATATCCAGGGACCAAGGGGAATATTCGATCTGAACAGCAGCGATAGGGTGCACTTTATGTGCTCGCTTAAGGGTTTCTGCGGAACATTCGGATAAGCCTAGTAATCACACAAATAATTATAAGAGAATTTAAATATTTAAATATTTTTTAGTGTTGTAAAGAGAGTAAATTTACCAAGGAAACGAACACGCCCTTCGTTTACAAGTTCGGCCATTGCCTTTACGGTTTCCTCGATGGGACTTTAAAGAAAAATAGCAAAAATGAACATGTATATTGATAAACGATGAAAAAGTAAGATATAGAATAAGATATAGACTCACACGTTAGCATTGACACGATGTTGGTAGTACAGATCAACTAAATCAACGCCAAGTCTCTTTTGACTTTTGGCAAATGCTTCACGGACGTATTCCGGTGAACCACTAACGCCAGTAAACTCGTTGTCTTTGTTTCGAACGAAGCCAAACTTTGTGGCCACAAATATCTTGTCTCTCTGTGTTTTTAATATCCCAGCCAAAAGTCGTTCATTATGTGAGTTAATTCCATATGCATCAGAAGTATCCCAAAGTGTTGAGCTATACCGCTGTGTGAATAACTTATAATAACTTTCCATATATTTATGTATTTACCCTAGTTCAGCTGCTCGTTCAAGCGTCTTGGCACTCTGTTCATCGTTTGTAGGGCCATAAAACTCGCTCATACTAAAATTTATATGTTAGAAGCTTTACTTTACATCTAAATTAAATAGCACTCTAATGATTTTAATTTACCCCATACACCCAAGTCCAATAGAAGACACCAGTACATCAGTTTTTCCTATTTCTCTTAACTGGATCATGAAGCTTGTTTATGATATTTAGATCCTTGTGAGATATTAAAATTTTCCTAAAAATAAAAATAAAATGTAAAGGAATCATCGATTTATATAGTTTTTTTTTTGGATAACTGAATAAATTTGGCATCATTATAGTTGTACACCTAAAGAGTATAACTACTCGTATACATAAAAATTTATGGTTGTATGGGTCAGTCAACAGGGTCAAAAAAAGAAAGACGGATTTTCGCGGTATGTAGAACAATAGCTGCTGGTGTTTTCTATTTTACTAAAGTTGAATAAAGCCTACGCAATACTCTGCCTATAACCGGGATCTGTAATATATTTACGGAAATACGCATTAATGTGCATTATGCTGACCCTGAATGAGGCTATGATCGTCCATATTAAAACCTCTGGAGTTACAGTATATATTATGTATTAAACATTAATTTTACGATCCCGGGATTTGGCTACAGTTCGAATTGACTCTTTAAAGCTTTGAGCTATTACAGAACACCTGGTAAAACTATCCAATCTCTTTCTTAACCTTCTTAGATAATTACTTTATATGAGCATTTAGTGGAAAAGCAATATTTCTGCCAGAAACAAGGTTTTATTATATTTTTTGGAACTTACATAACCAAATACTTATAATATCAATATATATATATATAAAGCGTTTATGAAAGCTACCCAGCTCTGAATTGTAAATAAAGATTAGTTTATAGATATTAAATGCATATACAGGTGTATTTATGTATATCAACTATGCCTGTATATACTTGGATAGACGTTGTAATATTAGTAAGGCTAAAATAAATGTATATTATTATCTTTATTACTATTAATATTATTATTTTCTTAAAGTACTGATATTATACCACGTAAAATTGTTCCACATTATTTCTACTGTGCAAAAGTTATGTTGTATTGTACAAGTTTAATGAAACGAACAAACTTCTGTGACCAACTAATGAGGCTCATTTTAACTTTATGCATATTTGAATTCAGCTTAGCGTTACAGGCCAAATAATTGTTATAATAAATTCAGGCCATCAAAATCTGTACCAGCTCAATAATTATGTTAGTATTTACCATTATATAAGTTTATAGTATGCTGTGTATACTATTTATGTCCAATATATAAGCTATTAATTCAGAACATTGGATTTAGCACAATGTTATGCAATTGTTTTTGGTAACATTTTTTTGCATGGGTTTCACGCCATGAGATATGAATTTGTCTTATAAAACGAGGCTGAAAACTGCTTTGTTTGACGAGTACAAATAAAACAGGTGATCTGGTATATATACTGTTAACACATTACTTGTAGCTTGTGCAGTTGAACCGTAAAAAATGTGTATTTGAGCAAGATGCTACTTAGGTAATATTTTAGTGAAGTATTAAACTCGAAAAAAAAAACGGTTAGCATAATTGGAAAAATTTAGGAAGGAATTTATGTGTATTAATTATTGTCGCTAATTCACAAAGAAAGAAAAAGGTGATTACATAACAGCAACAAGCTGAATAACAGGCTTGATAAAACAACATTTTATGTATGTATTTACTTTTCCTTTTGTGATGAGAGAATTAAACAGATAGTATACTTGTAAATGAGCAAGCGTCTACTAGACTCATATTATATAAGTAGAGACGCCTTTAAAATGTCATTCAGCAGAATTATATATTTTTGAATAATAATAAAGACCTTGTTTCTCGAGTAAAGGTTTATTATAGTAAATGTTAGGCTTAAGACCTTTACTCCTCAACCTATATACTGACACGGTGTGGCAAAAAAAAATAGCAATAAAAGACACCCGCGCACATTAATGTCCTTGCATGTATTTTAAATCCTTGTAATGGTTTGCCATATTTATGATATACATGTCTGTACAAACATTACAGTTAAGCTTAACAGGTGTAAGTAGGAACTTTACTTTGGAATGAACCATAGTATATATATAAAACGTAAAAGATAATAATAACAAGTTCTTTGTTCTCGCATTACACAAGGAAATCTCCTGAGTAAATATATTAGGTATGGTACGAAGAAACTTTGGAAAATACGATAATTCTGTAATGCTATATCACATCTGTTCTTGCCGAATTTTACCAATTGCCCATAATTGTATAACTGGTTGGAGACATAAGTAGAAGGGCTTACTAGAAACAGCGAGATCTAACCCATTCAACTACCTAGAAACACCCACCTGGTATTTATATTGATCACATTTTTTTTAGGAATGAATTTGTATTCTCTCAGGTATCTCTCCAATCATTTTCCCTTTTAGTCGCCTGTTCACAAAAAGCCGCACTTTAAATAAATGTCACTGAATTATTATTATTATTTTTTGGAAAAGACGACTTTCCATAAACACTCGCCCAAAAAAAATCTAAATTTTCGACTTCTCGAAATTAACTAGGTAGAGAAGTAATGATATATCATAAGAAAAAATGTGTGGCTTAAAATAAAAATAAAGGGCTGCATATAAACCGACTATGACGGCCACTAAAGACTGCCTCTACTTTCCATGCATTTTTTTTCCTTACTAGAAGGTACTACTTTGAAAGGAGCCTGTTTAAGAGACTAATATATACTTGTCTTTGATGTGCCTCCAAAAAAAGGTGGCATATTGTATAAAACCATGAATTGATGCCTTTGTTGAATAGTCTATTCGTACCCTCAAAACTCCTCATAAATGGTATCTGTGCAAACCAATACTATAGGTATTCTTTAGTAGACGAAACTCGCCCATTAAAAAATTAAGAAATATGTGAATATAGTGCTGATCGCGGCAAGTTGTAGAACCAGTCTCCTTTTCTTTTCTATATCTCTCTTTATGTTATGTACACTTAAAATACACTCCCTTGGGTCTTTGTTTCCATTTTCAATTAAATCGTTTGAGCTAGTCGTCGAATATTATGTTCCTAACCAAGTTTGTCATTAATTACCTCACTTTCAGAAAGAATACTACATTTTTAATATGTAAACCATGACCTGTCAAATTATATATATAGTGTTTAGTAGGAAGAAAACGCACATACATATACATACACTTATATAATATGACTAGATAACAATAATAATGTCCATTTATATATCACAATGCAGTATCAAGACAATAGAAAGAGACCAAATAAATGAATACGAACCAATACCAGGTACCAGTAGTAACGTAATTGTCTCTTTCTTTCCTTTCCTTTTCTTCCCTTTTATCTTTAGCATTATATACACATCCTCATGGAATAGTTATCTTTTCTCCTTCTTCATTTTTCCCATCATTAGTCTCTCTTTCTTCTTCTACTGAGATAAGGAAATCTTTGATAACTATTTGATTTGTCTAATAAAAAATTCTGATTGCTCTTCATCATCATGGCATCTAAATTGCAATTCAACATTCTTGCCATCATTGCAAGACATCTATCTCAAGACGATATTTGCGCCTGTTCTAGAGTTTGCAAATCATGGGCAGTACCATTTCAAGAGTCCTTGTGGAAAGTATTTCACATAAACGATCAAAAGACATTAAAAATGATATGTGACCCATCTTTTTCCTCTCAGAACAGCATCTGTCTTCAGAAATTTGGACATAGTGTGTATGAATTACATGTCGGACGCCACTTTTATATTCTTAAAGAACAACTCCGGGATTTACAGCAACGTTTTGGGAACCTCAGGTGTCTTTATGTGGACAGCATCAATTTGAGGGCAGCCAATCTAGAAATAATGCCCGGCCGAGTTTCCTGGAGATCTGTGGAATATCTTGAGGTCAGCTTACAATGGACAGAGGCTCATAACGACCTCGAAGAGCTTTCTAGACTTTTGGCATTCTTACCCTGTCTCGGCATATTCCGTCTAACTGAGAGCAGCTCAAGCCAAAGCAAGAGTTTTTCCTGGAAAGACATTGATATGGTCCATAGTCACTTGTCACAATTGAAAGAAATATATATTGACGTTATCCTTTGTCCTATACCCTCTGAGGACATTGAAACCATTAGAGACATTGTACCATCCAGCTCTATAAGAAAAGTCACTATCGTTGGCAAAGATATCTGCTCAAGGTGGCTACATTACTTTTCAAGCAAATATGAAAACCTAAAGACCTTTACGTGGAATATTAAGCTCAGCAAGATAACAAGACCCGGGTATTCACCGAATGAAAAGACACCCGTACTCAGTCTGCCTTTGTCGCCTTTCCGGAAACTTGTCACTGTAGATGTAGAAAGCAATGAGCATGAGTCAATATCACATCATGCTTCCTTTTGGAAGAAACTAAATAAATTCGGTGCGCTACCGAGGCGCATAGATTACAAGCTACGCTGGGAACCCGATACTACAGAAAAGGCAGAGGGTCTTATTACCGAATGCTTGAAGATCTTTTCGTCGACCGTAGAAAACTTTATTTTCGAAAGCTACAACAAATACAACAACAAGTCACTAGGTGCTTTCAACATCCCAATGACATTTAGTGTCTGTCCTCAACTAGTCAATTTGGACCTACATATGCCTGATTCCAGTATCGCACTAGACATGCTTTTGGATTGTTGCAAGGCTCTAAAAACTCTGAAGTTGTGTCACAGGCGGGTCTTCATTGATCCCGAAACATCAATTGTGCCAAAGGAGCATGGGTTACTGACGATGTGCCTTTGGGATACAAGTACTAGACCAAACTTGTTCACATATCTTTCGTTCCGTTGCAAACAACTGGAGACAATGCGTCTCAATAATGTTTCTATTCACGGGACTGTCTCAATAGAAACAGGAAAGCTCAACATTGACATGATCCACACATCATTCAAGACTTTAGAATTCAACTCTGTCAAATACTATTGTCCTACCCCGTACAAACATAATCATAGACTTTCACAGAGTGCCAAAGAAAAACCAATCAATCTGATACTCATTGAACAGCACCGTGTTGAGCTTTCTATTATTTATGACATCGAGAAAAAGTCGGCTGTTTTTGATACCTTGCTTTCCATGCCAGTAGCTGAGCCGGTGTGGATTCACTATTATTTAAAGAGTGTGCCATTTGTACCCAATGGTGGGATGAGAATACTTGGAAAAAATGAAGTCAAGTATATTCGAGAATACATTGATGAATTCAAAGAAAATCAAGAAATATTCTTCAGTCAACCAACATTTGAAGACAACAACTATGGATTGGAACCAGAAACTCGGTGGAAAAGGGATTTTACCCAAGGATGTGCCGTGTGGCGCTGTCAAAGCGTTTCAAAGCATATCATTAAAGCATACAAAGATGTGTATGTTTATAACTCACCAAAATAATAATATCAATAATATCAAGCTATTGTTTTTTTAAGAGACTAAAGGTTCTCAAGGAATTGGAATATGTATTAAAAATTTGCTATCGATACCAGAAAAATGTTTCTTATTTTGACATAGTGGAAACTGCACACACACACACATATATATATATATATATATTACGTATGTAATAGTAAGTCATTGTTATAATTAATACGATATATTCCACAGGCAGGACCCTGTTTGAAAGTATATAGGGCGTTGAGCTGTAACAATATGATGGGAAATTGATACAAGCCCACACATTTATTGTATTGAAAGTTGACTGCAATACAGCAAGTTAATAAACAGGGATAGAGACGGACTACTGAACCGGGTTAAAACGTTCCTTCAGCTTTTTTTTGCGGTACCGATTTTCTTCCCAACGCTTGATGGTGGTGTTGATTGTCGTTCGATAAATGCTTATATCGTTTGCAGTCGAGGTTAGGGAGGTATCATTGGTCTTTTGAACTAAATAATACCACCATGCTCAAACTCTAATAAATCTCATCTAGGAGATAGACCTTAGGTTCTCTTTATTTATTTATTTATTTATTTGGTGGCACGAGTGATTTAGCTGTAGGGAAATATTATGTAAAAAGAACAGGCAAATAATGTGTGGTCAAAAGAGCGGTGTGTTTCTGGAGAAGTGACTATGTTTTTTTATCATGCCAGAGTGTATGTCTTAAACACTACTTGCTGTGTACATGCATATATGCAAGTATTTACATCTCAAACAAACAAACAAAAAACAGACAGACAGACAGACAGACCAAGAAGATATAACACTGTACTTTTATCGAGCAGCATCTTTGGTTGCACTGTGAAGTAAGGGTGTGGACCAGACGTTGACCAAATGATCAAATCCAGCTGTTACAACACCTTGTTTAGGAACTACAGAGATACTTTTGATCATCTTCTTGTGAGATTTCAGGGCTTCGGCAACAATACCAGTCTTTGTTTCCACCACACGGACATTATTATCATCTCCTCCGACAGTATAGAAATACTTTCCACTTGAGTGCCAGGCATGTCGGCGGGTGGTAAACTTGTTGTCTGATGGCGAATCATAATAGTTTTGTACCTGTCTTGATTGATGGGCCCCGAACAAGATAATTCTTCCACTTTCATGGTCAGTAGAGCACAGCAAGAAGCGTCGATCTGGCGATGCTGAGATCCAGGCAGGTGAGAAAGACACCCAGTTGTCGCCATTTGCATTCATGTTGTATTTTTCACGGCTAAAATCCGGGAGATGGATATAGTGAAGGTAATTGTCATCACGTACACCTACCACCAGTACATCCGGCTCAAGGAAGCAAATTGTTTCTACATTGCCAACAAATGGACCCAATTTTTTGATAAGTGTGTATTTTGGAAGAGAGCCATTAGAAGCATTGGTGGTAGTTGCGATTCTGACTTGATCAGCAGAATCCGGATCAGAGTCGTAGATACAGACATACTTGTCGTAAGAAGCAGTCGCGATGTACTTCCCGTGCTCGGGAGAAAATATACCTCTCACAACATATTTCGTGTGATCTTTAAACTGCTGGAGTAGACCGGAACTTTCGGGATCAAGTACATCCAGAGGCTCTGATGTGTTAACCAATGCAATTGTGCCGTCCATCGATGTTGTTAACATGACATTTGGGTAAAGAGGATGTGTGTCGATGCTCAATACTGGAGCGGTATGGTGTTTGTATGAGCGAGGAGGAATTGATAAGTCTTTGTTGCCGAGTAATATATTTGGTGATACTACGACAGTTTTGTTGGTCGAGCTACTGATTAGAGTGCCTGAATCATCAGGTACGATAATTGCGGCTAAAATGTTGTCATGATGAATAGAGTCGAATGAGAAGCAAGGCGTATTAAAGTAGTTTTCATCCCCTTCTTCGAGTTCAGGGGTTCTGGAAATAAACGCGTTGTTATTATAATCTGAGTAAAGAATATATATATATATATATATATATATAATTGTTTTGTTGTTGTTGCTACTGTAGACAAACCTTCCGACTGTTAGACGTGCAAGGTCTTGTGTAAGCTGTTCCTCGTTAATCGATGGTTGTGTAGAATTTGTATAGTCTAAGAAACTAGCTGCTTCTCGCTTGAAGGTTTCAGCCGTGCTTCGGTAGCCGTTGTGAATAAGAAACCGAAGTACTGTCGTATGTTCTTCTACAGTGGGTGGAGCCATAATTTTCTTGGTTTTTAAGTTTGAAACAAAGGTAAAGAAATAAAGAAGTAGGTAAATTAATGAATTTGAAACAACTGTGTATGTATTGTATTGTATGAGTTACTGATTTCCAAAAAAAAAAGTAATGTTTCAAAGCATGAAACCAATGTGTTGAACTTGAATTTATTGTGACTCGTTTTTTGACTTTCTTCTTTGCAAATCAGAAATCCAAGCTTATTTTTTATTTTATTTTTGTGATGCGGTACGAGCAAGGGACCTTCCTGGGATCTCAAATGTTACTCAGCTCCCAAGTAGATGATGAAGAAGAAAAATAGAAGTAGAATTTAAATTAAATTGCGAATATTCTAGTTGTATCATGTATGTATATTGTACGTAATATATATATAGTATGTAACATGTAGTGGTGTATAAGCGTATCGTGTATATCGTGTATGTATCGTATGTGTGTATGTGTAGTATGTAAATGTATTGATATTGATGCTTTATTGTGATGGAATTGTAAAGTGGTCTCTAAGTCTTCAAGTAATTGGGATGACCGTTAATGATTTTGCTACGTTGACTTTTATTGTAATTATTCTGGAACATGCGAGAAGAGATATGATACAGATTCACCATTGTGAGTTCTACAAAAAAAAAAGAATTCAAGATATGGTATGAGCCACCGAAATTAATAGTAAAAAAAACCCCACACCCACACATATGCATGCACACATAGACAGATCTATATTTTATTCCTTTTCTTTCTATGCTAATGTGCGCTTGTGTGTGTGTGTGTGTATTTACCTTCGGATAGCTTCTGCAAGAGTGGGTGAGATATCAATGATATCGAGCTTGGGGCATATTGCCTATGTATGCATACAAAAACAGATTTTTTGGTTGATTAGTTTAAATGAATTTTTCACGTAATTACTACCATTATTTCTGTTTTTTTTTGTTGTAACTGTTGTTGCGCACAATATGTTTATACTATTATTGCGATTAATACGCACCATCTTATCTTCGTGAGGAATGGTGTTGCTGACTACCAACTTTTCGATCACAGAGTCGTTGATAACCTGGATAGCCTTTCCAGACAAGATACCGTGGGCAACAATAGCGTAAACTTGAATAGCACCGTTCTCCTTGAGAGTTTTGGCAGCCAGGCCAAGGGTACCGCAAGTATCGGCCATATCATCAACCAAAATTGCAATCTTATCACGAACATCACCAACCAACACCATGCGAGATACTTCGTTTGCCTTCTTACGTTCCTTGTGGATCAAAGCAAAATCAAGGTTCAGTCTGTCGGCAATGGCAGTAGCACTATATATATATATATGCGTGTTTGTGTGTGTGTGTTTAATTTGATTAGTTTGCAGATTCTCAAAATACATACATAAACTTAAAAGTCTATAGGTCTCTTTTTATATTTCTTGCTCTCTTGATCTATACTTTTCTATCTTTTCATATTTTTTTGTTTGTTTTGGTATTTACCGCTTGGCACCTCCAGCATCAGGAGAGACAATGATAGCATTTGTCCAGTTGGGGATCTGGGTACGAATGTACTTGATCATCGAGGGCTCGCAGTACAAGTTATCAACGGGGATGTTGAAGAAACCCTGGATCTGGGAAGCATGGAGATCCATGGTGATAACATGGTCAGCACCAGCGACAGTCAACATGTTTGCGGTCAATTTGGCAGTGATTGGGGCACGGCTCTTGTCCTTTTTATCCTGACGAGCATAAGGGAAACAAGGGATGACTATAATAAAGAAGGGAAGAAAGAGATATTTAGTTGTGTTCTTTTTGATTTGTAAAAAAAAACACAAAACACGGATCCCCGATATAAATATGTACATCTATAAAAGGGATAGATAGGTATATTCCAATTCTAATTCTAATGTTATGTAATTCAACTATATTACATTATAGACATATTTACCAGCAGTGATACGACGAGCAGATGCAGTCTTGCAGGCATTGATCATAACCAAGAGTTCCATCAAATTGTCGTTGATTTCACCACAGCCAGACTGGATAATAAACACATCTTCGTCACGGACAGATTCACCAATTGTAACCGAAGTTTCCTGGTTAGAGTACTTCATAACGACAGCCTTGGCAAGGTCAATGCCGATGCGACGGGCAACCAGCTTGGCAAGTTCGGGATGGGAGTTTCCAGTAAAGATCTTGATGGAGTTGTCAGACATGGTTGTTGAATGAAGTCAAAGAAGACAAAAAGGGTAAGAAGAAGAAGTAGCTATCCAAAGGAGTTGGGTGGCAAGTGAATGAAGTAAGATGAAGAAGAAGAAGAAAAGAAAAAGTAAAGAAGAAGAAGACTTTTCTTTTTTTTTCTTTTTTTTTCTTAGGTCACTTTTTTGTGTGCTCAAAAGCAAAGAGGCGAGAAAATAAGGCACTCGCTTGGATTCCGATGAAGAAAAAATATTAAAAAAAAAAAGCAAGTCCTCTTTTTTCTGTAAGTCAAATCTCCGACATATAAAGAAAGGTGGGGCCATCCTGTGACGTGGTTCGCCATTTTTTTTTTTTTTTTCATTCGTTATTCTCAAACCGAGTTCATTTTGGTTGGTCTATCACTTCTTTTACTCTGTTCTGTTAATATTTATATATGATTGTGTGTGTATGTGTATGTGTTTAATCAAATATACATCATTTAATGAAGTAGATAATGGGTATTGTGTTTTAGGAAAAATGAAATATAGCATTTCTTTATTAAAGTATTATAAGCCGGGATTTATTCTTTTATATATGCACAAAAAGCTATGAGTTACCAAGGATACACAAAATCTTGGATTATAGCTTCAAATTTATTTAAATATAATATATATATAAGCTTGGAAGTATGTATCTAGGGAGTGAATGAATATACTCCAATGATTATTATCATTTCATTTCATTGCATTTTAATTTGGTATATATAGATAAAGATATTTCTTACAAGAGATTGCTTATCAAGCCTACTTACTATCTCTTGTAAATATTAAGCCTGTATATTCAATCAAACTCATAGGTATATTATATTACACTATATACTATATATTTATAATATTGATAGTGATAGTGATAGTGATAGTGATAGTGAGAGTGATAGTGATTTATTTCATATAATATATTTATTTATTTATTTAAAAAGTATATATAAGGGGAGCAAAAGGAATAAAATAAAATCAAAATAATGGAGAAATCAATTTAACAAGAGAAAGTGTTTCAAAAAGAAGACACTCTTATATACAAGACAAATGGTATTTGTAGAAAGCAAAACGGGGTACAAGAGTGGAGGGAAAGAGGAATTTTGGAATATTGTAATAGATATCTTAGTTGATTGGTAGCCTGTTTAATCGTCAAAGACATAATTAACAGAGGGAATAAAGGCAGCCATGACGCGTTCGAGTGCGGCTTCATTGACACCATGGGGAGCATAGACAGTGGTGTTGGTCAAGGGAGCAACCTGGTGGTGGCACTGGTCTTCGATTTTTGTTTCGCTATGTTCTTCACTGCTGGCCACAGGGCTAGAGGTTGTGAATTCACGGAAGGCGATAGGACCACAGACAGGAGAAGGGCGGGTCAACATGCGGGCAGGAGTAGAGAGAACAATTCTTGAGGCAGACATCTTTGTATGTGAATGAGTTTTTTTTTTTGGATAATGAAGTGAAGAAGAAAGAGTGTTTTTGGTTTTTATAGGTTTTTTGGGGGTTTTTTTTTGACCTTTCAACTTGAACCTATTGGATTTTGATTTATTTCGTTCGTCATGTCGGCCTAACTTTTTTTTTTCTTACTTTTTTGGCTTTACATGTGAAGCACGCAAATGGATTGTGGGGATTTGTGTGGAGTAAATATATAAAAATAAACATAAAGAGAATATCAATTCGGAGTGATTACTATATTGAATGACTCTTGCCAAATCAGAGCCAATGAATGAACTCAAGGGGAATTATGAACAGATTCAAGGAGAATCATTGGCACACGAATAGTGGGGGAATTGTACATCAGTCAGACGAATTACTTTTATTTTGCTATAGGTTTCACCATTAATTATATCTCCTTTTGTGTCTATCTCTAAGTCTACTATATATACCTATGACACAAACACATAGTCTTTATGTATATAAATATCAAATCAATATGTGTATTGTATCCAAGGCTTGTTTTGCTTCCATTTCAGCAGCGAATCAACATCTTTGGATCCAGGAGTTCACTTGACTCACTGAGTATTTGTGATACAACAGAACTTGGGGGGAGGGGGGTAAGATAAATAACCAAAGCTAATAAGAATAAATTCAATTTTACAAATAATCAATACCAAAAAAAAATTAAAGAAGCTTTTGGCTGTCCATAAAATAATGAATCAAACTTATTAACTGGATTCAACCTATTACAGCCACCATACAGTATTAATATTAGTATTAGTTTTAGTTTTTTTTTTTATTTCCTTTTTCTTTATCCATAAACAATACAAGTCACAGCCGAACCATTTTTTTTTTGTTAAACGCCAAGAACAATCCCTCCCCTCTCCCTCCATCTTCCATACGCACGTGGCAATCAACACAATTATTCCTCTCTCCTCATTCAAGTCCTGCAAGTACAGCAGTCAAGTTAATTTTTTGGTGGACTTTGGTGACGTCGGTTCAGCTCACTCTCACATTATAATCGGAATAGGACGGAAGAGACTCGCCTGAACTACCAAAAGGTAAAGGCGACTTTAGGAAAGAAGAATATGTGTATTTATGTATACAATTTAGATTAATCATTTTGTTGGGGGTGTAAGTCTAATTTATAATACACAATAACATAATCACCATCACCATCACCATCACAACCGTCACCATGGTTACAATAGTCATTATCTTATTCAAAACTTATTGTATTTATTTTATTGCTATAAAAAAAAGGGCATATAGTTTCTCAAGAGATTTGATTAAGCAAGTCAAAATTCTCACAAACAAACAAATGTACAAATGAATAAAGAAATCCATGTACAAAATTATGTGTGTGTGTGAATTTTTTTTTCTTTCTTTCTTTTGGGTGAAATGGATGATATTCTGTGTGGTTAGCCGATGGAGGAAATATTGCTTTTTATTTTATTTTACTCCACTTCAATATCCATCCTTATTTTCAATTGGTGTAATTTGAACATTCTTCTTTTGCTTCTTCTCTTTTTTTTTCTTTTTTCTGTTATATCAAATTCAATTGGTTAAAACCACACAGCTTTTATTTACTTTATTGTGTAATGTGTATGTGTTGCACAAGTTCAACTTTCCCTTCTTATATATTTTTCTCTCTCTCTTTATTTATATGTATAGATTACATATACAACATCATATTTGACTGTTCCAATAAAGAAAGTTTTACAAGACAAAAAAATACAAATACTATATATACAATATTCTTTCAAAAGAAGTGTGTGGCAATCAAGGAAAGATAAGACATTTTTCTTGTTAAACATTTATATCTGTATAAAATGATTATTAAAGGAAAGAAACGACCTTTTGATATATATAATAAAGATAATCTTTTGCTCTATTATCAACATTACATATGAAGAATATAAAAAGAAAGAGTCTCTTTTGGAAATCTGATTACATGACCCTTTATCTACTGATATATACACTTCAAGCTTAGATCCTTGTCCGTCATTAATTTACAATATAATACAGTGCAGTGCAACATCACTAATCCTAACATGATATTTAGAAATACATTTTAGTTAATATCATTAACATACACTTATCATTACATATACATATTCTATTCTCGCATCGTCAATAGATAAGCCAACTGAATCCTACCATTTCTCATAAAGAACAAGAAACATACATGTAAGCAGATAAAGTTTAGTATATATCCTATAAGCAGCATTCTTAATGTTAGTGCGACAATCCGATATATAGCTTTTGACCCAAAAATAAAACAAAAAAATTCAATACCGCCTTTGTGTGAGATTCATGTCAAACAAGATACACAAACCATTTAAGGAACATATATCACTAGCTTGAAATGATATAATATTAATGATATGATTCCTAGGTCTCCTATATAAACCATCAATACAATAATACTGTAATAAAGACACAGAAAGAGAGAGATCATTTACATAAACCAAACTACGCATACATGTATGTACTGCATACTAATAATCAGGATAACCTACATCAAATAGACGATATGGATTATTTGGAATGTGGGGTCGGCATTAAATCGGATTTGTTGCATATATACTACAAACCCGTTTCTTACACCCAAAGATAAGCTAAAAATAATAATAATAATAAAATTTAAATCAAATCAAGAAATCAAAAACACATACATATAGATAATATGCGTTCAACAAAAGAAAAAGAGCAAGCTGATAGCCGCCAGTCAAAACCACAAACCCATTGTACTAATAATCATTGAGTGTATGAAATACATATCTAGCTATCAAAGTCTAATGTTCCCCTCCTCTCACTTCCCCTAAAGTTCTTTGGTCTTCATTTCAAGATATTTATGTACTTGAATACTAGTGTGTTTCGGATGTGTATTAAAATCCGATTTAATAATGTACTAAAGAATAAATTATGAATGTCTTTTTTGACTTTTCTTAGTTTTTTTTTGGTGCCTGACCTGCCTTTGTTCAACTTTAAGATTCACATGTTAGTAGGAGCGTTGTCCGAATTATTTCGGTGCTTTGTGACCATCGTTTTTTTTTAAAAAAAAGTTGCCATGGATACTTGCGAGCAGGTTTTTTTTTGGTAATCTTAATCCTAGGGACAATCACTTATTTTTGTTCTTTTATTATTTATTTTAAAGATATGAAATTTATTTTTCTGTGACTCTCGGGCCACTTTTTATGTCTGCTTGCACAAAGAAGAACCAAAAATAATCATAAATCACTCTTTATCGAGCAAGAAACTCATGTGTCAGTTAATAGTAAAATACAAGCCAACTCTCTTATACTTGTACAGTATTCTTCAAAATTTAGAATTTACCTCTTTACTTTGTAGGCGGTGAAATATTGTGCTTTGAAAGACTACGAATAATTTATATATGGTAATATAAAAGTACTTTCCTGCAAAATATAATAAACACCGACGTGCAAACAGCTTGGAGAGATTGAGGTTCAAAAAAGAAAAATAACTACAAGCGTATAAACCAGATACTTTGACATAGTGATATCCTTCTAGAAGTCATTCCTAAATACTATGAAATAAAATCAAGCTTTTATAAAAGCCCTTTTTCTTGTGCTATGCTGTATCCTATGTTGTTCAATATTGAAAACTATACACATTCTTTGGTATTATATATAAAGCTTTAGATATTATTCTTGTAATAGTCAAAACTCTATTACATTTCTAAAAAAATCAATCAGATATCGACTGTACATATATGTACCAAGTACGTTCAAGAGTTTAACAATTTTTAAACGCGTCTGCATTCTGTTTTTTACCCTAAAAACTCTTGTTTTCTATCATGAGTGGCTGTTAAAAGGATGCGCGAATCAACATCGGGCGTCAGGTTGAATGAGAAAACTATGAAATTGATCTTTAATGCGCAATGTTCTGACAAACTCATTTCTGCAAGAACATGGTGAGAGTTATATATAAGCTAATGAGCTATCCATATGAACAGAATTGTAGTTTCTGATGGTAAATAAGGTTTTGCATCGTTGTCGCTCGTCTTTTTCTGTTTTTTTGCGTCCTTTTTTGTTTACTTTTTGCTTTTTTTTCATAGTCTTTAGCTCTAGTAGTCACATGCATATGAAAATAGTCACGCATTTTTTCCCCTTAGTTTTTATGGAGGTGTATACGTCAGCGATGAAAGGATGCAAGAGATGTGTAAAGTAGATGGAAGACTTCATTTACTTTCATCCTCTTCACTAAAAAGGAACTCGTGAAACTCTACTCCGTTAAAGTAGTTCAAGTGACGATTGACGTTCTTTAAAAAAATGACTGTCAAAAAACCCGATAGCAATAATTTAGGACGAAATGTCGATTTGTTCTGCCAAATGTGAAGGATCGATTTACTAAAGGTGTATGGCTGATCGTTGTCTCTGGAACTCTCCTTTGTTAACCACAGCCAACTCCCTCTTGTCGCAACAAGAATAAAGCACAATTTAGCCGTAGAAAAGACTCTTGTTTATTGAATTACAATTCCTATAATTTTATTTGATTCCTTGAATCACGGGACAAGAACTCTTGTGACCCGACGATTCTCCCCTTGACCTCACTACACAAATTAATGGTATTAATTTTTTTTGACGGGGGCTAAAACAGAATGTAAAAATGTTCTGGCACTTATTACACACAAAAACATCTCTTCTCAGCATACACATAGCAATTATGTACTTTTATTCCAAGCTGGTCTGTGTGATAATTATACAAGGGCAATAAATCAGTGAATTAGACACACACAAAGTGTTCAACAATTATTTGTTAAATAGCTAGCTCTCAAAGAGTGACAGTGAGAGGGAAACATCGTCTCTTATTCCTGGGTAACATTTGGCTACTGAGTGAAAATATATAATTGTAAGGCTTGTGAATAGAAAGCAGACTACTAATGATATATGGAAGACCGAATGATATATTACTGTATAATTAGTAATATTCTCTAAGAGAGTTTAGGAATATTAATTCTTATTAGATGATAATCTAAAGCATTTGCAGTACAAGTGGTATTGGTACACTGTCTCGAGTGAAAATATTTATATTTAAATTATTCTGTTTGTGCTCTAGTTCTCAATTACATGCCCTACAAGAACGACTCTATTTTACTTTGGTTCTTTTATATAATGTGCGCTATTGAATATGTTCAAATAGACAGAAAAAAAGCTTCAAATTAAATAAAGAACTCTTTTCATGTAATTGTAACAGCTTTGATACGACAAGTCAAAGTTAGAGAGAGAAAAACGGTTATATTGTGCATGTCGGCCTGGTAATAGATATTTTTATATTAATATTTAATTTACATATAAAGTAGTAAGCTTGGCAGATACCAAAGACTCGGAACCTATAAATCAAGATCTTCATAGAGAATAATTAAGGTGACGTGAATCAATTAATACAGGAGACAAGTGTATCTTTGATTTTCGATTCTCGATAGGGGGAAATCATGGATTACGGATCATGGATCATTGATTATTATTTTTGGCTGTGGTTTTGTGGATCAGGATTTTTGGCTGTATTTTCCGATAGATGCCAAACATCAGATACGATGACCCCTTGTCTTTGTCCTAAAAATGGCAAGAAAGTGAAGAAGAAGCATGTAAATCTCCACTGATACCCAAAGAGCACGGGCCTTTTGAAATAGTATATAAAGGTTTGACATTTTTGCACTTCTTTCCTTTTTATTACATATTCTCTCAACCACATCTTACCTACCAAGCCTTTCTTTACCTTTACACCTCACAACACACACTCTACAATGCAGATCCTCTCTATTCAAAAGCGTATCATCTCAAAGTGCCAGCGCCGCCAATCCTCAACTACCAACACAGCTAGCCGTGTCTCCACATTCACATCATCAATGGGACAATGTATCAAAGGCCTCGCTTCAGTCAAGAAAGCTTTTAGCTGCAAAAAAGCCCAAACTACAGCTACACCTTCTTTGATCTCATCTTCATCGACGATCTCTAATGACTCCTATCTTTCTGACCTTTCTGATGACGAGCACTTTTCAAAATCTTGCCCAGTATCCGAAAAATCTATGGCCCTGGATTCACTTATCTTTGATCATCCTTCAGTCACAGTCCGCATTAGTCCAGCTGCCTATCGCTCATCTTAAATCGATCTTGATTTCAACACCCTGTATATACACCCTGTAAAACACAAAAAATTGTATAATAGTCAAGTTCATCAAACAAAAGCATTCCATTTTCCTTATACATACATCCTTATAAAAAAAAGACTATCGCAGCATATAAAGCTCTCTAGAGAAAAACTCTTAAAATAAAATACAATAAAAAAAGGGCCACAAACACTTTTGCAGTGGTTCTTTTTGTTTCAAATACCAATAAATACATTTATCTTATTGAATACCTCTTAAAACATGTCTATTGTTCTCAATTCTTTGCATCAGTCTGTATAGCTGAGCATTGAATTTATGTAAGCTTTACAAATCTAAAGCTACTTTATATAAATTACCCTTATTTTTTACAATATGAAATGTATGTGTATGTCCATTTAACCCCCTCTCCTTTGACTCCTTGGTTTTGGTAATAATTCTGTAAAGATAACTCGAGAGTATGATTTGAATATATATAAAACACGAATATATAAAAAGCTTGTAGACACTCTCTTCATTAGTAGTCTCTTTCTCTATCAATCAAAAGATCATCCTTTGCTTGTAAAATTGAATAAAATTATACCTTTTTTTTAAAGAAAAAGAACAGAAACCACAAGAGACCAAGCCAAACTCAAGCCCTTGGTTTTATGTTCCTGTACACCATTAATTCAATCAGTATAATCATATATATGTTTCTCTCTTTGCTAATAGTTTCGTGCACTGTACTGGCTTATTTATTTATTTTATTTGTATAAAGTCATATAAGGCCACTCAATAACGGCCAACAACTTATTGGTTTTTTGGGAAAATACTTTAGGTGGAAGACATTTAGTCTCTATTTCTAAAGTAAAATTGAATCAAAAGAATTAAAGGAATAATTCTATACTCGTTTGGACCTCTTGACGCAATTCCCTATACTGAAATGTCCATTTGTTCTGCCAAATTAATGGGATAATTTTGTTCAACAAAATTACTTTCGGGATTTGTGAGTTGCCCTTACTGTCGGAGATCCAATAAACATCGCCTCATGGTGTAAATATCGAAAGTGTCATTTTTAGATCTCTCGATATCTCCATGAATATGCGTCTGTTGCTGATCAAATAAGTACTGAGCATCATGAATCTATTTGTTCAGCAACTTTGCTTAATAGAGCAAAATACGAATATCGATTTTTTTTCGGTGTATGTCCTGAGGGAACTTTTGGATCAAACATCGTTTAAGGGTGTAAATATCGATATTGGCATTTTTTCATCGATCGATATCTCCATCAATATTAGTCTGTTTTTGGTCAAACAAGTACCAAACATCATGGATCAATTTGTTCAACAACTTTGCTTAATAGAAAAAAAAACAAATTTTGGATTTTTTTTAGGTGTATGCCCTGAGGGGGAACTTGGAGATCAAGCATGCTTATGGTGTAAATATCGAAATCCTTATTAATAAATGGTTTGGTAAAGTGAAAAAATGGGATATTTTGATCAATATTTGAACAATCAATATCAAACAACGTTTAAATTGTGAATAGCAGTGTACTACACCATGTCGTATATACATGTAAAGTTGTTTATCTTAACCGATTTTGATTTAGAGCTAATTTTCTGTAGTTAATTGATTATTTTGATCAAAATACTCTTTTTTATTAAAAAGTTTTTTTATTTCACCGGTAATCTCGATAATTCTCGATGTATAATTGTCTGATTATATAAGTGTGTCTAGAGTTATAGTGTTTACAGCACTGAAACCTCAATGTGCATTCATATCGTGCAAATCAATCCAACAAATATTTGAACAATACGGATGCCGTTAAAAGCTCCAATTGACCTACAAAATATACTAACCTCCTAACGATCTGGGCGCTGTTGTGATATCTAATTGGCTCACACAATACCATCTCAAAGCTCATAAAAAATAAACAGGTTTATGTTGACTATCGCACACATATGAAAACTCTAACTTATGGTGAATATGTCGTCATAGACACCTTTGGTGACTTTCATCCGTTAAAAAAAAGAGAGCATCTAATGTGGTATTGGCAATTTCTAAATTCCTTAGAGCATGAAAGCAAATTGTAGTTTTATTATTACTACTATTATTACTATTTACCTTCATAGCTAGTAAAAAGATTAGTGCCTCCGAATGACCATACGGCAATGTCTTTACATTAAGGGTGGTGATCCTTAGGAAAACATAGGTAAAAATTAATCTCGTCGAAACAACGCTGTTACGGCAAAGGTAAGTTGGTTGCATAGCAATGGTACAGGTTAAATTTACTGGATGTGAAGAGTGGGGTATAATAAAGAGGTTCAGTTTTGGGTTTACTTAAAGGAATAATACAATAGGAAAAAATAGGCTTAAGAATATAACACCTTTACCACTCTAAAGAAAACAGGATAATAGACCATAAATTGAAAATAAAGAAAGAAAAAAATGATGCCTTCTGTAATTGATAAAGGTAATACATAAAATACATAATTAAACCTTAATTTTTTATCTTATTATTGTCATTATGTTACCTTTTTTTTTATAATTGTTATCCAAAACCAAAACTAATATCTTTTGGCAATTAAAGTCGCTAAAAGGGAAGTTCCTGTGATGCTCTCTATTACTTGATCCCTTCTTATTTCTCCTTCTCTAATAAGACTAGTTTCCTCGTCTCTATTCGTTTTAGCTTTGAAAGGAGCGTCGTTAGGACCGTCTCCAATATTTACGAAGCTTAGGGCGGCTCCATCTTCATTGTTAATACGGGTATACCACTCCATTAAGGTTTGGTCGCCATGTATGTTAATCACGTATTCTTGATTCATTTCCTCGTGAGTCTCTCTCGGGGTAATAAACATCTGGCACAAGTTGTTCAAGATACAACAAGCAGTTACAATCGGCCCAATTGTTCTCTGTGAAAAAACGTATTTCCGCTTAAACATATATTGCCACTTTTTAAATGCGTTTTCAAACCCTTCCTTAACGCTATACATTGCGCTCCGGTGGGCCTTGTTGAAGGAAATTTGTTTGGGCGTTAGCGTTCCTTTATCAGGGTATGGGGTCAAGCAATGCTTGAGGTTCGGAAAATTATTGCCTATTTTCCATAGTAAATATATGCATGCACACAATTATTATTATTATTATTTTCTTAAAAAAAGCATTGAAGTAATATACAGTACCACCAATAATGTAGGAGCGTGGATCTAAGAACATTTGCTCTGGTCTCTGAGTCATATTTTCATAAATTGCGCTCGATCTGAATATATCTATGTCGTTTTGGGTGCCTATACAAATATAAGCATACATACATATATATATTAATAAATGGTATACATTACTAATTATCCTATACTACTTACCAGTGGCTCCAATTTTAACAATTTTGAAAGATCCCTTTTTGTCACACACAGCCAAGAGAGGTATATACACGGAACCTCGCCGATCTTTCCAATGGGCGGATTCTTTATGGTCCTTAGTTGCTACAACCACTCTGCAATCAATGGCGCCTACGCATTCCCTTAGACCTTTGTGGCCATCTCCTACAGTCGATTGTCTGAACGCTTTCATTTCATCCTGGAACTCTTGAAGTGTTGTTGGCCATTTGATAGCGTATCCAATGAAAGTTCGGTTAATGGCTGTCAGAAACCTCTCTGTGAACAAATCATGTAATTCTGGGGTGATATTGAGTCTCTCGGCAGCCAGTGATCTTCCCAAAAATGTGTTGCTGACGGACCACAGAACGATAGCCAGTTGCTTCCACACAGGGTATATTTCGGTGCCATTTTCTTCAGCGTCTTTGAACGAGGGATTTTCAGCAAGTTCATGCACCAAAATGTCAAAGAGATCCTGGTTAACTCTGTAATGAGTCCTGAAACCTTTGGGGCCAATTCCGTCGTTTAGGTATTTATTTTTGTGTCCACCAAAAAACTTCATTCCCGCTTGCGTCGATACGCACCAGTCGCTCTGGGGTAATATTGGAAGGGCAGCCCATGTAATAAGCTCGAGCAACTTCATCTGACATTCGTTTGTTGAAGTAAAGCTTTCGAAAGCTTTCATATTGTTTAGTAACTATATCCTCACGTGTCATTTGTGCTAATGATGGAAGCGGGCTATGGGGGTCGGGTTCCGGTACTTCAGTATCAAACTCGTCATCAAATGCATAATTGTAATCATATCTAAAGCATTTTTCAGGCTCAAGAGTAATGTCAAACGGAATTCGAGGTTTAGGCAAAAAGCGGTCGAAAGGATCGCCGAAATACTTGTTCTTGGAGCAGTTGAGATATTCCATTGTGTAGAATAAGAAAGATAATGAAGAGAATTCGATAGTTTTACATACTCTCAGATTTATGTTTTTTCCTTCTTTTTTTTATTTTTTGGAGTTTAAATTCTTGGAATTATTGGCTGATATTAATGAATGAAGAAAAAAAAAACAATTTATTATGTGGATTTCAAAAGCCTTTTAATTAGGCATTATTATTGGTCAATAATCTAAAGTAAAATGAAACACACAATCTAAAGCCATATATAAAACCATTGAAATATCTGTTTTTTACTTGTACATCTAGCAAATACATTATCTGCACACTATCATTTCTTATTCTTGCTGTTGTTGTTATTATTGGAATTCGATAGAGCAAAATGCTTACATATTTACAAACAATACTAATCTTAGTAGACAAGATGCAAAGAGTAAAAATAAAATAAAATAAAAATAAAGATATGTAAATAATTTTTGAAGCAAAAATGTAATGTATTTGCTAAAATACTAAGCAGGAAAGTAATTAGTTTTATATTATATAGCCTTGGAAAAAACAATTTTTGACAGACTTAAACCGAAATACTATGTAGCCTCCTCCAATGGATTTTCTTAGGGAGTCACTGATTGTGTGCCATTGTTCTTTCTCTACGTCTGAAACCCCTTTTTGATCAAAGTATGTGGGTCCAAAATCAGGGTAAAATCCTTGAAGGTATTTAATTTCTAGGCGGTTGAGTTCAAATATGTTGAAATCTTCTGGTGTGTGCAAGTGTTGCAGTTTGTTTGGTCGGTAGCATTTCGTCCGCGTTTTTTGTGTACATGAAGCCTGGGGAAGTATACCAACTGACGTATTGATACCGTCACTTTGTGTAATATTTTCGGCTTGCTCAATAGCAAAAAGATGGCACGGTCCTGCCATAAGCTCAATGCTATTGACTACTAATAGATTTAACTGTGTTAAGGACATGTCGAACAAATAAGAGTTTCCTGTGAGTTGTGATTTGTTGAGCGAGTGCGCGTTCAAACTTAAGCACCTTAGTAGCCTACAACGAAAGGAAATATAGCTCATCGTTTTTACGTCAAGCTGTTTACACCTTATGAGTAGATCCCGTAGCCCATGTGTTGGCAGAGTAGGTGGCGTATTAGGACTGAGACGTATATCAGATCCATGTACCTTAAAAGATTGTAACAAGGGGCACTGATCCAATATGTGATCCATTTCAAAGCCAAATTTTGGTAGGTATATTTCCAAGGAAACCAGAAAAGGATGGTGAATAATACGGAGGGCAAATATTTCTGGACTGTGCCCAGAATCAAACAAGCTGACCTCGAGGTTATTTAGTGTCAATGAAAATAAGTTCATAAGACTTATATTTGCCTTAATAAGCCGGGGGTGTTCCAAAAAATATTGGGCATGAATGGATAGCTTCTTGATCGGTGCTTTGGACTTGTTCAGAAAATTGAACATAGCTAACGGCTGCCTTGTGCCGTTAGCACCATAAAACGTCTCTAGCGACTTTAGATCATGGGAAAAGTTGGGATATAATGTAATGATATTTTTGAAATCAACTTGGATGTGATGCTGGCTATTCAGTATGGGATTGACCATTTTAAAGCTTAGGGTCTCAAGGTTTGGATACTTTAATCCATAGTATATTATCCACTTGAAATCCAGGCGGACATTTATATTCTTGCACCTTACTTTCTTAACAGTTGTTGCCGGAGTGGTGTTTTTTACTGTTCCTATGTCGCTGGGTGGTATATTCATGATATTATAATCAAATTTTAGATTTTCCAATCTTGGGAAACTTTGATGAAGAACTTCTATGTCCTGCCATGTAATATATATTCCACTAGTGACGTGTTCATAGGATACCATATTAAGGTTGACTAGGCATGTTATAGAAGACATGTATTCAAACGTGGCTTTCGGCCCAAAAATTATCATGGAGGTATCCAAGCATATTTCTACATGTACCAGTGATTTCCACAAACTCCAATCAACCATGTTTACAGTAAACTGTATTTCGGGGCGAACCACCGAGGTAGCAAAATGATTTATCCAGGGAAATAGTTGTTGTAGTAATTTAAAGTGTTCTTGTTCGATCATTCCAGTGGCTTCGATTTTCAATAGGTGCACCTTGTGCCCATTATTTTTGTAAATGTTGTCTGGACTAGACGCGTTATACATAAACTTTATGAAATCACTATCGATGAATAGTTTCCGCCAAAGGAGAAGCTGAAATACAGGTGTCCATGCTTTGCAGATTTTCAAGCATGTGGTTTGGTCTTCTTGTGAAAGAAATGAGCCGATAGCTGAAATAACCTCGTTTGGAAGCTCATTGAACATACTAGAGAAATAAATTGAAAAAAGATATTTTTATTTATTTTTTGGGTTGACGAAGGGAAAAGGGGTTTTATATATCCATTTTTTATGAGGATTTAAACCTTATATGTGTGTAACACAGTGGGTGTATAAAGCTTTACACAGCGTCTAAATGGGTAGAGCATAGGAGGTGTACCCTTGAGTCTCATTTAACTTGGCTGTGAGAGAAGTACGTTGGACAGTATAGGTTGTGCCTCATAAGAATATGTTATTGTATTATCTCTATGCTATCCAGTTCCATGTACCTTGATTGTCTGCAACAAAAGGATATATATATATATATATATATATATGCAACTTATACTGTAGTTGGTTGGTTGTCACATATTGAAATTCACTATGGAAAATTAGTGGTGATTGCAAAATTTAATCAATTTTATTCACAATAGATACCATGCTTGACTTTACTAGGAACAAAGAGATTTAATATGTAGTCTTTAATGAACTCAAGGTTGAATACTGATTCAGAGATATTGTCAATTTTAATATCAACTTCTTTTGTAGGATATATTCAATTTAGTCAATACACGATGTAAGTGAATGATAGTTCTTCAGCAAATTTTTCTTCTTATCGTCCAATCCTATATACAAAGTTTTTAGCACGCCTGAAGGAAATACTCCGTCTAGATAACGTTGTTTTCTTTTTCTTTCTTTTGGTTGATATATTTTACTTGTCAAATGAAATCTGAATTGGCGACAACTTGAGAACAGAAATATACATATCTATTATCAATACTCTAAGCTCGAAGTATATTCAGTCTATACCACATGTTATAGGTTACTTTTATAAATTATATTAAGGTTAAAGTCAAAAGAGACACAGATGAATTTTTTTTACTATCAGTTAAATAAATGAATAGTAAATATGCTCGATCTTTTTTTTTATGCATTTTTTCTTGTCTCTGTTCCTTGTTCCTCTTTTGTCACATTTTAAGAACCGTGCATTGTGTGCTTGGAGTGATGTTAATCTCAGATACTTTCTAGTAAGTCACAGATAATTAAGCCAATCAAATGAGTAACTTACAAAAGAAAATAAAAAAAAAATTGAAGGAAAAATGTATTTTATAGACAAGAACAACCAGAGAGTGTGTATGATTTATACTATTATTCTCACTTGTTAAATAAATAATAATAATAATAGTTAAAGCTCACAATCAGTCATATATCTAGTAACAGATCATACAAGAGGTAGTGATAATGATCATACTTTGTACAATAAGATCCACGAAAAATAGTATTAAAAAAATTGAATTGAATTGATTTCCAAGGTCTGTGACTTGCCTAAAAATATTTGGATTAAACTTTTTTTTTTGAGATTTACAAAAAAATGCGCAAAAATAAGCTAATGATACGCAAATTTTAGCCCGAGAATCCAATAAGAATCTAATTTACATAAATAGTCCTAATAAAAAAAAATAGAAAAATAAAAAACTCAGTTAAGAAAAAAAAAAGTGACTGTTGACTTTGGATGAAGAAAGAAAGAAAGAGTGAAAAAAAAAAGTATTGTTTTTTCTCCTTAGATCTTCCATTCTCTTTTCATAATCATGGCAAACAACCAGGGTGAAAGTGGCTTGACAAGCAAGGACTACTACTTTGACTCGTATGCTCACTTTGGTAAGTGATTAGAACCATTGTCAACTAGAACTCGAGCTAATCAGCAATCAACTTTTTTTTTCTTGTCGACTTTGAAATCAACAGGCATCCACGAGGTAACATTTTTTTCTTATGCATATATACATATCTACCTATATGTATTCTAATTAAACAGATTAATACAGTAATTAGAATTTAAGTTAAAAAGAAGAAGAATGGATACTTTGATAACTGTGTATTTGTTATGCCTAGTGACTAAACTCTGTGATTACATTATTTAGGAAATGCTCAAGGATGAAGTCCGTACTCTGTCTTACCGCGCTTCCATCTACAACAACAAGCATCTTTTCCAGGACAAGATTGTTCTTGATGTTGGTTGTGGTACTGGTATCCTTTCCATGTTTGCTGCCAAGTCTGGTGCCAAACATGTCTATGGTGTAAGTAATTTATAGAAATATTCCTTTTTTCCCTTTTAATAATAGTAATTACAATAATAATAATAAAAAGGGAAGAAGTAGACGCGTTTATTTACTGATGTGGTATATTTTGTGTGTTTATAGATTGATATGTCAAACATCATCATCCAAGCTCGCAAGATTGTTGATGACAATGGTTTGACTGACAAGATCACCCTTATCCAGGGTAAGATGGAGGACGTCAAGCTCCCCGTTGACAAGGTTGATATTATTATCTCCGAATGGATGGGTTACTTTTTGTTGTACGAGTCCATGTTGGACACTGTCCTTGTCGCCAGAGACAAGTACTTGGTAAGTTTATATATATATTATAGCAAATCTAGAATAAATCAATATATAAATGATATAAAAAGAGGGTTGTAATTGGCGTTTTACTCAATCAATTACTCATTCTGTTTGTCTTTCTTGTAATTAAATTTACTTAGGCTCCCGGTGGCATGATCTTCCCCGATAAGGCCACCATGTACATTGCTGCCATTGAGGATGGTGATTACAAGGAAGAGAAGATCGATTACTGGGATAACGTCTACGGCTTCGATTACTCTTCCATTAAGAGCCTTGCTATCAAGGAACCTCTTGTGGACACTGTCGATGCCCGTGCCGTTGTTACAACTCCCTGTGCCTTCAGAGTAAGTACTTATATAATATCTGGGATTATGGGATTGTGGGATTATGTATGCGAGAGCTGTCATTCCACACAGTCTCACTTTAGTCTTACCTTACCTATCGGCCTATATACTCAAATATACTACATAATCTTACTATTTTTCTCTTGGTTATTTAGGAAATCGACATTTTGACTGTCCAAAAGTCAGACTTGACTTTCACTGTTCCCTTCAAGATCACCGCTGCTCGTGATGATTATGTACATGCCTTCATCTCCTGGTTTGACATTGGCTTCACCCACTGCCACAAGCCCGTCCACTTCTCCACCGGTCCCCACGCCAAATACACTCACTGGAAGCAGACCGTCTTCTACACCCCTGAGGCCATCACCGTCAAGAACGGCGAGACCATTGAGGGTGTCCTCTCATGCTCACCCAACGGCATTAACCCCAGAGATCTGGATATTGTCATTGACTACAGCTTCAACGGAAACCACGGTAGCATAAAAGAACATTGCGAGTTCAAGATGTAAGTATTATTTCTTTATTGTCTTTTAATATTATGTATGTATATAAGTTTTGTTCATAATCTTTTAACCGTTTTCCTTCTTCTTCTCTTAGGTCCTAAGTCCTTTATACAAAAGGAAAAAAAAAACTTTTTTTAAGCCATCTTTTCTTTATCTCTTCTTCAAATCTAACCGTTTTGTAAATTTCATGAACTTTCCTATAAACATTTGCATACTTGGAACAAAAAAATTAATAAAAAACAAGAGACCAAGTTCTTTTCTCTTTACCTCTAAAAATAATAATAATATGCATCATACACTTTTTAATATCTATATCTATCAAGTAATGAATATACATATACAATATTTCTAGTGAAGAATTTAAACAACAACAACAACAACAAAAACAACAAACACCTCAATTGGTCAACAGAATCGCAAGTTTATGTATATTTTTTCGCGAAATCATGGACCAATAGATTTTTTCAGGAAAACGAAAAGTTTTCCTTTTTCTTTTTTATATAACTTTTTAATTTCATTCATTCATTTTTATTTATATATTTATTTTAGTAGCAGCTACAAAACTCCAAGCTGAGCCTTCTCCTCTCCGAGTAAAAAAGAAAAGAAAAAGAGTGTCAAGCAGCGTGAGGAAATGAGGTAAGGAAAGCTTTGACAGAATATTTGAAAGTAGTAAGAATAAGATAAACATAGAATTTAAACTGGGGAATACACCTACAAGCATATACAGCATTAAGGCTGCTCTTTTTTCTTAAAATAATAAAAACAATGCTACAAACTAATTATTCTTCTCGGTTGCTGCTACAAAGATGACACCATGAATTATATTAGGAAGTGCTCCTGTGTACAAGAAATAAAGTCTAAATATAATTATGTCTCAAAGTTTCATGTTTATATACATAGGTGTGAGGGCGTGCGTGCGTGCGTGCGTGCGTGTATGAGTATGGGTTGAGTGTAGCTTCTCTTGAGGTACAATACAAAGACGTATGACATTTTACTTTATAGAAGCACTGTAAAAAATATAATATATTGCTATTGCTATTATTATTAATATTGTTGTTGTTTTTTTATATTTTATTATTTGCTTGGTAGAAGCAGTATTATGTATATTATTATTATTTTTTGGGAAAAAAACGGTATTTAAACAAAAGAGGGTATGACAAGAAAGAGGGAATTAACAAAAGAGAAAAAGTTTTTTTTTAACGGAGGTGGCAACCATCGGGGTGGTCGTTGAGGACGTTGAGGGCAATAAGAATAATATCAATGGTCCACCAGATACCACCGAGACCAGCAGTAACGAGCTTCAAGAGACCAAGGAAGACATATCCGAGATAGAAACGATCGACACCTAAAAACAAACAAACATAAATATACACACACGCAACCAGAAATGCCAATATTTACAAATATTGATAAAAATACATTTATGTATGAATATTATTAATAATAAAAACTTACCGAAAGGACCAAAGAAGATGGACAACATAAGGGTCAGGAACCAGCTGCGGTCAGAGACGCACTCAGAGTCAACAGGGGAGCCCTCGACGGGATCCTCGGAGGGACGCTGTGTGGGGACAAGGGCAAAGTGGAAAGAGAGGGTGAGGACAGCAGTGGCAGCAATGATGATCAACCAAGTAATAAGAACGCGATGTCCATGGAGGTGGAGAACGCGCTTGGTCTTTTGCCAGAAAGTCTCGGGAACAATCTGGATGTTCAAAAGAGGTGCTTCCTCATCCTGGGTGCGGACAGTTCCGTATTCTGTAGACATGGCTGTTGTTGTTGTTCTGTACAAACAAAAAGAAAGTAAAGAGATGATATTCTTTTTTTTGCTTTTTTTTTGCTTTTTTATGTTTTTTTTTTTTAAAAAAAAATCCTTGTTTGTCAGACTATACCTGAGGTTACACGTACCCTGTATGACAGAAACAAAGAAATGCAAAGAAAGACAGCGATAGAGGCAGACACAGTGACTGAGAGAAAGAGAGAGAGAAAAAGGCTTCAAAAGCACAAAACGATTGAGATTGAACTTGCCGGTCATGGCAGTCAATAAGGGATGAGGCTTGAACTATCATTTGGTCCGGTTGTCCGACCCAAATAGACTTGTACACTTGCACACACTCACACACATTTATGCACAGACATATAGATATAGAGAACAAAAGAAAGAAAGAGGCATAAATATATATATAGATATATATATATATATGTGTGTGTGTGTGTGTAAGATATCAAGCATAGATAGTATACTACTTAAACTCTATATAGTGCCCTTTATGCTGTCCTTACGAAAGAAAGAAAGAAAGAAGGAAAGAAAAAAGTGATTTTATTACATTGATTTTATTATTATTTTTTTGGTGTGGAATACAAGTGGCCTTAAAAAGGTATCCCGATAGGACGGGAGAAATATGTATACATATATATACACTATTAAAAGGGCGAAGCAAAGTGTCCTTGTATACTTAAGATTAATGAAACAAATAAGATAAATGAAACTTGGTGGTTTGTACGATTATGTGTTTGTGCAAGTGGAAGTAATTTTTAAATAGGCAGGTAGGAAGACGGCTATGCATGTAGACAGACAGATAGACAAGTAGCTAAAGAGTAAATAGAGAGATAAATAGGTAATATAGATAGTCGGTTAGCTGGTTAGCTGGTTAGTTAGTTAGTATAATGACGTTTTGGATTATAATGATTCTTGACCGGGATACTTCGGCGTACTTAGTTCCATCAAGTGGTACGAAGAAACCTACTATTTCCATGAGCTAATGCGAGTGGACAGAAGAGATAAATACATTTATATATTTAAATATATATATATATTCAGCCCCTTGTATGTATCATATTATTCTTATTCTATCAAGTTGACTAGTAATCTATACAGAGCAAAAACAACAAAATAAAACTACAAGCCTTTGAATAGCATATATTATATTTACTACTTGAGCTTATTATTAAATCAAGAGATTAACCAGCAAGTCAAAAGAAAGGAAGCACATTTAACCAACCAGACAAAATATGATACCCACCCACTAGGTTACCAAAAGATCCCATGCAAAAATAAATAAATTTTATAGAATGATAATATTTTTTAATATTTAATAAAAAATAATAATTAATACTTGGATATCTTGCTGCAGTGTTACGACATATATTACGATTACTAAAAATAGAATATGCGTCAGATGAAGCGTCGAAAGGTTTGTGTTGTACAAGTATCGCGCTTTTACATAATCAACTAATCACAACTTTTATTTATATTGTATTTTTATTTTTCGTTTATTTTCTTCACTTTCTCCACAATTTCTTTGGATTTATTTGATCTACAATACAATACATATATATTTTAAAGAAAAAAAAATCGAATCTTTACAAACCATTAACTTTTGTGGCTTATAGCTATACTCCAAGTGAGATAGATATGTATATAAGCATGCGGATATGTGGATATTGTACAGAAATATAAGCAACAACTTTTTAATATTTCATCAAAACAAAGCAAAGCAAAGCAAAACAAAACAAAACAAAACAAAACAAAGAGAAAAAGAGAAACAATTCACAAAATGTTTATTTGAAATTACATTGTAAACAAGGTATAAAATTACGTTATATATTTTATATTTATTTATATGCGTGGTTGTCACTGTGTCCCATCACCACGCCACACAAATCAATATAATATAATTTATGTATAATATATACATGTGAAAGTAGGGAATACAGACAGCAATCGGTTAGAATGAATTGTAACAAGAGGAAATTTCGATAACCTTTTTATTGATTGCTTGCTTGTCTTATTTTCATTTATATTAATTTATAATGAACATTATACATTTCACTGCAAATCACAGAGCAAATTAAGGCATAAGAAATAAACCAAAAATATATGTAAAGTGGAATGTCAAATTGCAGTGAGAAAAGAAACCAAAAAAATACTTCTTTTCAATTTGTCAGCGTCAGCTTGTTCTAGAATGGATTATTGGCTGGTTTGATGATGCCGGACTAGGAGAAATGGAGGGTGTTTTATGAAACACATATATACATTTATACGTACATTTATACATACATACAACCAATCCTTGTTTCATCCCACGGAAGTACTGACTAGAATATACATAATAAAAAAAAGAGTGTATAAATATTTAAAATATACGGAGAGAGTAGGTGTGCTTCACTATATATTTATATTGCATCTTATCATGGGATGGATCACTAAAAAGTACAACCTGGATACAAAAAATATAAATAAAATTTGATATTATATTACTGCAATCTCATGCCAAACAGTACAATATTATGCCAGTTTCATGTTAGATTATATATAAAATACAATAGCATTATTGGCAAGCCTGGCTTTAATTGATTTGCTTTGACCCAAAGGATTCTTTCAAAAAAGAGATTCTTTTTTTTGTTTTGTTTTGTTTGGGATACTGGAGTATCTATATATATTAAGTTCAAAAAAATGATAATAGTAGTAATAGTAATTTAGGCTTCAGGTTGTCATCTTTTGCCGAGAAATCTAAAGATAATTTTTTTTTTGGGTTTTTTAATCCATAAACAGAATTTCCTTTGGAGACAAGTAATATTAGATGAACCAAGGTGGCCAGAATACGGTAGAAACAACCTTTTTGGTTCACCCGAGAGTATCAGTAACACGCATCACAAAATAATAACACTAATAAGAAGAAAGAGGGACAATATTTAATCTATTCTCTATTAAGGGTTTCTCAAGTGTAAGATATCAATATTTACGAATCATATACCTGATCGTGTTATTCGTCATCTAGTCATCGAGTCATCGAGTCATTCTACAAATAAATAATAATAATAATAATAATAATAGTCATAATAAATCATTTATCTATTTATCTTTTTTTTTTTAAAAAAAATAGGCATCACTTGGTCAGAATTGTTGAATACACCGAAAACCAAGATGGAAGTCTTTGGGGGGAAAAGAAAAGGGGGAGTATGAAGCTTATGGACGAGTGTAACCAAAGTCTAGAAACGAATATCTACTAATTTCATGTATAATATTTGAATATTTCAGGTAAATAATAACTTTTATGTACATATTATTTCTAGAAATTCTAGCTATTGTGGTTATGATAATCCTAGTAGTCCTGGTAGTAGTCTTAGTAGTGGTCCTAGTCATAATTGATGTAGAAATCAAATGTCAATCGAGTATTACTACTAATTTTCTTAAAAAAATTTTTTTTTATGTCTTCTTCATGGGAAAAATAAACAAGATAACCTGCTGGTGTTGTACAGTATAGTGGCGTTACCTCAAAGCAAACTTTCACAACACCTCTTTTTTTCATCTTCTTTTAATTCTCAACATCTTTACATTTTTATTTAATACATTATACATACATAGTGACTGACTGACTGACTATGACCAACATTTAAATACTTTTACATGCAAATAATAAATCAGCATCTTAAAACCAATATTTCGATCAAAACCTGTAGTAATTTTCGCAACATGAGAATACAATTGAAAATTATCCATTTGGCTCGTGGCGACTTCACATGGCGCCGCATCACTGTGCTACGCGTGGTTGGCCCGAGTTGCACGTGAGATTAGGATATTCTCTTTCTATGTATGTTGCTAGGATCAATAAAAAGTGCTCGGTCAACTTGACAAACCCCCTTTTTTTTCTTTCTTTCTTCTTTATCACTATTGATACACTACTCTTTCTCCAAGCTTCACTAAACAGCAACAAAGAATTAAATTCTCTTCTTTCAAATCTAAACCTAACTACTAATTAAAAGCCACACACCTACATACAAATCTTATAAGATGACAAGTTATGTCTCAAGTTTTATGTCTCAGGCCGACAGACTTCCTATAGTCGGTTCACATATCACCAGCGCATCTGCCTGGATTCCAGGATACTCAAAAAAAGAGGCCAAAGAATTACTACCAAGTCCACCCGTGAGCCGTCGCACCTCAATGAACACCAACTGCACACCATCCTACGAGCCCAATGACACCTACCGATACCCCTCTACACCCGGAACACCTCGGTCTTTCAGCAGCGCCCCGGGCTCACCTCGGATCTACTCCACCCCTCCCCCGCCATACGAAAAAGTAGGCCCTCCTTCTTCTAGGCTCACAAAGATCTCAGATTATGTCTGGAAACGGGCTTCCTTCTCCTCGGGAATTGGCAGCATTGTTCCCAGCAGTGGTGGCTCAATCGCAGCCTCCGCTTCGCCGCTCAAGCCTGCATTTGTCGAAGAAGTCACGATTGACAAGAAACAGACCGATCACGGTGTAACACTCATCAACGTAGCTACCGAGATGGACCAGGCTGGTAACCACCAGATGGCCACCGATCTTTATCTCATGGGCCTCGAGCGCATGCTGTGTGCTCTTCCAAGTAAGGCAACATTTCTATATATTATATGCATTTACTTATTTATATTTTGTCTAGTTGAATCCGATCCTAGACTCAAGATTGCTCTTGAAAAAAAATTGGTTGAATTCAAAGAAACCAAGGGCCTTGATCTGGCAAGCATTGTAGAGGCCACTGAAGAAGACGAGAAGGAGACGCCGGTAGATGAACCTTATGGCTTTTCTGGACTTGTTATCAATGCAGCCATTTTGGGTGCTGTTGCACTCAAGAGAAGTCCCCTCCCAGGTACGCATATATATACATATATATTTACATATATATATATATAGCATGGCTGCACAAAATAAAAACAAAAACAAAAACAAAGCAAGCAATCAACCAACCAAATTAATCGCTTGTTTTTTTTATTTATTATTTTAGATGTCTTGTCTTCCGCAGTATCTTATGCCAAGTCAGGATTCCAGTCCGTAGATGAAGCATACCACATCCGTCAACGTGCATGGGACTTGGCAACAAACGGTGTCGCCAAGGCAGTCGAGATTGATAAGCATTACGAGGTTCACCGCATTTTAACAGATGCTCTCTACACCGGTTGCACAGCCATTCTCAAGGCCGGTATTGCCTACACAGAGGCACCTGGATACAAGGAGCACCGCAGAGCGTCTTCCCCGTAAAGACTCGACACAGTCAAGCCTAGAAAAGTCAAGACATGAAAGTCTGAAACCTCTTTCCTGCACTTTCCATTCATCAAATCCAATCAAAATACCAACATCAATACCAGCGACATCAAAAACAAATGAACTCCCAACTTCTCCTCTCCTTCAATCAAGACAATATCAAATTATTCGAGTCCACGCATCTTGTATAAGCCAGTAAGGTCCAAGACAAACACAATTTTACACCACATATCTCCTCTTCCCCCTTCTCCTGCCCCTTCTCCTACTCCTGCCCCTGCTCCTGCTCCTTTCCTCCCACATCACATTACATCCAAAGCCAAGAAAAGAATATTATCTCTCATACATTTTATTCCATCGTATATCCTCACCCAAGTATATCTCTTATTTCTATTATTTTCATTTGGCTTACTATCTCTCTATCTCACACACTCTTTTCTTAAGCAACACAATAAGAAAAAAAAACCCCTTCTCCCCTTTCATATTTTTATTCTCTTGTTTTCAAAAAAAAATACTTCTTTATATTCTACATACATACATACACACTTCCCTTAATTCAAGAGGAAGCTTATATAGTATCCTCTTCCGTCATTCTTTGAAAATTCGATCTCATTCCTTTACATCTTGTTCATATCTATATATTAAATACATACATATATAAATATATTTCTTTATCTTTATCTTTATATATACAAACCCACACCCATTTACGTATATATATTGTAATATTGGCTGCCTCTTTTTTTTTTGATCCTTTAAAATGTTTATTCATTGTCTTTAATAAATAAAGAAACAAGAAAAAAGGAAATCAAATAAAAAAAAATAAAAAAAAAGACTCAAATGTTTCTTCTTCTTCTTTAAAGATATTTCACAATATCTTAATTATATAGTCTAATATGTACAATTCAAATTGACCTTGTAAAAAAAAGAATACTCGATAAATATATAATAAATCCAAAGCTGCACACACACACACTCTCTCTCTCTCTCTCTCTCTTTCACGTACGCATATATATAGGACATGTGTGCGAATTTCTAGTTTCTTTACAAAGTCACACCCCTTATCATCCCCCTAATCCTCGTCCTCTTCCTCCTCTTTACTCTTCTTCTTCACCTCTATCTCACCCTCCACCTACACCTTCCCCTACCTTTATATTTTATTTCTATTTCTATTTTTGCTATCTCTTGTCACAAAGTGTGTGTACGTAGTGTACCCGTGTTTGTCTGTGTACTTGTATATATTTATATATACAAATATATCTGTGTGCCTGTCTGTCTGTGTGCCCAACTTGCTTTAATCAATCAAACAAAATTTCAAGCCAAGCTTTAAACAAATAACGAATATCAATAACAATAAAACACAATACAATAAAAATAAACATATAAAGCCATGGATGACATGTATCAGTATGCTGCGTCTGCAGTCAACGAAAACAAAGAAGTTGCTTCAAAGAATGTACCTGAAGAAGAAGATGTCATTCTCAAGGCATTCACAAACTTTGGATGGGGACAACGATTCAATAGTCTTGTTGACACTGTAAAGAAACAGGCAAGACAATTCTTCTTCTTTTTTTTTTGTTTCATTGTGTAGTAATTGTCTAATGTAACTCCTTTTCTTTCTCATTTTATTATTGTTATTGTTATTGTTATTTTAATTTAAATAAATTAGAGTGAAGCTCTTGTAGAGGTCACCAAGAAAGACTTGCAAGAATTTGCTCAAGTTTTACGCGAAGATCTTGTCGATGACGCTAGTGATGACGAAAGAGACCAAAAAAATAAAGACGAAGAAGAAGAATCTGATGATCAGTCCAACCTAAACGAATCCTCTTCGACAATCCAACCATCTGAATCCAAAGGCAAACAAAGAGCCATCTCTTCTACAACCACCACAGATAATACCACTATTGAACCAAACACCGTTGATACTACAGCAACAGAAACAACAACAACGTATGCACCTCTGCAATCCCTTCGAGACAATCTCAGCAAAATAAACACTGTCAATTTAGAGTCACTTAAAGATGGTTTAACAAATTATATTCACACTTTACCTGCTCAATTGCCCCCGATCAAGTTACCTGACAATATTGACTTGACTACCCTGAGAGAGGAAGCCAGCCAAGGCACACGTTTTGCTGAACAATATATTCAAAAGTTTGGTGCCGAAGTAATTCAGATCCTCGGCAAGGCTGTCACGGTTATTGAACCAACCGAAAGAGAAATTAAAGACCAGGATTCTGCAAGAATGGAAGAAAGTGAGCAAAAGAGCCCAGAAGGTGCTCGTGTATGGTGAGCTTTTGTTTATTCTTTCTTTTATTTATCCAATAGAATAAAACGAAGAAACAAATAACGGGTATTTGGACTAGCAAACGAGCAAGTGAATTAACAATATCTTTTATATCCATAAAAGGGCTACTCGTAAGGAAGCTTTGTTGGCTGCTCTGAGAACAGACCCAGACAATTTCCTCAAAGATCCTGCGGAGAGACTGGAAACAGAAACAGAAAGAGAGAACGAAAAGAGAGTCGTGGATACTTTTAACGCTGGATTCAACGCAACGGAATATACTGATGAAATTTCCCGTCTCTTGGAAGAACACAGTGATTTGAGAGATATGATGGATAAGCTGGGTAAAGTTTGCTTACTATCTATTATGTGTTTATGTGCTGTAGACTATTACATTGATATGGAATTGGCTCTTATTTCTTATAAAACAAAACAAAAAAAAACAAAAAACAAATAGTGCCTGTACAAGTAAGCTATGCTTTGTTCTGGCAAAGATATTTTTATCATGCTTGGAAGATTGACCAAGACGAACAGAAGCGTCAATGGATCGTTAAAGGTAAAGAGTCATAAACACATATGCTCACAATTGTCTGGCTATATTATAAATGACTGGCTTGATATGGACCATATATATATATATAATAATGATACTGATACTGAGGATACTTATTATTATTGCTACTTCATACAGAGGCTAGTGTTCAAGACAACCAGGATACTGAGTTCAAGTGGGATTATTCCGACGATGAAGATAACGAAAAGTCCTCGGTGGATCCCAAAAAGGACAAGGGATCGGATACTGATTACAGTACCATTTCTGCTCCTCATTCTACAGAACCCAGTCTGATGTCTCCTCCACTCAAGGCCAACAGTGCCACTGATGCTGAAGAATGGGTCAAACCAGATAATCAGAAGAAAGAAGAGAGTGACAGTGACAGTGATTGGGAATAGCAGCAGCAGCAGCAATAATAATAATCATAATCATAATAATAATCGTAGTAGTGGTAGTAAATAATAACAATAAAGGGAATATATATATATATACACAGGTGTGTATTTGTGTAAAATAGCTGATGTCATCTTGGTCTTTACTGTATTTTTCACCGTCATTCACTTCACACACACACACTCAATATAATTATATATACTTATTGCATTAAATACAGCGTACCTTTTCTCTCTCTTTTTTTTCTTGTGTGTGTGCACATACATATATTCGTACATAAATCTATTAGAATGGTCGCAACCAAAGAACATTGTTTCTATTGCTTTGATGTCCTGCTGGCCCACCTTCGCCGTGAACCAACACCTGCACCAAGATTCCACAATGAAGCTTTGTAAGCATTATCTGTACAACAAACACATCTTTCAAAAACAAAACGCATAATATATTCTTATATCTATATCAGTCCTTTGTTCGTAACATGGAACATGATTAAATATGGTGAAAAGGAGCTGCGGGGCTGTATCGGTAGCTTTAGACCCTTGCCTCTTATCCAAGGACTCAAGCAGTTTGCACTCAACAGGCAAGCAAGCAAGTAGTATAATATATTTACTTTATTTCTTCTTTTGCTTTAAAAAGAAAAAGAAGAATTCAATAGAAATATTCAAAGTCTACAATAATTAAGAGCTTCCTTTCTCTCTCTCTCTTTTATATTTATATATAAACAGTGCTTTAGAAGATTCTCGATTTCCTCCAATCAATTTGGCGGAGACTCCTTATCTTTCATGCGCTGTCTCTCTCTTGATTAATTTTGAAGAAGCTGATAATTATCTTGACTGGGAGATTGGCAAGCATGGGATCTGGATTGAATTCAAAAACACAGATGGCAAGAAAAACACAGCCACTTATTTACCAGAGGTCATGCCAGAGCAAGGGTGGACAAAGGAAGAGACGATTCAATCTCTATTGCGAAAAGGTGCATTCCGAGGACCAATTACTCCAGAAGTTTGTCAAAGCATCAAGTTGACACGCTATCAGTCCTCCAAAATGGAAGTCACTCGTCAAGAATACGATCAAGCCAGAGGCCTTTAAAAAATCGTATAAATAAATACACTTGTGCATTAAACCTTTTCTTTTTTTGGTTATTTGATTAATAAGTGGTTTCAATATTACTAATATATTTTGAACCACAAGACAAATTTGATGATACATTAATCAGGTTTGATTGAATTAACAAATGCCTGTTCCAAGCCTACAAGATGTTCTTTCTTTACAGTGTTTCTACTTGTGATTGAGTCAGAGAGAAATTAGTTTTCAGACAAAGTAGATATTTATTCAGACATTTTACCTGTAATAACAATCCCATCACTATATCGAAAATAGTTTGTCTCTTTGAGCCATCTAAACAACTACAGGCAAAATGTCTGAATAAATATCTACTTTGTCTGAAAACTAGCTTCTCTCTGCCTACAGTTACATCTTCTTATTTGTCTCAATCTCAAGTAGAAAGACTGTATTGTTCAGTTTGCTTTAATTTTTATTGTAAATTGGGCTACCGACCGACGTCACAAAAAAAAAAGAAAAAAAAAGATCAAAGAAAAGGAAAGAAATGAAGAAGAAGAAAAAAAAAAAACTTGGAGGCACGCCACTGAAAAATTTTTTTTTATTAAATTAAATTAGTAAAAAAAAAATCTTATTAAGGAGCCACACCCTGTAATATATTTCTCCTTCTCTTATTATTACTCATAAAATGGTCGCTTCCAAGTCTGGTATTGCTGTTGGTCTCAACAAGGGTCACATCACCACTCGTCGTGAACTCAAAATCACCCCTTCTTACACCAAGGGCGTAAGTCATTTTCTCCCCTTCTTGTATATATACATACACTATATACGAAATAAAATTATCAGTCATTATTATCATTATTGTCATTACCCTGTGCATGAATTTGGACATGTATATACATATATTTCTTGTGACAAAATAAGAGCAGAGCAGAACAGAGCAAAACAAAACAAAATCATACGTACGAAATTAGTACAAAGTCAATGAACATTCACTGCTCAAAAATATACACCTCATGCACAACAAAAAGAAACAACAACAACAAAATAAATTCTAGTCAATAAACACACGCAATGAGGAAAAAGAAATATTCGAAAAACTGGCTGTGAATTTCGAACATTATGCACATCAACAATTGTAGTTACGACATTTCATAAAACAAAAACAAAAAACGAATCAATCACTAGTGAATGCTGACCCACACACACATACGCACGTGGATATATATATATAAGAGAGAGAGAGAGAAAAAACATATTGATGAAATAATTGGTTGTCAATAGGCTGCATCCAAGCGTACTACCTTTGTACGCAGCATAGTTCGTGAAGTTGTTGGTTTCGCACCTTATGAACGTCGTGTCATGGAATTGATCAAGAACTCCAAGGACAAGCGCGCCAAGAAGCTCACTAAGAAGAGACTCGGTACCTTCCTCCGTGCCAAGAAGAAGATCGAAGAGCTCTCTGCCGTGATTGCCGAGTCCCGTCGTCATTAAAACAGCAACAACAACGAAACGAAACGAGGCGAAACAAAAACGAAACAAAAACGAAATGAAACGGAACGAACATACACACATACACATACACATACACATACACATACACATACAGAAATAAAGAGATATAATAAAGACATACGTTTGGATATCCTATGTGCTCCTATAATAATCATATTGTAACAAAATCAAATCAATTGGATTGATTGAATCCAAACAAAAAGAAAATGGGGATTAGTTACATGGCTCTACAATTGGAAATCCTCAAGAAAATATTAGCGAGGGAAATGTGAAAAGGAAGAGTCTTGGAAAGTAGATCACCAATTACCATTAATGTACCTTTTTTTCTGTACTAACAGAATTGACTACATATTTGAAAGCAAAAGATCAATTATGGTGTTCTCCAACATAGGGAGCAAACTAATCCACGAATGGGAAAATACCATGAGCTACATATATAGATTATCACAAACTCTATATAGCAACTTTTTGTCAGTCACTTAATTTGTTCCAAAAACGTATTTTCTCTAAACTTTTGCAGAGCTAAAATAGGGGACTGAAAAGAAATTAAATGTCCCAAGGATTTGACGTTATTTTAGAGATACTTTTAACACTAGATTTATTTTACTAACAGAAATATTTCAACCATCTAATTTCCCCAATAATATATTCGTATTTAGTCATTATTTTATATCTGTTTATTTTATAATTTCCAATTTGTAGAGGGCATTTTAGATGTAGCTTCTGGTTCTTACATTTTTGGACAGTTGACTGCTTCCTGAGTTAATATTTCCATATCTATATTGAAAAACCATTTTGCTTGGGATGAGTTTGCTCCGTGTGCTGGAGAACACCATTAAATCAAGACAGGAAATCTTGATCAAGAAAAGAAAAAGTATTACTGGTATATACATATACATACATATACATAGTACAATATGGACAATTCAACTGTTTTGTCTTTATACCCATTAACTGCTTATCTACCACAGTCAATAAACTTATCCATTCTACATTAGAGAAATTATAAATAAATAAACGCGCCTGTATTTTCTAGATTTATAGCCAATAAAATGAATAATAGCCCATAGTATTAAAAGCATTTCAATCATACCTTATTGATTAGAAAATTGAGGATTTATATATGCACACTTTCCATTTTTGGAAACATAAGCAGGCGCATACAAGGAAAGTTGTGCCGAACAGGTAGCAAATAAAATAAAAACAAATATATTATAATATATTTATCTTTAAATATAAACTCGTCCTTTTTCTCTCTTTTGTTTTCTTCTTCTTCTTCTTATTCTACTTATATATACATACTTTACTATTCCTCTTTCTTAGTAATAAAGGGAAAATGACTGCAAGCATTAGTATTAGAGGCGAGAACCACCAGAGGGCGTTTCATGTCAAAAAACCACTCAAAGATTTTATTCATAAACCAAAACAACATCCAAATTCCGGGCCGTCATTACCGTTACCATCACTCCCATCTCATGATCGCACCAAGGAAGAATACGTCTATGATGTCCTGTATGAATGTCAACGAGGGTAAAAATTAAATGAAGCAAAAACGATCCAACCCTTTGCTTTATTATGTTATTAACTTTTTTTGACCTAGGTCTTGGATAGTTGGTTTTAGCTCAAAGACGTACGTAACACACACCCCCAAAAAAAAACTTGGAACTTACGACATCAATCCACCCTTTTAGCCTACTTCAATTCGACCCGGATCCATGGTGTGATAAAGATATGAGGTAAAATATCGACATGATGTATTGATTAACTTACTGTGATAGATTTACACCAATGAACATCAAGACATACCAGCTTCCAGATCCCACTTGGGAATGGGTAAAGAAAATACAAAAGAGAATATTTAGGCTACATATGTATGTTCACAATTTAAATGACGCTAATGGTCTTTTTGTTGGACAGGTTCACAAACAGTGGATGGTAGACATGACTGAAGATGTAGACGAAGGTAGTTTATTTAATAACATCATACATTCATTATATACTAATACTCAACTTACAATAAGCGGGATGGCAATACGCACTAAAATTTCATGGCGCTTCATGGCATGGTAAGAAGCCCAAAGAAAGAAACGATTCTGACAACTTCAAAGGCAATTACAAGCACTTTCGGTCTTTTGTCAGAAAGAGACGATGGATCCGCCTCAGACACCACTCATTACTAGACGAGTCCATAACCACGACAGTATCAACAAATAACACTCCTGAATACCAAGAACAACAATTACAATTACAATCACAACCACAGCCACAACAACATATACAACAAGGACATCAAGGACATCAAGAATCTCAAACCACTCACAAAGAGCAAAAGCTAGTTGAAAGCCTACAAAACTCTTGTCTGGATCGAGAACGTCTTTGCTACATAAAATTTGCATTGAATGGTGATAGGGGGTATCTTAGTCACATGCTGATGAGCAAGGTACATAAGACACAGTGTTATGCACTCTCATACACACGCACACAAGTACTTAAACTTTAATATATGTAGGCAAAAGAGTATATGGAGTTTTTTGATTTTGATGTCTCTCGTCGGAATTTTGTTGAAGTAAGCCAATCAAGGACTACTTGAATTGTTGATCTGATCTTGCCCGATATTACTTAGATCTTGATCCAACATCAACGTTCCTGTGGTATCCCAATAGATCCCAAAGATATTCAGCCAGCACTCAAGAGCATAACTTATTACTCTGATCTACAAGCTATCCTAAGCCAATTAAAGTCTACCCAATAAATCGACTTGCATAAATGTACAACCATAATAATAATAGTAATAGTAATAATTGTGAATGCATGTGTGTATGTGTGTGTATATATACGCAGCGTAGGTTTATTTTATTATTGCATCGCTCGCTCAGTTGACATGAGCCAATGAGTGATGAATTAGTAGAAGAAACCGAGGATCTTGCCACCAGCGTGCTTGCGACGGGCCTCCTCGTGGTCCATGATACCAGCAGAGGTGGTGAGGACGAGGTAACCGAACTGACGGGAAGGCAACAAGTTGGCAGTCCACTTCTCGAGCTCAGTAAGCTTGACGTTGAAGCGGGGAGAGATAACACCGCACTTGTTCAAGCGACCGTTGAGCTGGATGACAATCTTGCCGGAACGGTGGTCATCAATCTCCTCAAACTCACCGATGTAACCTATTTATATCAATATTCATAAATTTAGCTTTTGCAAAATAAAAATAAGAATATCCATAAAGTAATTTTTTAAAAAAAAATGTATCCGAGATAGTACAGGATACTACTTGAATATAAGTAGCACCCATGCAAAATCCCGGAATTATTCTACCATAGATTTAAAGGTCAAAAGCTGTGGAAGTTCAACTTCAGACTAGTTATACTATGGAATATGTTGTACACATATATTCAAAAAATCGTAAACTTGAACAAGGCCTTACCGTGCTTCTGCATAACAGACAGGAACTTAACGATAACCTTGGAGGAAGGACGGATGAGGACCTGTCTCTTGCCACGGCTTTCGGCGTTGTTGATGTTGTTCAAACAATCGTTCAAGATAGAGACTCTGACCATGCTGAATAAAGGAGCTATCCATAGATATAAATTATTAAAATTATGCTCATATTAAAAGTAGCAAAATGAAATTGGGTCACATCCAGTCCAATATCCATCCAAATAAAATATTCTCAAAGCAGCATATAATTTGCAGTCCATATTGTCCTCTTTTAAATGGATGGATAGATGGATGGATCCATGGATGGGGTTCTTTACCTGATGCGTCAACAAAAAGAGGGAAGGAACGGATGTCTGGCCCACACACATGCAGATAAAGCACAGGCAGAAGCTATGATAAGCCACTAATTGACACTTGAGGAAACGCTGTCACAAAGAGACTGCTTGACCTGTCTTTGGTTGTAAAAAGAAAAGGGAGGAGGTTTGAAAAAAAAAACTTGCAGGCATCACACAGCAATGGGTAAAATTAATAAGAAAGGAGTCAAAGGAGCTGCCGCCAACTTCATCACCAGACAGAGAGCCCTGAACAAGCTCCAGATCTCTCTTGCTGACTTTAGGTACATTACTATTACGATTGTAGCCGAGATCTGCTCATTAACATGTTGATCTAGACGTCTATGCATTCTCAAGGGAATCTACCCTCGTGATCCCAAGAACAAGAAGAAGGCCAACAAGGGATCTACTGCTCCTGCTACTTTCTACTACATTAAAGACATCCAATACCTCCTCCATGAACCCCTCTTGCAGAAGTTCCGTGACTACAAGGCATTCGCCAAGAAGCTCAACCGTGTCCTTCACAAGGGCGAATACAGCACAGCAAAGTCCCTCGAAGAGAACACCAAGCCTGTCTACAACTTGGATCATATCGTTAAGGAGAGGTAATTAAAATAACGTCCTACAAGACTGGTTTCTAGAGCTGATTTTCTTCAACATCTTATAGATATCCTTCTTTTATCGATGCTCTCCGTGATCTTGATGACGCTCTCTCGATGCTTTTCTTGTTCTCCAAGATGCCCGCAGATAATAAGATTAAGGCAAAGGCTGTTGCTGACTGCCAGAAGTTGATCGCTGAGTTCCAGGCTTATGTAATGAAGGCAAAGTGCCTTCGTAAGGTCTTTTTCTCTATCAAGGGTATCTACTACCAAGCCGAGATTAAGGGCCAGACCATTACCTGGATTGTTCCCTACCAATTTTCCCAAGCTGTTAGTATTACTGCTATTGTCTATATACACATGAGAGGAATGGTTTGCTGAGAGAAAAAAAAATTAACAAAAAAAACATTTTTTTCTCTTGTGGAATTTTTTATAGGTCCCTACCGATGTTGATTTCCGTGTTATGTTGACCTTTTTGGAATTCTACACCACCTTGACCGGTTTTGTCAACTACCGTCTTTACAACGAACTCAACATCGCATATCCTCCAAACCTTTCTGAGATGGCTGGTTTTGATGCCGGAGATGCTATGCTCACCAAGACAGAAGCTACCGCTGAAGATGCTGTTGCTGCCCTGGATGAGTTCAAGTCAGCCGGTGGAGAGGAGGATAAGGATACTGTCACATTGCGCCAGATCCAGGACGCCTCAAATGAGGTATCCAACCTCCAACAATTGTTTGCCAACTGTGTATTTTTCATTTCTCGTGAAACCCCTCGTTATGCTCTTGAATTCATGATCCGCTCATGCGGTGGACAAGTCAGTTGGGATCCTTCTGTTGGAGAAAACCCTCCTTTCGCCGAGAACGACGAGCGCATTACTCACCAGATCAGCGATCGTCCTACTGTCAGCAACCGCGTATTAGGCCGTGCCTACGTACAACCCCAGTGGATTGCAGACTGCATCAACGCACGCAGAATTCTTCGTTCAAAGACATATGAGCCCGGACAGGTTCTCCCTCCTCATTTGAGTCCATTCGTTGAGGCCAAGGAGGGTGATTATGTACCTGGAAGTGCCATTGATAGTGATGCAGAAGAAGAAGAGGAAGAAGAGGTTGTCGCCGAGGACAAGGAGGACGACAAGGAAGATGTATATGAGAGTGAACTTAAGGCAGAAGCAGCTGGTGTCACATTCTCTGAATCTACAAACGCAGAAACCAAGCCCACAGCATCAAAGAAATCAACTAAGAAGCGGTCAGCGGCAGAGGTTGAAGAGGAAGAGCAGAAGGAGATGGCCACAGTAATGATGACCAACAAGCAGAGAAAGCTCTACCAGAAGATGCAGCACGGCAAGCAGAAGAAGGTTGCCGAGGTATGTTATTTTTTAGTTATTTCCTGGGACCGATTTTCTAATTTATTTATCTTTACTACCAAAATTCTAGGTCGAGAAATTGCAGCGCAAGAAGGCTGCCCTTAAGCCTAAGAAGAAATAGATGTCTTTCGCTTATAATTTTGTATTTCATTGTTTCTTTTTTAAAAAAAAATATCATTTTATCCTCATCCGCCCTCTATATAAATCAATACGTTTGAAAATTTTATATATGTATTTATTATGTGAGAAGTCAGTTCTTCATTTCATTTTATCATTGTAATACTTATAGCATGTGAAGTATTATGTAGGAAATCCTAGTACTTGGAGATGGTGTGATTTGATGAATTTGGAATGATCGGTGTTTACGAATGAGTTCCAGTTAAATACGGTCTGTTCCGTCACATCCCAACAAATAGGCCAAAACATTGATATAGATATAAAACCAGGCACGTTTATCTCGTATCTGTAGAACACTCTTACTGTTAATTTAACATAGATAGTAGACAGGCCTTATGTGTTACATAAAAAAAAAGACCTGTCTGTAGTACAGCAATTGGTCTTTGAATACAAACATCTTCTTTGTCTATCAATCATAAACATTCTTCCGTTGATAAACCGGCGTCGGAAATCGTTTTCTTTTTCTTTTTCCTACAGTAATTAACCTAAAAGACCAGCTTTATTCGGATCAAATAAAATTGATAAAAAAATTGGGAAAAGAAAAGATTGTGAATGTTAGCGAAAGTATGTTGAAATATGATCGAGTTCTGATCCGACGTGTTTAAGTTGATAAAGAAATAGAATAGCTTGGGGTACACACTTTTCTTGCTCAAATAGCTCATGAGCCTTTTCTACTGACCTTTTTGTCCAAGAATATTCTGGTTTTGCTAGAGGGTTTGAAATGGTATGTGGTAGCTTAAAGATTCACCGATTCACAATCAAGACAAATGCTTGGTGTAACAAGTATATTGCAGGTTCTGCTCCTAATGTTAAGCTTCATTATTACCCCATTTTTAACTGATGGCACTAATAACACTTAGACATTTTGATGTTGTCATTTTTTAATGAGAAAATTTGCCAATTCAAATGAAAAACAGCGTTAATGGTGAGCATCATTAAATACATAGATATCATAGGGCTTGCTTGTGTTAATAATGAGTTGTTGTCATTAAAATGTGACGCAATCTTGTTGGATATTTTACTATCTATTTTCCCTTATTACGCATACTATTTCTTTCTGTTTATTTCACATACTTATATTCCCAGGAAACAACCCAAGGCTTGTTATTGAAAAAAGCCAGAACAAGTATGAATGCACCAATTGAAGTTACCAAATAGTCGCGCCAGAAGCAAACGCTGAAAATCCCACCCTTTTTAAGACAAAAGTCAAAAAAAGGTAAAATGAAAAAAATGAAAAAAAAATACACTTCTTTTTACCCTTTCGTTCAAAGATATAGCCATCATGCAAAGATCATTTCAAAATGGGTATAACTTGTGGTCCGGGAAAGTCAAAATATTTATTAATGTGCCTAATTAGGCTTAAAGTGCCTAAAACATTGTAAAGCTTGTAAGATGTTAAAGAGCTTGTAAGTGTTTTCAAAAAAAAAATTACACCTTTTTTTTTCTTAGAGTGTATTAATTATAACGAAGCGCTTTGGATTTTCTTTCAGTTTAAGTTCAATGAAGAAAACATTGTAAAAGCAAAAAAAGCAATTTGAAGTTTTTAATAATGATTACGACCTCTGTTATACAAATGATCTAACTGTTCAGTTCATCGCATTAAAAACACGTATTTATGGCAATCCTTTTCTCCTTCATGATTATGATGGTTTTCTTCAACGCAGCACCTTCCCTTTGATTTCTTTGGATACTTTCTGCGTCCCAAGCACGCCTTTCCCCATCCTGGGAAGATCTCTTGGTTTCCCAACTCTGCGCCTTTGACCCTGCCCTGGAGTTGCTATGGTCGATCTCCATCACCAGCCGCCATCGGCGCTCTCGTGTTCTTAACAAGTTCCTTGGTCGAATCCAACTCAACACCCTCACAATGCATCCAACCATCGTTCGTGCTTGTTGTTCTCCTCGTGAATTGGCCGAACAATATCCGCCCTTCCCCATTCAAGATGGCCCATCCATTGACTTGTCCCCTTTCTTTCATGCGCTTGTACCTTCTCAAACTTGGGCACGTCTTTCCACCTGCACTTTCTGCGGGCTGTGTTCCCACCATCTAGTCCGTGCTTGCTATCCCGATTCCTCTCTTGGCTCTCGTTGTTGGCGCAATTTTTGGTCTTTTCCCCTTCCCCTTGTGGCTCGCAACTTTTGGTTTAGTGGCCTCCACGACAAGATTTCCTGTCAAGCCCTTCTTCACTCTTTGCTTCCTCTCGTTTCTCCCTCTCCTACCCACTTTATTTGCTCGCTCTCTTCCGACTCTCAAGAGCACTTCTTCTTCACTTGTTCTCCTTCATGATGATCTTTTGGAAGAAAATAGGCTACGATAAAGAATATTGATAGTAACCTAGAAATCAAGCTTGGTAAGTGCCTAGTTTCTTAAATCTCAAGTACCAACTTAATACCAAATCTAACAATCGTCGTTGATTAGAAACAAAACAGCAAGTGATTGTGTTTTTGGACGAAATTTATAACCTATTACCAGTGTCAGTAGTGAACCCAAAGATTTATGAGGAAAGAATGGTTACGTTTTCAGAAGTTTTTGGGGTTGTATTGGTATACTCTAGTTACTTTGACAAAAAGGCGTTGAGAAGCTTCTCTTCACTTTGTGGCAAAAACTCTGTTGAATTAATTGATTACGCAAGAAACATGAAAGGGGTAAAAAAGATAGGAATATTGTCAATTTCATAGTAACCATAAGAACATAGTAAATAATTTTGTGGACAGATTTCCGGGCACTGCTGAAGTCGAACTATATGAAAGCATCCATTTGATTGAAAATGATGATACTGTTGCAAAGTTTAATTGCCGGACAAACCCCATTCATTGATCAAAGTAGTTTTTTAATGTATTGTATTATCTCTATTATACCTATAAAGTGTAAATAAAGCTGAAGATTTTTTTTGTTTATTATCAACAATGTGTAAATTATTGTCATTTTGAGATTGTTAGTAATTTTATGGTCCAAATGGCGGTTAGATAGTACATCAAAATTGGTGAGGAACTAGTTCATAGATTACAAGGAGATTTCATTCATAGTCTGGGCATTTCAATATTTATTCCTTCTCTCAATTCCTTGAAATTACTGTCTCGAAATAGTGTTTAGCTTCACAGGAATCATATTGATGGAGGTCAGATCTTTCGCTGTAAATTCCTCTTTTGGTTGCAAATAGCGGAACAGTTGGATCAGTTGTATAACAGAGGTCGTATTCATCGTTAAAAACTTCAAATTTCTTTTTTTTTGATTTTACGATGTTTTTTTTTATTGAACTTAAGCTGGAAGAAAATTCAAGGCGCTTCTTTACGTCTAATCATTATTTTATTTTTTGAAAAAAGAAAAAACACTATAGAAGATACCAAGATTCTGAATCGAAGCCAATGATGAGAACAATGAAAATAATGAATCAGGTAATAGATTTTCAAAACCTCGACACAAGAAGATAAGACGGTTAGAATAAAATTCCCCAATATTTGTAACATGCAATGCATTGACAGAAACTCAAGAAGTAAAGAACGATAAATTAGCAATTGCTCGCTTGGAACGCTGGAAATATACTTCATTATTAGTAAATGATAAAAATGCCGGGTTTGGAATAAAACCAAGGAGACTCTATTATTATCAAAAGACGAATTGAATAATATAAATTACTATGCCACTCTTGATGAGCTGTGCAACAAATTGTGAGTAATGTTATTTATGTTATCTTTATCTTCTTATTCTGATTGATTGATCTTTATTTAGAAAAGCAGACAAACACTTTGACAACAACAACAACAACAGCAATAACACAAAGCGCGACAATGAACGCGGTTGTTCTTCACTACGGTGGGCAAACTTAAAGATGCTTACAGGTAAAGAACACTAATTATTCTATTCTTTTGTGTCTCAAATCTCTTTTTTTTTGTTTGTCCAAAAAAGGTAAGCAAATTGTCTAAAAAGTAAGTCTCATTCGCCCAGAAAAAAAAAACTAACATCATCTTAATCTCAAGTAGAAACACTGTAAAAGAATTGGACTGGAATTAAAAAAGAATTATTTCCAAAAATGAAAGGACTACGTCTGAAATGAAATTGGAAAAGGTCCAAAAAAAAAAGAAAAAGATGGTTCGAATTTTTTTATGAAAAGGTCCGAAACCCAAGTAAAAATACTATATTTTCCCCTTTTTCTTTTTTTCTTTTTTAATTACATTGTTCAATTCTTGGACTCAATGTTGGGAGAGTCATTTATATAGGCTATTTATCTGATTTACCCAAAACTATCTATGTTTAGTCCCATGATCATGTATGTAATCAGATCTTCAAAGTGAAATCAAATCGGATATCTACACTCCGGTCCGGAAGAGGACGCTTGAAAAAACCGATGAATTTCGAAAGCAAGACCACTGAAACATATTTAAACCCCGCTTTGAAATGTCATCCCATTTTTGGGTGACATTAGGCCCTATATAGTTCTATATGAGAGTACAGGTTGGCTAAAACTCATAATCAGGATTCGTTTGGATAGAAACATGGTTACTTATAGATGAGATTAGTGTAATTGAGCTAAGATAATGTAATTACCAGGTTATTTAACATTTAAAGAAGATAACCTTTAGTTACTTATATTCTCGCCTTGGATCGATCAAGAAATCCAAACCTTGATCCCAAGCCCAAGCCCAACCAACTACTTTTCAGATCGCTTTATGGATCATTGTAACACTCTTACGGCAATAATTTTGTTTTTATCTCTATTATTATACCTTAAATTAATATCCGGATTTCTCCTGTGTCATTGTTTTTCCATTTAGACTGAAAGTTGAAATGAAGACAGTGTATGTGCGTCTGAGATATGTAATACAAGACCACATAAAGCTTTAGCTTGAATTCCAGACATTGTCCTGAATTCTTATAGGGTACTTTTTTAGACAGACCCTACGGACAGTTACGAACATTACCACTTTATTGAACCCTGCACTTTGATTATTTAATAGGTTTTATACCTCAGACCCTAAGAATACGATATAACCTCCTCATTCAAAAGAAAACTAATAAACTACTTGTACAATGTCTAGAATATACTTGACATAAAAATTGGACCAACCAACCTTTTGTGACCCGTAATATTGGCTTTAGACTTTTCTGTATCCATATGGACCAGGTATCAACACCAGACCTTTGGTTTTCTCTATCTTATACAGTTTTAAGGCTTCTATTAGATTTTTTTGATAGCTTATTCTCCCTCTATGCGGTTTACTTACATAGACTTTTAATATCTTGGTCCATAAGATGGATTTATGTCTATCAAATTTGATATTGATTTTGTTGGCATTTTTATGATATACACATCCTCTCAGTATTTATTCTTGTTATTCAATTATCACCAATTTAAATACCGAAGTAATATCCTGTGCTACTAAATCGACGGGGTTGTAAATACAGGACAATCCAAACAGCTGCATATATCGTACACACTCCCCACTGTTTTACAGCCAAATGTATATATACAAAAAAAAGGGCTCCAAAGGACACAGGCTACCCAAGTTTTATAAACAAGCTTACCATTACACATAAAATAAGGGTTTATTAAATAACTTTCTCTTTCTTATTCACTGTTGATCTGAATTCAGATTTCCACATGTTAGAAAAAAGGCACATAGTTTAATTATTTTTCGGATCACACATTTGACTCTTTCATATTACAAGCTATACTAAGAAAATACTGTGTCTTTAATTCAATATACCAACTAACATTAGCTTATCAGTGCTAACATAATATGATAAAACTCATCTTTATGGTTGCTAAGATATGTACTGTCCAGACTAGTAGGCATTAGAGCATATGCTTCTTACTAAACATTGGTTTGATAGAAAAGAGTATATTTTCTGCAGAGAGACTACTTGGGTATACATAGAGATTGTCTTTTGAAAACAATCTTAGAGAAGGGCAAAATATTTTATGGCACTACGGGCAGTCCAGAATATATGCTAGAAAGAATTGCGTTATTTGATATTGGGCAAGATAATTTTCCAAAAAAAGAATAAAAAAATGAAAAATCCCGGGATTCAAATTTGATTGATAAAGTAAGGTACACTTATTTCGATTTCAAGATGAAGGATATAGAATGTATCGTATAGAGCCATGAGAGCGACAGTTAAATATTTATCCATTCGTAAGAGTAAATGATCCAGAAAGTGGTTTCAAAAAAAATCTCACGCAATTGTCATGGAGTTGAATATTAAGCGTCTTTGTTTTTCCATTATACACAATTCATTTACATGTGTATCAAAAAATACCCTACAAGAAATATATGCTACAATTGGTTTTGTGTTATTAAGATCGGCAAAATTGACATGGTTGACAAGAATATTTATGTTAATGAGCTTTTATGTTTGAGATATATGAAATGATGGCCCAAGCTTTGACATTGGGATACATGCCTACCCAGTAATCTCGTATATTACTTTAGTAGTTAACATTGGTATATCGAATTTGGTTGGCTATGAGTCAAGCAACAAGAGAAATAAATTCTAGGATATTTACCAAATACAAAAAGTAAAACATAGCGTATTAAAGAACATTTGATGTTTCTTAATAATATGTGTCGTATGCCACAAGTTTTGATATCTTGCAAGGAAGAACAAAAAACACCCCTTTATATATGTCTTAATCTCAATTCTTTTTTTTTACGATAGACAACGGCTATTGTTCCAGCCTTCTGTACGGTAACATGGCGAGAAAACGTATTGGCGTCAATCGGGCTACGGACTATGTCGGACCATTCTTTCTGAACCACTTTACAATTCATTTGAACTTCCACTCACTGGTTGTGTCATCTGTAAAGAGATTGTTTAATTGACCGACAACGGGTAATATCTTCCCCGTACACTGGTAGACCAACATGGAGAAGATCGCCGTCGTTAAAGGTCCATGCGCCTAAATATTGAAAATAAGGTAGTATATAAAGAGCCTTTAGATCACGCTTCTTTAACCTCGATATTAAAAAAAAACTCTTATTCTTTAAACCTGGGGCAGTCTATCACTATTTCTTTAAGATGCTCCCCTCTACAGTAAAAGTATCTCAGACGCATGAACATACTCACGGATCTGATTCTGAGACAAGCACAGTCAATGAACCTCCTGTACTTGGCCCCTCAATTACTACACAAACCGTTTCAGTACACCCTTATCTTTCAAGACATGGAGATATTGAATCAAATGTTATGCCTGACGAGAAAAAAGTGACAGTTCACTATGTAAATTGGGAAGAAAATGATCCAGAAAACCCAAATAATTGGCCAGCCAGAACACGCTGGATGTACACAATGTTAGTCGCAAGTCTTGTCGTTTCTGCTGCATTCAGTTCCTCTGTGGTCACTGGTCGTCTGCAAGGTCCTATGGAAGATTTTGGTGTCAGTAAAGAAATTTCTATTCTTCAAGTTTCACTCATGGTCTTTGGTTTCATGATTGGCCCTTTGTTGTGGAGTCCCTTATCTGAGCTTTATGGCCGCAAGCCTATATATGTCTGTGCTCTTTTCATTTATGTCATCTTCAATATCCCTTGTGCAGTTGCAAAGAACATCGAAACACTTCTTGTCTGCCGATTCTTTTCTGGCTTCTTTGCCTCAGCTGGTCTTACTATTGCTGGTGGCAGTATCAGTGATCTTTTCCACGCAAGAGAGCGTGGTAATGCCATTGCCTACTTTGCCGCTGCCCCTTACGCTGGTCCTGTCTTGGGTCCTATTGTTGGTGGCTGGATTTCTGTTGGTACCCAAAGCTGGCGCTGGATCTATTGGGTCAACATGATGCTTGCTGGTGTCCTCTGGGTTCTTATCTGTCTTATGCCCGAGACTTATCATCCTGTTCTTTTGGCTAGACGTGCTAAGCGATTAAGACAAGAAACTGGTGACCCTAGCTATGTTACTGTTGAAGAAGAATTCCCTACTCCTTTGTCCGAATTGCTCAGATCCAATCTTATCCGACCCTTTGAAATGATTGTTACCGAACCCATCCTTTTGCTCATGTCCATGTATATTTCCATTATCTACGCTCTCCTTTACGCTTTCTTCTTTGCCTATCCAATCATCTTTGCCGATATCCACCACATGAATGACGGCGAAGTTGGCGTAACATTCTGTGGCGTTCTTGTCGGTACCTTTCTTGCACTTCTAGTCACTCCTTGGCTTGAACGTGTTTATCAACGATCTGGTGAAAAGAATCCTACCGGTGAACCTACTCCCGAAAACCGCCTTCCTGGTATGATGCTTGCAGCTCCTTTCATTCCTGTCTCGCTCTTTATCTTTGGCTGGACCTCCTTCTCTTGGGTCCACTGGTTTGGACCCGTTTCTTCTGGTATTCCTTTTGGCTTCGGAATGGTCTTGGTGTACTATTCTGCTAACAACTATATCATCGACTGCTTCCCTCGTTATGTGACTTCGGCTCTTGCCGCAAAGACACTCGTGCGTTCCGGTACTGGTGCCGCATTCCCACTTTTTATCATTCAGATGTACCATGGTATGGGTAACCAGTGGGCCAGTACACTTTTAGCCTTTATCAGTTTGGCTATCGTTCCTATTCCTTACGCATTCTACTTTTACGGAGCTCGTATTCGTGCTCGTAGTAAGACAGCCACCCATTAGACAATCCCTAAAAATACATTATACAACATTTATATACATAATATCACTTTCATATACACATACATTACTTATTTAATTCCTTAATAAAACACAAATACATATATCTATTATTAATTTACTATAAATTCAGCATATGTTTTTTTTTAAAAAAAAATCTGTTAAGATGTGTTTCTTTTTCTTTCATTTTTGATCAACGAGGGGGATCAAGGTTGAGCCTATCTTGCTGATCTGATCCGGTAGATCTGATCTAATTAAATCTGATCCAAGTTGTTCTTTTAATATAATACCATGGCTACTTAGCCTAACTATAGAATAATTATAATTTTTGGTTTAATTGTTAAAATGATGAACTCTATAATATAGTATTATACTTATATATACCATCTACCATGTATATTTCACAGCTCAAGATTTTATAAAAGTCTTTGCTTATTCCTGTTATATTCATATATATATATATGTATATATGTTTTTAAAGCTTCATATTTGCTGTTTCAATATTAACTCCATAAATACTATACAATTTAACCTATAAGACTATTGTGACCTGAGTATTGATCGTTTGGGATGTATCTTTGTATGCTCCATACAAAAAACACAACTTCTTTAGCTATATTGTTTGAAGTCCGACATTATATAACCAAGCACATCTCTCAGCATCACAACATACTTATTTATATGTCATCTTTTGTGGACTTTTGCTTGACATTATTCTAGATTGCTCTTATTTACCTTCATAACCTTTGCTTTGGTGGGCTAAAATGTATATATTGCAGAAAATATATTCTCGGTATTTTGAAATAGCAAATGACTGTAAGAGATCCACCTAACTTTCATATTGTACTGGTTATTGTACCAGAAAACAACATCCTCTGGTTAAATTCATTTAGATAAATTTATAATAAGAACATCTCTATCTAAAAAAAGCTCTTATGTTACCTTTACTTGCAAACTTTACTAGTAATATTACCACACAAGCATTTCATTTTCAAATTAAGTACAGAAAATCAGCTATAAATCCAAATACATTAAGCAAAATGCTCTTACATATTTAAGTAACCTGGTAAAGCGTACTATTATCTACTATTTAAACGTTGTTTGACATTGATTACTCAAATATTGATCTAAATATCCCATTTTTTCACTCTAAAAAACAATTTACTAATAGGATTCTGGATATTTACACCACAAAGACATATTTGATCCAAAAGTTCCCTTAGGGTATGCACCTAAAAAAAAATCAAGAATTTGTGTCTTTTTTTATTAAGTAAAGCTGTTTAACAAGTTGATCCATGATGCCCAGTGCTTGTTTGACCAAACACAGACCAATATTCATGGAGATATTAAGAGATGAAAAAATGACAATATCGATATTTACACCATTAAACGATGTTTTTAAATGTCGGACATTAGAAGTGTGTGTATGCATCAAATTGGCAAAATTGAGCACCATTATTATAGTGTCCATTTGCTACAGTTATATAAAAACAATAGGTGAATGCGATAGTGTAGATAACACAATTGGTCTGTGTCGGAGATTATATTGGTACTACTCTACCCACACATGAACATCTAGGCCAAGATTTTTTTAACAAATATAAAGCTATATTGTTATGGGAGGGGCAAGAGTTAAGAATGAAGTCTGTAGTAACTTTTATGTTGCTCTTTGTCAACTGACTTGCTTAGCATGTCTGTAATAAAATTAGGAGAAAAGGTTTGGATCAGCTTCACAGTTAAGTAGAAAAATACGTACCAGAAATAGTAAATATACTCGTTTTAGGCAAGGTAGTACAACCACATAAGCTACATGCAGCTTTTACGGAAATTGACCAAGTATACCTAAAAGATTAAGCGTTGACTGATGGTTCACAAACTTTTAATTTAAACTCAATACATCACGCATAAAGAATGTGGCGAGTGATTGGGTTATAGTGACCAAGACTTTAATAATTGCATTAGAAAGTTCCGAGGTTTATAGGGCCAAATACCTGGAAATATTATGTCCATAAATTCGCCCAAATCTTATTATGAGTGTACCTGGTTAGATAGGTAGACATGTACTCTCAGTCTGTAATAGACAATATATTTTTAATCACTTTAATTTTATTCTTAAATTGTACCTAATTCAATATATACTCGTTCCCAAGAACGATGTAGGTATTTTAAAATCTCAAGAATATGTTTGTATGGAGCTGTTACAGGCTCAGTTTTATTAAAGTTCTTTGAATGAGTAGGGCAAAAGAGAAAATTACAACAATTGTTTTGAGGGCTTATAGGGGTTATTTGATGTTTTTGGCTTTAAAAAAAACTTAAGAATATGAGGTTTTTGTAAGGAAATTTCTGATGAGAGTATATATTATTATATTTCTTATCATTTTTTCCCAAAGATTCTTCTAATAGTAGCACCAAGTGTTCGCAAGGATGTTATCTAAAATACACTTAATATTTATTAAAAAAAAAACATTTTGCTGAGCAAATCAACCTTGCATAACCACAGGTTGAAAGTATCCAAGGTGCAACCTAGCACAATATATGTGAAATATACCAGATTTGCCAATGGCAATATAATTCTATACATCATCGATCTATATACAGAAAAAAAAAGTATCCAAAATGGTTTAAATGTGGCGGGTAGATACACTGATGCTCTTATCTAATTCAATTTCACAAGCTTTTTCTTTAAGCCTCTTTACACCCACAGAATCTACTCATTATAAATATTCTGCTTTTTTATTATCATTTCTAAGCTTTAGTATCCTCTTAACACTTGTTAATACCTTCGTCTTCGCTCTTACTATCACCCATTAAAATGAGGTATTGGTCAACTTTTTGTTTTTAGAATAAAAGCAAAAGTAGTATACCAAACTTACGCTATACTTACATATAGCTCCCCTCCCGCTTATACTGACTCAAAGAAGGATGAATCTTCAGCTGAGCCTGCTTCAATAACGCCTTCAACCCCTCACAAAAATCCTAGCTCGTGTTATGGATGTAATACTAATAGCTGTAACTCAACTAAGTCTGAGACCATCTAAAGCTGATACTAATTCTTACTTACAATTAGGTGAATCTTCATCAAGGTTAGTAAAATACTTAAACGGTTTTTTCATATTATCGAAGCTAACTGTAGCTGTAGAAAAACTGGAAATCCTAATGAAATTCCTACTCCCAAGGGTCACTATATTAGAGTAAAAATTCTATGCTTTGAATGTGTTATTTCTTAAACATCTTGTATTAAACTGTGCTGACCACCACATGCTAAAAGATCGATTTCTTTAATAATAATAAATGGGAATGTACAATTGTGGCATGTTATAATTGACCAGCCACACATTGTGTCTATCTATAGTATGACGGATAAACGGCTACCAAGCGTTTTTTTTGCCCATCTGTTTTATATATAAAAGTAATGATAGCCGTATATACATTTAACCATCTCTATTCATATAATAACGTATATAGCAATTTTTGACTATTTTTTTTTTTTCAAAAAAAAAGTTAATTGAATAAACCGTGGAATTAGATCAATAATAAAAATCAAAGGTGTTTTGTAACGATAGACTTATATTTTGCACACAGGTTACAAAGTTTTTGATGATGATATTAAGACTTCCAGTCTCATTTTTTCTCTTTTTACAATACATTACATAGTGTAGATTAAATCTCACCTGGAAATCTAATAGGAAGATTGACATTGTGTTTCTTATAATAATTAACGACATTGATGATAATTACAGTATCAAAACTCTCCCTTTTCTTTTAAATAGACTTCTGCGTGTTTAAGACGATTGTAATATTAAATGATGTCCAAGCCAATACAAAAAGGGGAGTGTGAGCAATAAAAGAAAACTTGAATATCTTGGCATTTCCTTTTGCCTGCATGTTTAAACAACCATTGGAAAAATTGAATGTCTTTCGACTTCAGTAATATAATATTTGGAGATATACTCTGAATTTTTAGAAAATATTCAAATCAGCTCTAAACAGTTAAATATTTTTAGATCAAATTTGTACCAAGTTTAATCTCAAATCATTTACTGATTCAATTAGTCAAATTTTGAAAACGTGTAACCAACGTATCAAAAATAACTTTAGAAAAAAAACTATCTTTAGTATCTATACCATGACCACCAGCTGCAAATATTGGGCTCTTGTTAACACTGAGTAAGAGAACAGATCAGATTTGGAGTATGTTGCTCCTGATCAGCAAGCAATTCAGTCCGTAGACTCAGGCCTACCTTTTTCATAGGCAGAAAGTTCTTGACAAGTCTTCTGTAAAAGCCGTATATTTGTTTTTAAAAGTTTAAAGCATATAAGAATAAATCAATAAAAAAAAGCCAGTGATAATCGCACATGTTATACATAGTCAGAATGCCAAGACCCGTTTACTTTTATATCAAGGCTTAATTTTAGCTTCTAGTGTAACTAATATTTGTATATATATTATATAAATATATATATAAAAATGATAATTTATCTTAAAGTATACAATTATTTTTATTGGCTAATCAATTTATCTAAATATGGTATATTTATATATATTTATATATTTTACGCCATTGAAGTATAATAAATATATATAAATATAAATATATTAACCTCGATATTCAATATTCAATATTCAATATTCAATCTACTACATGGCTGGTGTCATTTAGATTTTTATTTTTCTGGAATTAGTGTATCGAGATGATAGCAGGTCTTCATCATTAGACGCTTGTTTTATGCTCTGTGAGGGTCAAAGACATACACAATTACCGAATAAACAGATAAATCGAAATTACCCACAATACACGAGCTTTCTTGGGCAACATGACGTAGTCCCTTTAAGCCTTTCGGGCTGAGAGAATCAATGACTTAATTGATGTTTTCTCAAGCGATCATTGCCTTCCCTTTTTTTTTTAATTCCCAGACTATAAGGCATCAAAAGCCATTTTCCTTTTAATATCTTTGCATATAAATAGGGGTTCTTTTTGCTTGGTGGGATATTGGTATCTCCACAGTTCGTTCTTCTCTTCTGCTTACCTTTTATTCAAAATGAAGTACATAACACCCTCTCTTTTTTACTATATTTTGCAACCGGCTTATGATAACAACTAACCCTCTGTGCTTTTATAGTACTGATTCTATCCCTCTCACTCCCACCATGGTCTCCACTGGCTATCCTGCTACACAAGATATCATGTCTACTTCAGCCAAAAACAGTCCTGACTCTGATCAGATCCAACAGCAGAAAGGTATATTGATCAGACTCGATAACTAGCTCTTAAACTAACACTCTGTCACTTATTAGAGTCATCCTTCTCTTCAATGTTGAGGTAAAAGTAGCAAAAATCCACATTTTTCATTTTTATTAATATTCTGTGCATTTAAAAAGGTTGAGTGGTGGTGGTTGTATTAAGGGCTGCTTGGAAGCAATTTGTTGCTGTTGTGCACTCGATGCTATTTGTTGGTAAGTCAACCATTTTTATATATCTATCTACAGAGCACTCACAGTTCTTCTTTGTTTTCTAATAGCTGTAAGTATATTTCCGATTGACACGGTGCATTTGTATTAGCACAATTGCCAAGAGATTGTATTTGATTCTTTTGCTTTATTAACTCTTTCTTCATTCTTTTTATAGGCGAACTTGATGAGATTTGCTGCTAAATTGGATACGGCTTACAATAGTTGGCATCTCTTAGTTTATACATATTACTTAATACCTTACTCTACATTCAATAAATTTTAATTCCCAAATTACGTGCTCCCTATCATCTTTTTTTTTCTTTTAAAAAAAACAATATTATAAAATAAACGTTTACTGGAAAATGGGCTACTTTTAATCCAGAAATGGGGAATTTTATATCCAAATGCCTCATTGTATACCTAAATTTAGCAAAACATGTTACGCTCTAGGGGAAGGCTTATATCATTACGCATTAAAAGTCAAACAGACTCGTTATTTTACACGTATATTACAATTCATACATTAATTTTAAACAAGTACACTTCACTCTAAACCAGCTAGACTTTTTTCAGCAGGTTTCAAGTAATATCTATAGCTTAAACTGAAAGTCAAGACGATCGCTACCGACATCCCGACTAGTTTCATTGTAGACATCTTTTTCTTCGGTGGTCATTAACTCCCATTTTTGCCCACGCAAGCTATTTGCGGATGTATACCGGCTTCTTAATGCAAGGAATAAAGAAATAGCCACCAGATGAAGTCCAATGCATATGCCATTTCCTCTCCGATAACGAGGTGCATCATTGGATTCTATAAAGAAAGTCAGTATTCTCAATTATCTTATGCTTAAAAACACGTACGATATATCTGGGCACCAGGCACACCATTGATATTAGCTGCACCGACTATAGCACCTAGTGCTATAGCTCGCTTCCCCGCCGGCGCCAGATTAGACGACATCCATGCGACATGCATCCCGTGCCATGAAGGTGCAGAAGCAGTAAACAGTGTAGCTGCGTATATACTCCAACGACCTGTGCTTGCAGGTAGATAAAAAAGCGTCAAAAATCCGAGGAGACCCCACACCGATCCAGCAAGCGAATACAAAGATACATTTCCATTCTTTTCTGCTCCTCTGGCAATAAGGATCGAAAACAAAAGGTTGATAAGGTACGCGGGAGCAGTCAATAGGTTTGCTACAGTGGCCGAAAATCCTGCCTCTTTAACTATCGTCGGAAGATAGTTATGGATCGGGATGCTTGGCATCATTCTAAAGAAGCAAATGCAAATGCAAGTCACCGTCAGTAAAAGTAATGTGATATAAAGGCATATATTACCCGAGAAAGGCAATACTCAGGTGTATCCACAGCTTTGTGTCTTTTAAAGCAAGAATAACATCTTGTTTTGATATAGGTTTTTCCTGTTCTTGTTTTGTTAGGCCGTCTCGTACAATTCTACGCATTGCTATGCGCTCCTCTCTTTCATTAAACCACCCTTCGCGAGAACGAATCCAGCCGGATGTTCTTTCTGGGGAAGCTGGCAAATACATACTAAATAAGTAACAAAAGAAAAGGTATGATTATAATCTGTTTTGAGTTCAAAGTAGTCTATTGATGAACTTACAAAGCAATTATTCCGACAATATGCGTAGCAATACCGTCTACAAGGAATAGCCACTTCCAACCTTGAAGCCCACCCAATCCAGCCATTTGAAGAACCCCAAAAGATAAAAGACCACTGAATGCTGATGCAAAAGCCTGAACTCCCCAAAACCATGCTAAGCGTGTAGAAAGCTCGTTTGATTTGTACCATTCAGTCAAATAGCAAAGACAAGCCGGAATAAATCCAGCCTCGGTTATTGCAATAAATATTCTTATAACTATAAACCCATTAAAATCCTATAATAAATATGTTTGAGAATGCAGATTATCAAGAGAGTAAACTCACATGAAGTAAGGCGTGTGCCCATGTTACTATTGCCCAAGAGTTCATAAGAAGTGGAATCCAAATATGAGCTCCAATATGCTTAACTGCAGCATTTGACGGAAGTGCAAATAAAGCAAATACGATAGAATATATCATGATAGATGTATTGACACCATCGTTGGTAAATCCAAGATCAATTGCAAGGTTATCAGATACGGCATTTGCTAAGGTATGGAGGTAAGTTTTAAGTCCTAAATAAGCGCGTATTTGAGCCAATATGCGCTTACAAAGGTTGGTCCGATCCATGTTAAGAACAAATGTCATGAGCAAAACGAACGACATTAGGCGTTTGTCAATCTTGGCGACCAATTGACGTTCTTCTTCTTCTGTCCATTCAAAGTTTTCGTCCCAGTCTCTTATCTTTGCCGGATATTCATCAATCGACCCAATCGATCCGTACCGTGTTGAAGTAAGGCTTTTGTCATCACTGTTCTTCCTTTTGTATGCCTTTTCTTTAGGAAAATATTGGTTTGTCATCTCTTTTTTCTTTTGCTCTCTGTACAAAGCTTATTTACTGATATTTGGATGATGATTTTTGTATTATTATAGCCAGGGTATATTGAGATATTCTTCCCAAGAGATTATTAAATGGCTATAAATAAAAACAAAGCAAAATAGATATAATGTATTTTGAGGTGTAAAAAAAAAAGGGTATAAAGATGTATGAATTTTCAATAATTTTCTTTTTATTTTAGCTGTTATCAACCATATTTTCGCACATAATTTTATTATAAAATTATGCAATATTCCTCCTCTTTGTCTATAAATCACAAAATACTTGACAAGAGTGACACCATTGAAGAGTGTTACTTCTTATTGGCCGAGAATTTCAGTTCAAAGAAGTTGTAATCCGAATCTTATTAAGTTTTGTACTGACAGAATTACTTTAAAGATGAATATAGAAAGAAAGAATACGAGCTGGCCAATCATTAAACTATAGTATCGCCCTTATTCTACAGAAGAAGAAAAACAGAGCTACTTTATCTGTAATCATTATTATTTTATATCTACAGTATAGATAAAGGAATGTGATTATCTTTAGGGAATATGGCTGTGCGACCATTCAGTCCCCTTATTTCTTCCCACTATCACTAGACTCATCATACGTATCATATTTTCTTTTTCAGCCCAGATATTCACACACTGTTAATAATACGATAAGGTACAGAAAGAAAATAGATATACTTTAAAAAAAACTAATCGGTACGTCTACGTTTATTCATCGAATCCGTTCCCCTCTCATCGAATTTCTTGCAAAGCAGAATTTCGAAACATTTTGTTCCTAATATTTAGTGGATGACGTTTTATATACAACTTTATATAATGCTATACCAACAGACTATATATATATATATATATATATTACTTTTATTTCTAGCACCTTTACATGTACAGCCTATTTTTGACACTAAAGGTGAGTCTCAAAAAAGCGAGTTTAGTAATATGCCTTGTTTCTCGAGTTATTTGACGTAAAGAAGTGAATGAAAGTCTTGAAGTCTACCCATTTTTAAATACCGCTTACAGTATTGGCCCTGTCCCCACACACAAATGCATGAAATTATAGCTCCTTTTTCTTCGGGTTTATACCTTTAGGATAATAGCTTCCCCACATTCTGAATGCATCCAATATGATACAATTATTAATGGTGTAAGTCGTAGAGAAATATTCAAAACTATATACAGTCAAAGATATTATAATTTGAAATATTATTCAATTTATCGCTGAAATAGAGTTGCTTAATAAAAAAAATATCATTTTGATCAAATTGGCAAATCAAATTAAGACAATCAGCTATAAATCCAGATACATAAAGCAAAATTACTTTATATATATAAGTAAACTGGTAAAGCGTACTATTATCTACTACTTAAACGTTATTTGACATTGATTACTCAAATATTGAGCAAGATATCCCATTTTTTTACTCTAAAAAACAATTTACTAATAGGATTCTGGATATTTACACCACAAAGGCATATTTGATCCAAAAGTTCCCTCAGGGTATGCACCTAAAAAAAAATCAAGAATTTGTGTCTTTTTTATTAAGTAAAGCTGTTTAACAAGTTGATCCATGATGCCCAGTGCTTGTTTGACCAAACACAGACCAATATTCATGGAGATATTAAGAGATGAAAAAATGACAATATCGATATTTACACCATTAAACGATGTTTTTAAATGGCGGACATTGAAAGTGTGGGTCCCAAAAGATTATCCACACTGTACACATAAGCAGATTCTGTAATCCTTTAGCATGGTGTTATCAATACAGTAATGTTATTTATGCTCTTCTCAATATATGTAAACATGATATTATGATAGCATATTATAAAGTAGATATAAATCCTGCTTTTTACTATAATGACAGTATATTAAATAATAGTTTTTAGATATAGTTTTTCTTATGTTTGTCCATGGATAATATAAGTATAATGGAGACTGAACGATATCTTCCTATTCAATATATTTTCCAATTTATCTGATAACCCTTAGAGCATATTGATAACTCCCTCGTTTATTCTTCTTTTTTTTTTTTTAGTAATTATTATAATAATATCAAAATTCAATCCAAACATTCCATTCTCCAAACACTTTAAAGGTCATTACATTTTTGATACAAGTTTTATAACCATTTACACAGAAACTGATTACTTACAATTAATGAAGAGCAAAAAGAAACTTCATTTTTTTAATTCTTTAGATATACACAATAGCTAGTTCGTGTTTTTTCGCACTTCATATGATCTACACATGCTAGCTTACATTTTCATTTATTATGCGAATGAATCCTCAATATCTGCTTCTCCACCAGTCTCCATCTCACTGCTAAAGTTCATAAAGTGAGAGGCACGATGTGACTCATGGTAAAACTCCTTTGGTACGTCTAATACCAGACGATAGTTCATATTCGCATTGAATTGAGCTCCCATAACTATAATATATAAACAACAATTAGCTCAAATCTCACAATTACAAATATTTAATACTTACAGTTGTAGTTCCAGATTTCAGAAGGAGCCATGAAGAAACCAAGGAAGCGGTCTGACAGGAGAATTTGTACCTTTTCTGCGTGAGTAGGCAGGAATCCCTGTGGATTACTACTGGTATCCATATTGTTCTTGCCCCACTCGAAACCACCCGGAGTAATCTTATAGGCCGTAAGGGAGCACGAACCGGGTGTGAAAGAACAGGTGAGTGCAACAGCCTTTTCACCATCCCAGGACTTGTTGTTAGCCAACAACTTGGCGTGAGTGGTCACGTCTTGGGGCGAGATATTCATCAATTCTTGGGGCTGCGTGTGAATCCAACCCAGAGGCTCCAAATCTGCCAAATACTCATGTTCTGGTAGTGTGTTTGGCAAGTGGACTGTCTGGTGTGTACCCCACTGAGGTGGAATAACCACACAGCGAATTTCCTTGACATTTGGTGCATCTGGTGGACTGACACCATACATGAAGCCTGCAATCTGGGTGCGCAAATCAGAAATTGTAATAAATCGCTTTAATACGTTCTTGGGAAGAACATAGGTATAGGTGTTCTCCTTGATATCATCCGAGTTCACATAGATATGGTTGGTTCTCAAGTGCAAATTGGTAGCTGAAATAGCACGAATACGCCACTCTGTCTTGGAAGCAAATGTCGCGTTCTCATAATTACTAGTGGTTGTTACGATCATTTCATCACCATGAATATTGCGAGTCTTGGTGGTCACGGCTGTCAACTGGGATTGCTCTTTGGTCTGCTTCTCAATCTCTGCAATCTGTTGTCGCTGAAGAGATGGTGCCTGGATCTCCATACCAAGAATAATATCTCTGATTTCAGATTGGGTCAATGAAGCCACATTAACGTTGTTCTTCTTGCCATAATCTGCCAAAATAAGATCCTTCAGCTGTACTTCCACCTTAGCCCACTCTTCATCCGACAGGGTTGGCCAGATATGATGAGGCTCGGTAATAGTGGTTCGGTCAGGACGGAGAATCATCTTGGTCTTGTCGTTATTAACATGTAATGCACGCAGAATGAGAACAAGACGAGAGAATGCAGTGTAGGAAGAAAAGGTTCTCAGCCAGTCATCGTACAGGTTGAACAGGACCATCTGAGGCTCAGTAGCCTTGAGAATCAAATCACCAAACTTCTCAACCTTCAAACAAGCTTGGAAGGGAAGCTGCAACTCACTGCCCTTAATGACAATATTGGGGAAATCGAGTAAATGCACCTCAAGAGGATCCAACATACCCTTACGAGTAACAATAATCTGCTTGGGCTGTTCTTCGACTGGCAAAGAACGAATCAGAGCAGCTACTTCTTCAGCTGTCTTCCACTTAGCCAACTGACCCAGACGTTTCTGACCAGCCCATACAGACGTGTGAATGATCTTGAGGAAGAGCTGTCCAGTACGTGGGTTGAATATGAAGATAGCACCGTTGATGGGCTTGGTAGTTAAATTGCCTTCGAATGTCTTGTGGATAGTGACTCTGTATACGTTGGTATCGTCCACAAACCAAATGATCTGATTACTGAAAAGCTCGCCGTAGTTGGTTGATGAAAGGTAAGGCTCAGTAGGTTCAGATGAATAAAGTTGGAGGGCCTTTCTGATACGTTCACGCAACACATAAAGGGCAGGATTGGCCTTCATGATCTTAGCCATGGCTTGCTGAACCAAGGGCTTCATACCAGGAATCCAGTTACCGTAAGCAGAGTACAAGTTGTAAGCGAGATCCACACCAATCATGAGACCAGTGGGCGATGGGTAAATACTCATGTTGTCTGTAGTGTAATCTAAGAATTTTGCACGAGTATAACGCTCAACATCATGCGAATCGAAATCACCCCAGCGAAGCTGAATATCCAACCAATATTTAGTAGTTGTGGGTCCGTCCATAATATCTTTAGGATCGTTCAACAACGAAGGACGTGAAACTGGCCACTTGTAAGCAGCGAACAGCAAAATATCCTATAAAAGCAACATGGAAAGATAAGTCTTTCTCTTCTTTTTTTTTTGGATTACTTGCATCACGCAATTTTTAATATACTTACACTGGCAGACGAGTTCATTTTGTACGATTTACGAGGATGAATAGTCTCCTTCTGGACAGTTTCGATCTGCAAAGCTTCCAATTCACGATCAAACACCTGACAGAAATCCATAGTCAATGCTTCGTGAATCTTTTGCCACAAATGGGCTCTGAAGATCTGAATGAGGGAGATCTTGAGTGTAGGGATTTTTCCGTGCATAAAGATACCAGTAAGATCCAACTGGACCTGGAAACCGACGTAAACGTTGGCACGGTTAATGGTGGGAGACCACCAGAGAGTGAAACGACGATTAGGAATCTGGTTAAGACCACTACGCTGTGCATTGGTAAGCTTCTTGTATTTCATAGATTCTTCGAAACCAGAGTTGTGGACAACCAAGCCATCATAACGCAAGAAACGTTGATTGCCATCGATACGGAAGCCGTAATAGGTCTGAGGT